AAAAAAAAAAAAAAAAAAAAAAAAAAAAAAAAAAAAAAAAAAAAAAAAAAAAAAAAAAAAAAAAAAAAAAAAAAAAAAAAAAAACCAGAAGCGGCTGTGCTCCACTGAGCCTGGGGAACATTTGGTGCTCCGATCGTTGCCAACGAAGAGATGTGCCTTTCACGCCGTTGGATTGCCCCTTGATGTCCTCGCCAGCGACAGCGTCGACATCTCCGCTGGCTCAGGATACCTACCTAGTCTTCGGTTTGCCGCCTTTCCCTACCGGGCTCTTCTAATGAAGTAGAGCACAACAACTGCGCCGTGACGCGACCTTCGTCCGGCGCCGTCACTCTTGCCTCCCTGCGCTCCTCTGCCCCGAGCCGACTACTCTTCCTCATCCGTGGTAAAAACGTTGAACCGCGAACGAAACACAAAACGAGAAGATTAAGGGTATATACCTTCACCTAGGGGGGAGGTTACCCTCGCAGTCTTTGGAACAGCTCTTTGGCATGCTGTCTTCAGGACGTACAAGTCGATTGGTATTAACAGAATTGAGGGCGTCAATGGAAGACAACTTCCGGTCCTGTCGGCCTACAATCCAATTTTTACGACGACGACATCCGAGCCCTATCCACGACTTTCAGCTCCTGGATCTGAAATATTTCTTCTTTGCTGGCATAAGTACTCAGTTCATGTCAATACCCAAAGAAAAGTGTCAACGTACCTATTCAGTCATGTCGTCCGGTCAGGGCCTCTGCACTGAAGCTGGAAGCTCAAGGCCTGCCTCAGTAAGCAATTGACTGGATCCAACTCGACATCGGGATGGACATTTTGGGACTCATGTCCAGGCCATGTAACTTGACTGTCAATGAGGAAGTCGCGTCCTTTCCTCCAGCCGAGTTCAGCGTATGCATCGCTGTTAGTGCAGGCAAGAATTTTGTATATGAAAATCCTCCTCTCTACTACCCCTCTTAACAGAACCTGGCACATCTATACCTGAAGCGTGTCAGGTATGTGCCGAGTTCTTGCCTTGGTTCCGCCCCAATCCGCCGCTTTGAGGTGGTCTGGAGCAAAGCACCTGCAGCCATGGTAGAGCCCACCCATAGGACTTGAAGAATGGCTTGCGCAGGTAAGAGGGCGACTCAATATCCAAAGTGTACAGTTTGACAGGATATGGGACCGAACTTCACACCCCCCGAGCACAAGGGGGTTCAATATTGGTGCTGCGGTGATCAGCGGTGTGTATTTCAGCCCAAGCCCCATTGTGATGCATTCAAGTCGCGTGTAGGCTGAGGACAACCGGGCTCTGGAAAGGCTTGACCTCGTCCAACCGTGTAACGATCCACTGGCATGTTCACTCCATGTGCACTCACATCCGGGCTGTCTTGTGTTTCGGGTACATCTCGGCTCGCACAATGCCCATTGCCCGGGCCCAAGAAACCTGCTGTGGCTTCGAGTCTGCTCAAGCCAGCATTCAAGCAAGACATCATCTATTGTGCACCTGCACTGCCACGGTGTGCCAACGGCAACTACCTAGCGGGATCACCCAATGCAGTTCAAACAGCCATTCTGATGGTTCCTCTACGTCTGCAACAAGATACCTACATATTTACAGCCTGTCAGATGTAACGCCGCTACACCACCTTTCCGTCTGCTATGTATGACGCATCTCTATTTGCCTTGATAGTAATTGTACAGCTGGTCAGGCGCTGGTAAGGCTCCTTTTTCATTCTACAGCAGACGACGATGAATTCTAGGCAGCCTTGCGAATGGACGATGCGACCAACAAGTCACCCAGACGTCTTCAATGCAGTATTTAACTCGGTGATAACCAGCTTGCCGTTCAAATGACCACGATGGGGAGCATCAGCGTCTCTTCCCAGAGAAGATGGAACAGTCCGCCACCGGATATTGGGCAGCACTTGCGGAGAGACTTCGGAGTCTGCTCAGGGGCTCTGAGAATGCCAACCTCGACAACCAAGCTTCCCCTGAATGGGCACATCCACAAGGTGAGCCTCAAACAAATATTCCTAAGATTCTTGACAGAGTCTGACGGAGCAGAACGGGGCCAACCTTCTACCGAATCCCCCGGCCTAGCTTTCGGGTCTATTCTCGAGAAAGACGAAGACTGTAAGAATCGACCTACTACCACCTACTACTACCCTTTACTGCTTGCTGAGTCGCTGAACAAGGCTAGTCCTGGAATACCCCAAAGGATTCCCTCGTTTCGCCCGAATGCAGGACTACTTCCGCAATGGAAGCATTCATCGGCGGTACGGTCCGCTTCGCCAGCGGCTCCTACAACACATTGAAGTAGAAATCGCGAAGAGGGAGGCGCGATTGCTCGAGCTCGACAAGGAAGGCGAGCAGGAAGAGACTTGCGAAAAAGAACGGCTCATAGAAGAGTTGATCCAACTTGATGACCTTTACGGTTAGTGCTTCCCCAGTCTCAATCCGCCTGTCAATTTTTCTTCCACTGCTTAGTAGGTTGCTAATATTACTATTCATTATACAGCAAGAATGTTGTACAACGACTATAAAACGAGAAAGCTACGCAGAATCGACCATCACGAGTATCTCAATTTTTTTGGTACCGCAAAAGACCTTGGCATCCTGGAAGGCGACGCGAAGGACTACCTCCATGCACCATCAAAAGATTTTGTTACAACCAGACCCGAACGGCTTTACGACTCGCTCGAGCGGCTGGCTTTCCGCGTCCAGATCAGTTGGCTATTGGTAAGAGGCTCCCCGGCCACCTACAAACATACTACTAGTAGTAGACAGAGATACACGTGCTTCATTGAACAAGAGTATTGACGAAGAAAGCTAGAAACTCCTACCAAAGACGGAGGCGCCAGAAGGGAGCCCTTACGAAAGCCATTTTGACCCGGGATGGTTCATCGCCCTGGGCGTGGTGGCCATTGGGTTGCTCTGCCTTCTGCTCTTTCTGCTGCCGGTGGCAATTCTGTACTTTGTGCAGCCCAGCGCGGGCTGGTCCGCGGGGGTGGTGGCCACCTTTGGGCTCGCCTTTACGGTCGTCCTCGCGCTGATGCCGCGCGTCCAGATCGAAAACATTTTTATCAGTCTGGCGGCCTATGTTGCCATCATGGTGGCATTCCTTGTCAACTTCCAGGGCGGGCAATGTAAGTGTCAGGTATCTTCGGACTGATTGAAACCGGGTTAAGGTTGAAGAATATAAGACTGTAAAAGGTTTGCGTGGATTTACCTTGAAGTATTGGGTCTTTGTTGGTTGCTATTGGGTGTTTTTCTCTTGTCACGAAAATATAAGCTGTGAAGCCTCGACTGGAATTGGTACTATTGAGTGTGGTAGATATATCAAGGAAATTCCGTATGATGCAACTACACAGGTAGTTTAAGATAACATATCACTTGGTACTCTTCTACCATAGAAGGAAAAGAAAAGAAAGAACTCTGGTAGTATCAAAACAATATTGAGGCACCCATCTTCCCCTTTCATACAGATGCATACATAGTCAATGACAGCAAAAGCAACCAGTTATCAATGGCATATCTAGTCTTATGAAGTGTCATATTTAGCGTTGCTGGTCGAAAGTGCTGTGTAAGCCGCGACCCGTTGCAGAAAAGGGGTAAGTAAACAAACGCACGGGCTATCATCGTTTGTTGTAGCAACTGCGATGCATGCAGAAAGCGGCCGCCTCAGGCAGCAAACATTAGGTGGCGGATTAATTGAGAGGGCTGGATGCTTGTAAGGATAAAGATAAGAGGTTGATCTCCTTGTTTTATCTTGCCTTACCTACGAGTAGTTATACTGACCTTCCAGGGCCATGCTACTACTAGTACCTTACCTGTATCAAGTTCGTTCCCATAAGGTTTTACTTGACACCGCATATATAACGGACCGTCTCGCCATCAGCACTTTTTCTCCAATTAAGATTGCTCTTTGCTATCACGCTAGTGATCTCTTGGAATCTGTAGATAAGAAGATGAAATTCCATTTTCCTCTTCTGCGCTTCGCACGGACTCTAATGCACGCGCTGACTGGACTACCTTAACTGCACGTATACCTCAAGCAAGGGTTGTAGTCGAGATAAACTATGATCTTGCCAAGAGTGGCCAGAGCCGCATGCCTTGAAGATTCTGGAAGGAAGGAAATGTGGGGGAGGGCCATTGCCGAGGCAGGGCGAGGGGAATGGGGGTTCGGGCAAGGGGGAGGTGAGAGCACTACTTATACTCTATGTATGTACTACATAAGGTAGGTACAGTACTTATGTTTCTAGTTCACCTAGTATAAGACTGCCTAATTCGTCTCGTCTAAGTCAACTTACCGGTGTTTTCTTTGCTGGGCTATTTATCCCTAGCTCATGCTACTGGTACAGTACCTGGCTGGATGCTGACCCCCTAGGTTCCGGGAGAGGCAGACCAAGGCAGCCTTGCCCACAATCCGGCCACGATCCCACTTTTCTAGCCGCATTTTTTTGTTTATCCTCTCCCTTATAACTCTACAGTACAACTATTCCAGGCCACATCAAAACATGGCGCGTTTGACGCGTTCTTCCTCCTCTCGTTGCGGCACGTTCGTGTTACACCACCGCGTCTGATACCTTAGGGTCCATCTCCCGTGTTCCGGGCGCGATTCCATACACCTACAGGCAACCTATGCGGACTTGGTCTTCAATTCCCGCATGAAAACAAGCATGGGGACGCACCTCGACACCCATTATTCCCCTTTCTGCAAGACAAGAAGCCAGGATCGGAACATCGCGACGACATATTTGAGTAGGCCCTTTCCTTTACACCGCCGCTCAGCCAACAGATACTTAGGCAACAGCTGGGACTCGGAACCTAGGTGTAAGTTGTCTTTTCACCAAATCTAGTGTGCTGCTCTATATACGTCTATGCTCGAACGAGCCGAGCGGGACCACGGACCTTGTCAGGCAAGTTGTTTCTACTCGTCTTGTCGAGCCAGATTTGAGTGAAGCTTATGCTGCTTCATTAAAGAGATGCTGATTAGAGCAACAACAGTCAAGCTTAGAGCTGTCAACCACACCCCCCTGAATGCCTCCATGAAGGACCGGATAACACCCTCGTACGAAAAGCCCTCGGGCAACCTTTTGAGCTCGGACAGATCATCTCGTATACGCGAAATCGCTTCTGCCGCTCCCGGCAAGTGACCGAATCGATCCCAGAGTCGAGACTTCAAGATGTTCTGGTACACAGTTGACGCGACCGTTATGCCTAGAGTCGCGCCAACAGAACGGAAAGCGTACGTTGATGAAGTGATAACGGCTTGGTGTGAATGGTCAACAGCGGCAATGCAGGCGAGCAGAGTCACGGTTAACATGCCGCCATAGCCCGCGCCGTGGAGGGCCATGGATACAAACGGGACCCAGTTCTGCGTGTTTTCGTCAAGTGTCGCGTTGAGAGACGCGGAAAGAATCAAGACGGACAATGTCACGATGCCGAGGCCCACATACTTGCCGGTCTTCTTCATGATCAAACCGCATCCGATAGACGAAATAGAGACGCCCGCGGAAGAGGCTAAAACGCGCAGCCCCGCCTGGGTGGCCGAGTGGCCGAGTACTTGCAGGTACAGGGGCACGTAAAACATGGTCATCATCATCACCATGGTGCTAGCTCTCGCAGTCAGACACATGTCGTGCGACTTCAGGGGCATGTGAGCGCGACGTACCACAGAAAATTCGTAATGCAAGCCGTGATGACAGTTCTGTGCAGGAGCAGCCGAACAGGGATAATGGGCTGTTTAGCGCGGCTTTCCCACCACACTAGGACAACCAGTATAACACAACCAAGCGGGATAGTGGTCAGGACGAGCGGATCTGTCCATGGGACGAGGTTCCCGCCCGCATTGAGGCCTAGCAGAACCGAGACAAGGAAGCCAACCGTTAGAAACGACCCGCCAAAGTCGATCCTCTTGAGGAGCGACTTGTTGGAGATCTTTGGCGGGACATCAACAAGAATATACACGAGCAAGCCCGAGACCACAACGATAGGCACCTGGATGAGAAATGCCAAGCGCCATCCCCAAGGGGAAGTATCGTTGATGAACCCGCCAAAGACACCACCAAGCATAGCTCCAGTCCTGAACGCAGTCCAGCACACATCAGCCAACCCCAATCCCCCTTTCTCATCACCTTTTAAACGGGGCGGAGGGGGGTAAAGTAAGCGGGGAATAGACTCACCCATAAGCAATATTCCCCAACCCCTGCACAACCCCTCTCTTCTTCAGCGGCACCAAGTCAGACGCAAGGAAGGTGCTGATGCTCATGAGCCCGCCGCCTCCAACGCCGGCAATCACCCTGCCGGCAATCATGCCGCCCTCGTCACGCGCAACGCCGCAGACCAGGTTTCCCAGGGCAAACATGGCGTTGCTAAACACCAGCCCGGGGCCCCGGCCAAAAATGTCGGTCAGCCGTCCGGACAGCGGCTGGAAGGTGGCGTTGGCGATCAAGTAGGCTGTCGCCAGCCACGACAGTAGACTGAGCGAGCGGAACTCGCTTGCAATCGGCGCCGACAGCGTCGCCATGATGCTCGCGTCTACTGCGCCTAAAAACACGCCTACGTAGCTGGATCCGAGCGTCAGGTACAGCCGTGCCGGGGAGGGCAGGCTGGGCGGGAGGAGGGTTGTTTCGTCTTCTGGGTCTTCCGAGGAGGTGGGGGTATTTGATGATGAGGGGGGTCCATTTGGCTTGGGTTGAGAGAGGAGGGGTGTGGTTTCGGTGATGTTGGTGGTGTCGGTTGTGGCGCCTTGTGAGTCCCCGGACAGAGGCTCGGAGCGCGCCGGCTCCGGAGGGACGGAGCCGGAGGTCATGGCGCCGATTCGAGAGTTTGAGGAGTGTTATTATGGGGTAGGTAGTTGCAAAAATGAGGAAGTATGAGATGGGATACACGGAGGTTGGGTCATGTATGTTGAGGAAGACTGAAGTCGGAGACAAAGGTGAGTAATCCCCCAAAACACTCTTGCAGAATTGGGGATGACTCGACTGTTGAGGATTACGCCCCGCACATCGGCTACAACCCAACTGACAACCTGCACCAAGCAGCGAAGCGATACTACACTTACCCTATACCAACCTAAAGATTTAGCAGATTGCAACAGCAGGCCATCTCAGCCTGGAAACAATACATAGTTCTAAGTCCAGTGCAAATTCATTCGATGTCAGGTCAGTAACTGAGCTCGGTTGGGGTGACCCTTGTTTTGTTGTAAGCGTGACCCGTGTATTGTACTGTACTGTACATACAGGTGTTGTGCTGTATTATACAAGTGGTAATACGCAGTGTACTGTACAATACATACATCCATGGTCCGGATATGCAGGGCCATCGAAGATCCCCGGTCAACAACCACCCTCCCCCCCCCCCCCCCCCCCCCCCCCCCCCCCCCCCTTTTTTTTTTTTTTTTTCTCTTCTCTTTCCCTACTGGTTGACTTTTAACGGTCAGACGAAAACTGGGGAGAACTCAAGAGATGGCCAGCGAGTTCCTCTAATAGCGGCTGCCGATCATTCATTAGATGCTGGTATGTGTCCTTAGAACTGATGCCCCCTAAATTCATGTAGTGGAGCCTGAGCCGAGCCCCTTCTTCCCCTGGCTTTGAAGATAAGGTATCTACGGAGTACACACATCCAGGAATGACTAATCGTTGGACCTCTAGGTACTTTGATTGTCAAGTAATACCTACCAGTGTCCCCTTCCCATCTACAATTTAGCAGGTTCTCTATCGCTACTTCGTACTGCTAGACTTGAAGGCATCTCCCCTTCCAGTTCCCCTGTTTCGCCATAATCATATAGTACCTGGAACTTGCGGGACTGCAGCTTGAGACTCGAAAGTATGGCTGTCATGGACAGGGAAAATAAAGGGCCTAACGCTCTAACTACTTGTTAGTTCCCCTTGATCTCTCAGTAAACATTGCTCAAGGTCAACTCTCCGACGCATTCTAACCTCAAGCGCCTCATCCTATCGTCTGATGGCGATGTTCCTGGTCGTCTCGTCATATTTCTAATTCTAAATGAAGTACTGCTCAACACAAATAAGGTACCATTGAAGAGAACCCGTCCTGACAAAGCGTGTTCGACCTCCCTTGACCATGCCCGTAAACACATCTGCCAGTTGTTCATTAACCACCACCGGGCTTCAATTTCCTCATCAGGACCGCTAAGTCCTCCCGTCCTAGGCTCCCAACTTAGGTACCTACAGCTGCTGTTTAAGCCTTCCATGCGCGTTTTCCATGTTTCGCTACTTCTCATGCAGCTTCGGATCCCGTACCCGCGCGTTGACATGCAGACGTTCCGCTGCCCGATCTTGGAGCAATTGCACCGTGTCTTCCCTCCGCGCTTTCGCCCACCATTTCAAGAGCCTTCTCTCCATACCGGTCTGGGAATTGACCTCCACCCCCTTACTGAGTAGTAGCTCTACCATACCGACGTCTTCGTTGAATACCGCCCATTCCAAGGGGGTTTTCTCCATACCAAAGTTTGGATTCCCCCCCGAGCCTCCCCCATCCAGCAGCAGCTTTACCATACCCCGGTTCCCATTGAATACGGCCCATTCCAACGGGGTTCTCATCCGACCAGCATTGACATCCCTCGACCTACTAAGCAGTAGCTCCACTATACCTACATCCCGGTCGTATAGCGACGTAAAGTGAAGCCTCTTCGTCCTGACATGGCCGTCCATCTTAGCGGGCATTAGCTCTGTATCACCCAAGTCTCTACTACACATGGATACCGCCCATTCTAGAGGAGTCCTCTCTATACCGACATTGGCTACTCCGCCCTTAGCAAGCAGCAGCTTTATCATGTCAGCCTTTTCATAGTATACAGCCGACTCCAAGGGAGTCATTCGTATACCGACATTGGCATCCGCGCCTCTGGCGAGCAAGCGTTCAACTATGCCAAGGTCTCCACGATATACCGCCCATTCCAATGGGGTTCTCTTTATACCAACATTGGCATCCGCCCCCGCATCGAGCAGTAGCTCTACCAGAAGTTCGCGACCTGTAGATACCGCCGACTCCAAGGGGCTAGCAGACCGTCCAGAGAGGCTCTTGTGTACGCTGTGGTTGACGTTTGCTCCTTTGTCGAGGAGCGCTTTTGCTATGTTATCATGACCTCTTCGGCAAGCGGCACTGAGAGGAGTGTCTCGCTCACTTTCGTGATTAGCGTCAGCACCGCTATCGAGTAGCAACGACACCACCGTGGCGTGGCCATACTCGGCGGCGGCAATCAACGCGTCACCATAATCACTTCGATCGTAGTGGTCCAGCAGGGCTTGTACAACCCGATCCAGGCCCAAGACGGATGCGATGGTGATGGGAGTCCGGAACTTCTTGTCGTAGTATGCGTAGCCATTTGCGAAGCTCCCGAGTTCATCTAAGTTCAATGTTTCCATTTTCCAGATTTTCTTGAAGCTTTCGAAGGCCTTGGTTTCCATGAAAAGCAGCCTAGCAAGCTGGTGAAGACGGGCCTCGGCCCTACTACTCTGATGATAGTGGTACGCCCACTCGCTGGCTGAGTAAAAAGCGAAAGGGTATTTTCGAACAAGCCTTTGCCTGAACGTCGGCCGGCCAAGCGGAGACTGGACGAAAGACCATAGGACTGGGTTCATCAAGTATACTAAGCAGATGCAAGCAACGTCGATGTTGGCTTCCGCATGCTCAATACTGAAGTTTTGTGCTCTGGATTGCCGAATCCGGTCTGATTGAAGGTACTCTTGAACGGAATAGTGGGCGATGCGCACAGTGGCCGTGTTGTAGTCCTGACCGACCTCATTCTCCTCATCCATCTCGTCTTCCTCATGGATCTCGTCGTCATCATCGTCATCAAGATCGTGGACGATGCGCCCGGTAACCTGGTTGTAGTTTTCGTCGACCTCTTTCGCCTCATGGACCTCGTCGTATATGTCTATGTTGATAGATGGCGGGCTGATGTACGTTCGCAGGCCTATCTCAACGAGTCCCGGGCAGATGTGCCTGATGTCATCCGCGCTCATCAGCCTGCTGTCCTTGTTGAATTGTGGATCCTCGCCAAGTTCTACAGCAATCCCGTCGATTAGTTCAGCGACCGACAATGGCCTTCTTGCGGTGCAGAGAAGCGTCAGAATCCGTTTCGCATCGGCCGCTGACTCTTCGTCAATATTCAAGAAAATCCGCTCATATGTGTCGTCCAATGTCCGAGGAAGCGACTTGAGAAGACGATCAAGCCGAGTTTTGCTGCCAGGACACGTTTCCAATGCTATGAACTGGCATTCTACCCAACGGAATCTGTAATGGACAAGTCAGTGCGACGCTGCCCGCCAGTGGCGGAGGACTAGGGGGTACATTACACGCCCTTTGCGCCTTCTGTGAGAGCTTGTTCGATCTCGTCGTAATACCTCTCCCACTTGCGGAGTCTCCGGTTGTTCCTTAGATGAGATGAAACAAAAGACCGAATATCTTCATCAATGTGTTCATTTCTCATCGGCAAATCCTGGTCAGGATCCAGGGGAACCAAATGCTCTCGGATATCTTGTTCATCGCGACTCGTGACGAGCAGGTGGAATCCCGGCTCACCCCATCCTCGCATATCCTCCAGAGTCTGAAATAGGTTACCTCTATGTTTTTGCCGAGGGCTCTCGTCCAAAGCATCTAGGACAACATAGGCATGACCAAACATTCGCACCACCTGGCGGAGACAGTTTAGGTATGCGTGGTCAGGAGGAGTGGCAGTCTTGTATCTCTCATAAATATCCAAAAGAGGTGAATTCTGGTCCTTGAGCTGACCGACAAATTGTAGTATTAAAGCTCGGAGCATGGCGGAGGTATCCTGTTTAGACTCGTCGTTGAATGTAAAGTAGAAGAATGCAATACCAATGGCCGGGTTCGACCCCTTGTGGCGAAACGTGTGCTGGATAATGGTCGACGAGAGCACCGACTTGCCGCAGCCAGCGAATCCGTTGACCCAGAGAAACGAATTCGGCGTATTGAGCCACGTCGTAAATGTAGCAGATTTGACGAACCATAGTCCAGTCCGCGGGTGTTTCTTTTTGCACGCTTCGTTGTAGTTGACCGAGGCATCAGGAGCTTTCAGCCAGCCTTGAATCTCGGACGATATCTGGTCGGCCCTTAGGAGCTCGAGGATGGCTTTGCTGTCCTCAATGTCATCATGAATATTGCTGGTATCCTGCTGCTGCAGGACTTGCAGGGCTAGACTGAGATTGGCACATATCGCATCGACGTCTTCTTCAAGCTTTTGCAAAGTGCTTTGTCGGAAAGGGTAGGCGACGCGACGCCCAACGGCCCGGGCGGCATCCCAAACGCTACTTGAGGGAGTATTGGTGAACTTCTTGGTCTCTTGTTGGAGTTCATCGATAACGCCTTCGCAATCGTAAATCAAGGACTCGATTCTGTGACGTAGACTTTGCTCGTCAGGCTGAAACCTCCGGTTCTTTACCTGGTCGTCCAGGAGCTTGAGAATATCGAGGAGATGGCCTAGGCTCTTTAGTGTATGGTCCAAGTCGGATTTTCGGTCCTTGCAGGCCGTGTAGTAGTCCACCAAGCCTTGGACAACCTGAATGCCGAGCGAGATGACGCTCACAGCGAGCCCCGCTGACTCTGCCATTCTGGCAGAGCGGATATATGGGACCCTTAGGAGTCAAGACGAGAAAGTGAAGGGATTTTCGGGCAACAGGTATGAAGCAACCATCTCAGTCCCGAGGTTGCCTGCGAAGTATAAATGCGGGGCAGGTCTGGGCATGCTTCAGGCCCCAATATACTAGTAGTAGTGTTCCCAATCGTCCAATGGCGTCTTCCTGCGCCTTGCAATACTACTGAGAACGCCTAGGCAAGGCTGCATGGCAGAGCCCCGTGCTTATCTACCCCTGGCTCCTACACATGCGCTGAACTTCTCTCATGGTGCTGCAGCACGGGTTTCAGTAAACAACACCGGCAAGCGTCATTTCTGCCGAGGTTCCCCTGCGAAGAAGGCTACTGAACAATGCCGAGATGAGCTCAAATCAACTTCCATGCCCCATCCTTATGCTCGATCCGGATCTCCCTATTTTCGTCGATGCTCCTCCGCCCTGCTTCAAGGATAGCCGTCGTGGCGATTGTGTTCCTCAACGTCGGTAACCCTTTAGCGTCCAGGTCCGCAGGCTTCAACTCACCGGCATTGATAGCCCGACAGCCGTCGACGAATTTCTCCATCGAGACATAGCCATACCCGCTCTGACCATTGAAGTTGCCGTCCTCATCGGGAGCGTACCGCATGTAAAATGGGTTGTACCACATCAGCTGGCCGGCCGCATCCTCTGCGACATCGTAGCCCCGCTTAGCCTGGTTGATGTTGATCTCGCCGTCTTTGGCGAGGTAGTGGAAATATTGATTCGAGTGCACACCCGCTCTTTGCGGTGCAGTCCACGAGGCTGTGTATACGCCAGTGGCGTGCTTGGTCGGGTCGTCCATTTGTTGCCAGTGCACCAAAAGCGAGATGGTATCTTCGGTGGCCTCATGGCATCCAAGACTCGTGGCGACTCCCTTAGAGGCTGAAGCGGATACCTTGACAGGGACATAGCCCAGCTGTGATACCATGGAATCGCAAATATCGACATGGTGGCTGTTTAAATAGTACGAGATGTCCGAATCAACACCTGCCCAGGCCTTGAAGGTCTCGAGCTGCGATTTTGGTTGCGACATGTAGCTGTAGAAATAGTTGAAGTCGCCCAGCTTCCGGGCGCGGAACCTTGCATCGGCGTATGCGGGGTCGTAGCGCTTATGGTGCTCGATGTAAACATAGACCCCATGCTTCTCGGCTGCTTCGAGGAGGGCAAGATGGTGCTCAAGAAGTTTGACTGCGGGCTTGGTAATCATGACGTGGATCCCCCGTTCGATGGCGTAGAGGGCGATAGGGTAGTGAGTAGTGTCGGGAGTGAAGATCGTGATAGCATCGCCGGGTTTGAGCGCATCAATGGCGGCCTTGTATGCGTCGGGGTCCTTTACATCATCGGCCGGGTACGAGTCGAACGACGTGTCCAGGTTGTTGTATGCCAGCGTGATATTTTTGTGAAGATGCTCCCCTTGACAGAGAGGTCAGCATAATGGACTTTGTCCACGGTAATCCGGGAAAGTGAGCTTACGGATCGCTGGAAATTTGGTCCCGTTGACGCCTACCATTCCCAGCTTGCCAACCTTCCCCCTCCGGCGGAGGTCGAACATGGACAAACCTACCACTCCGACCTTCTTGTCTGAGCCGGAAGCTCCACCACCGACAAAGCCGGTGGTGTACTCGCCGGTGCCGACCTTGATCTGTCTCAGCCAGAGTCCACAGGCAGCGGTGGGCAGGATCTTACCATTAAGACGTTAAGGGGTGCCATTTCTGCTGAGACTGCGAGGGCAGTACTTGTTGTACGTCGAGACTCGGACGGAGTGAGGTTAAGAAACAGAAGGAACAGACCGATTATCGCGTTATCAGGTCAGGTTGAGGAATAGAAGCGACAAAAATGTGATCTTATGCTTAGGATCGAAACTGAGGAAATAAACATTCCGGTCTCATGTCCCTTGCATCTACCAAGGAAAATTTCCATTGCGTTGTCTGTTCCGGAAGAATTCTATGAGGGGTAGTTTGCTGGGCGGAGAGGGGCAATTGGAGAAATGTCGGCCGTTGAAGCCATATCCGTAAGATACTTCGTACGGATACCTCCAGCTGACATTGCGAAGATACCTTACTGTACTGCCGTATTGTGCCAAATATGCATACAATCTTGTAGTACGCCTGGCATCGCGCAACGGCACAAATAATAGCCCACGGCGACGGAAGACTGAAATCTTCCCGGCCATTTCCCTTCCTGCGGTAGAAAGGAAAGAAGGAACCTGGGAAACGACATAGGGGAGGTCAAGGGCCCCACCCACGAATTGGAGAGAGGTGAGACAAGGCCCACTCATCTCAATCGAGACCCACCCCCACGCGATCTCCCCGCATTCAAGGCAGGGGCATCTGGAGCACAGACAGTGGGACCGAGTACCTCCAGCAACAACGACATCTGCTCATCAGTTGCATCGCACTTGCTGCAATGTAGCCCGTCCCCAGTCTCAGGCTAAATACCATTATTAATTCTATTGCTCACCTTTACTCTATTGCTTTCATGCCAGAGGAGGCGGCTCAACCGGTCAAGACTCAAAGACTCGCTGACTCCAGCAGTGTCGACGAAGCAGGTCTCGGCTCTCCGGGTTTGGTCATCGGTTGTTGCAGACTTGACTTGATTGGAGGAAATTCTTTTTCCGTTTCACACCGAGCACACGAGCGCAATCCCGGGAGCCGATCGTGTCCCCACAGCCGTGAATAGAAACCCCAAAGAGAAATGGCCTTTATTGTACAGCTAATTCAGAATCCATTGATCAGTATCTGCAACGTACTGTACTAAGATGGCGAATAGAGACATATGCGCATGTAGATGAGCACAGTTGTCAGCAAGAAAAACTGTTGGTCTACATGCGTCGTTTCTGTCGAATGCTATACTACAGCAGGTTGCTGTCAGCTTCTCGCTTCGCTATGTGTAAACCCGAGCCGAGCTGGAGGTCCTAGCTACCCGACACTACGTGCTCTCGGCACTAAGGATGGAAGGAGGGTAGTTCTAGCAGTTTATTGACAAGCTCTTTGCAGCTCCCCATCAGCGGCACCCATGTGTCATGTGGGATCGAGTTGCCCAATCGGCTGGGTTGCGTCCGCAGAAGCTTGCTTTTCCCTACCGCTTTCCCTCTTAGGTTGCTTCCAAACAATACCCCGCCATTCTGCCACGGTACCCCCCTTCCTTCCGCTTGCAGGTAGAAACGTCACCGCCTGTACTGCAGACCCAATTTTGTCCTAATGTCGGATTTCTTCTCCTTCCTTCTCATCTAAGTGGTTGAGAGGGTCCTTTCGCAGCTGTAGCTGTAGGCTCAGATACTGGGCTCTCGCACGCTTTCCTGCTATCAGATCATGCTTTCTCTCCATACTCCGTCAGGGGGACCATGACCTATCTGGGTCAGGCGCCCCTCTTCCTAGCTTTCCCCCTCCCCAGAGTGTGGCAACCACCAATACCCCCTGACAGGCGTTCAGGCCATACCCAACATCGAGTCTCCACCCATTATCCGGCCCGAGATCAAGATTCTGTCAAGTGATTTCGGGAGCGGCTCGGCACATTGGATTACCTCCAGCTGGCACTCCATTAGCTCAAGCAACAGTTCACGGCTTCAGGCTGTTTCCACCATCCTGTCTCAGGGTTCATGGAAGCATGCCTATGTGGTGACTGAGCATGGGCAGCCCTTGGGTTAGGTAGCGGTGTTGCTTGGCTAAACCCAACCGCTTGGATTGTGTTCCCCGGTTCCGCCAGAAGACATGCATTTATTTCCTGTCAGCAAATCTGCTTTCAATGTAGGTGCGTGATTTCTTTTCCTCCGTCGATCGTTGACGCTAGGTATGCTGCCTCATATTGGATCCGCCGGTAGCTGGAACATTAGCCCCGTCCAGCCTGGTCTCTGGGCACGGTAGGTTCCAGGTTCCCTCCCCTTCCCGCTTCAAATCCCCGAATCCGGGGCAAGACCGACCCTCACAGGCCAGTGCCTGGTTGGGGTACTTCACGGAAGACTCAAATAGAACCCTGTGACAACTCAGGACCCCACTGGGTTGTTCCTATTAGGTCATGGAACGGCTGTTGTCCGCTTTACGGCCCTCCCTTTCCTTCAAAAACAGCCGTCTTGCCTTTTTCACAACATTCTTCTCTCCCACCCTCCATTATTTGACCCCCTCACGTGCTTTATATACCTCTTGTGTCCCTCCCTCCTCTCTACCCCCAAGCTCCGGTTGTATTGCTCGCCGTGTCCCTCCTCTTCGAACCATCATGACCGTCTCCAATGGCAATGCCAATGGCCGGCCGTCCGCTCGGAGGCCTCTTCCCTGTGGCATATACGCCCCCACCATGACTTTCTTCGACTCGGAGACCGAGGACCTCGACATCCCCACCATCAAAAAGCACGCCGAACGCCTTGTCAGGGACGGCCTAGTAGGCCTCGTTACGATGGGTTCCAACGGAGAGGCAATCCACTGCACCCGGGAAGAGAAGGTGGCGGTGACCAGGGCGACCAGGGAAGCATTAGACGCGGCCGGCTTCACCGAGACACCCATCATCATCGGGGCCACCGAGGGCAGCGTGCGTGGGACCATCGAGCTGTGTAAGCTCGGTGAGAGCGCAGGCGCTGACTACGCGCTGCTACTGCCGCCGTCCTACTTCCGCTTTCTGATGGACGAACAGGCCATCCACGACTACTTTGTCGCCGTGGCCGACGAGAGCCCGCTTCCTTTGATCTTGTACAACTACCCGGGTGCCGTGGCCGGCATCGACATGGACTCGGACCTGCTCATCCGACTGGCTGCCCACCCCAACATCGTCGGCACAAAGTTCACATGCGGCAACACAGGGAAGCTGACCCGGGTGGCGCTGGCAACAAACGCCAAGACGCCCTGGTCCGAGGGGTCCGGCTACATGGCGTTTGGCGGCATGTGTGACTTCACCGTGCAGACGCTCGCCAGCGGCGGCAGTGGCATCATTGCCGGCGGCGCCAACGTCATGCCAAAGGTCTGCGTCAAGGTCTGGAACCTGTATGCGGAGGGCAAGACGGAAGAGGCCATTGCCCTGCAACGCACTCTCTCCAAGGGCGACTGGGTCCTGACGAAGTCCGCCATTGCTGGCACCAAGCAGGCAATTCAGAGCTACTTTGGCTATGGCGGGTACCCGCGGCGGCCGCTAAAGCGATTGGATAAGGCCCGCGTGACGGCTATTGAGGAGGGCGTGAGGGAGGTGATGGAGTTGGAGAAGTCGTTGTAGCCACGACTATGGTTGCTCCCATTCGCTTCATTGAGCGAAGGCTTGGAGGTTCTTCCATCTTGTTACCAGCAGCTTAGGATGCTGGCAGATAGAATAGGGGTGTGATGGCCTGTGATAAGGCGAATCACTGGACGGAAAAGGCTCGAGCGGACGATCCATATATCATGCATATGAGGGTGAGGGTGCTATTGTTTGCCAAAGCCAGCTTTCTGCCCCTTGAGTGGCTTGAGGGGACCTGTAGCCAATCAGAATTTTGGGGGAAAAAGTCAAGGTAGGCAGTGGTTTATATGCCTGGCCTGCGAAGAGGTTCTACAAGCCACGAATAGGCTCAAGGCATTTTACATACTGACTGGGAGCGGAACATTGTCATATAACGTACATGATCTCTCAGACTCTCAAAACGAAACACTTGTTTTGTGGTGAAATTCATTAATTGGTGTATTCGGTACCAGATATTCGAGGCCCATGGATCCGGCACAACCTTCAATCCCGGAGGTTTGCCCGTGTGCAGCCCTCCCATCCCTCTCAGGGCCAATCTTCCACCAACCTGGTTCCACATCGGCTCTTTAAGATAACGAGAACACCAGTATGTGCATCATGTTCATCATTCAGACGCTTGTCTCTAGCAACCGCCAGCCACTTCTAGTCTGAACGCCTTTCTCGAAAACCCACATGCAGTATGTATTCCATTTCTCTTCCCCAACCGAGCATGTATGGGTTAAGATTGCTCTTGGCCACTCAAAGCCTGGTTAGTATATGCATTCATCAGTCAACAGTCGCCGGGTGACCGCCAGACCATCTCGGAGTCACAGCCACCGGAGGCTCAACTCCCAAACAACCCCCTAGACCTTAAACCTCCTCGGATCCAACTTCTCCAAATCTTTCAGGTCGGGCCCCCAATCGTCACTCACATCCCCAAAGATCATACCGGCCATCAAGTCCCCCGTCGCGGGGCCGTTTTGGATGCCCCAGCAGGTGTGCCCCGCAGCAACCCACAGTCCTTTGACAGACGTCTGGCCGATCAGGGGCCCCCGCTCCTCCCCGAAACGCATGTGCCGCGGCAAGTAGCAGGCTTGTCGCGCCTTAACCGGAGCAGACGCCAGCGCGGGCGAGATTGTGCCAATGTAGGCTATCAGGTCGTCGCACTGCGCGAGGTCCGTCTGGACGAGATCGGCCGTGGGCGGGAGGGGTATTGACGAGTCGGGTTCGCCTGGTGATTTGGAAGGATGAAATGTTAGCCTGTCGTCTGGGATGGGAAGGGATAGGAGGAGGCATACCACATGCGTAGACTTCCTTGTTGGGGCGCGCGTAGATCTCCGGGTCGACATGGCCCCTGTGTCTACGCTTCTGGTTCTTGGCGGCCCGGTGGTCGGGCACATAGTCTGGGGGCAGCTGAATGTCGGTAAAGACGGCGTAAGGGGAGACGTCAGCTTCAAACACGACGCTGTGGGCGCGCAAACCCTCGACTCGGGTTCGCGGGAGGATTTTGCCCGTCCAAGGCCCTGCCGCCACGACCACGTCCGTGACATTGTCGATGGTGCGTGTCTCCCCTGTTTCCCGGTCCTCGTACTCGACGCTCTGCACACCATCGGACTTATCGTCGTTGATCTTGGTTACTTTGGCGCGCAACCGAATGTCGACACCCTTCTCTCGCGCGAGCTCCGCAAGGGCGGTGGTGAAATGGAAGGGGTGTACCTGGGCGGTTTCTGTGCACCCGGGTCGGCCCATCTCTTGGTAGTATTGAACTAGACTGCCATCTATCCAATCTAGGTCTGATGGTAACGGAGATTCCTTGAGCAGGTCCGCGGCTTTTTCGTCTTGCTTGGGGAGTTTCTCCCAGTCCCTGTCTTCTTCTTGATCCGTGGCAACGCTTTGGATGGGAAGTTCGTCATTCACCCCATTTTCCCCCCCTTTCAGAGGCGGTTTTGGTTCGTACGCCCTTGGTTTAATGTCGGTGGTCTTGACTATTGCCTCCAGACTTCCGCATCCCACGCGGCGGTACCCCCAACGTTCGGCGCCATTGTGATCGGCGGCGAGTTTCCGGTGCAACTCGTACGATCGGCGTACAAGACAACCAGGGTATGCCCATAAAGCCAATAAACCGCCAGCCTTACCGGATGCGCCAGCAGCAATAGCCGTGGCTTCAAGCAAGGTGATGGTGTGCAGGGCGGGGTTAAACTTGGGATGGCGAGTCAGAAAGTAGGCTGTGGTGCATCCAATGATGCCGCCGCCTGGAAGAGTATAGAATGTTAAACTTTCAGTTCTTGGCAGGGGGGAGAAAGTTTGAATCAGAGAAACAACGTACCAACGATGACGATATTCTTCTTTGGTACCGCATCCATGATTGCGACTGTGTCCCCGGCTCCCAACAGATGAAGGTAGGTTTGCGCGGATTGGAGAATGGATTATGATAGCTAAGGCACCTTCTAAACCAAAGCTGTCTATACCATCGCTCTATGTTAGCTGCCTTCTCTAGACAGGACGATCCAGTCGCTTCCCGCCGCAATTGCAATGCTGCTGATGAGGTAAGTTGCTGCTGCAGGTCCCCGGTGGGCCCGGTTGATGCTGTCATGGTGTAGATCAAAACCCCGCTGCTTGGCCCAAGCTTCTTCTGTTGATCTCATTTGCTGTGAGTGGGGATACTTTCACATGGCATGGCGGCGTCATGAATTGACTGTAGCGCCGTCATTCCCAACGCGAGTTGATCGGAAAGATCAAAGGATGAAGTTGTCTTCATTCCGACATGAAGCTCATAGGTTCAAGGTCGGCGTACACTACCTGACTACATCCACAGTAGAGGCTGTGTTTCAGTATTGCATGAGCTTTTTAATTGGCAAGGGGATCAAACATAGAAAGCATAGCGCCTCTCGCCAAAACGTCGCCGCATGACAGGGATCTTGCAAGTTCCATAATTGTACAGTACATGTCTGTACGAAGCACAAGTACTGGATCGATCTAAATTAGTACATCAGGCAGCGCTTTCCATATCACCACCAGAAGATTCTGCGGCGACTGCTTTGTACAGGACTGACTGCAATGTCCCATGAAAGGTTTCGGCAGGACCCGGCTCACCTCGAGATCCTGAGTGTAACTTGAAAATTTCCTTGATCGGGCGCCAATGGGATCTCCCGGATGTGGCAGTAGGGTCCAGAGAGCATGATCGGGAATCGGTTTGGGAAGGTTGACCGGCCCCACACGGCCACACCTGAGGTCCATCTTTAAATGGTAACAAACCTCCCTTGAGTCTTGACGGACGCTCCTCTTTCTTGATGCTGTTCCTCCCACCGTCCATGAATGCCACACGCCAGATAGCATCGCCAATTTCACGCACGAGACTATCGAGGGCAAGACTCGTACCGACAACCGTATTGCTGCCTCTTCGCCGGTCGCATTCATTGACGCAGCGCCACACCGGACTTGTGAGACAACCCTGGGCATTTCGGACAGTTCCCCACAGAGCTTTTGCAGCAATGGCGTCTGCAACCAGTTTTTATGACTTCAAACCTCTCGACAGTACGTTGACCGCCCTTCCCCTTGCAAGAGCCAGCCATGCCATCCTAAGTCTAGTGACTCTAGTGCTAACAACTCCTCAAGAGACGGGCAAAGAGGTGCCACTGTCAACCTACAAGAACAAGGTCGTCCTAGTCGTCAACACGGCCTCCAAGTGCGGCTTCACCCCGCAGTATGAGGGGCTTGAGAAGCTGTACAAGTCGGTGCGGGAGAAGCACCCAGACGACTTTGTCATCCTCGGCTTCCCCTGCAACCAGTTTGGCGGGCAAGAGCCGGGCACGGACGAGGAGATTCAGCAATTTTGCCAGGTCAACTATGGCGTGACGTTTCCCATCATGCAAAAAGTCAACGTCAACGGGGATGGTGCAGCCCCACTCTTCCAGTGGCTCAAGACCGAAAAGCCTGGCCTTCTGGGCTTGAAGATGATCAAGTGGAATTTTGAAAAGTTTCTGATCGGCAAGGATGGGAAGGTCAAGGGCAGGTGGGCGTCTACAACGAAGCCCGAGTCATTGGAGAAGACCATTTTGGAGGAGTTGGAGAAGTAAGGCCGCATTGTAAGAGGTGTTGTAAGAGGTGGTGTGGTTTTTGTTGTTTGGGTCTAATGTCTATGAGGAAGCGTGGCGCTGGGAGTGACGAGGTTGAGAGCTCACACGATGGCTTTATGAGGGCGCGAAGCAGATATCCTCTACCCACTTGTGGCATCCAGCTTTGGCTGGAAGATTGTTACCTATCCATCTATACATAGTAGATAGGTAGGTTTGGTCTGAGTCCTGGGATACAGGGGCGGCCAGGAGGTAATACGCTGCTTAACTGTTTCATTTGACCAGCGCGGGAGCACAGTTCTTGATGTTTCACTTATTATTCACTGTGACCGACTCTTTTGTCACTCTTGTGCTAAGCTCCTTGAAGTAATTCTTGGCACAGTGAGGCATGTAAACATACCTTAGGTACATACCTAGTAGGCTAGTAACGTGCCTTACTAAGGTAGTATGGCTTTGAGGGCGAGAATCAACTGGCGGGGTAAGTGTAGACTACTGCACGCCCAGTTGGCCACATCAACTCTCCAGAAACCAAGTTCATCCATTTACTCCAGGAATTGCTTACCCAGTATTTAGGATCAACACAAATCTCATAGACGCAAAACATGGCTTGCGGCTCCGGTTGCTGCGGACCCCCTGCAGCGGACTCTACGGTCCGCGAGCCGTCCCCGCCCATAGCGACCGAGGCTCAGTGCAAGGACAAGTGCTGCGACGCCCCGGAGGAAGAAGAGTGTCAAGGCAGCGTCGAAAGTGAAGCTCAAACTGAGCTTGACAACGATTGCTGCGCTCCTCAACCCGTCGAGGTTGGCTGCAACAAGGGCTGCTGCTCTGTGCTAGATCCAAAGCGTCCCGATGGCTACTCGATTCCCGACCCTACAGAATCCGGTTGCAACAAGGGTTGCTGCTCCCAGCCGCAGTTAACACAGCCCGATGACACGACCGTGCCCAGCTGCTGCGAGGGCAAACCCGCTCCATGTTGCGATCAGTCTTGCCTGGACCGCCTGGCGCTGCGCGACTGTGGCAGCTATGTACCCGACCTTGCTACGTCGCCTGGTGAGCCGGCCAGCCCCCTACGCCTTTCGCAACCACTCTCTGCTAACCTCATCATCGATTCCCAGCGTCAGCCAGCTCCGGCTCAACCTTTGACTGCCACAAAGGCAGCAATGGCAAGCCTTGTGCCGACCATGTTCGTAGCGTGCGTAAGACGTACGCTGAACGGCTGGAGGCTCTCGGCTGTATCTGTCGTGCCCTGATCGCTCTTGGCCAGGAGTCTTGCTGCAGCCCTCAACGTCCCTCGTCTGCGAAGAGCGCTCGCCGTCGCTCCAAGGAGACAGTGGCCCGTTCGTGTGCTTCTGTCGACTCATGCTGCGCTGCGAGCGGTGCCAGTAGAGACGCTTGCTCCGCGAAACGGCAACCAAATTCCAGGCGGGTATGCTGCCCGGGCAACGAGAATGAGAGCAAGTCTCAATCCGCCGTCGAGAAAGTCTTTCCGGCCGATGCTTGCTGTGCGGAAGAGCGAGGCTGCGTCCCTCTTCAGAAGGAGAAGGCAGCCGTCTCCGGCACAGCTCATGCCACCGACCTCGAGAAGGTATTGCCATACAACGATAAAGAGCATGTTATTCTCAGCATATCAGGAATGACTTGCACCGGTTGCGAGACCAAGCTCGTTCGCACTCTCGGCACTCATCCGTCTGTCAGGAATTTGAAGACTTCTCTTCTCCTCTCTCGAGCCGAGTTTGACCTGGTCGGTGCAGCATCTGCGGCTGAAATCATGAAGTATCTTGAGCGAACGACCGAGTTCAAATGCGAGAGAGTCATGAACCGTGGTTCGAACCTCGATATTGTCGTTCCTGACGGCGATGCTGCTGCTTTTGTCGACCAACACTGGCCCGACGGGGTCACGAGCATCACGATCGTGGATAAGGAGACCGTTGCCGTCAATTTCGATGCCAAAATCGTCGGAGCCAGAGATCTCATCACACGCGGATGGGGTGGTGGTCCAGTCAGTCTTGCCCCGCTGCGGCCAGATCCCACGCTCGAAACCGGCAGCAAGCACGTCCGCCATCTCGGTTACATGACTCTGCTCTCTATCTGCCTTACGGTCCCAGTTCTGGTCATGGCGTGGGCCCCTCTTCCCGAGCGCCACCTCGAGTATGGCTCCGCATCCCTCGCCCTTGCAACCCTCGTTCAGTTTTTCATTGCCGGTCCTTTTTACCCAAAGGCATTTAAAGCCCTCGTGTTCTCAAAAGTCATCGAAATGGACCTGCTTGTTGTGTTGAGCACCAGCGCCGCCTATATCTTTTCGGTTGTCTCGTTCGGCTACCAGGTTTCGAACCAACCGCTGTCGACAGGCGAGTTCTTCGAGACGAGCACTCTCCTCGTCACACTCATCATGGTTGGCCGATGGACGGCGGCGTTCGCCCGGCAGAAGGCTGTGGAGTCTATCTCCATCCGGTCCCTTCAAACCGCAACTGCGTTGCTAGTGACCGACGATGGTGAAACCGAGATTGACGCCCGGCTTCTTCAGTACGGCGATGTCTTTAAAGTCCCTCCTGATTCGCGGATCCCGACCGATGGCACGGTGGTTTCTGGCTCGTCTGAAGTTGATGAGTCCATGATTACCGGAGAGTCCCGGCCGGTTGAGAAGTATACCAAGTCTCCAGTGATTGCTGGATCAGTCAATGGTTCGGGAACCCTGTATGTTCGGTTGACACGACTCCCTGGTGATAACACAATCGACGCTATCGCCGGCATGGTTGACCAAGCCAAGCTATCGAAGCCGAAAATCCAGGATATTGCAGATCGCGTCGCGAGCTACTTCGTCCCGGTCGTTATCACCTTGACGATCATAACCTTTTGTATCTGGATCGCCATCGGAATCAAAATACGCGGGCAATATGGGCGGGAAGCTACTATTCAAGCAATCACCTTCGCCATTACGGTCCTGATTGTATCGTGCCCGTGCGCGATTGGCCTCGCAGTTCCGATGGTGATCGTTGTCGCCGGAGGTGTTGCCGCTAAGCGAGGCGTAATCTTCAAATCGGCCGGGGCTATCGAGGTCGCGTACGAGACGTCGCATGTTGTGTTTGACAAGACCGGCACCATTACGGAGGGCAAACCGAGTGTGGTACGAGAGTGGTACAGCAGCAACGAGCAAAATGCGAACCAAGCGCTGCTCCTGGGCCTGTTGGAGGGCATCAAGCACCCCGTCTCCGTTGCTGTAGTCAGACACCTTCAAGCGCAAGGAGTGAGGCCTTCCCAAGTGACCAATCAAAAGACGCTGACTGGACGGGGTGTCGAAGGCACCGCAACGGACTGCGGGAGGGCTCTCCGAGCAGGCAACTCTGGCTGGCTCGGCCTTGGGTCGGATGCGGTGGTACAGTCAATCCTGTCAGAGGGACACACCGCCTTCTGCTTCACCGTCGATGGCTCCGTGGCTGCCGTTTTCGGCCTCGAAGACACGATCCGTCCTGATGCCGCCTCGACGGTTAATACATTGGTTGACTGCGGCGTATCGGTCCACATTGTCTCGGGCGACGACGATGGCGCCGTATGCTCAGTCGCAGCCCGGTTGAATATTGCCGAGTCAAACGTTCGCTCCCGCTGCACGCCGGCGGACAAACAAACGTACGTGCAGGCTCTGCTAAAAAGCGTTCCGTCTCCGAGCAACGGCAAGAAATCAGCGGAGCCAGTGGTTATATTCTGTGGTGACGGTACCAACGATGCGGTTGCACTGGCCCAAGCCACCATTGGGGTGCACATGAATGGGTCTGAAGGAGGCACCGACGTCGCCAAATCGGCGGCCGATGTGGTCCTTTTACGTCCAGCCCTTGGCGGGATCCTGACGATGATTGCCGTAAGCAAGAAGTCGATCCATAGAATCGCCTTCAACTTTGGCTGGAGCTTCGTTTATAACTTGTTTGCCATTCTTCTCGCGGCGGGCGCATTTGTCAGCGTCAGCGCGAGGATCCCACCCGAGTTCGCCGGATTGGGCGAGCTTGTCAGCGTCCTGCCGGTTATTGCGGCCGCCGTGATGCTGCGATGGTCCAAGATCTGAAGCTCTTGAATGCTGGGGTCCGGACTGGCCACATCAATTGGAGGCATCAAAGGATTTGCGAGGAATGCACACTCTGATGGTGACGTAGACTCATCTTGACGGGAAATTGGGAGATGTATTGTGCCAAGGGCGAAGGGAGGGTTTGACATAATGCGGATGCAGGGAGGCTGGGAGGAGAAAGATACGGCAACGGGGAATCGGCCTCGGATCGGGATGGATCAAGATATGTCAATAGAAAACCCCGGCCGGCCGCAGCCGCACTGCTTTCCCGAATCCGGACGGGGCCATTTCATTCCGGGCAAGCCACGCGAGTTCCCGGCATGGCTGCGCCGAAACTACTGTACGCCAGTTTCTAGTTCCTAGAGCTATTTTGATGCCGCTGTTTGGCGTCGTCAGCTGCCATGATTGGGCTTCGTGTGGTAAAGACCTACGTTAAAATTTATCCCTTGCTGACAGCCTGAATGATCTCCCGAGTTATGCATGCGCTGAATCAAGTAGGTTAGATGTTACGCAATGTAGTTTGACGCGCGGTTGCCAAGGCAGCCGATGTTCTGCACTTGACGTTAGTGCAATGTAACCCGGCTGGAACTACCGGCGGCGGTATCAAGCGAGCATCACTAGGGACTGCTTCATGATGTTTGCCTGGCGCATCTTGATCCCAAACTGTTAAATGTGTCGGCAGCACCTCGGTCTAGCGCCCAAAGGCCGCCGTCAGCACGGCTTTGTTAAGTTTTCGGGATGAACTGAGGCAGCCGCAACCCCAGAGTTCAAGGCTGGAAATGCCGGGCAACTGATTGGATGAGAGAAGGCATTTATCACCCGTGGCGCAGAGGCCAACGGTTTCTGGGCTCGCTGGGTTCGGAAAGCGTCATTGTTGTGGCTCTGCAGCCTGTGTAACTGATAATCCCTCCACTAAAACCGGGGGGCATAGCCGTCGCCTGGGCAAAATCGTGGCGGCTGTGTTGGGATCCATCAGGATGCATTTTTGTCCCTGCCCTGGAACCCTTGCGAGCTGACCTGTTTGAGAATCCGTAACCGCCCGTCTCTCACTTTCTCGCACTCGCTCGCTGTCCTCTACCTCCTTTCAAGATCGACTGATAGTTGATGCTTTGTGTTGATTTCTGCTCTTGTCCTTACCTTACTGTCGCTGTTTTACTAGCCTTTGTCCCTCGAGAGTGATCTGCCTACCGAGATTTCTTCGGGCGCGCAATCAGTGTCGACGTCACTGCACATCTGACAGCCTGCCAGCCGCCAGGCACGATTTTAACCTTTGAGAGAAACATCTCCAGCTGTGGGAGGCATACGTGCGCATCGGACCGGCGAACAGCATGTGGGAGGACTTTGAGTTTGATGCCGAAAGGATACCAGCTTTTAAGCTGGGTTTCCACCTTGCCCAGGTTCTCTTTGCATTCGTATTGTGGTGTCTCGAGATCGCCGTGTTTCGAGCACAAGATGCAAGGATTGTGGGCAACAATGGTTGGACCTTCGCAGTGGTGCGTACGCCGACACAATTCAATTACATGGTAGATGGTATCCCGAACGCAAACTAACCGCATCGTCCCTGAGCAGTTCTTCCTCTCGGTACCAGCCTGGATCTACCTGACCATGGCGCCCCGATTCCCGCGCACGCGAAAGATTGCCGAGCCGCACGCCATGCTCATCGTGGACGCCGTCTTCACAGTCATCTGGCTCTCCGCGTTCGCTACCCAGGCCGCCTACAACACCGCCAACCTCTGCGGCACGGCTTGCGCCATTAGCAAGGCCATCGTGGGCCTGGGATTCTTCGTCTTGTATGCCTGCCGCCCCTTAGCTTTCTGACCATATCATATCCCGTTTCACTAACATCAGCAACCTATAACAATAGCCTCTTCTTCTGCGTAACCACTTTCTTCAGCATCTGGACGCTGAAATACTACCAATGGAACAACCGGCTGCCGGGCTACGACCGCGCGCAACTCCCCGCGCAGAACATCGACCCTGACAAGGCCGCCTTCTCCCTTGCGCCGCACGACGAGGAGGCGTACGCGCCCGTCCACATGAACGACCACGACCACGACCACGATCATGACCATGACCATGACGATCCGTATGGCGGGCCCGGAGGAGCCGGGCGATCGGATTACTCGGACCCGTACGGTGGCAGCGTCGTTGGTGGTCCCGCGCGGTCAGACTACTCGGATCCGTACGGCGGGGCAGGGGGTAGCCAGGTCGGCGGCAGCAGCATCGTGAGCGGCTACCAGGATAACCCGTTCCGCACGCACGAGGCGGCGGCGAGCCCGTTTGATCACGACACCGAGTACCAGTCGGGCAGAGTGTCGGCTGCTGGGGGACGGTACGCGGCGCCGTCGGCGGCTGATGAGTTTGAGGATCACACGCATCCCGTGACATTTCCCTCGGCGAACTATGATCGGATTGAGAGGTAGTAGGGCTCAACGACGTGGTTTGGTTTAAAGGGTAGAGTATAATGTTCGATGGCGCACATAAAACGTGGTTGGTTAGTGCAGAAAGACGACTATGTCGGATGGGATCCAGGAGAACCACGGGTTGGTGGCCGGATGGGTTGGTTTAGTATTTGGGCTTCTGGTTTTTGCTCCGTCTTCTGCGTTTCCTATGCCCGGCCGGGCTACACTGGGACAGCGGGCTTGGCTTCTTATCTTGCGGTGTTGCTGGCGTCTTGATAGAACAGAGAAGTGATACCATAAACATGGATGATTTAAAATTTTCATCGGTTTTATATGACCCTTTCCCGGTCCAAAACGCCAGACGCCAGCATGCATACCTAACATGACAAACATAGCTTATACCCCTTTCCAGTTCCACAGTCCAATGTCTAGCCCCTTTGTCCTATGCCATTCCTCCCCCTCCTCCTCTTGCCCTACCGCATTTACGAAGCCAACAACCCCGCCTTCCGCAACCTTTTCCCAATGTCCGCCGCAGTCTGCTGCATGGGGTTGAGCTTCATATCCCTCGCCATGGCCGCCACGTCCTGCCCATGCCGCTCCACGAGCCGCCTCAGCCACTCGAGCTCCCTTTCGCTCTGCTTCCGCGGGACTTTCTCGGTCGGTCTGTTCGCCTCCATTTCTAGCGCGCGCAGAACCTCGGGTTTCGCCGCCCTCTGGCCCTCGCCGTCGTCTTCTCCTCCCTCTCTTGCCCCATCCTCCTGCCGCTCCCCCTCCTGCTGCGGCTCGTCGTCATCGTCATCATCATCATCGAGCTCGTTGAGCGGGTCGTTGAGCGGATTGCTGCCGCGCAGCACGCGCGTGATGCGGCCCTGGCTGTCGCGCTCCACCCTCACTTCGCTGACCTTCAGCAAGCCCTGATCGGCTGACTGCACGGCCAGCGGGTCGTGGGAGGACGCCGTCAGGGTCGCGCGGTTGCCGGGCGCCGTGCCGCCTGTTGTCTTGCCGAGCTTTGCGACGAGGCCGAAGCGCGAGTAGTTTTGTGAGAGGGTCTCCTTTTTGTTCCTATATAGTTTTTAGTGTCTGCTGTTAGCGGGAAAGGAGAAGAGGGAAGACGGGAGAGGTGAGGAGGCAAGTCAAAAGGGAAGAACGAACCAGTTCTTGGCAATGATCCCGTTGCCTACTGGATTTAAAGCCTTTTTGCGCCGGTTGGGCATGCGCACTGTCGCGCGGGACGAGCGGCGCTTCCGCTTTTGCAGTTCCCGGCCCATTGTGTGTGTGAGAATATGGTATTAGTATTAGACGTGAAAACGATATCAGTATCCAGGGCGAGCTGCTGAGGTTCCAAAATTTCTGGGGTCAATGGTTATCGATAGCAAAGTGGGCTGCTTGAGCGCTTATCGGCTGAACCGGCCGACACTTGACAGCTGAGCGCCAGTTGGCCATTGGCTACCTAGGAGTTGACTTCGTCTTGAATTTTGATGAGTCGCAGTCCCCCTTTATTAGTTACGGAGTACATAGGCAGAATTACCATTGACAATTATATAGTTTCTGGTCTGCTCCCTATCAATTACACTGCCGGTTTCCAACGGTGCTTCAGGCCGGTGTCAGCCCCTGGTCAGCTCTAACTTTTAAAGTTGATCCCCGTTGGGTCCTTGTCAGTACCTCCGTAACTCAGGATTGCTTCCTCCTCCACATTTATTGAACATGACCCATGAGATGTGAAATCGGGTTCGGCAAGGCGGGATACCCAGCACTCATATCCGGATATGGATGAATTTGTGGTGGCAGTGAAAGGCTGCAGAAGCATGTGTGATACTCCCGAAGTTTGGAGCCCAGCTGCTGTTCGAGCCCGCGACTTGAAGAAGGTACGAGACTCAGAATCTACAGCCTCCTCCGGCCGATCCTCGGACCGCAAACCACATGGCACGGCCGGAGTCCCTACCAAAGTCATTCGCTGGAGCAAGACGTAGCGGGAACGATTCCGGCAGTGACAACAATGGAAGGCACACTCGTGTGCGTGTTTTCCCATGGGAGGCGATGGGGATGTATTCTAAACACTTGGACTGTCTCTCGAACCAGTCTCTCTGCGCGCCTTGCTCTTTCCCTCGCTAGATGCCTCGAGCATCTGGCAAGCCCGACCCATACCGTTCAGATCAGTAAAACCCCCCCCCCCTCTTCTTCTCTAAGCTGCGGTTCCTCGTCCTGCTTAGGCGATCATAGCCGTTACTCAAGAGCCTATAACCGCTCATCCCATACAGTTGGGGAACAGAGAAAAAAGGGGAAAGCCGGGATAGTGATGGAAAATTCATGGACATGCAGCGGAATTGCCGGGAAGAAAAAAACATACAACACCAGGGATTCGCTGGTCGTCACCGACCCAACTACTAATCTGGCCCTTACTGGTTTATCTAGGGGAGAGCGGACGGGATCCCGAGCTTTCCAGTAGGTATGGTCGTATGTGTCAGGGTCTTTCCATGTTTTGCTTAATAAAAGGGAGCAGTCTGTTGGATTCAAGCAGTTGGGTAGTTGTGACCGGTTGAAGAAAGCGGATACATATGCTACCAAAGTCGGAGCAGGAAAACGCCTGAGAATGTGGAAACTGCCCGGGCTGAACAGCCGGTCTATGATTGCCGTGACACGACTTACAAACGGCCTCTCTCATCTCACAGCCCGCGGCTACTGCCAAACTACTACTAGTACTCTCCATTCCAACCTATCAGTACCACGGCGACCTTTGGCAACCTACTGAGTCCTAGACATATCTCGCGAACCGTGATGTCGACCATTGGGATGCCAACAGGGTAGATGCAACAAGGTGAAGGTGGTGTCAGGCTGAGGGCAGAGCAAGAGGAGGCTGCCTCGTTCTCAAGGCGTAAACTCAACTACAAGATGTAGCTACCATTAGAGAAACAACGTCCAAGTAAATCTCAGATGTTGTCTCGACGCCACGACTCTCTCCATTGGGTAGTAAGGATTGTACAGGCAAGAGGCCAACACGAGCTTCCTCTCCTCTGAGAACAATGCTTAGGTCTTATGCTACTTGGTACTGGGATAAGCGGGTGTAAGTGACGTGTAAGCGGTGTATCGTTGTCATTTACATCAAAGCAGGTATTCTGTGAAAGTGCAATTCAGAGACCTGCGTTGACTTGACTAAAACTGAAAAATAGGGGGAAGTCTCAGTTCGAATTCGGTAGGTGCCAGCGCCTTTGTCCAAGCAAAGGGTTGTAATCGAGCACTATCACAGCCATCTTTTTTCGTAAACCTCAATGCTGCCCAACAAGCCCATCCTCGCACATCCGGACGATGGGATCTCTTCGCCGTCGCAAGCCGCAGCGGCTCGGTCGCTCCTCCGCCGTAGCCGAGACCCCCTTAGGTTCATCCCGCCGGGGCCCTCCCATCGAGCTTATTACGGTCGATAACCTACAGCCGAAGCCGACGCAAAGCTCCTTCCCGCCCCCGCGTTGTCAGCCATCTCCCGCAGCCCTTCACAGCCAGACTTCAATTTTTTCCTTCCTTACTGAGCCTAGCAACCGTATCATTGGGGCCATGTAACCGGGGCAGAGCAGTCCTTGCAGCTGCACCTGCACCCATCCGCGTGTGCTAAGTACTGCCTAGTACTAAGAGCCTTTTCTGTGTTGTTGTTCATCTGGACGCACTTCTTCATGGACGGACATTTTCACCTTCCGCATACCCTACCGACCTAGTACTTACAGTACCTGCCTGGTCCCGGAAGTGACGCGGATGGCCCTGTGTTGTCCAGATACAACAATGGCAAATCCACCCTTGATGCTTTCCAGGAGGTCGTCTGATCCGTCGAATGGCGGTCTTTTATACAGTGAGTTTTTTTGCGTCTCTCCTCTTGGCACCTCCACGTCGGTGGATCGAGCCGCTCGCCTGCGCGATAGTTATCGGATGGGAGGCTTGGGAGCCGTGCAGTGATAAGCATAAACGGGTGCCGAGGACATATACAACCCGGAAGAAGCGAACGCTTTTGGAAGCTCAACAAAAACGAGCAAAACACAGATAAAACGCGCAGCAAGCGTTGCTCGCTTCCCCCATGAACATGGAACCTTTCCTTTTCGGGCTAGATTCTCCGTCTCGTCTCGCTGTGCCGGGCAGCCTTAGAGATAGAACAATATGCATAGCAAAGCATAACATAAGGTAAAATTACGGGCAGTTGTAAGGAAATGGCGTGCTTCCGAGGTACAAGTACAGTACCGAGCAGGCATAATAAACCGAGGTCCAAAGTATGTAATGTCAGGCATAAACAGGGTTCACAAGTTCACCAAAGTAGGTAGAGAGAGATGGTGAAGACATCTTTATTTTGAGCGATGGAACCATGTATAGCACCATTTCCAGTGATTCCCAAACAAGTATGGACTACCTACTACATACTATGGCGGAGCGAACCGTATACCTGCGCCTGGACAGCAAAGTAAAACCCCTGTAAGCAATGCCAGCCCCAAACACTCCAGGGTATGCATACTACATGATACATGATGAAGAAAAAGGGGGAAATCAGAGATGGAAGATCCCGCTCCAAATCTCGAACCAAAAAACAGACACAAGACAGACAGCGCACATACATGAGCATCGCCCCTCTACACACCCCGTGTACCGGTGTCTAACATATTCCCCATGTCCCCAATCCCATCCATCGTAAACCCCAATAATCATCAGACATTTGCCGTAAACATTAGACAATATCACAGCCCATCAGAACATAATCCACTCAACATCAACCCCAGGCCCGCCGATACACTTTGCCCAGTTGAATGGTCCGCCCCTGCCCATCGCGCCTCGATTATCGGTATGCCCATGCCCGCCATGCTCACCGCTGCCAGCACCAGTAGAACAATTATTAGCGGCAGCTCCACCCCATATCCTCTCCAGAACCTCCAACGCAGACAAGTTGTTCATGTAGCCGCTGCGTGCCATTATCTCCCTGCACTTTGAGCGGACAATGTTCTGCTGTAGCTCGTTGACACACTCGCTGCCAGCGATAAAGAGCGGCCAGAGCAAGAACTTCTCGGCCGCGCTGCCCGCCTCGAGGCTGGTGGCGTAGTACACGACCTGGCTGACCAGGTTCCGGAAGTTGTTGTGGTTGGACGGGACGTTGGGGCTGGCGAGGCGCTCCGTGTAGAGCAGCGCGGCGTAGCGGAAAGCCTCGCTCAGCGAGCCCAGGTCTCGCACCTGGGCGTTTGTCGGCAACAGCGGCGGCGGGGACATGTGCGAAGACGCCGAGGAGGAGGGCGGCGGTAGCGGGGTGGCCAGCGAGGCGCGGATGCGGGCGGCGTCGAATTGCCAGCTTTGGAGCGCCATCCGAGCTTCCTTCCACTCGCGCCAAAACATGCTGCGGGGATCGTCGTACGTCGTGGGCGAGTGTAGAGCGGCCGCTGCCGAGTTGAGCATGTCTTCGTCATCGAAGCCCGCATTGAAGCCGTTGCCGTCGAACCGGACGCTGCTGTTGATGGGGTGTGGAGGCCCGCCAAACAGGCTGTGAGAGTGATCCGGTAAGCTGAGCAGAGGAGGTGGCTTAAAGGGAAGGCCGAGAGGCGACTCCGATCTGGAGGAAGCAGTGATGCGGGGAAGGGGCGCCGAAGAGAGGAGGTTCTGTACAGGGCGGTGCTGGGAGAGAAGGTTCAATCTGCCCAGCTTGCTAATGGACTTGAATAATTCGCGGTCGCAACCAACGAGATTCTCGGCACCGTGAGGTAGTAGTTGTGCGTCAGGAAGGACGCCGTAGAATGATGTGTTGAGTTGTGCTTCGCGGTCATTGACGCTTGCGGATATCGCGTCAAAATAAGTAAATAGCGCCTCCATCCAGACGGAATCTCTAGAGGGCGGGTACGGCGACATTCGCCTCATTCCTAGGATCTTCTTGACGCCCGCAAACTGCGTTTGAAATTTCGCGATTCCCGACTCAGCCATCCGGTAGTGACACAGCAGCAGAATAGTGGCGAGTACCGAGTCGTGTGTCGATTTCTCGGCGTCGTTCAGCTGCTCGTTGAGCAGACGGACCGCAAGGTTCCGGTGCTGGAACTCCTCGGCGAGCGACTGGTCTCCAGGCTGCCCATCGCATCCTTCGTCCATCGAGCCCATGTCTAGCCGTTTCTCACTCATATCCCTGCCATGGTGTCCAAGGCTGAGTCTTCGCTTCATCCTTAGATTACATGCCGCAAGCGCGCAGATGGCGTGTTGTAAGCTCCTGCTGCTGGTGCTGAGCCGAAGAATGTGTTCTCTGAACGGGTTGCTGGGTCCGTCGATGTATACCATACTCGGGCATATCGTCTTCTCATAATAATCCATGAAAAAAGGCATCTTGGTGATAAGATCCGGGCTCACTTGCAAGACTGGTGATGGCGGCTGTGACGGAAAGGTTCCTGGCCACGGGGCAGGATTCCGGTCAGAGGCGCTCTGTGAAATGGACTCATCGTCGGCACTTGAGTGAGACCAGAACGGCCCGTGAGACTGGGCGCTTGAGCTGTATGTGTCCAGGTCGGGTGTCCCGGGGACTTGAGTCCTGGGGTCAGCGTCAGCGGCACTGGGCGTTGTGGGCGGCGAAACTCACCCAAGACGTCGCACTCGTGGGGCAGTTTGCGACTCAACTGGGCTTCCAGGCTCTCTACATGAGACATGTGAGACTGGAGACTCGAGGCGGGTTCGGAGGGAGCGTAAACAAGGCTGGGACACGGTGCCTGGGACCGAGACTGCTCAATCATGATGGCGGCCACCGGGCTCTGGGGAACAGGGGACGTGTGAGTGGGGAAACCCTCGTAGACGATGGGGCTGTGAATAAACGAAGGGAGACCGTCGTCTCTCGGAAATGAGTGCGCAATAGGCGACATGTAGTCAACATCGCTCATCGAGTCGATTGGCGTATGGATCATGTCGCGCGACATCATGTCCCCGGGTGTCGAAACCGGAATGTGAAGAGGTCCTAACCTAGGAGCCGCCGAGAATCTCGAACCATCATTTGCAGTCATGCTCGATGAGAAAGGGATGTGCGTCCAGCCTGGCGGCGCCGCCTCGGTGGGTGACATGTGCGACATATCATAGTGGTGGAAGGGCGGTGGCGGGAGGGACGGCACGGACGGCTTCCGGTTCTTGCGCATGTCTCCTTCGTCCCCGACGGCTCGATCATCCTGCTCGACCGTCCACTGGCCTGTGGAAGCCGTTGAGCCGGTCCGCGGCCTTACCGCTGTCGGCGACTTGACGGCCTTGGCCGAATTCACTGGCGGTGCCTTCGCAATGGGCAGCGACAGCCCCCTCAGCTTGCCCCGGCTTGCCACGCCGACGCCCCATGTTAGTTGCGTCTTGTAGCCAGAACACTCGTTCCCGATCTCCAAACACTGAGAGCAGTAAGGCCTCCTCCGATCGCATTTCACATTCCGCTTAGCGCAGGTAAAGCAGTCATCTGCGGCTCCTCCCGCTGGCGCCCTTCTCCTCCGCTTCCGGGCCGAGGCGGCATCCTTTGCTGTCGAGGTCGAGGGCGTGTTTATGGGAGCAGTCATGATGAAGACGGTGGGCGAGAACTGGCGGCTAAAGTAGGTAAGGGACCGGCAGCTTCGCTTCTGCAACGCCGGTTCCACGCCTTAGACGGCCGTCGGGGAGGGAGGGCAGATCTGATCCGAAGGGGCGGATCAACAGAGCGAATGCTATCCAAGACACGGTCTGCCCTTCGGTGGGCAGGGACTGACTGGTGTGGGTAAATAGCCGTTAATATGGAAAGACTCGGGGTTCATAGCACACGTTGTGCGGGGAGAGGCAATGGAACGTGAGAACGGGGAAAGGGGAAGCAAGAAGAGACGACAGACAGCGCAAGGGTGAAGTCAAGAGGGACTTTGTTTTAATCAATCGAGAGACACAAGCTTCCCGCTGCGAGGCAGAGGCAAGAAAGTGCATGCAGCCCCATGTCAGTGCCCCATGCTCATCAGCACCCCCTCCCCTATCCAGCACCCAGGACAAGGGTAGTAGGGTACCTCGCTCTGTGTGTTTGTATTGTACTGTGCGGAGTACATACATACATTACATACAATACAAGGAGGTACTCCGTACTTGCATTTGGGAGGATGGTGCAACGGCTGGGAGCCAGGGCGGCGAGGGCAGGCGAGGGTGGGTCGTCAGTCCCACACCCAAATTCATCGACAAAAAAGAACCCTGGCCATTCACCAGCTCGCCGGGGGCCGCAACTTGCGGATCCGAATCGTGACAGAGTGGGACGGTAAAAGACCGTACGGAAGAACCGCCCTGCCGCCCATCATCTGCTCTGCTGCCCGTGGAGTTGTAGGGTTCGGGACAAAAAACTGGCGGATTGGTGGATCGAGGAAGCGGCAGCTGCAGAAAACTGGCAAGCAGTAGGTACCACAGAACACCCAGACCTACCTGCTGTATACTAGGAGGTTGTAGTGGGTGGATGGTTACCCTGAAGTGATGCTGTGATTTCCCTGCTTCTAGTAAGACACCTACCTGATTACTTCATGACCAGAGGAGGGGAAACTGGGAGGAATGATCCTGAGCCTTGACTCTGAGCAGGCTCGAGGCCAGGTCGCCAGACGGAGTTTGCCAGGGAGCTTGCATGCACCTGGTCATTGTGGCGGCGCCCTGGCAAACCACGAGAGCGTGATGTTGGTGCCGAGGCCGCTGGCAAGCTCATCAATTGCTCAAAACGGGCCGAGTGCGGTACACAGCGATGAAAATTGCGGTTCGTCGAAAAGACGAGATGATTGAGAGGTTTAGAACTGGGGCTTCCTTGTGAGGAGAAGCAAGACCCGATTAGGCAGAAAGATTTGATTATCGTACAGTACAGTACTGTCCCTGTAAGATACATACCTGTATTACAGCACATACAGCAACCACTTAATACATGAACGTCAGGGCAGGAACGATTTTCCCAGCACTCGACATTTTCGGGCCAAGGGCAGTCACGGAAAGTCCGAAGAGGAAATAGAAACGGACATGAATTGGAAATGACAGCCTGAGTCCTCGCACATGGAAACGAACTGGGGAAACGGCGGCAGTTCAAGTGATTGGGTCGTTTCCGGATGATCAGTGGAAATCTTTTCTTCGCGATTGGAATCCGAGAGAGCTCGATGTCCGCCATTTCGGCCACGCTCACGCGACCGCAAGTCACTTACACACAACAGACCCCGGATTAGTGAAATTACCTGTTTACCTAGCGTGTAAGTTAAAGCGTCGGCTGTCGGGCAATGGAAGACTGGCTCCATCAATCACAACCCAAGCCGGTACTCTTCGTTCCTGGCCGCTGTTTCGGCGCGCTTAGCCCTCAAACATGGGGCCGGTCGAGTTGACGGTGACTCTCTGGCCCTTGTACCCCAGCTCATTACCCCTGGAGGGTCCCAGTATGCTCCGCTCGCCAAAAACTCCTGCTCGGTTCGTTATCAGTATGTACTGTACTGTACTGTACAGTACAAACCTCGACTCGCTGGACGGCGATGGTGTGGGATGAATTTACAGCATGCGTAGTTGGTGCTAGCACTTTGTCGTCATTGCCCACTGTTCTTTTCGCGAGGCGCGTTCAAGACCGTCGTGACGGCTGACGCCGCGAAGAGAATCAGTTTTTACACAGTGAGCTTTGTGCGTCGTCCCATTCCTGCAACCTGGAAGCTGATCGTTCGTCGGTCCTTGGGTCTGCCATGTGAGAATGCCCCTCCGAAGGGTCTGGTGTTAGTTCTGTCTGCCCCACAGTTCCGCGCGAGAATGCGATGACACTGCAACTGCTGCGAGAGTGGGGGTCCTCTCGATTACGCGCAGCTTATTAGTGTATTCGGCGATAGGTTTTGTCGATACCCAAGTGTTGACAGCATTTAATATATTCGGCTGCTGGTTATCTTGGTTGTCGGGTCAGAAACCCACTGAGACTGAGGGGCATGAGGAAGCCGTGTTGGAGCAGCATGTAAGTACGCGAGGGAGCACAGCCAACCCTAAGAGCCTGCTGACTGCCTCGTGGTGCGCTGTTGGAGGGGACTTCATTTCCTCTGCTGCTCGTCATTGCTCACATCACTCACATCACCCGCATAACCCACATCACCTACATCACTGTGAATCTAACACCGGTCAAAGTTCAAAACCCGGGGCCTAAGGGGCATGAGGAGGATCTCGACCGCCATCGCTCATAGATGAAGGCTAGCCGGTCACCGCCAGAGGGTTGCTATAAGCGACTTTCCGCCAGTCTTGATAGAAGGCTGGGTTGATTATCAGCCTCCATCGGCTGAACCGAACAACGGCAAAGCTGAACTTACAACAATGGCATAATGAGCTACGAGATTTGGTGCATCAACCCGATAACATTCTCTAGGCCATAAAATGGGCCGACGTTTAAGTTTGTAAAGTACATGTACTGTACTGACTAGACTTGTATTGTATTGTACATGCAGTACAATTCAATACCAATGCCGGCTTTTCCGAATCCCGAAATTCCACTTACACTAAGGTAATTATCCGGACCCAGCTAACTTACTGTAGTTTAGTCTAGTGGTCTTTGGAAGCATAGACCACTCTCCAGCAGGCCATCTGGTAAAGCCACACTGCACGACATCTAGGGGGCTGGCGATCCTATCTCCAAATGTCGATGTATGTACTGTACACGTACAGTACGGAGTACACTTACGAGTGTGTGTCTACAAGTAATTGGAGGGCTGAGGTCAGTATGCCGTTGCAAATGGGCGATTCTAGCAGGACTGAAATCAGAAACGTAAGGAAAACGGTCTATTATATTGTATATTCTATTGTATCGTACAGGTCCAAACGCTTTCATGAACCCACCGGTAGTGTACGGAGGTACCGCGCCCCGGGGAACGCTGCCGCCACATTTTCCACGACCCAGGAACGTCCACCCAACCACGGACAGCAACGCATTCTTGATTCGCCGCTTGCCAAGAACTCCTTCTCGACCGCTGACGAAGGAGCCAACTGCCACTGCCTGGTCCGGCAATGGCCAGTCAACAGTTAAAGAAGACCAAGTTTTTAAAAACTGACGTTATCAGAGCCTTGGCTACACGTGTACAGAGTAGTTGTCACGAAAACCACATATATTAGATCCCCCACTCATTTGGTACGTGAGAACGTCTGCTCGGACAAGTCTGCACAATCATACTAAACTTTGCTGCTGCTGCAACTCTGGCAGCTGGAGCAGCTGAAGCCTCGTGTGCGTTGCTCAAAGCAGGGCTTGACCAAAGATCGAAGAGCGCCGGACGGATGCAGAGCTACAAATTTCCCTTATCAAGAGCTTCGCACACTTCGAGCCCTCGTACCTCGCTGAGTAGTGCCTAGCTGATGATGCGGCGATGCCAACAAGGAGCATTACAACGTGCTAATAAACTACAAGTCTACAATGGCCAAGAAGCGCGCGCCGTGCACTACTATGTGCCTTTATGTAGTATAATCAAACCTGACAGGTCACAGGTCCCTGGAAGAGTACGGAGTACCTGTGCCAGTTTCAGCGCTATGAACACCGTCAACTGATAAATGCCCACCGTCTTTATGATTCTCGCATGAAGTCTTCCGACTATTCCCCAAGCGTTCTTCACAGACATAGTAAGGAAATATCAGTACACTAGGAAGTACGCTGTCATACACTGTTAACTTGAAGATGGAGACCCGGGGTTGTTCGCAAACCTTTGTGGGGTTCCAGCACGGGTCCTGCTTGCCGACTTACACTAGCATATCTCGAGTGTGGAGCGATCCGCGCATAATCAAATACACCACGAGGCAGGAACACATGGAAAATCATTTGGAGGACTCAGTGGCATTGCGCTTTGATTCGTACACCCATAACGTCAAGAGCGGCGGGCACTTTCGAGACTAATATTTGCGGCGGGCAGCCAAACGCTGAGAGGGATCCGAAAAGTGGCCTCAACGCTTTGCTACCACAGCACAATCTTGCGAGGACAGTTGTTCAGCCAGTCGCGTGTCCAACAAGGGCGGTTCTCAAACCATGCGCCAGCATCCCCGGTGCTCAGAGTATCCGCCCTAATTACCTCGGATGGACGACTTTTTCTCAGCTGCGGCATCGGCGGAGAACTTGAGCGACGTTTGTTCCGTTGAAACTTGACGCTGCCATTATACATCACGTCGGGCTGCGAGCAAATCACACTCATGAATGCGATTCCTGCACTGACTGGCGTGCCCTGCTGGGCATTGCTCCCCTCACTTTGTTCTTTGGGTCTTGCGACCCTCACCGCTTCAGGCAGTGACCGAGGGGCGGTTGCACCCATGATTGGCTAGAACCAGCCCCCCCAAACAGCACCCGGCGCGCAGTGGACGGCAGGGAGAGCATGCACGCCAAGAGATGTGGCTGAAGGAAACGGCCCTTCTCTGAACGCCCCCTTGCGGCGCTTTGCATTGGCTTCCGTCAGGCGGGGATTTGGAAAACTTGGCTTTTGGAGCGAGGCGACTCGGGACTGGTGAGCCTCGGTGCGAGCGCTGCCTCACCTTATCAGCTCTCATTTCCCCCAGCTGAAGGAAAGCCCAATTGCGAAGCATCGGAGAACCCAGATCATTCACCGAGTAACCAAGCATCTCGGAGATTTGTTCGAGCGACGCGGAACCACCACTCCAGGTAATTCTGGTGTCAGACAGGGTGTGCCGCGCGGGAACGCTGCAGGTTGCGGCTAACTTGCGAGATCCTCTGCATTGAGCACCAACCCAAGGGCTTGCTCTCTGCCAGAACTCAATCGTCTATCGGCACATGCTCGAGCCCACCCACTTTTATTTCATAATACAGTACCTTAGAGAGCTAGTCCTACGGGCATTTTCGGGGCCGCCTCCTCTTATCTCGTCTCTCTCCCAACAGATTCGTCGTTGAAGCGGCTCTCTCCGACGAAGAACGTTAAAAGCCGTGGATGGGGGATGGAACGTTGCAATCTGTGGCCGCCTTACCGCGTCCGGTTTGGCTCCCGATTTCTCATGATCGAACGCACGGTCCTTCAACAGCCATTTCCCCCCACATTTTTAGACGTTTTCTTGCTGCTACTGGCTGGGCAACCCGTTTGGTCACCGAGGGCCAGGGCCGATGGCCCCCAAAAGTCGCAGTGTCGCGGCGCTGTCATGGCGAGGTGATAATGCTTGGTTGCGCCAAGCCCGCCTTTGTATCGTCATGTATTGTACTGTATAATACATACAATGCATACATGCACAGGATTACATACAACACTGCATGGGCTTCTCAAGATGTCATCCCAAGACCGGCAGGTACTAGGTTCCCGCCCGGCAACTCTTGGTGCCGGCAGCTGCCTTGCACATCGACACCGTCCAGCTAGTCAGCTACAGAACTGGGAGCAGCATCTCCAACACCCAAAGTGTCAAAAGGGATTTTGTGCGGCACGACGTTAACGTTACTTGTGTCGCTCCAGGCCGAGGTCGACGGCTCCAATTGCGTGCGGCAGATCACCGCTGATCCCTCGCCGTCGAGGAAGAGCGGGGCAATCACCCGGCCCCTCGGTTTCTGGACGCGATCACCGTTGCGAAGGCATTTTTGCTCCGATTATCCGTACTCTAAGCGGCCCCCGTCATCTGCCTTCCGGCTTCCCGTTGCTGTCGCATAACCCTCCGGGCCGAGATGAAAACAAGCACGGTGGGCATTAACCAGCGATGCTTACATCAAGACATGGCCAACATTCCAACCTTGTATGCAGCGCAATACCGGTGTCCCCTCCCGCACCTGCACGCGACGCTACGCAGCGCGAACGCACAGCAGCTTGATTCGGGGACCGTCGCGTGACGGCGGCCCATGCATGCTTCCCTCGCTGTTGAATTCTCGCTTCTATGAATAGCATCACCGGGTCACGGTAACGAGGTTCGTAGCCCTACAGACATGGACACCGCATCTTCAATTAATATAGACCCGTGTCTCTGGGCTTTTGCTCTGACTCGACTATCCTATCTCTCCCAATGAAATGGCACAAAAGGGGATGAGCGCTCGGCCTAGCTGATGCAGAGTCCTCCAACGTACGACGCGAACACGCTGCAGACAGCTACTGCCAACATATACTGAACTGTACATAGATCCTCATGGGCGTAGTCCGATGCCCGAGCGCACTGCCCGCTTGTATATTGCTCTTGCTTACGTCGTATATAGACCAAAGCCCTCCCGCACTCGGCCTCGGCCTGGCTGGTTAGCGAAGAGCAACCTGTCGGACGGTCATTCCATTTATGCTTCCCTCTTTCTTGGAGTCTTAGTTTCCACTTTGGGCCTTTGCGTCTGCGTGTAGAGGCAACCACCGTGAGCTGGTGATGGTGTGCGAGAGCAAACCACTTGCCTGTTGAGAAAGCAGACTATGAGCTCACCAGGGAAGTCACTGGGATCACGGGGTAGTATATTATTACCCCAGATTCTGCGAATTGTTTGGGTCATTCCCTTACCCTTCTCCCCGATTTCTACCAGCTAGGGTAACATCACCGCGTCAACTGCCTGCCAGGGGGGCAAGAACAAGAGACCCTAACTCGTAAATATTGACAAACGTAAGCAGTGAGACAAGCTCAGCCACGTTCTCCTCGAAATGCGCGAGATAGAACAAGAGAAACCTTGCCTCCTCAGGATGCAGGTATCATCTCATGTTCGATGCCGGCCCTGGCCTAGAGCCATGCTGTGCTGTGTAGGACGAACACCGAGAGACGGAGCCTACTCACAGCTTCATATTCTACGCTGTTGTGCTACCTGTGGTGCTACTCATCAGGAGCTTCATAATCGCATTCTGACCCACTACTTCGTAGTTGGTCAGGACGGTTGATTCGGGAAAACACAGTTGATTCAGGAAAATACGTCACTACATAGCCTGCCATACAAATTTGCTAGCAAACCAATGTCACACCGTCTTTTTGCATCATTACTGCTTGCATGCATGCGCACCATTTGAATCGCGCCAGAACCACGGGAAAAATTGTGACTATATGCAATCCAGAGCTATTATACAATACTTAACTATTTTTCCAGTTGTTGCAGGTGGTTTACATTGCTTTATTGCCTGTTCTAGAGAATGGTCGCAATAGAGCGATATCTATGATGCTGTTAAGGTAGGTAGATGCAATTACCATAGTGGATGAATGACTATGAATTTTGATGGTATGATGTACCAAATAGTATACCTCAATTTGTATGGGATGCGCTAATAAATGGAAGTACCTGATTTTCCTGAATCAACTGTTTTTTCCCGAATCAACCGTCCTGACCAACTACGAAGTAGTGGGTCAGAATGCGATTATGAAGCTCCTGACGAGTAAATAGTTTATGTGCCTCGCTCGGGCTAATAATCCTCATCGAGTCTGTGGCCAATTGCACCCGCCCTCTCGGAATATTTTTCTGTGTCGCCTGCTTGCTTGTCGTCTTTGGCGATTGACGGTCCATCAGTCATCAGGGGTCGGTGAAAAAGAAGAGCGAGACGACAAGTCCCTCTGGCTCCGCCCGTATTCCTTTTGTCTGTTGAAGACAAATAAGAGATCTCAGACAACTGGCACAGCAAACAAGGACATGACATACATCCCCCCTATCCTGCCCCGTGGGAGATAACAAGTTCCTGAACAGACATAGATTATGACGAGACGCCGCCATACCCAGTGGTATGGCATGGCATGGCTCTCGGTCGCCTGGATACCTGCCAAAAAAGCAACCCTTCCAGGGCAAAAGCGGGTTACACAATACGCATGGGGGATGGAAAAGGGGCTTCAGGTCCGATGCTCTCATATCGGACAGGGCTCTGTCGGATCAAGATATAGCCAACTGTGTTACGGGATCGGCCCTGGAAATCGGATATCTGAGTTGGGCTGAGTGTTTGCTCCGGCCGGTTCGGATCAGCTGCGCTGAAGAAATCTGGGAAAGGTTGAGTGGGCATTTTTGGCATTGTGGGCGCTATTGTAGGCATTATGAACAAGCACGGGCTTTGAGTCGCATTCAAGTGAAGTACGTAATTAGGTCTGAAGAATTATCACGACTGCCGGCTCTGTAGCTCGGTTGTGGTTCAAAACATCATGTCGTGATAGCATCCGCTGGCTATACCGTAACCAGAATTACCCGGTAAGCTTGTGAGACGGTCACGGCTTGTCTGTGATGCGCACACAACAATTCAATGGTGATGCGGTTGACCGTCGCAAGCTGTGCTGTTCGAGAGAATTGACCCCTGAACACCTACACAGCGGGAAGTCAACACTGGACCGAAGCGACTCTTATGCACAGCATCGCCAACTGTACTAGGGCTGAGCTCGCTGACCTTGACCCATGTCCATCTGGACCAAGGCGCGAACAATTCCCCTGTCCTCAGGATTTTGTTCCCAACTTGGTTGAGCCCAAGAATAGACAGCCAGGCACAACTGACGGCGCCAATCCGGGGCAGAGAAACCTCCTTGAATCCAGATTCTGGCATTGAGGTTCAGTTAACTGACTTGAGAAGCTATTAGCAACGACTCCGTACGTTGTGGGAGTCTACTCACTCAGCAGAAGCGAATCGCCGAGTCCGGCAACCTTGTCGTAGCCCTGCCAGGCTTGGCATCAGCTCCTTATCCGCGGTGTGTAATCCGCAAACGCCGGTATTCATGGCGTCCTTGTAGTGCTGCTACACCACTCAACATCCCACCTCTTCGCTCAGTCCGTCCCAGGCATTCTCTGCGCTCTCAGCGGACAGACATCGGCTGGGTACCGCACAGCCGTCGTCTTGCTGCTGGAAGGCTGTGGGACGGTTGGTGGAGAGGAGAGTTGTTGACGTTACATACTGACACCCAGTCCTGTATGCTCCGGCACGAGTTGAGCTGAAGTCGGGGATCTTTGGCATGTTTATAGCCTTTCCTTTGGTTGATCGGAAGTGGCGGAGTATCAGAAGTTAAATCTCGTGGGTATATAATGACAAAGAGACACCGACACCTCTGTTTGAACGTGAGAGACCAGAAACGGACTGTTCGCTGAATCCTACCATCAGTTCTCCGTGGAGAGGAAGGGGGCCATCCAACAAGCCATGTTCCGCTCCGCTCCCTGCTTGACAATCCATAAACCGAGAAAGAGCCTGTTTTGAGTTTGAACATATCCGTCATGCGACCAACTGGCCGTCTAGCTATCCTCGAGATCACACAAAACCAACAACGAATAAGGAATTCCATCACCAAAGATCGAGTATCTCATGTACAAATAAATGTACCAAAGGGCTGGAATAACTGCCACCACCCGGCGTCAGTGGAGCTAGGGGTGAAGAAATGAGGCAAGGAAAGGAAAGGTGCAACCAAGAGAAATCTGGCTCAAAGGCAAATCAATCCAAGGATACTCCATATCATAGCTAGAAGGGTACAGGGTGTTGCACAGATAACAGCTCAATCGCCCGCCCCGTCCGGCATCATCGCATAACAACATCATGTACCGCCATCATCCTCATACCCACCCTTCTTCCAACCCTGCATAGTACTAATTTGCCCTCAATTGGGTCGTGAAAAAGGCCTATCACTAGTAGTCCATCGGCGCGTCCACCAGGGTAACTCCTTGCCCGCTCGACTGCTGGTGATGATGGCCCGGCTGCTGGGGTGGCGGGGGCGTGGCTGTCCGGGCAGCAGCAGAAGAAGCCGATGCTGGCGTCACACGACGACCGGCAGAAAACCTTGCACCGCTCCGACCCAGACTATTCCTCTTCTCCACCCCGGACTCATGCTCCAACTTCCGACCGAGACTATTCCTCTTCTCAAGCGGACTTCCATGCTGGTCCGCAGCAGCGGCAGCGGCGGCGGCAGCAGTGCTCACGCCGATGGGCGGCGCGCCGTTCATGATAAAGTTGCCGTCAGCGGGATGGCTCAGGCCCATGTGCCCGACACTGCTCTCTTCGCCCGGAACCTCGAGGCTCGTCCGCTTGGGCAAGACGGGCCCTAGGCTGCCTCTTTTCCTCCCCTCGCTGGTGGGGCTCGTGACGTTCGTTTGGATGGGGAACCGTGTCTCGGGCCCGCCTACACTCCTATCGCGGCGGTGGCTGGAGCCGCGCGGGCTTGGGGCGGGTGAGGTCGCGCGGCTTCGGCTGCCGTTGGCCTTCTCCAAGAGGGCCCGGGTACGCTCCTCCATATGCGCCTTACGGTTGCTCTCATCGGTGGAGATGGCGCGAGGGCGGTTCTGGTTACCCTTAATGCTGCCGGCCGAATTCATAGTGGACAGCCGCTTCAGCTCGTTGAAGATGGCGTCTTTATGCGCGAAAAGATCGCGTACCAGCCGGTAGGCGTGCTTCTCCTCCATCGTAAGGGATGTCTCGGCGCGCGGGCGCAAGACGCAGGGCGCGAGAACAGTAGCTAACTTGGAGATGTACTCTTCGTCGGCCGATGTGAGGTCAATCAGGCGAGTGAAGTGGTTCATGCAAGCATCCAGAGACGCGATGTTTGTGAGCCGAAGTTGAGATAGGGTCTGCACGAGGATGGGGACGCGCGCGGCATCGCCAGCATCCCCTGTCGGAGTCGTGTAGATGGTTCGGATGATTTCGTAAACGTGCGAAGAGACAAGAGAATCTGTTGACGGTTAGTTGACGTATGGAACCTGCGATTCTACTACATACCGGGAAGCTCAAGCAGATAAAGCTTCAAGAGACTCGCGACGGTGGGTATATCGAATTCAGCAAATGTTTCCAAAGCGGGCGGTTTGCCGTTGTTGACCTTGGCTCTCAGCTTGTGAGTTTGGGTCAGGGGGACCTCGTGCAACCACACTCCACGGCGGGCTTCGTCGCCCTCAAGATCTGGGTAGTGGTGATCCAGGTAGGTAAGAAGAGTGGTGATGATGACGGGCACCCTCTTTCTGTCAGCCCTGGCCCTAGCCTCCAGGTCGACGCCGAATGTCTGTTCATCGACATTATTGTAATAGTTTTCGTAGACCACAACCTTGGGGACGAAACTGCCAGTCCGGTAATTCTCCAGGAGATAGCGCAAATCACCAAGCGGCTGGACCGTCTCTTGGTACAGCATCAACTTGTCGACGGTGGCTTGCAAACTTGGGATCACGTTGCTAATGGTGCCCGAAAAGTCCAATACGACCGTCTTGATCGCCTTGAGCCGGTCAAGCTCGCAGCGCTCCAGAAACCTGAGATGGACGAAAATGGCCTCCTCGAGCTCGCACCGCGTCTCGTCGAGCTTCCTGACCGCGGCTTTGTATCGCTCGTCGGCTTCTCTTGCCTCCCGCCGCATGCGCTCAGCCGGCGTCTCGTTTGGCCGTGAAGTATTGAGGACATCCCATTTGGCGAGGTAGTCGGACACCGTGCCAACCACTGGGGAGTCTGAGCCGTCCGATCCTGTCACGGGGATGGAGAAGGTCCTTGCCACCGGCTTCTTCTCAGGCACCCCTGACCACTCGAAGGCCTTGGGCCGCCATTGATAAAACATCTTTGAGCTGTTGGCAAAGGTATTCCCGACGTTGCCAACCAAGCGCAAGAACCCGTGCGTGACCAAATCTTGGCCGATTCTCTCAGCGTAGCTGACACTTGTGCTCCCCATGTGCCGCTGAATGTATTCTACAATGTCTGTGCCGGCAGAGGTATTGTGATATGTGCCGAGGATGGGGACCTTTGTTTCGCCCATCTTGATGTTGTTGAGAATATGCCTGAGTCTTTCCTTGACCTGTTCCGGGCTATATGTCTCATCGCCGATTTCGAGAGGCTCCTCTTCAGCGGCCTCCTGCTCTACCTTGATTTCGGGTATGTTCTGCTTCTGCTGCGGACTGGTCTCAGGATCCTGGAAGGCGAGTTTGTTCTCTTCCTCTAGGTCTTCGAGCTGACGGCACTTATTGAAGTAGTTGCTTCTGAGCTTCTTCACAGCCTCGGCCTGCTTGTCGTGGGCCTTGACTCGCGCCTGCAGCTCGTCTTGAGAGTCCTGTATCCGGGATTCGTGAGCGTCGCACCAGCGCGAGAAGGGGTTCACAACCAGATCGCGGATATTTTGCGCAATCTTCTTGTGGTTCCTGGCGGCATCCTCCATCTCGGCCCGCACACCCTCGTATGCCTTGCGCACGCTGGCGCCATCATCGACGCTAAAACCGCCTTGTACTTTATCAACAGCAGGGGCGATCTCGGATAAGCGCTGACCATAGGCCTCCTCGGCCTCGGCTCGCATCCGCGCGATAGTTAGAACCTGACGGTTTTCGACGACGCCTTGCTGAAGCTTGTTAAAGAGCACCCCAAGGCCTCGAATCAAGTCAGCATAAATAACACTCCATACACAAGATCAGCGATACTAAATTATGCCGGCAGGAGGCTCACCTGAGGCGTAGTCGTTCGACCAGAACGAGTCTGCGAAGCCTGGCATCGTTGCGACAGGTCTCGATGGCGCCCAGATTCTTTCACTTTCAACCTCTTAAACAGAGAGACGGTGAAAGAATCGTGTTGTGTGTTGTTAGGATGCGGCGGTATGGAGGCCCGGTTGCTGCACGGTTTTTGCAGTTGGAAGATGCAGGGGACGCTGGCGATGGATCGGAGCTGCACAATTGGGGCTGAGGCAGCTGGACCCTTGTCTTGATTGTGTTGGCAGAACGATTCGCGGCGAAGTTCCGGAGTGAGTCGGCTGGTCCAGCGTAATATGTATCGCTTAAGTTGCTCGTCTGGGCGCAACAGGTCAGTCAAGGTGACAGAGTATCGACTGTTATGCCAAAGAAGTTGTTGAAGATACCAGAAAGCTTGTCAAGTGTTGTAGGCAAAAATGTCGTGTTTCTCTTTGGCTACGGTCAGGGCCATTCCGCCCCCAGCCCGGGCAGTGACCCAACAGGTTCCCAAGCCCAGCCAAGGTGCAGGTGGTGCCCAGCGGACCCACAGTTCCATTGGACGGATGCACAGCCTTGTTCGAGTCTCGGTTGTCACTGCCAGTGACGGCGGGGGGCAACCGTCTCCCCCGGACAGTTCTCTCAGCCCCTGCAGCGCAGGGCGCACCTGCACTAACCTAGCGTGAGGGTTCTGCAAATGTCAAGGAGGGAACTGTCGTTCCCGGCTCTTACCGCACACGTCACTTGAAACACTGCCTAGGAGACACAGATGAAACGCAAACCAGGAGAGAGAAAATCATTATATCATGTGCGTGCACACAACTTTCTCTCGTGTACCACACTTACGAGCTCTACCCACCCGAGGACTTCTACCAGATGTGTAAGTGGTTGTTTAGGGCTTGGAAGGTATGTAGTCTCACCTCTTCAGAGGACAATGACGTATGTAACATCACGTTGTGTTGGACTTGGCCGAGAGGGAGAACAATTGGCCCCCATTGATGTATATCTATCATTGTGTCAACAACTCTGATGGAGCTCTAGAAGAGACTCGGGGAAAGGGTCTAGTCGTACTAGGTGCATCTCGTATTCAATGGACACATTGAATGGTGCTGGCTATTAGCGAAGGAGTAACGACATCCTTTTCGAAACCTCAACTGTCCTCAAGTCACCTCGTCCCGAGCAAGTGAACACCAAAATAAACAGAGATGGTCGGATTTCCAGTCTGGAAACTATTCTCACGTACGGAGGTAATTTTCGAAATATAACGGTTTACTTATCATGAGTCTGTAGGCGCCGACTGAAACAATGTCGGGTTGTTGATTAATAATTACTCTTATGCTCACGCTAGGAAGGCGTTTCGCTGTGCTTTCCTGATCCTCCCGAAAAGTAATCTTACAACTCGGCAACCGAAGTGAAGCTCGGGTTGCCGCCATTTGAGGCTACGTCAACATAGGGACATTGGAGATCTAGGCACAAAATCACGGCCAGCATCTATCTAACCACTGATGAAGGCCGCCATCTCGGTTCCGGCAAAGCCGGATTGGCCGGCACAAGAAGCCGGCAATTCCGGTCCGGCCCGGCGCACCGGCCGTGGGCCGTCTCCGGGAGCGAGGGCCGCTCTGTGCCTAGTTGTGTTGTTCTCGCTGCTGGCACTGTATATTGGGCTTCCCGGACGGTCCGCGTGTCCCGGTCACCGGTTCCTCTCAGCAAAGCCCAAGAGCATCGAAGAGCGGGTCAAACACATTTTGACTCACACTCCCTTGATAGGTAACCGGACCCTTCTACCGGTCGCAGTATCACAAGCTTTTCACTAACCGCGCCACCAGACGGCCACAACGACCTGGCAATTCTGATACGAGTGCTGTACAATAACCACATCTCCAACGACACGTTTACCAAACCCTTTGTTGAGGGTGGCCTTCCGGGCCAGCTCGACCTACCTCGTCTCCGGCGTGGCATGAGCGGCGGCGCGTTCTGGAGCGTCTTTTGGCCGTGCCCTGAGAACGGAACCAACTTTTCCAGCGAGAACCACCTCTCCTGTAAGCTTCTCCTCTGCCCCTTTCCGTCCACAACTCTACCCCCACCCCGGCCCTTCTCTCCAGGCTCTGAACCACCCCAACCAGCTAATGAGTTTCAAGCTGTCCAAAACACGCTTCAACAAATCGACCTAATATCTCGCCTTCAGCAATCCCACCCGGACGTCTTTTCCCCCGCCACTCTGTCCCCGGCAGCCGCGCTGGCCGAGTTCCGGTCGTCGCGCCGCCGGCTGATCTCGCCGCTGGGCATTGAAGGTTTGCACCAAATCGGCAACTCGGCGGCGACGCTGCGACGGTACCACGCGCTCGGGGTGCGGTACGCGACGCTGACGCACAACTGCGGCAACCGCTACGCCGACGCCGCGCTCTGGGAGAACCCCTTGCGCAAGGCGCCTCATGCCGTGTGGGGGGGATTGTCGCCCGAGGGGAGGCGGCTCGTCCGCGAGATGAACCGGCTCGGCATGATTGTCGATCTGGCGCATACCAGCGTCGATACCATGCTGGATGTGCTCGGCAAGGGAAAGCATGATTGGCCTGGGAGCGAGGCGCCCGTGATTTTCAGCCACTCCAGTGTGTATGCGATTTGTCCGCACCCCAGGAATGTGCCTGATCATGTGCTGGACTTGGTGCGCGAGAAGCGGGGGCTGGTCATGGTCAACTTTAACCCGGAGTTTGTATCTTGCGTCGATAAGGGGAGGGAGGATGGGCTGCCGGAGTTTGTCCCGGGAAATTCCACGCTGCAGCAGGTGGCGAGGCATGTTCTCTATATTGGAAAGCGCATTGGGTTTGACCATGTGGGCCTAGGGAGTGATTTTGATGGCATACAAGATACGCCTAGGGGGTTGGAGGATGTGTCCAAGTTCCCGGACCTGGTGGCTGAGTTGCTGAGCCAGGGGGTGAGCGATTACGATGTGGCCAAGGTGGTAGGCGGAAATCTGCTAAGGGTGTGGACAGAGGTGGAAGCCGTTGCTGAGAGGATGCAGAAAGTGGGCGAGCCAGTGCTCGAGGATGACCTGCCTGGGCTGTTCTTTTAGAGCCGTTCTATGCTTAAGTATGGTTACACATCACTGGGTGGCTTGCCCAGTATCATTCATGTTGTATAGTACATAGAGATGAAGATCGAGGTGTCCCGAGCCTTGTGGCGGGCCGCCCTCGATCCAACCTTGTCCCCCGTCGTCCATCATCCTCAATACGGCCAGTCGATATAGTCCACAAGAGCTTCATAGCGCTCCCAGTTGACAACACAATAGAGCCCCAAATTCCATGCTCTACCGTCGTTACCCCTTCCGCTCGATTTTGTTGAGCTTTCTGGCGGTTTGGATCTGGTTCCGTGTCCGTTGGCCACGCACTGGCAGACCCATAGCGTGCCGCCTACCGCGGTACGCGCCCATGTCACGCAGCCGCCTAATGTTGTCCTGGATGATCTTCCGTGCGTCGTTCTCAATTGTCATGGTCGATAGCTCCGCCGTCAGGGCTGTGACCGTCTTGGGTTGCAGGCTGCCCATCTTCGCGCGTGGGTGTATGCAATACTTGGCCAGAATGCGCGCTGATGTCTGGGGACCAAGAGCGTAGAAGGACTCTAGCGCTTTCTATTGAGGGGTGAGTGCATGTAGGAAAGAGGTTGGCATTTGGGTTGGCGCACCTTGACCAGCTTCTGCGCGTGGAAGTTGACGCCTAGGATGAACACCTGAATATCGCAGTAAGCATCAGTTTCCAATTGTGTCGGATTTGTATGGAACGCATTCCCATACCATCTTGTCGATCCCTCAAGTCACCTTCTTGTCAGGAGCATATCTGACGCCAACGCCAATGGTTGGTAACCTGCGAGTCGCAAATTCAAGATGGAGTTAACCAGGAATGCAGTCAATTGCGGCAGGCGATGCTGCCGATGAAAATCCGGAATCGTTTGCTGCACAGGAGCTTGACAGGAGCCGCCGGGCGCTGACAGGTGACCACACCTGGTGCATAACGAGAGCCAACCAAACGCACTTCCACCCAAATAACTACCAACCGCCCAACCTGACAACACCCTGCACCATGTCGATATCAGATCATGAAGGACTTTGAAACGAGGCCGGAAAGGCCGCTTCCATACGCAGACGAGTTTTCTTCGGCAGACGAGTATGTGGAGAGCCTGTTGCACTTTGCTGCGAACTCGGACCTTTTTCGTTTTCTCTGCGGCGGCGTCCACATCCTAGATTTCTTCACCACAGATCCGGGTCTGTTTGTCTCTGCTGTGCCCAAGGAATGGCAGCACTATCTCTTGCAGACCGAGCCAATGGCTCTCCTGGACTTTTTGATGCGCGATGACCTGTCTTCCGTCGCCCCAAGCAATGGCCCGGGCGCCCCTCCCGAGACACTGTTGGAATATGTCAAGGACATCAGGAGGTTCTCTCTTCAACGATCTTTCCGCCCAAGCAGGCCGAAACTCCCCGTTCTCCCCAGGTCAGTGGCACTTGGGATGAAGACTAAGAAGGTTCACGAGGTCACCCACTTTGCCGGCTACATCGACAGACTCTCCGAGGATGTTGCCCGTGTTTCCGGCAAGGGTTTCACTCACTTTGTAGATTTTGGGAGCGGCCAAAACTATCTGGGGAGAACTCTTGCTAGCCCGCCCTACAATAAGCATATCGTTGCTGTGGAGAGCAAGGAGGCCAACATGGCAGGCGCCAAGGATCTCGATATTCTCTCTGGGCTAGCCGAGAGGGAGAAGCGGGTGCGCAACAAGAAGCTCTACCATCGTGTTCTCGAGGCTGTAGACCCCTCGCAACACAACGACGAGGAAGCCTTGAAGCGCGCCGCGAAAGAACTGGGAATGACAGACGAGGAGATTGCCACTATTGATCTCAGGTCTAGAAAGGAGCTCCAGGCTACATACACTGTCGAGGAAGGAAAGGGCTCCATCGAGTACGTTGTCGGCCGCTTGGAGCATGCCGACCTGACGGGCGTTCTTGCGCAGTTGCGCAGCCATGAGGATGGAGTTCTTGGGAAAGATCTTCGTATGATGGCGGTGTCAATCCATTCATGTGGCAACCTGTCGCATTATGGCATCCGTTCCATGATCTTGAATCCATGCATCCATGCCGTGGCCATTGTGGGTTGCTGCTACAACCTTCTTACTGAGAAGCTAGGCCCTCCGACGTTCAAACCCCCTTTCGCTCGACCAAGCCTTCGACCCATCAATGCGCGGGTGGTGCGCGAGTCAGAGCGGCGGGATCCCCAAGGGTTTCCAATGAGCGAGCGGCTCTCGACGTACAATGAAGAGGGCATTCGACTCAATATAACAGCCCGCATGATGGCATGCCAGGCGCCTGGAAACTGGACCGACGAGGAGAGCGATGCATTCTTTACACGACACTTTTACCGCGCTGTCCTCCAAAAAATATTCCTAGACAAGGGGGTCATCTCGAGAGTCTACCACGGTCAAGAGACGGGTGCTGACACCCCATTCAACACGAGCACCAATCCCGTCATCATCGGATCGCTGCGCAAGCACTGCTATACATCGTTCAATGCCTACGTGCGGGGAGCGATAACGAAATTGACAACCAACTCGGATTTCAGCCAGTACAGCCAAACGGTCAGGGAAAAGATGGGTAATATCACGGATGAGGAGATAGCACGGTACGAGGAGAGCTTCCGATATCGGAAGAGAGAGCTCAGCGCCGTCTGGAGCTTGATGGCCTTCAGTGCATCCGTGGTGGAATCCTTGATCGTGACGGACCGCTGGCTGTTCCTCCGTGAGCATTCGGATATTGTTCGCGACTGCTGGGTCGAGACTGTTTTCGACTACCGCGAAAGCCCCCGGAATCTGGTTGTTGTCGGCATCAAGAGATAAGGCAGCGTGGGAATTAATGCTGTCGGAATGTACACTCGTCGTCACGGGTGACAGGCAGGCATCGGGAGCGGAGGTTTCGTTTCCTGCCTTGTGTGCAAGGGACGATGGGCAGGCGCAGCTTCCACAGCAGCGCGCCAGCCTGCATCCGGGCTCTTGAAGCTGGGGGCCTCGGGCCGAGAAACTGCGTCGCCATGATGGTTCTGCGGACCCTGACAACCGTAGCCCAGTAGGTCATGACCTGTCAGATTCACAAGCGCAGCAAGCAATCCTCCTCGTTCGTCAGAATGGCGCAAGGGTCACTCACTCCGATCCGCTGTCTCCCTCGTCATGCGTCCACTAATACATGACCCTGCAATTCCACTACCATCTGATGGCAATACCGGTCGTTCTGTGGCGCCAACCCCATGTTGACGGATCCGTACGCGCGACAGCCTAGGTACGATATGAGTTGCGTTTGATACCCCAACCCGTCCCGCTAGGATCCGTTCAGGACTTCAGTTTTGTGGTGATGATTATGGTAGTGGGCATCTATTGGAGTTTCTATATGAGAATGGTCGACAGTGTGCTCTCACTCATGCCGCCCTTCTTGACGCCCCACCTGTCGCCGAGCCTTTGGCCCCTCCCCAAGCCGCGGAAACGACTGATTGGGAAAGGCCGAGCCTCAGATGAACCTGGTGAGGGAACAGCTGTGTGGCAGCGGTAGAAGAGCCACCCTCCAGGCTCTTGTTGCCGTCGAGGGAGCAGTGTCTCGAGAGACGAGTGGACAATCAGCATGGGTACCATGCTGTTTTCCAAGGTCGTCGTCCCACAGTATGTGGCCCTTCCCGTGCATCCCGTGCTTGCCCAGGATCGTTACGAGGCCGGTGTCTTCACGGTGTGTTCACAATCCATTTACCCCCACCCAATGCCGTTCTCTTTTGGAAGTAACCAACGTCATACCTTACTGAGGTAGGGTTGTGTCTCGATTTTGTTGTCCACCCTGGACACAAAAAAATAGGCACCGCAAAACAGATGTAAGTCAGGAAAACTCCAATAAATGGGTGAATCCAATTCCCCAGATCTTCAATGATTGCTTAGAATTAGATAGTACTATAAATGGAGATTGAATAGCTATTCGGAACATATCTTGGCATCTAACTTGCAGCTCTTTTGAGTGTGCTGTTGATGCTTTCCTGGCTTACATCTGTTTTGCGGTGCCTATTTTTTTGTTTCCAAGGTGTTGTCCAAACTTCAGAGACCCCCCTGCTAGAGTGTTGCGAGGAGGGGTTGTGGAATCACAGATGCGGGGCAAGGGGACTTGCCAACTCCTACCGATCCCCGGTAGTCTGGTGCTTGGGACTTTTGAATACCTACGTTACTGTGCGTAAGGAAGCCTTTTTTCAGGCACCTTATCTTGCATCAGAGTCAATAGGTCCTCAGCGCTTTTCTCAGGCTCGCTGCAGGCCCATTCTGGCAGGCATTTTGGAGCCCCTCCATGGGCCATGCGTCTACACTACTACTTAGTAGCACCCGAACCCTGCTTGCGACTGCCCAAAGAAGCTGCCGGCAGACAACCCAAGCAATGCATCACCGTCGTCCATCTTGAGCCCCCACGTTAATGGCCTGCGTTGATATTACCATTGCCTCTCAGGTTACCTTCCTATACACGTACTATGGCACTAGGTCTATATCCTTAGCACCAACGAGGAGTCGAAGACACTTCTCTAGTCGCAGCAAAAGACCTTTCCACCTACCCCTATGTCAGCTTATTGTGGGTCAAGCTCTGGTGTAAGAGCTGGGCTTTCGATTACTATATAACTACCTAACAGCCATCCAGTCTCTCTCAAAGCAAGTGTGCTTTATCTATGGAGCAACTCCTGACTCCATTCAGGCTCCTCTCTTATCTCTTGCCTGCCTTATTACCTACTTGTTTTACCACGGCGATCTGCAACACAGTCTCAACAGTTGCGTGCTCTGCATGCCATATGGCTCCTTAGGACGAACTGCGTCCACTGAGAACCTTCCCGACTCCGGCTGTGCTTCCGAAGGCGCAACAGCCACGCTTCGGCCCTGCAGCATTGGCATCCTCGCAGCGGTTGCAGGCACCACCCACACCACAGAAAATAAGGAACGTGTTCCAAGTGGCTTCAGGTTCTGTTTGCGAAGCCATACCTGGTGTGAATGCCCGTCAGAGCATCTTGCAATTGGGTTGAGAGTCTGATGCAGTCTCTTCATTTATTACTATTCATATTCTGAGTCACCTCACCTCTGAAGGAGTGACGCATGCATATGCATATACAACCGACGTGCCCTTCTCTGTCAATAGCAACAGGGGTATCATAGCTTCCTATGTCGGTGGGCTAGTAGCGTGTTAAGCGGAGCCATCTCCGTCTAACTAAGTGGAAGATCGTCAGGGTTGCCGGCGCCGTCATAACCCTGCTTCACTACCTTACGCTTTTTGTCTTCTAAACAAATTTCTTTCTCCTCCATGCTTCTCTCATACGGCTATCTATGGTATAGTTTGCCTCCCTGGACGACTTATCTTCTCTCGTCCTCAATGAACAAAGCCCTAGGGGCAACGACGTCAGTCCTTGCACATCAGACAGACGCTATCTTAGTTCAACCCCACCCCCAACCAACATAGCACTGCCGCTAGAGTGCGATCCGCACTATCGCCAACGACACATACCAGCCCCTCTCCGTGGCCAAAAAGCCAGTGGTTCGTGGAGTTTGCCGTTAAGGGGCCAATCCTCCCATGCCGGGAATCATAATGAACGCACAAGTGTCTTTCCTGGTAAGTTTGGCCCCTGTATCTCATGAAGCGTGAGTCACCAGGTGATATCCTGTGACCTCTTCGTTTACGCTGTATGCCTCTCCATCATCAAAGCTTCCAGCTTTATCTTCTCCAGCCACAGCTTCTGATTCATTTCGAACCAATAGGACACGAGCCTCAGCTTAATTCACATCCCCCTCCATCTCTACGGCAGCCTCCTCCAGCCCATCCTCAAGGTCCTCCTTCCAGAAAGCCAGACTCCAAACCATCTTCTTAACCATTCACCATCCTCATCCTCTCAATCCTCACCAACCAATGGCAGCCACCACCATTCGCACGACCACCATCCTTTCATCAACATCTCGGTCACTCCAATAGAATGCTCCATAGTCTGCCCCACGAGCTGGGCAAGCAAGCTCTTTGCCGACAGAGCCGCCGCCCCTACCACTACTAGCAAGACCCTGGCCCCCTTACTCCCCTTCCTATCCAACAAAGAAACAGAAGCAGCAGCAGCAGCGGGCGTCTCGATATCCAAGGACACGTATTCGGCGCTATGTGTCACGTCGGCGGGGATGGACGCCGGGTCGCGCGTGGCCGACCTGACGTCGCCGCTGGCGCTCGCCAACATACCCATCTTCTTCATCACGACATATTATTCCGACTTCATCCTCGTGCCGACCAAGGACCGGCAGGTTGTTGTCAAGACGCTGCTTGCGGGCGGCTTTGTTTTTGAGCATGGAGAAGAAGGTCGTCGTGAAATAGGTGGTGGTTATGAGGGGGGCGGTGACAGTGCGGGTGTGAGCGCGGGCGGGCCGGGTGGGAGGAAGGTGTCGCTTGTCTCCGAAGGGCAAGCGCAATGCCAAGGAGGCCAAGGGCTGGACGGGGGCCCACCTTCGAGCGTGAGTGAGTTGCAGGAGCGCACGTTTGAGCTGCTCAAGAAGAGGGGCGTCGTGCCCTACGTCGAGGAAGGGCTGCGGTTGGTGCAGTGCTCGGGCCGGGAGAGGTCGGCGGTGATGAGGGGCGCTTCGTACTCGGACGGGCGGCGCTCGCGGCATGGGAGCAACGGAAAGGGGGGAGCCCCGAGCGGAGGAGGCGCGGGAGGAGCTGCGGGGAGCAGCATGGCAATCATGTGCTGGGTTGACACGGTCGACACGAAGCTCTACACGAGCGTGGTCTCGGCGCTGGTGTCCCAGCCGAGGTTCCTGAGCATCACGCTGGCTCAGGAGGATCCGCCTTCCCTCTTGATGGATCGGGAGCTGCTGGGCATGTTTGGGGATTCGGTGGTGGGACCGACCGAAGGGGCGCTGGTGCCCATTTTCCTGGATCTGGCGGACCTGCCGTTTGAGGCGACGGGGATAGTGTCTGGCGTGGCGGGACGGTTGGTTAAGGACATGCGCATGGAGCAGAGCGCCGAGCTGTCGTACCTGTCGACTGCAAGGGCGGGCGCCGTGATTCTCTCGTCGGAGGAGTCGGTTATGGCGTTGGATGTTCTCCGGCCACTGCTGACGAGGGATGAGCAGGAGGAGGAAACCCAGTGAAGGTGAGAAGGGTGAAGAGAGTTGGATTGTGGCTTGGGGCTCGAAAAGCGCCTGTGGAATTTCGGGTGCAGTCGAGTAATTGTCCCAGAGGCATGGAGAATGCAAGACGGCGTTTATGTAGGACAAAAGGTGTAGTCAGACGAGTGAGCGCCTGGAAGCCAGGTTCCATGATAGTCCGCCATCCTTATCGTGCTGAGGTGCAATAACAACCCAAGTCTCCTCTCCTCCTAGTCCCCCAGAGGTTGCTTGAGCAGCTCGAATTCTTCGGCCTTGGGAGTCAGCATCACCTTCCCCCTTTCTTCTTCCCGCCGCCAGCCTCGGCAACCAGCCCAGCTTTGACAAAGGCGTCCCTCGCAACCTGGTTGATCAGGGCAAACCTTCGGGGACCCAGTTTTTGCCCGCCATACCACCGCGTGACGACGACCATGGTGTCCCAAAGGTCCATGAGCTGCATTAGATGCAACAGCCGTCCGCCGGCTGCCGTCTCCCCGTCGTCGTCGCAGTCCTGGAAGCTCGTCCCATTCGGTCCCCGGATGCGCCACGCCGTGATGTTGTGCGTAGCCGCGCGCACCCGCTTGTCGGACGCCAAGAGGTGCTGCACAAAGGACGCGGCTTGGACGGGGGACGTCACGGGTGCGCAGCGGGCAATGAAGGTTGATTTCAGCTCGGTCAAGGGGTCGGACAGGATCCATGGGGGAGTTGTGGTGGGACAGCCGGCGCCGCTTTGTTCCGTTCTAGCAGGCACAGTAGCAGCAGTAGCAGTAGCAGACTCGGGATCGCCCAGCTTATCTCCATTCCCTCCCACATCCTCGTCGTCCACTTCTACTACTTCCGGAGGCACAGGCACATCGTGTCCTTCCTCGCCGGCGGCGACGAGCAGCTCTTGAACCTTCTCGATGGCGTCGAACAGACACACTTGGCCCGGTTCGTAGATTTGGCTCACGGCATCCCGGAAAAGGGCCAGGTCCCGGGCCGCGGCGCCGCGCTTCCCCGCCGAGCCGGAGCTGTGCGTGCCGAGAACGGCCGGGGGCACGTCCGGGTACGTCGGCGGGAACTGCAGCCGCAGAGAGGCGCTCGTGCCACCTGGGAGGGTAAGGATGTAGATGGTGGCATCATGGTCTTGCGGAGAGTGTACGAGCGTGTTGTCGCCGTAGATGGAGTTTATGGCTTCGATTTCGTCAACGAAGGCTTCCGACATGGTTTCTCACGGGCTGTTTTTGCCAGTCTGTCATGTCACTCCGGGGGCCTGAAGGGCTAAAACTATGAATTGAAAGCTGTCTTTGTTGCTCAGAGAAAGACGACAATTAGTGAGAATTCCAAGCTAGGTTAAAGTTAAACGAGGCATTGACTGAAGCCGCGTATGTACATGATGAGATCTCATGTACATAATCTGCGTTTATGTGCTCTGCAGAAGTCAGGAGTCAAGATGGTGGCACCTGCATGGAGTGGATTGGGGTTGAAAAGGGTGGGGGTTGGATTCCCGCCCCGGAATCGGGTCCCGTCTCTGCAATGCGGGTCAAGCAATAAAATGCCGCCGTTTACCACTGTGTCAAACTACAGTACCTACAGGTAAGACCACAGCATTGTTCCGATTTGGTTGACTTTTGTTTTCCTTTTCTGTTTATTTCATTCAAAGAAGAGCAAAGGTCGCGTCCAATCTGTCTTATTTTAGGGATTAGAACGTGGAGGTACTCCTTGGGATTTTGGCCCAACCGATTCGAGCATCATCTCATTAGGTCCGGTCAGATGAATGGCATTGTGTCTTGTCAGTCAACTGCATCCTCCTTGAATAACCTCCCAACTATGACATTAGAATCTTGCCAGACTCATTCCAACTCACTCCAGAGGGATTACTAACAGCTTCTTTAACAGTGATACATGAAAGCCCAGTTGAGGACAACAGGTTTTGAGTCTCTAGAGGAAACTGGAATCTTGGATAAGGTAAGGTGCATACGTTATTAGTAGTAGGTATACTTTAACCTTAGGTTACTCATAGGAACGGTAAGCTCCAAAAGCCTCTCAAAGCAATGCTCTTTGACTCTATGCATCTTGAACCCATGGCCAACAGGACACTAAGGCCGCGTCTTTGAAGTCTCTCCAACACTGGAACTGCGGGTCTGCCTGCCTCCGATCCACCCCGGCCGCTTGGCAAACCCGCCTGCTTCCCTTTCTCCTGACCCCATCAAACTACATAGCTGCGTGCATGATAAAGGCGACATTGATTGATCTCGTCACAGCATTAGCAAAAGCATACAGTCCTGCCTCTATATAAGGATCTGACGGTCATGGATCGATATCTCAGTTAATGCATCGGCGATGAGTGTAGTGGTCCAACACATCATCCCATCCACACGCTCAACTTCAATTCGTTTTCGCAGTGCAAGGGCAACACATCAGCTCTCGGCTGTCCTTCAACCACGTCTGCCGCAGTGATGGCTGCCCATCATGATAGCTCGGTGCCGAGCGATGATGGCACCCATTGCGCTTTTTTCTATGGTGGGCCTATCTCTCTTTTCACGTCTCGTATGAATCAAGACGTTGTTACTGACTAAGCTCAATGCCCTAGGCACACTGGTATGAGGACCCGATAAGACAGTCAACACCAATACTAGTAGTTGCTTGCAGACCTGACCTACTCTCAATAAGTAGATGGTTCCCCAAGTCTTTTACTCAGTCTGCTACGGATCGCAGGAAGTCCCAAAGGAGATCGCGGCTCTGCACACCTTCAACGCAGCTATTCTTCCCGGTTATCGGCGACACCGCGTCAAGTATGCAGACTATCCGGGAATCACTGAGGAAGAGGGCGGCGAGGTCTTTGGATCGTTTGTGACGGGACTCACCAAGGCGAATATGGAGAAGCTGGACTACTTTGAGGGTGGCCAGTATGAACGCCGCAAGGTAACAGTGAAGGTCCTCAAGGATGTTGGTATCGCAGAGGGCGCCAGTGGCTCTCAGGGGTACCACGAAGAAAAGACGGCTGAGGTCTATGTCTTCCTACACAAGGATGACCTTGAGCCTGTTGAGTGGTGTGTGCATCCGTAGCCGCAAAGACTAATGATAGCTTTCTAACGTGCCGACTTAGGGACCTAGAAGAGTTTCGCAGGGAGAAGTTGAGATATTGGACTCGAGCAGGCCACGATTGGGGAGATTGTGAGTGCCCGGATCATGGATGTCCGTTCCTTCCCAGCTTGAGGCAGCCGCTAATGTTCGATTTCTTGTGATACCTTTAGACGACCCAGCAAAAGTGGCCGAGTAAGTCAAGAGCTGAAAGCAGCTCAACTTGAATGCTATGCTGTTAGCCTGGGATGGTCGTCTTCCGTAGGTAGGTAGTCTCCCTTATGTTGCTATCTAGCCTGATGTCCAGTGGTATCAATATTAGGTGCTCCTAGTACTCCTTGGAGGGTACCTTAGTTGTCTTGATACTCCACCTTTAGCAATCACAGAGACAGGCAAGGTAGGTGGGTGGCTCGGTTGAGGATTTAAGGATTCAAGTTCTGGCAGTGTATGAGATGAACCATCGCCTTTAGCTGAGATAGAGTAACGTTACTAGATTTTTGGTTCTTCGTGAAACATCAACTGGAAAGGAGAATTGCACAACTTTAAACTACCACTAGGAGCACATTTACTCCAGGAACGCGTTGATGGAACGCATCCAGGATTGTACTGCCTAGAACCCCTGATTCAAGTAGTACAGTATCACGATGGTAGGACGCACCTTGCAGGACTTGTCTCACCATGTGGCAAGATTGCCAGTAAACCGGCGTTGAGTGGTTTAGACTGCCTTCATCGTCGGCGACTCTAATCCGCATCGCATCAACAAGCTGGCCATGATTCATGATCGGTACGTAAATCTGTTGAAAGGTCCCCAGTCACGGAGGCAGTGGCAACACCAGCGTCCCACTTGGCCACTTCTGGATTCTTTGCTGATGTATCAATGTCACAAGTACCAGTACTGCAGTCTGCTTGGCGGATGACGCATCTGGGAAATCGAATTAATCCAGGCACAGATTCGTCTCAACAATGGATTGAGATTGTTGTCCTTTTGTCGTCGTTCCTGGAACTAGGGTCATATGGCCGCAGGCGGCAGGCAGGCCACATGTCGAGCTCCAGAAACGCGGTTTGCGATTCGCGACCTGCATGTCACACAAGTCGAGGCCCACACGTTAAGCCACACCTTGGCACTGGCTTGACAGAGTTAGCGAGACCCACCCTCGAGCCACCTCGAATCTGTGGCACGGTCCACTCATGAAAGCGCCACCTGCGAACATCTTCAGGGGAAGGGCCGCTCAGGGCCGCTACATACCGACTGTAATGATGCTCTGCGTGTTGGGTGCGAAGCACTTTGCGCGAACCGTTTGCTTATGCAAAATACCAAATTGATGAAGCGGCTATTCAATTCTATCTTACTCAGGGAACATGAGAGCTACAGTACAAGGCTCAACAATCCCCAAAGTGGGAGATTGGCCACCGGGACTGGTCGCAAAAGGGATTGTGCAACTGCGGCCCCGCGTCGGCCAGTTTTCGCCGATCCGTCGACCTCCCGGTGGAAACCTAACGGTTTCGGACAAGGAGGGCCCCCGGGCAAAAGTTTCTTCTGCGGGCCGGCCACGGGCTTCGGCAACGCAAGCAGTGGCGCAAGAAACGTCCCAACTCTCCCTTACAGGATCTGCCATGCAGCATGAACTGCTCTGTCAACCTGGCTCCCCGCCTTTCCGGCCTTGGAGCTCAGAGTTGAGCTGACCCTCCGAGAGAGGGTCTAGTTGTTGCGGTTGGAAACAGGGCTGGCGGCAGTACCCTTGTCTCTAGCCGATGAATAGCCCCCAAGGCCTCAACCCACTCGCAGGAGAGGTTGTTCCCAGTGCATTCATCTAGATGTAGCCACACAATCATCGTGGGCCATCGATCTTCGGCCAAGGATTGCCATGGATCACCGACCAAGTTCAACGGGAACTGTCCGTCCAAGTAGACGGCCGCTGTGTAGCACACCTCCACCCAGTATCAAAATCCCAGACGCGTCCCTGTGGTTCGCAGTGGACTCGCCGTCCTCTCGCCTCTGATGGGGATATAAAGATGGAAGTCGAGTCCGTCTTCATGGCTGGGAATCTCCTTTCATTCTCGCACTCACTCCTCAACCACTTCAGTCCTTCCTTAGAGACTTGTGTATTGCCTGGTGCAATATCCCTTCCTTTCTTGTTGCACCTGAATTTTGAAGCTTTCTTGCTTCTGACTTCTCGGTATCGAACGAGTCTTGCACTTTCCTTCATTACAATCAAGATGTATTTCACCACCAAGTCTCTCATTGCCGCGAGCGGCCTTGTTATGGTTGCCCAGGGCCATATGATCATGCGGACCCCGACGCCTTACACAAGCCCTCAGGCCAATTCATCCCCGCTCGACCCCAGCGGCAGCGACTTCCCGTGCAAGGCCGGGGCGGGGGCTCAGTATGCCGGAACTGCGACACCCATGGAGAAGGGGTCCAAGCAGACTCTCTCCTTCACCGGCTCGGCCACCCACGGCGGCGGCTCCTGCCAGGTCTCCATCACCTACGACAACCCGCCCACCAAACAGAGCAAGTGGAAGGTCATCCACTCGATCCAAGGCGGCTGCCCGGCTCGTAACACGGCCGGGAACCTGGGCAATGATCCCACCATGGAGGCACCGGACAAGTACGAGTTCGCGATTCCCCAGGACATCCCCAGTGGCAATGCCACTCTCGCGTGGACGTGGTTCAACAAGGTTGGCAACCGCGAGATGTACATGAACTGCTCGCCCATCGACATCGTTGGCAGCGAGGGCAGTGAAGCAGCGCTGGCCGGCCTGCCGGATATGATGGTCGCCAACATTGCCGGCACGGACTGCACGACAAAGGAAGGTGTCGATATCAAGTTCCCGAACCCTGGCTCCTCGGTCGAGACCAACTCTGGTGCGGCCCTCGGCTCGCCTACTGGCAATTGCGGCGGTAGGACTGCCCCTGCTATCCGCGGTCGCCGTCCGATGGACGTCATCAAGAACGCCGGCAACTACGTCTCCGACAAGGTCCAGAGCACCACCCATAGTGCTTCCAAGGAGGCCAACAAGGAGGTCGCCAAGGGCAAGAACTCGGGCGCCCAGAGCATCAAGAAGTCCGGCAAGACATAAGCCCTCTGGCATCAACTTGACTGGTCAGACACCGATGAGGAAGAGGAAGAAAAGGATGGTGGACAGCACGGGGAATGATGGGATCATTGCGCAACAAGTATGGTCGTTGGTCTCTGTCTCCCTTCTTTTCCCATTCCGCGAGGTCGGGTTTCCAAAATCTGCATATTGGGCATTGCATATCGGGCGTTCTTTGACGGGTCCTGGTCAGTTCCACATAAATATGGGCGGCGGTCGGGTGAACATTCCCAAAGCCGTTAGATTTGATGGGTGCATGAGGTTTTCAGCGTTGGATAGTTCATTTCAACCTGTACGGTCCTTTTCTCTTTTGGAGAGCAGATCCTTGGGATCAGCCCGATGGGTGCTCGCGGCGTTCCTTCGAGTGTCCGGAAGAGGCTGGAGTGGTTGAAGGTTGATGGTTGATGACAGTCAATCCTTTACATGAGCATTGTGTATCTTGTTAGTTGCTCTGGTAAGCATTCATGAACACTATTCTTGCCTCTTCAAGGGTTAGATGTCCAGTATCTCAATCTCAAAGCACCAAAGACATGACAGCACAAGAGCAAATTCTCCCGTTTCGGTTTGAAGAGGCAAACTGGACGTTGGCGATAAGATAAAGCTGGGGGAGGGGTGCGCCCATCAGGCACGAAATTCGGGGAAGTACGTACCGATAAGATCAAGTATGGCAGCCAATTAGAAACCACAATGCGGGAGAGTGGGGACTTGATGCGCCGGAACAATGATGTTGCGCGCCTAGCGCAGTTTGATTTCGCGGGAGCATGCCCCAGCTTCGGCGCGGCCTGGGATTTTTTCGGTTTACACGCGCAGCGTGGAGCGCAGAACTCAGCCTTGTGCATGCTTTCCATCAACGATGCCTCGTTAGCTTTCTGCCTCTTCTTCCCCTCCACAACCGGTTGTAGGCAACTAAACTGCCCCAAGTACACTATATACCCAGAAAGGTGCACAAACCGGTTGAGCGGCTGCATTTTTTTTCTGCCGACTATTGTCGTCCATCGACCTGAACTTATGGAGCCGTAGAGGTGCGAACACTACCTACAACACTATGCGATAGTGGCTGCCCGCCGAACTTGGAAACCGCCGACCAACATTTAACCCAACTACAGCCCAACCGTGTCGTGACCCGATTTCGCTGCCTATTACTTCGCTGGCATAGGCAGAGGTGACCTAAGGTGTCACCCTACCCCCCCTCTCGGGTGAATGCCGCAGCCATGGCGAGCAGCCTCATCGAGGATGTCGTGAGGAAGTTGAGTGTGTCTGAGATAGGTATGGATTGATTTCGCGTCGCTCCCAAATCACCTCACCATGCGCCGTCTCTCGGTATTTGCTAACCGTCGTCTCCCCTCACAGAGTTGCGGGTCAAGGTCGAGGCGGCCTCGATGCTGCGCGACAGTCTCGACCACTACACCGCTGGCCCCGGCTATCCAATCTTCCTCAAGCGATTAATGCCCGTCTTCATCAATATCCTCCGCCAGCCATGCGTTCTCCAGACCACCTCGCCCGACCAGGCGAACATGCAGAAGCTGCGCAACTGCGTGCTCGAAATCTTCCACCGGCTGCCCACAGCACCGTCCCCCCCGGAACCCTTCGAGCCGTACGCCGAGGAGACGGTCGATCTCCTCATGAACCTCGTCCGAACCGACAATGAGGACAATGCGGTGCTCTGCGTCAAGATCATCTCCGACATCATGCGCCACCAGCACAAGGTTTTAGGGTCCAAGGTCCAGACATTCTTGTCGTTGATTCAGGAACTCTTCGAGCAGTTGGACAGAGTTGTCCGGGAGCAGCTGGACAATACATCATCAGCCGGTCCCCCAGGAGCACCGGGAGCGCCAACTACGCCCGGCAGCACGCAGACCACCTTCTTGCCGCACCAGCAGTCACCAAGGCCGGGGTCGCCAGTTGCCACGGGAGCCCCCGACTTCAATACCGACAGCAACCAGCAGTCGGGCCGCCCTTTGCTCAAGGGTACGCAGTCCTTCAAGGTCCTTGCCGAGTGCCCCATCATTGTGGTATCAATATTCCAAGTCTACCGGTCGACCGTCTCTCAGAACGTCAAGGCATTCGTGCCTTTGATCAAATCGGCTCTGTTATGCCAGGCCAAGGCCCAGGACCAGGCGCACAGGGACGCAGCGGCTCGTAAAACGATCCACACCGGAGTCAGCCCGAACATCAAGAATCGGGTGGGTTTTGGGGACTTCATCACTGCCCAGGTGAAGGTCATGAGCTTTTTAGCCTATCTGTTGAGACAATACGCAAAGCAGCTCTCAGATTTCCTGCCCGCTCTACCCGATATCATCGTCCGGCTTCTCAAGGATTGCCCGCGGGAGAAGTCCGGGGCGAGGAAAGAATTGCTGGTTGCGATTCGCCACATCATCAATTTCAACTTCCGAAAGATTTTCCTATCCAAGATTGACGAGCTCTTGGACGAGAGAACCCTGGTCGGGGACGGTTTAACCGTCCATGAGACGATGCGGCCACTGGCATACAGCATGCTGGCCGATCTCATCCACCACGTTCGTGACAGTCTCACCCCCGAGCAGATCCGCAAAACGGTTGAGGTATACACCCGGAATCTCCAAGACAATCTCCCCGGGACCAGCTTCCAGACCATGAGCGCAAAGCTCCTACTTAACATGGCCGAGTGTATCGCTCGTCTGCCGAACAAGGTTGACGCCCGGCATTATCTCATCATGATCCTCAACGCCATCGGCGACAAATTTGCTGCCATGAACAGGCAATATCCCAACGCGGTCAAGCTCTCTAGGCAATACGCCCAGCAGGCGAACGAGAAGGAGACGTACCTCGCCGACAAGGAGCACCCCCCTGAATGGGATGAGGTTGATATCTTCAACGCCATGCCCATCAAAGTGTCTAATCCCCGGGACAGGCTTACCGATCCGGTAGTGGATAACAAGTTTCTCTTCAGAAATCTCATGAACGGGCTTAAGAATACCTTTTATCAGCTGAAAAGCTGCAATCAGCCAGGTGCGGTTGATTTGACCGGTGCGCCAGCGCACTGGACCGACGTTGCCTATGGCTTCACGGCCGAGGAAGTCAAGGTGATTACCAAACTTTTCCGCGAGGGCGCCTACGTGTTCAGGTACTACGAGATTGAGAAGCCGGCATCCGAATCACCCTACACCTCCACAGTTGAGTACATGGCAAACTTCTATATGATTTCGAGCAGCAAGGAGGAGAAAGAGCTGCTCGAGACATTCGCCACAGTATTCCATTGCATTGACCCTGCCACTTTTCACGAGGTGTTTCAGCAGGAGATCCCACGACTTTACGAAATGATTCATGAGCATACGGCCCTTCTCCATATACCCCAGTTCTTTTTGGCCAGCGAGGCTACCTCACCCAGCTTCTGCGGCATGCTTCTGCGCTTCTTGATGGAGCGGATCGAGGATGTTGGCTCCGCAGACATCAAGAAGTCGTCCATTCTGCTTCGCCTCTTCAAACTGGCTTTCATGGCCGTTACGCTGTTTGCGTCCCAGAACGAGCAAGTGCTTCTGCCGCATGTTGTTGACATCGTCACAAAGTCAATCGAGCTGTCAACCAAGGCGGACGAGCCGATGAACTACTTCCTCTTGCTCAGATCCTTGTTCAGAAGCATCGGGGGCGGCAAGTTTGAGCACCTCTACAAGCAGATTCTACCTCTTCTAGAGATGCTCCTTGACGTCCTGAACAATCTGCTCCTGGCCGCTCGCAAGCCCGCTGAGCGAGACCTTTACGTTGAACTTTGCCTCACCGTACCGGCTCGTCTCAGCAATCTCTTGCCCCACCTCAGCTTTCTCATGCGTCCGCTGGTCGTTGCGTTGCGTGCAGGCACGGAATTGGTTGGCCAGGGACTTCGAACGCTCGAGCTGTGCGTCGATAATCTCACTGCTGACTACTTGGACCCCATCATGGCGCCCGTCATCGACGAGCTGATGACAGCCCTCTTTGACCACCTCCGGCCTCACCCATATAGTCACTTCCATGCCCACACTACTCTCCGGATTCTTGGAAAGCTTGGCGGTCGGAACCGAAAGTTCATGACGGACGCTCTCCCGGTCACATTCCAACAATATGTCGATGACCGGTCGAGTTTCGACGTGCGGCTCATCGGATCCAAGCATGACAGGGCATTCCCGGCGCATCTGGGTGTCGATCTAGCCATTCAGAAATTGATGGAAGTACCGAAACCCATCAAGGGTGGGACACCGCCGCCTTCAAAGCAATACGACCCTTACTACAAGAGGCAGGCCTTAAATCTCATTATCGCTCAGGTCAAGTTGAGGGTAGGCTACGACACCCTGCCAGATGACCTCCCGCGGCTCGTTCGCCTTCAGGTTCAGGACCTAATCGCACGCAATAAAGATATTGACCTCCCCGCGTTCGAAATGTCCGATAGGGAACGGTCCACGGCCAAAAAAGATGACGAGGAAAACCTGCTCAAGCGCTTAATCAAGGCTCTCATGTTTGCTCACTCGATCCCCGATTTCAGGGCCGAGGTTGATGCGCTCCTCCTGAATTTGGCTCGTCACTTCACCATCATTGAGGTCGGGCGGGCGCTAGTAGACATGAAGCGGACGTTTAGTCCATTCGACCCGAAGTCGGGCGAAGGGCCGCTCTTTCTTGATAATAGAGTCTTATCGGATGCTATCATGGAGTCCCTTGCTTCTGAAAACCCAGAGATCCGTGACGCTGCCGAGCGCCTGATCAAAGAGATGTACAACTCGGCAGTGATCATCTTTGGGTCGCCGGCACATGTCGCTCGCTTGACGTTCTTCAATAGCCTGGCGTCCACGTTTTGCCACGGCTGCTACGGGGAGGAGTGGTTCACCAAGGCAGGCGGAGCTCTGGGCATCAAGGCTCTCCTTACTTACGTCGATCTTGGAGACCTCTGGGTTGGGACAAAGCAGATCGATTTTGTCCGCGCTCTAATGTATGTCATCAAGGACATGCCCCAAGATCTTCCGGAGAAGACCAGGAGATCGGCACAGGTCACCCTCGAGCTACTCCTGACGCGGGTTACCAAAAACATCAAGAAGGCCGACTGCTTGCCTGCTCCGCCTCCGGCACAGCCGCAGCCCCCGCAACCGGCGCAATTGCAACCCAAGCACTCGCGGCTTGCTCAGATTGTCATGATGCTCAATGGGGAGCTCTCGCACATGAACCGTCATGTCCGTGACACCGCAAGGCGGTCGCTTGAGCTCATTAGCAAGGCAGCGGGCGCCGACGTATGGGAACTGCTTGAACCCCATCGGAAGCACCTGCTCCAGCCCATCTACGCTAAGCCACTACGAGCTCTGCCTTTCCCCATCCAGATTGGGTTCATCGACGCCGTGACGTATTACATGTCGCTGAAGCGCGATTTTGTGGCTTTCGACGAGAACCTGGACCGGCTGCTTATGGAGTCGCTGGCTCTGGCCGATGCAAGCGACGAATCGCTCGCTGGCAAGACGCTAGAGTTCAGAACCCATCATTTCATCGTCAACCTTCGCGTGTCCTGCATAAAGATACTGAGCACCGCGATGGGCTTTGATGAATTTGGTAACGGCGCCACGAGAGCCAGAGTCGTGTCCGTCTTCTTCAACCTGCTATACTCTGAGTCTCCGACAATAATCGAGGCAGCCAACGATGCACTGAAAGCGGTCCTGCAGTATACCAACAAGCTTCCAAAAGACTTACTGCAAAATGGCCTCCGTCCTGTGCTGCAGAGCCTGCAGGACGTGAAGCGCCTGACCGTCCACAGCCTCGAAAGCCTAGGGCGACTCCTGAAGCTCCTGACCACCTACTTTAAGGTGGAAATAGGGTCGCGCCTCCTCGATCATGTCAAGCAGATCGCGGAACCTGGTTTTCTACAGCAGATTTCGTTTACCTTTTTCGAGCAGCACAACTCGACGAAGGTGATCGCCGCCGTGTTTGACATCTTCCACCTTCTGCCCGAAGCCGCCAAGCAGTTCAAAGAACGGGTCATTGATAACGTTTTGGACTTGGAGGAGAAGTTGCGGCGGACTCAACACAGCCCGTTCCGCGTGCCTCTATACAAGTATCTCAACAAGTATCCATCCGACGTCTGGGCTTTCACATTGGGCAAGCTCGAGGATTTAAGATACGGCCGGTTCCTGTCCCAGGTGCTGCGCCACCCGGACAGCCAGGTGCTCCGAGACTACGGCGCAGCGAATGTCGAGTTCATCATTAAGACATGCAATAACATCATTGCTCAGGAAAAGGAGAACAAGTTCCCTGCGATGGTCAATACCATCAACATGCTCGACGCGCTCTGCCAGTTTCCAAACACGCTGTCTTGGTTGGATAATAAGGAGCATATCGAGTGGTTGAAGCAAGTCGGCAAGGAGCTCGAACTCAACTTGAAGGCATATACCTTACGGCCAGCTCTCCGTCTTCCGGCCGACCAGGCTTCCGAGCAACTCATGGCCATCTTAACCAAGGCTCTAGAGAGGCATCCAAAGGATTTGGAGCCACTTTTTAATCTGATCGAGTCTATTGCAGCGGACGAGTTCCGCGAGACGCAAACCCTGCTCTCTCACATCTACAAGCACATCATCTGCAGCGACTCCATCGAGTTTTGGAGGACCGTCATCCTCCGGTGTCTTGAGATTTATGCTGGGAAAAGTGCTTCACAGCGGACAAAGTGCTATCTGCTGCACAACCTGGTGAATCCAATCGTCGCGATGGATGTGATGCGACACTGGAATCGCGGCGAACCAAGCAAGGGCCAGCGATTACTCGACAAGGCAGTCATTGAGTCGATCAACAGCAAAATCTGGAAGGTCAACCTGCCTGACCCGCACGAGGATCTCTTGCAGCGGCACATAGACCACACGCGCCTGGAGATCCTCCAGCTCTCGGCTATGCTTGTCAAGTATCATCACGCCATCTTGCAAGACACTCGTAAGGATTTCATCAAGTTTGGCTGGTCCTACATTCGCCTGGACGATGTCATCAACAAACACGCTGCGTACGTGGTGATAGGATACTTCATCGCCCACTACGAAACGCCAGCCAAGATCGCCGCGCAAATCTACTTCTCACTCCTCAGGACAAACCAGAATGAAGGCCGAGCTCTCGTCACCCAGGCCCTTGAGCTCATGGCTCCGGTTCTGCCAAAGCGCTGCGCCGGTCTTCCTGGTGATCGCAATTCCAACGCAGGCGACCGCTCAATCCCGGGATGGGCGATGGGTCCGCGCCGGGTCCTGGCCGAGGAAAGCCAGAATCCCCAGCAGATGACGTGCATCTTCCAGTTTCTCGTGCGGCATCCCGATTTGTTCTACGATTCCCGGGACAAATACGCGATGCTGATGATCCAATGCCTCCGCAAAGTCGCACCCCCTCCCAACCCCTCGAATGAAAACAAGAAGCTGGCCCTTAATATGATGTGGCTGATCTGGCAGTGGGAACAGCGGCGCGTTGAAGGGAAGCAGGTTGAACCGGTTCGCGAGCCTTCCGAGTCACCAAACGCCAAAAAGAGGAAGCTGGACGAGCTGCAAGGCTCGTCACCTTCGGCCCAGCGTTCGTCTGGGAAGATGGAGTACCAGATTCCAGCCATGAGCCGCCAGAAGATGATCAAGTATCTCGTAGAGTTTATCGCGCAACTCAACGAGCGATACCCACTCCCGTCCACCAAGGCTCGCGAAGTTGCTTCTCTGGCCGGCATGGCAGTCCCACCATCGCCAACGACGGATCTCTGCAAGAAGGCAATGACTTTGTTGTATAACCTGCTCCAACCTCAGTACTGGGCTGATCTGGAGGTGGATCTGTTCCCGAACGTCACGGACGTAGTCTTGGCCAGCGAAAAGTCTGCGACGCTCCTGGCGGCTGATCCAACGGACTCGGAGAAATACGATGATAAGTTCATCACCAACATTGTCAACACTCTGCAAGTGGTTCGGATCATTCTCAACTTCAAATCCGACGACTGGATCGTCAAGAACATGGGTCAGATTCAAAAGATCCTAGAGAAGTGTCTGAAGTCCGAGAATCCGGAAATTCAGGACTGTTTGCACCTGGCCGACAAGAAGTATGACGGCGACCTGGAGATCAAGGCAATTGTCAAACGCATCCTGGATGCGGTTCCAGAGGATACACCGATGGAAGATGCGGATGCTGAAGGTGAAACCGAGGCGCAAACTTCCGAGATTGTTACCTTCCTCTCAGGTATTGCCACCGAAAGCATGGCTGCGTCAAACTACGTATCTGGTATCAACATCCTGTGGTCATTGGGTCAGCGCAAGCCTTCGGCCATTGACCAGCACATACCCGCCATCATGAAGTCGCTGCAGTCAAAGCTTGCCCGGGATCATGTCTCCCATTACGCGGCGCTGGCGCACCAGGCCAGTGGCATCCGTCCACAGCAGGATCCTAATGCGCCTACCGAGATGAATGCCTATGATCTCGAGATTCAAACGAAGTTGATCCTCAAAGCCATCGAGGTCACAGCAATGCGTGTGGAGATATTGGGTGACAACAGAAGGCCCTTTCTCAGTGTCTTGGCCACTATCGTGGAAAAGTCGCTGCATGTGCCACTCTGCGAGAAGATCCTCGAGATGGTCGAAGGCTGGGTGTTCCGCTCCGAAGGCACCTGGCCAACGCTCAAGGAAAAGACGGCGGTTTTGCACAAGATGATCTCGTTTGAGCACCGTCAGGATCCGACGATGCTGATGAAGTTCCTCGACCTCGTCATCCGCATCTATGAGGACCCAAAGATTACGAGGACAGAGCTGACGGTCCGGATGGAGCACGCTTTCCTCATTGGCACCAGAGCGCAAGACGTTGAGATGCGCAACAAGTTCATGACCATCTTCGACAAATGCTTGTCCAAGACGGCGAGCGCCCGGTTGGCCTATGTCATCCTGTCACAAAACTGGGATACTCTGGCAGACTCATTCTGGCTTGCCCAAGCATCCCAGCTCCTCCTGGGCGGCGTGGATATGAGTCCCGTGATCCAGCTCCACCAGGAAGACTTCAGCACCCTGCCGCTTTCTCAACTCTTTGGGACTTATGCGAAGGATACCCGCGAGCCGGAAAATATGAGCGATGACAAGTTTGATTTGTTCATGGCGAACCACCGTCGCTTTGTGGCCGAGCTTGGCGATGTCCGAGTGCGCGATGTTCTGGAACCCCTGACTCAGTTGCAGCACATCGACTCCAATTTCGCCAGTGAACTTTGGGTTGCGCTTTTCCCGATGTTCTGGTCCGCTACAGCCAAGGAAGACAGGCCGGATCTGGAGCGCGGAATGGTGACGCTCCTTACCAGGGACTACCACTCGCGACAGATGGACAAGCGGCCGAACGTTGTCCAATCGCTGATGACCGGTGCTGTCAAGACCTGGCCGCACTGCAAAATCCCGCCGCATGTGCTCAAATTCGAAGCCAAGACGTATAACGCCTGGTATACCGCCCTCTGTCAGTTGGAGAAGGCGGCTATCAAGCCGGAAATTGATTCCGCAGCTGTTAGGGAAAGCAACCTCGACGCTTTGGTGGATCTTTACGCATCCCTTGGCGAGGATGACTTGTTTTATGGAACATGGCGCCGTCGCTGCCAGTTCGTTGAGACGAACGCGGCTTTGTCGTATGAGCAGCATGGCATGTGGGAGAAGGCCCAGCGCATGTACGAAGCGGCCCAGATCAAAGCTCGCACTGGCGTCATTCCGTTCTCCGAGTCGGAGTACATGCTCTGGGAGGACCACTGGGTGCTCTGCGCACAGAAGCTCCAACAGTGGGAGGTCCTGCAGGATTTTGCTAAGCACGAGAACTTCCAAGACCTTCTCTTGGAGTGCGCGTGGCGGAATACCGAGTACTGGCAGACCCAAGAGAACCGAGATCAGCTGGATACGCTAATCAAGGGCGTCATGGACGCACCCACGCCGAGGCGATCATTCTTCCAAGCCTTCATGTCTCTTCTGAAGCTACACAACAAGCAGGAGAGTATGCAGGATTTCAATCGGGTAGTGGACGAAGCGATTCAGTTGTCGATTAGGAAGTGGCATCAGCTGCCCAAGCGGCTCACTGCCGCTCACATCCCGGTTCTGCAAAACTTCCAGCAGCTTGTCGAGCTGCACGATGCAAGTGTCATCTGCCAAAGCCTGGCGGGCACGAACCAGAATAACCTCGACGTGAAATCCGGAGAGCTCAAATTGCTGCTCGGAACGTGGCGAGACAGACTTCCCAACACCTGGGACGATATCGTCTCATGGCAGGATCTGGTGACGTGGAGACAGCACATCTTTGGCCTCATCAATGCGACCTACCTTAACCTCCTCCCTCCGCAGACCCAGAATGCTGGGGGCGTCTCGTTTGCATACCGCGGCCACCACGAGACGGCCTGGATCATCAACCGCTTCGCTCATGTCGCCAGAAAGCACAACCTCCCGGACGTTTGCATCAATCAATTGAGCCGCATCTATACTCTCCCTAATATCGAGATTCAGGAGGCTTTCTTGAAGCTGAGAGAGCAGGCCAAGTGTCACTTCCAGAAACAGAGCCCGGAAGAGCTGACGAGCGGACTCGACGTCATCAACAACACGAACCTCAACTATTTCAGTGCGCCACAGAAAGCCGAGTTTTACACGCTTAAGGGCATGTTCTTGGAGAAGCTGGGCCAAAAGGATGATGCCGATGGAGCCTATGGTACCGCGCTGTATTTTGACATCACAGCGGCAAAAGCATGGGCTGAGTGGGGCTATTTCAACGACAGAAAATTCAAGGAGAATCCGACAGATCTGAGTGCGGCCAAGCAGGCGCTCACCAGCTATCTTCAGGCTGCTTCCAGCTACAAGAATCACAAGTCGAGGAAGCTCATCGCGCGGATCCTGTGGCTGCTGAGCCTCGACGATGCCAATGGTACGATTGCCGCCGGGTTTGATGACTTCAAGGGGGAGATCTTTGTTTGGTGGTGGATCACGTTCATTCCGCAGCTCCTTGTTGGACTTGGATACAAGGAGGCACCGAGGGTGCAAAACATCCTGCTCAAGATTGCAAAGACGTACCCGCAGGCTCTGTATTTCCAGCTCAGGACCAACCGGGAAGACATGCTCATGATCAAGAAGAACCAAGAGGTCAAGGACCGGGCCAGACAGCGAGGTCAGAGCGCCGCCAACAAACCGAATGGCTCTCCGCAGTTGATGAAGAAGGATGGTGTCGTAGCGCCAAAGGCTGATTCCCGACCTCCGACAGCAAACGGAGAGGCGCCCGGACAAGTCAAACAGGAACCGAAAGCAGAAAACAACGACACCAATGCGCCCGCTGCGCAATCCTCTACGCCTGCACCAAATGGTACAGCAGCGAGCGACCAGCAGGGAGGTGCGCAGAAGAAACCACCATGGGAGCTGACCGAGGAGATCATGAGTGTTCTTAAGACTGCCTTCCCACTCCTTGCGCTCTCGATGGAGACCATGGTGGACCAGATCCAGAAGCATTTCAAATGTCCGCCTGACGAGGACGCTTACAGGCTGATTGTGGCGCTCCTTAACGACGGGCTTGCCTACGTCAGCCGCATGCCGACATCGTACGCGAAGGACGTCAAGCTTCCTTCGGCTACCGAGAACAACATTACGCGGTTCGCCGAGACAATCCTGCCGAGTCACATTCGGGGTACGTTCGAAGCCGACTTTGTCAAAGTCAAACCGACGATGTTCGAGTACATCCACAAGCTTCGTAAATGGCGCGACAAGTTCGAAGAGAAGCTGGACCGTAGAACGTCTCCGGTGCCACTGGAAAGCTTTGCGCACTACTCGCCCCATCTCAGCGAATTCCGGTACCAGAAGTTCGACGACGTCGAGATTCCCGGGCAATATCTGCAGCACAAGGATAAGAACCAGGATTTCATTCGCATAGAACGGTTCCTGCCTGATGTTGACCTCGTACGGACGATTGGGGCTTCGCATCGACGGCTCAAGATTCGCGGCCACGACGGCAGCGTCCACGCCTTTGCGGTGCAGCATCCCGCAGCGCGGCATTGCCGGCGCGAGGAGCGGATCCTGCAGCTATTCCGGCAACTCAACCAAACGCTGGCCAGCAAGAAGGAGAGCCGACGGCGGGATCTGCAATTCACTTTGCCGCTCATGGTCCCCCTCGCTCCTCACTTTAGGATTGTGCAAGAGGATACGTCGTACATCACGCTCCAGGGCGTCTACGAGGACCACTGCCGGCGGATTGGGATGTCCAAGGATGAGCCGGTGCTGTTTACGATGGAGAAGCTGAGGGGGCTGGTGGATACTAAGGGACCGGTAAGTTTGTCGGTTGGAGTGGCACACCGAGGTTCAAGGGCTGACATGGTACAAAGAAACCAGCGGAGCACGCCGTCACGGCGCGGCTGGAGGTATTGCGGGCGATACAGGAAAAGTACGTGGACCACACGATCGCGCTGGAGTACTTCCAAGGTGCCTTCCCCGACTTTGCCGACTTCTGGCTCTTCCGGCGGCGCTTTTCGTACCAACTCGCGGCGCTCACGTTCATGACGTACATTCTACACATTGACAAGCGGTACCCGCACAAGATGCACATCGCGCGGGGGTCGGGCAACATCTGGGGTTCTGAGCTGATCTCGTTCATGGCGGCCAACCGGCCATACTTCCACAACCAGGAGCCGGTGCCATTCCGGCTCACGCCCAACCTCCAGGCGCTCATGGGCCCGCTCGCGACCGAGGGTATCTTTGCCTGCTCGGTCATGGCCATCGCGCGGTGCCTGACGGAGCCCGAGTTCCAGCTCGAGCACGCGCTGACGCTCTTTGTCCGCGACGAGATGATGTACTGGTTCACCAGCAGCCACCGGTCCATGAACCTGACCGAGAACCAGCTGCGCGAGACGGTGCAGGCCAACAGCGAGATGATTGTCAAGAAGGCCGTCTCCCTCGCCCAGGCGCCCGCCGGCAATCTTCCCGCGCACCAGACTGTCATTGATTTGATTGCTAAGGCCGTCAATCCCATGAACTTGGCGTTGTGTGACGCGTTGTGGATGCCCTATCTGTGAGCGGGCTTGGGGAGGGTTTGGTAATGATGGGGGTGGGGTTATACGATAATGTATTTTGTGGTCTGCTTGCTTTGCGGGATCTGGACGGGGTGGATGGAAAAAGCGGAGGCGGGCGCTATCTGGAATCGGAGTCTAAGGGGATCTGATTTTAGGTCAGGGGGTGTCGGTGGGAATGGCGATGGGCGGTTGTTTTTAGCCTTCTGCTGTCTAAGGTCATTATTTTAGTCCAGCTAAGCCATCCAACATTGTTTATTTTGCTATCAAAAAGTACTTGACACTCGTTCATGCCGTGATACCAAGGCAACCTGCTGTTTGTGAGACACAAACAGTCAGCGGGGCCGAGGACGGACCGGCGCACCCGAATTCGGGTACTGGCTTCCGATAACCCCGCACCGTCCCCGTTGCACTGTCTGTTCATCCGGAACTCCGGACATCCGATGAGTGTGGGCGTTGGCTTCAATTCTCACCTTGAATAACATCCTGCTGTTGCATTTGACTGAAGACACGTAGTTGGATTCGGGGATTTGACGGAGGAGCACATCTAAGAGCGGTTAATATAGCAAAATCATTCCCATTCTTACACTCTGTCGGTCTGTCGTTGCTAGTTGACTTCAACATGGCCGGGGATCAGGGACAGGCAGCGGCATCAGCGCCGGTGCCGCGGAAGCTCTGGTAAGTCTCACTATGTCTATGAAACGAGGAGTCAACCGACGTGCCTTGTCGTGAACCCATACTCACCATCACCGCCGTACTCAGGGAACACCCCGACCCAGAATCCACCCTCATGTACCGCTTCATGCAGGACCTCAACCGCAAGCATGGCCTGAATCTCAAGGTACCCCCTCCTATCGCTTTCCCCCTCTAAACCAGAACTTAATTCAAGAACTAACTGTCCGGAAACGAAACTGTGAATGTTGAAAAGACCTTCTGGGACCTGCACACCTACGCCGTCAACAACCGGTCCGCCTTCTGGGCCGCCGTCTTCGCCGCATCGGGGTACATCCACCAGGGCCAGCCCAGGGCCGTGGTAGACGACGAGACAGCCCCCATCGATGCCGTGCCGAAATGGTTTCCCGGCGTGGCGCTCAACTTCGCCGAGAATGTGCTCTTTTCCCCTCGTCCCCCTGGTGGCGATGGTGATAACTCGGAAGAACGCCGCTGCACGACGGGCAAAGAGGACGGCAAGATCGCAATCACCGAGGTCCGTGAGGGCGCCAGCCAGGTCCGGCACGTCACGTACGGCGAGCTGCGCGCAGAGGCAGGGAGGCTGGCCCGGGCCATGCGCGCAAGGGGGTTAACCAAGGGGGATAGGATTGTTGTGGTGGGCGCAAACAGCGTCGACACGTTCCTCGTCTGGATGGCCGCTGCCTGGATCGGTGCGGTGTTTACGAGTAGTTCGACGGATATGGGCGTTAAAGGGATCCTGCAACGCACGGTGCAGGTTGATCCGAAGGTAAGTGCATTTGCTTTTTGTTTTCTTTCCCCCTCCGGTGGAGGGGTAAGGGGGAAGAGGGCTGATGGGCTTTTGTTTGGGTTAGCTGGTTTTCATGGACGACGCGGCGCTGTATAATGGCAAGGTGGTTGACTTGAGGGGGAAGATGGCTGAGGTTGTGGACGGTTTAAAGGGGTGCCTGAGTTTCGCTGGTGCGGTGGCTATCAGGAGGTTCGACGAGGCCAAGGACGTGTCGAAGATCCCCAAAACGGAGACATGGGAGTCGTTTGTTGCTGCTGCGGGTGAAGGGGGTTCGCCTGCACCAGAGTTTGTCCGCATCGGATTTCACGAACCCTTTCTCATATGCTACTCGTCTGGCACCACGGGCGTGCCCAAGGCAATTGTCCACTCCATCGGCGGCGTCATGATCAACTACTACAAAGAGGGCCGCCTCCACGAAGGCCTCGGCCCGGACAGCGTCACGCTTCAATATACCACGACCGGCTGGATCATGTACCTTGCCAACGTCGGCGCCCTCCTGTTTGGCGGCCGCTCGATATTCTACGACGGCTCGCCGTTCCAACCCGACCCCAGCATCCTCATCCGCGTTGCCGCAGAACACGGCGCCACCAAGCTAGGCATATCCCCCCGGTGGATGTTTGAAGTCTCCAAAGCCGGCCTCCGTCCGCGCGAGATGGTCGATCTCTCCCGCCTACGGACTGTCACATCCACCGGCATGGTGCTCTCTGAGCAGCTCTTTGAATGGTTTTACGAGGTTGGCTTCCCCGGGCACGTGCACCTCGCCAACATCTCTGGCGGCACCGACATTGCCGGCTGCTTCGGCTGCATGAACCCGCTTACGCCCGTATACGTCGGCGGTACGCAGGGCCCGTCGTTGGGGGTCAACGTCGCCATCTACGACTCGACGCTGCCCGACGGCTCAGACGGCAAAGAAGTGCCCCATGGCACCCCAGGCGAGCTGGTCGCCACGGCCGCGTTTCCCAACATGCCCTGCTTCTTCTGGGGCGACAGCATGACGCCGGGGGCCCGCGCCGCGCCGCCGGGATCAAAGTACCACGGCGCCTACTTTGCCCGATTCAAGCACGTATGGACGCACGGCGACTTCTGTGTGATACACCCCGTGACGGGGAACATCACATTCCTTGGGCGGGCTGACGGTGTGCTCAATCCGTCTGGGGTGCGGTTCGGGTCGGCCGAGATCTATTCGGTGATTGAAAGGTATTTTGCGGATCGTGTGCAGGATTCGCTCTGCGTCGGGCAGCGGCGGCCTCAGGACAGCGACGAGTCGGTGATGCTCTTCCTGCTGATGAAGCCCGGGATGAGGTTTGACCGTCGGCTGGCGAACGAGGTGAAGGCGGCCATTGCTCGCGATCTGAGTAAGAGGCATGTGCCGAAGTGGGTTTTCGAGACGCCCGAGATTCCGGTGAGTAGTCGATCCCAAATTCATTCCCGAGCAATACCTGGAAGCGTGCCTAACCATGTCCAGACAACTGTCAATCTCAAAAAGGTCGAACTGCCCGTTAAGCAGATCGTGTCGGGGCAAACTATCAAGCCAAGCGGCACGTTAGCAAATCCTCAGAGTCTCGAGTATTATTACCAGTTTGCAAAGGTGGAGGAGCTGGTCGGGCCCAAAGAGAAACTGTAGACGTCGCCGTCATTTCTTCGGCGAACGGGGAGGGCTGGATCACAACGGCTGGGATTCACTGTGTTTGCAATGCGTTCACTTGATGTCTAGAATTAATCTTAATAGTGAAGTAGTAGATTCATGGCAGGAGCGATTCACTCTGGCTCTGGGGCAGGACCAAACAAAAAAAAAAAAAAAAAAAAGGAAAAAAAAAGGAAAAAAAAAAGGAAGCACCCAGACCCGTACTCTCCTCTAGGTGGGCTCGAACGAGCGAACTCCTGGGTACTCCCCCGCCCCCATGACCGTAGTATGGAAGGTTGAGAGTAAACCAGAAGGCTGTGGCCTTAGCCACTACGCCAACTGTGCTTGGTGTGGTGACTTCCTTGAGATATGGGAGGAAGGAACGAGCCTTATATGGGCCCTCGCGAGGCGAGTCCGCCCTCCCTGAGGTGACTCCCTTCCCAGGCTCAGAACAATAATCTCCTTCTCATGGAGGTTCTTCCCATTTGACTCCATATCCATCCGAACAACCTTTCCTTTCGAGCTTTCAGCCCATTCAAGCTCGCGACAGACAAGCAAATACATCGCTTCGACACACAGCCCTTGAGGTTTTCGAATATTAGTCACGCCGTCATCGCAACCAACGTCTCAGTTTGATTTCCACACCCATAATAAAACACCCAATACGCCGTCGCTATGCTATGCCTTTTGTGCCATGCTAATGTTTGTACCCACGCTCTGCGGACAACGCGCTATGCCCTGTAGATGAAACCTAGCCTGACACAGAGGAAAGAAAAAGCCATTCCATATCGCGCCGCCAAAGTCTCGTCACCCACAACCGCACACATTCCACTTCAGCCATCGTCACTGAGCTCCATCATGCCTTCCTCCTCTTCCTCCTCGACTATGTACCTCCCCCGCCTCCCACCAATACGACCACTGCCAGCAGTAGCAGTAGAATTACCTCTGGCGACTCCCTTACCCTTATCCGCCGCGAGTTTCCCTCTAGTAGTTCTCCTCTCCATCCTCACACGGGCGGCGACCTTCCTCTCATTCAATTCTGCCTCAAACCTGTCCAGGTCGGCCTTTCCACCCACACCACCATCTCCCTCGTCCACGCCCGTGTCCCCTTCCTGGTGGTCGCCGGTGCTCAGCTGGGCCATCAAGACGCCAACATCGGCCGCGGCCGACTCCTCCAGCGCCTTATTCAGCAGCTCCGTGGCGATGGGATCCTGCGGGTTGACCGCCAGGGCCTCATGGAGCAACCGAACCGCCTCGTCAGGAAGACCCTTATCGAGATAGATCAGGCCCTTGGCGCAAACGACAGCCGGGTCTTTACCGCCGTCGCGCAGGACGGCATCAAACTCTTCTAGCGCCTCGTCCAGGAGGCGCATGCGGCGGTAGGCGTGGGCCAGGTTGGTGCGGGCGCCGAGCCAGGCGTGGGGATCGCTGTCGGTGTCGTCGGCGATGCGGAGGGCCTCGCGGAAGAACTTTGCGGCGTCGCGCAGCCGGTCCTGGTGGTAGAGCACGACACCCATCTCGTTGAGCAGCAGCGGGTCGGTGCGGCAGAGGGCGTAGGCCGTCTTGAGAAACTCCTCGGCCGCCGTCATGTTGTTCATGGCGTGGTTCTGCATGCCCAGGAACACCTGCGGGAGGTGCGTGCCCGTAAACAGCCGCGCCGCCGTCGAATAGGCCGTCACGGCCTGGTCATGCTCCCCTTCGGCCGCAAACGTGTGCGCAAACCCGATCCACGCCGGCCCAAAGTTGGCGTCCATCATGCTCGCCTTGGAGAAGTACCGCCGCGCCTCGGCGATCTTGCCCGTCGCGAAGTAGTAGATCCCCACGGCGAGCCACGTGCACGGCTCGTCCGGCCGGCTGTCGGCCAGCTCGTGCGCGATGAGAAAGAGGACGTTCGTCTTGCCCAGCTCGTACAGGCAGGCAAGGTGGACCGGGTAGGCGGCAAAGTTGTACTTGTCCTCTTCTAGGATGGAATCCGTGATGGCGAGGGCGTCTTTGAAACGGCACTGTGTGTAAAGCATGTCGGCGCGCGCCAAGAGGATGTCGGCGTTGCGCTCGAGACCGTAGTGCGTAGACAGGGACTCGATGGCCGTGTTAAAGGCGCGCGGGTTGCGGTATTTGGACAGTTGGGTTTGGTACAGCATGTGCACGTAGTCGCCCGGCTCCGACTTCAAATCGGGATCGTCGCCGCCGTTGGGGGCGCGCACAGAGTTAAAGTCCAGCGACAGCATGAACTCGTCTTCTTCGTCTGGCGACATGAGCGAGTTGCGCACCAGCTGCGTGAAGGCCTCGTAACACTGCACATCGATGCGCAGCGCGTCCTTGTAAGCCTCCTTGGCCCTGTCGAAGGCGTTTTGCTTGGCGTAGCAGAGCCCTCTCAGGTAGCACATGGCCGCCTCGTGACGTCGGTCCGACGATTCCTCCTCGCTGAACTGGTCTCGCTGTCGCTCGGGTGCCTTCAACCCTCCTCTCCCCGGTCCTCCGCGACCACCTGTCCTGCTTGTTTTCCGCCTGGCATTTGCCGTGAAGAGGTGGGTGGGCGTGTGTTCGCCCAGGAGGGCCAGGGCGTCGTTGAACAGGTTCTGGCGGATCAGGCAATGGGCAGCCAGGTAGCGGCACGAAGAGTTTGAGCCGATTAAGTTGTGTTTTGTAAGCAGGGCGTGGGACCTCGTGTAGTTGCCAGCGGCGAAGTGGACTTGAGCCAGCCAAAAGGCGTCGTTGTCGTCTCCTGTGCGAGACGAGGGGATATTAGTGGAGATAGACGACAGAGCTCGGGCGGTCCGTACTCGTCATTGCAAGCAACTTGTCACCTATGAAGATGGCAGACTCATACTGGGCCTTGTTGAGTGCATCCTGGCGCCAGTCGCGGAGGAATCTCTCCATGTTGGGTTGCGAAGAAGCCATGGCACGGTCTGTGGCTCGTCATCGGATTGGACTCGAGTATTAGTTGATCAAGCAAACAATGCGATTATTGCTCAATGACGGATCTTTCGTCTATGGTTTTCACCAGCACAGTCACTCGGACCCGTCACAAGGTATGCTCAGGGGCCGGCACCAACGGTCATGCTGGTTCAAGGTTGTACAAACGACGGCTGGGGTTCTCGGACGCGGTTATGAAGTTCAAAACGTGGGGACGCGGACAAGGTGGGGCGCGAGTTCAGGTGAGCCCGGTACGTACAGTACCTGACTGGCGCGATACTGTGTTATACACGGTGCAGAGTTACCTTTAAATCAGCAACTCCCAAGAGTCCAAAACATTCAGGAGACGGGAGCTTCAGTGCTCACACTTTCAGCATCAACATTGGAATCCCGATAGGCCACAGAAACATCATCGACACAAGATTTTTCGAACGCTACTCCACCCAGCCATGCAGCCCCATCCGACATCACTCATTACAATACATACATTAATAATGCATGCTACCCCCCAAAAGGGAAACAGGTAAAGTAGCTGTCTACCCTAGTCTAGTCATTCGTGACGCTTGCAGTTCCCATGACCACCATGCGTTATATTCTTGGGCTGTGCCAGCCCCAGACAATTAGCCATCTTGTAAAACACATCGATGTTGCTATAGGTGCCGCCAAAGTCTGCTTGGCATGGACCCATGGCGTACACGGGCACGTCGGTGAGCGAGTGCACGCCCTGGGACTCGCTGGTCGGCAGCGTGCCGTTGACCACGAAGCCGTTCGGCTGATCGGCCGGGTTGACGTAGTAGCTGCCGTCGGCGCCCGTCCTCGCCGGGGTTCTCGGCGTCTTGTCGACGCCGTATGACTCTCGGTGGTCCGGGTTGGCGCCGGCCCCCGCAGCCAGCACGTACCGCGGGTCCCAGTTGAGCGGGAAGTTGGCCCCCGTGCCGTAGCTCACGCCGGGCTTGGGCTCCGTGTACTGCGAGAGACCCGATTGCTCGTACACGCCGATGGCGTTGCGCTTGGCGCGATCGTCTGTCTGGGCGTTGAAGTATTTGGTGTCGGAGCTGCCAAAAACATCTAGGTGCACGGGTATGTTAGTTGAATACTTGGTCGAGAAGGAAGCCGTTAATCAGCTTACCGAAGCCGTGCCCGTGATCGGCAGACACGACAATGAGAGTATCCTCAAGGATGCCGAGGGATTTGAGTTTCTCAATGGTCGCACCAATAGTGTCGTCAAGTTCAAGCAGGTCACCTAGGGCGCGGTCATAGTCGAGAGAGTGCATCTGCTTGTCGATCGACGCAGCCTCGGACATGAGGAAGAAGCCTTTCTTGCCCCCGCGCTCATGCAGAATGTCGATAGCCTTCAGCGTCATCTCCTTGAGGCCTGGGAGATCCGTCGCCGACCGGTTGGCACCAGAGGGGTCGTTGGTGAGCGTTGAGAGGTAATCCTTGAAGATGTTTCGGTCAAGCCAGACGGGCAAGTTGCTCCTGCAAAAGATGCCCAACGCCTTCTGATTGTTTGGAAGCCCCAAGAGCGACGTCTTGTTCAGGCTGACGCTATACCCCTTCTTGGCAAACTCGGCATAGAAGTCCTTGCCCTGGTACGAGCCCGAGCCGGGGATGAACTGCTCAGCGCCACCGCCGAAGTAAGCGTCCGGGCCATCAGTCCTGGTCCACGAGTAGTTCTGGACGCCGTTCAGCGCTTGGTTGATCAAGTCACCATACCGCGCCCGCAGGCGGGTGTGGCCAGTGAGCGCAATGGGTGTCGCATCGGCGATGAAGGCGGTTGAGACAGCGCCCCACGCGGATCCCTACTCACTGTCAGCGTACTGTTGTTTTGGGAGGTCGGCACGCATGTCCTTACCCAGATACGATGCAGAAGCTCTACGATGGTCTCGACCTTGGGGTCGTCCATCGGGTCAGGCGATGAGTCGGCATAGACACTGCAACAGATGGTGAGCCCTGTAATCCTTTAAACACTCAGTTGTACCAGCCCACTCACCCCATCGCATTGACTGTGCTCTTGTGGCCGGTGTAGAGCGCGGATGCCGAGTTGGCACTGTCGGTTATGAAGCTGTCGATCGAATGTGACTATCACGCTGGAGGTCAACCCAACGTTCGTCTCCGCTCTAGCTCACTTGTAGACTAACCATTTGGTGTCCGAGGACGGGGAACTTGTCCATCGCAAGGGTGGTCTGGTACTTGCCATTGATGGTCTTGTGAGCGAGCAGACGAGCTGCCGTGATCATGTTGGTGGTCATGCCGTCTCCTACTCGCCAGTCAGCCTGAGGATCTTGCTTTACGAGGGACCAAGTGGCCCCGTACCGATAAAGAAGATGACATTCTTGGCCTTCTTCTGGGTGGCCAGCGGACGGACAGTCCAGGTGGCCGTGGTGGTCTTGCCCGAGTAGTAGTTCAGGGTGACAGTGTAAGTGCCCGGCTCATACAGCGCCACGCGCCGGTAGGCCTTGGAGGCAACATTGACGACCGAGGGCGTTTTGGCGTCCTGGGCGAAGAGGTCCTCGTACCAAGAGAATGTCCACTTCTCAACCTTGGGCTCCTCGACTTTGAAGAAGTCGGCGATGCTCTTGGCCTGTTCCCCGTCCTTGGCAATGGTGGCAGTGAACTCCTCGTCCGGCACGCCGTCGTTGAAGGCTTCGGAGCCGTTCTTTGGCGCGTGGATCTCAAAGCGAATGTCGAACTCCTGGCCTGGGAGGAAGTCCTGCTGGTCTGGAGGAAGCACGCAGCCCAGAGTCGGGCATGTGCCCAGTCTGCGGAAGGTCTGGGCCGAGCCCACTGACAGCGAAGCTGCCAGACACAGGGCGACCGCGTTCAATCTGAGCAGCATTTTGCCAATTGACAAGCTAGATCGGCCGACGATCGAGGGCACGCTTCCCAGCTCGTAGTCCTAACAGACAGAGCGCGAGGCTGGCCCTCTTATACAAATTGCTCGGGTCAGCTAGGCGAGCATGCATGATGCATCCAATGCTACCTCATGATAAATGAGGGCTCCCGCTGGAGTGTAACATCACCACGGGTTCCCCAGGCTTTCCTTGTGCTCGGTGACTGGATCCGTCACTTACACGCTGCGGGAATCACGGTCACTACCTCGACCACGTGTATCCGGTGCGATTATCGCTTCTGGCACCATCAAAACCTTCCAGGAAGACCCTCCGAAGCTCTCCACACCAATAGTCGGATGAACTGCAGAATCATTGGCGTCATCCGAGGCCGCGGGGCCGGGCGACGCGGGCCATGCCTGCCACTTCGACTTCAACCCAATCTTTGCCAAGCCTCATCTCCGGCGCCTGCCAAGTTTTGCAAACGTGATCGCGCTTGTGAGTCTGATTGGCGACCGCCCACACGGTTGCCAAGACCCAGCAACTGCAGGAACATGGCGCTGGGTTCAAGTGGGTTCTGCGAAAGCGGGTTCTGCTGAGAAAGGAAGGCAATATTTTGGAAGAATGCAGATCGTGGAGACTGGAGGAAGAGAAGGTTTGTAATTGATGGACTGGGAAACCTGCACAACTCGTCTCATTCATGAAGCCTTGTTTGCCTCATCAATCTCTTCTGGCGCTATTCTTCCCTCGTTCTCATTCCTTCCTCCCTCCCATCTCACATCCCGTAGCAATCTGGAAGAAATAACTTCAAAACCTCGGGGTTAAATTCTGCAACTGCTAGACTCCAGAGCTACTCGAGGTTGACAAGTCCATACTCAATAGGTAGCGAGGAAGGTACGGCACTGGGAAACTGAGGTTGTCCGGGGATCGAAGATGAGCTCGTCTTCGTAGAAGAGATAAAGGAGATATTGATGAAAAGCAGAGGTCAAAAAAGGGAATAGGGGCAAAAAAAAAAACATACAGCACCAGGGATTCGCTGGTCGTCACCGACCCAACTACTAATCTGGCCCTTACTGGCTTATCTAGGGGAGAGCGGACGGGATCCCGAGCTTTCCAGTAGGTATGGCCGTATGTGACAGATCCCTTCCAAAATGCACTTGTTCAAGGCCATGCTCTAGCGAGTGACGACGAAGATGGGCATTGATAGTTTTGACCCATTATCAACGGTATCCAGCAAGACTCTCGATATCACTAACCCACCTTTATATAAGTACCAATACTGAGCGCCATTGCACTGACATTGGCACCGTCACCTGTTCTCCTAGAGACCCAAACCCAAAACCCTCATCTCCTGCACCAACCGCCTCTCCTCCTCCTCATCAAACCTCTTCCCCCCATCGTCACCAGCCCGCAGACAAGAAGAATGCCACCACACACCCTTCAAGTTCCCCGTCCCGAGACCCTCCACCAACCCCCTGAGTCCTGCACTCCTCACCCCGCCACCAACAATAACCTCCACGCCCATGGTGCTCGCAGCGCGTACAACCCTCCTCACAAGATCCACATTGTCCCCGGCTGCGCCCTTCCCACCAGAAGTCAGCATGCCGTCAAATCCACACTCCCGCACCCGTTCCATGACCGACTCAACCAGCTGCTGTTGCGGTCCCGCAGCTCCGCTAGTCCCCCCATCCTCCTCACCATCACCGGTCCTGGTCCTGTCTAATGAAGATAAAGTACAAGAGAAGAGATCGTCCACGGCGCGGTGCAGCACACTCACGAACCCGTACGACCGAGCCAGGTCGACAAGGTGCTTGTTGCGGGGGACGTCCAACTCGAGGCTCACTGACTGCGCGGTTGGTGTTGGTGTTGGTGTTGCTGTACGGCGCAAGACGCCAAAGACAAACCCGTCGCCTTGGTCTGGTCGAAGCAGGCCTGATTCGGCAAAGGTGGTTATGGAGGCGGCCATGGTGGCGAGTTCGACGGGGGTGTAGATGAAGTCTTGCTGCTGCTCGTTTGACGTAGTGCCTTCTGAGATGATGTTGTTGGGCGGTCCGCGGGGACGGATCATGATCCTTATTGCTGGGCGGCTGGTGGTTTGTGGACCTGTTTCTGCTTGAGGAGGAGGAGAGCTGCTGAGGGATGATAGCAGAGTGGAGAGGTCGGATATAGTCGGGGTGGTGCCGCCCAGGGCTGCAACGGGAACGAGGTTGGTCAGTACCAGGCGTCCGGATAATGAATAAGCGGGCATAAAAGGTGGGCGATCTGCGGGAGAAGGAATGTGGGCGACTGGACAGTGGCATATCTCGCGCGAGGAGCGAGTGAACTTGTAGGCGGGCGGTCACCTGCCGGCTTCCAACCAGTATGGCCAAGCGGAGAAGAAAGGTGGTGGAGGGAGGGACAGTTGGAGACGACGGACAATCCGCTATGTCAACTACCTACCATATGACCCAGCACGGTTGAGCTCGAGGCGACTGGCACCGAGGTTGACAGCCAGGGCACCAGTGTCTGGGCCAAATATAGGCACCTCTAATGGCTGCCGAACGCGTAAGGGTGGCATCCCGTTTGACTTGCACACAGTAGGTGTAGTGAAAGACCAGGAAGTCAAGTGGAATTGTGGTGACGACCTCAGAGCATTCTGTTAACCATCTAACTCTGACCCGGCTTCCGGAAGAATGCGGGGCACGCAGCCCTGATCCGGACCGAGAATTTGGGTTAAGTTGGGCGGAGAACCCCGGACCCGCTTCCCCGGAGATGCAGCCTTATTCGCGCACCCCGACATCGCCATCTGCAGGGACATGGGATCGCGATGAAACATGAACGACGACTCTGGGTAACACAGGCGAATAACACAGTACGTGGCGATCAAAGTACAACAAAGCAACAAAAGGGTGTCCGAGAATGGCCCAAAAGCAAGCTTCTTGATTCCTCCTCTGCCGAGATGAAAATACTTAAGCGAGTCTGAAAGCCTAAGGCCATTCAGGACACCTTGTCCGGCTGTCGGTGACGGTTCAGACACTTCTCCAGCTGCCCATTGTGTCCCTCACGAATCCATACTCCATGCCGGCCCTATCGCTTGTGAATGCGAGGAAGAGCAGGGCACGTCGTCCTGTGCCACAAAGAGGCTCTCTTCTCCGTCCCGATCGTGGTTAGCGAGAAAACGGTCGATGTAGTATTGAGGGGGCATCAAGTCTCGGGGAGGAGGGCTCGACAGGGCGGGAGCGGCGCTTGTCGCGAGAGTCGTCGGGGAGGAAGCCGGGCACTGCCCATGGTACGACCAGGAAATCGAGGAATTGAGGGGAATCCAGGCAGTCGGGTGCTGGGCGTTGGGGATTGACGCGTTCCAGCTCACGGAGGGATCTTGCCGTCGTGTCATGGGAACCTTACACTTGCGGATGCCGCCATCCTTGGTAGCCTTCTGCTTCTCCTTCTTCTCTTTCTCCTTCTGGGCGTCCTCTTTCTCCTTCTTCTGAGCGTGCTCTATTAGGCTAGCGTCAGCAAGATTGTACACGGCGGAACACATCGTCGGGTCCATACCAGCTTTGAAGTACTTCAGAGGCAACTTGCCGGCATGGGGAGAGAAGCGGCCCAGACCAGCATTCTGGAAATAGTGTTCAACTTGGGAACGTCAGTGCGGCATAGACTTGAAGAAACTTAGAGGGAACACTGACAAACACCGAGATGAGTGTACTCGCGGCGCGCCTTGTCGCCCATGATCTCGGTCATCTGCTGGGCGACCCACTGCCAGGACTTCTCCTCAAACCGCTCACGGTCAGCTCCCAAGCGCTTGGGCGACTGGGGCATCAAGCGGTTCCAGAAAACGTCCTCTTCTTCCTCTGACCAAACTTTACCACCCATGTTGATCTTTAACAGAAGAAGATAGGTTGTGTATTGTGATGTGAGAGCGTAAGTCAAATTTTGTGGGCAAGTGTGTCCTGTCCTGGGGAGAGAAATGAAAAAACAGTATGAGGGGCAGTTGAAGACATTTATGGGTGGAAGGGAAGGGACGGTGGGCAAGAGCCGTGGCTGCGGGGACGCAGAACAATTCATTGAATGGCCACAGTCACCCAGGCAATGGTTGGGCGAGTCACCACAGACTATTGTTCCCCTCAATGATGGGGTGGGCTCTGTTTGCTGCCATCCGATCTCTGGGAGATTGCGGTCTGCCTATTCGGGGCGGGAACATGGCCAAGTGACCGCCAGTTCCTTCACCAGTTCCTTCTCGTAGCTCTCAGACGGGGGAACATAAGGTTACCTGGCCGAGTGCTTGTTCATTGTAATAATAGGCCACAATGACTCAATAGCACCCGGGTCAGGTCGAGGATTTTGAGGGCCATTCTTGTCGGCTCTCCGCAACAGAAACTCACCTCGACTCGCCCGGTCCGCAGGTAGCTCGCTGCTTGCAGTTCCCTGGCTGGAAAGGGTACTCATACCATCGGTTTCGTACCTCTGGCGGCCGGCTTTCCGTGTCTTCTCTCATTCAAAGGGGCTTGAAGGCTCTGGGGCAGAATATCCCCGAGCGAGGAGATAGGGTGCCAATGATCTTTCGACCTTGGAGAACTGGAGCAATCAGTTAGTAACGGTGGGTTAGGGCCAACCTTGCAAGACGCCTACAATGCTCTTCTTCTGTAAAGGGACAACGCCGTCTTTGACCCACAGTCCCCAGCTACCCATCATATTGGCCAGCATCATGTCGGTTGCCAGGCGATCCCCAACAATGGCAATGTGGTGAGGACTCGTCACTCCTGTTTCCGGATGGCTGCGGAAGTATGACAAGATCTCCTCACCGCACCCAGGCTTCTTCACTCGATGCGAGAGAACACTGACTCCCGTGGATTTCTCAACCTCCATGGCAAGCCTGCCGTCCACATCGTAACTGGTGGCGCCGGAAGTGTTTGATACGATGAGAAGACGACGTCCAGGGTAAGCAGCTCGCAGAGCCTCAAACCGATTCTTCTCAAATCAGCTTATAAATCGCATTTTTTAACAGCAAACAACACAGACAGAGAAAAAAAGACCAGCGACGAAGATGATGCCAATGTTTACCTTGTATGGTTCGTGTATCTCATTTTGTTCCGGGTAAGCAAAGCAGTCGTCCTTATCCAAAACCACAGCTCTGATGTCAACATTTCTGCCCTTTCTAGCAAAAGCCTTGTCGAGAGGAATGGGAATGTCATCGAAGGTGCTGACCGTCGCATGAGGAAGACATAATGACGGCTTCGCCAGCAGCTTGAAGACGTTGATCGATGCCGACAGATTTAGGTTCATTGCAGCAGCGACCTGATCACTGGGACCACCGTGGAAGAGTTATGTATTTTGCCGCAGTAGTATCATGAGAGTAACATAAACGTCAAAAGGTGTAGCAGCTTTGCTCAATGAGTTTGAGAATCTCCATTGATTACCCCTGATCTCAGGGAAGGAACGTTGTAAGAAGCTTGGGCCAAGCCCCTAAAACGTACGGGGCTGGAAGTCGCGTCGCGTCGGTGCCACCTGGCAAGCACCTGTTGAGAACTTCAATACCACGGCTATGGTTAAGTTGAACAGCACAACCACTTGATGAGATGTGTATCCGTATTTACACAACATATATCTGATTCAGAAATTGCCAAAAAAAAAAAAAATGATACCATGTGTCACAGCTTCGAAAGTTGAGCATTGAATAGCAGGGAAAATGGCCCGCAACAAATCTTCAGCCGAGGCTACGGCGCCACGGAATTTACGCAAACGAGAGTTGGCCATTGACCCATACGATGTGCCCGATGAAACCGCATCACCGAAGCGTCAACGGCGCTCGAAGCCGCCTGAGGTGGTTTCTGAGAATCATGAGGACGAGGAAGCAGACGGCGATGAGATCGGGTCCATTTCTGAACCAACCCCAAGGAAGCCGCCAGGCCGAGCCCCCAAACAAGCCGCTGCTAAAACAGCAGACGTCCAGACGTCGACACCGTCGGCCCAGCGGCATAAAACAGTAGCAGAAACCCCAGTGAAGCTTAATGGATTTGACACACCAAGCAGACAGAACATTGCCGACAGATCGGCAAGGAGGAAGAGCGCTAGGGCTCTCATCGATCGTGTGATTAGCGACGCCGTCAGCGACGACGATGCCGAGGAGGAGGATATTGCGCGTGAAATTTATGAGTCCAGCGAAGATGAAGAAGCGGACCAAGAAGAGCAACGAGATGGAGAGGAAGGGCAGGAACCCACCACCCCGTCCAAGGCTCCAGGAAGGAAGCGCAAGGCGGCGACAGCAAGGAAGAGGTCACCAACACCACCCCGGGATCTACCTCCCCACGAGCAGTACTTTTACCAAAACAAACCCGGTCTAACCAAGACATCCAACAATAATCTCTCCATGTTGGATCTTCTCACACACGACGAGTATTTCTCTGTCCTCCGGCAGCTAAAGGACCCTCACGCCTCCAGCATCGACTCCCTCCAGGCCCTCCACGCCAAGTCATTCCCACAATGGGCCTTTGAGCTCTCGCAGGGCTTCAGCACCTGCCTCTATGGCTACGGGTCCAAGCGCCGTCTGCTGCAGAACTTTGCCACCTACTTGACCTCCAAGATCCCCGATCGTAACCACAAAATCATCATAATCAACGGCTACGTCCGAACCCTAACACCCCGCGACATCCTGTCTAGCTTGAGCGCCGCCCTCCCATCCTCCTCTTCTTCCAAGCTACCCATAGGGGGTAGCAACCCGACCAACACCCTCCAAAACCTTCTCTCCCATTTTTCCTCCTCTTCCTCACTAACCATCACCCTCCTAATCAACTCAGTCGACTCCCAACCGCTCCGCAAGACTCCAATACAAGCCCTCCTCTCCCAGCTCGCCTCCCACCCACAGATCCGCCTCGCCTGCACGGCTGACTCGCCCGACTTCCCCCTCCTCTGGGACGCCGGCCTGCGCGCCGCCTTCAACTTTGTCTTTCACGACTGCACCACCTTCGCCGCCTTTGGCCCCGCCGAGCTCGAGGTTGTCGACGATGTCCACGAGCTGCTGGGGCGCAAGGCAAGGCGAGTCGGCGGCAAAGAAGGCGTAGCCTTTGTGCTGCGGAGCTTGCCCGAGAACGCAAGGAGCCTGTTCAGATTGCTGGTCGGCGAGGTGTTGGCTGCTAGTATGGACTCGCAAGGCGGAGGAGGACCAGATGGGGATGTGGATGTGGATGTGGCGTCTGTCGAGTACCGCATGGTTTACAACAAGGCCGTCGAGGAGTTTATCTGCAGCTCCGAGATGGCGTTTCGGACTTTGTTGAAGGAGTAAGTTTTCGTCGTCACGTGCATTTCTGGCGCCTTGGGGAAGAAGACTCTTTCGGTTTGCTGACAGGAGGGCAGATTCCATGACCACCAAATTATCACCAGCCACAAGGACTCCATCGGCACCGAGCTGCTGAGCCTCCCCTTTAGGAAAGAGGAGCTCGAGTCCATCTTGGAGGAGTTAACAGCATGATCTGTGTTTGTACAAGCGTGGCGCTCAGGCGAGATAGACATGTTGTTTCGCTAGAAGGTGCTTACCTTGGGTGGGGGGCCGTATCGCACTTCACGAATATTCCATAGAGAGTGTACAATAGGATACCAATGGCTTAATGATGTCAACGGAATGACCAGGGCCGTAGCCAGAGCGAGACAGAAGGGACCACCTGCAATTTCTACTGCGGAGCTCTTCTCACATGTAAGGTATTCCATAACCTCTTCGCCTCAACCTTCACCTTACTGAGGAGGTAGGCATTCAGCACTAAGTGATACTATATGGGAAGTCCTCCCATTGTCCTTGCGCCTTGACTCCCTGTACTCGTGTCTGACATTCCCGTCTCGCTACATGTAATGTAGTATGAAGTAAGACGTATGGTTTCTCATTGCTATCCAGGAGACAATCTCTCCACTACAACACCACCACAATATTGTAATTCTTTAGCCCTACGAGCGGTGTGCACAAAACTGTTTACCTAGGCACGCCACATAACACACACACAGAGGGAGATGTGAAGAACACAGCAAATCACCGGGAGGCAGCAAATTTACTGTCAAGAGAGCTCTAGAAAAGCAACTGAATTTTTTTTTTGTTCGGACTCCTCAGTATGGACTAGACTCCAGTCTCCAGTCTCCAGCCACCCAGTGTAGAGTAGGAACAGAAGCCTCTGTCCGGGCTGCCAAAATTCAACGTTTCTGAGGCTCTGCAAAGAAGCCTGACCGTTGCGCAATATCCCCATTTTAGTTCGTTTGCAGCGTTGAACCCGTCCTTTTCGCAGACGCCGGTGCTGCTTGTTCCCAGTGCCATTATGTGACAGGGAGAGCCAGGGCAAAAGCATTTCTCCCCTCCGCCAGCTGAACTCATCTTCCAAAGGGGTATCATGCTCTCCATCAACCTGCTCCCACGGTTCCTCAAACCGCCGAAAGAAATTTGCCAGTCTATCTCCGAGGTCACTCCAGGAGCACGCGCGCTCTCCGTGTCTCTCTGGACCTGAGACTGAGACCGCCTGGCCGAGAATGATCCGCCGACCCGACCAGAGATAATAACCGAGAAATCCACTTTTGTCTATGTATTTTTTGCCATGTCAACGGAATATGAGATGAATAAAAGGAAAACCTGCGGCGTGCCATGACCCCCATTTCTATGTGAACGCATCGAGTCCTCCTCTGAAAAGCAGGCCAAGGGCAGAAACATGACGATCGTAAGGGTTGATCAAGATCCAGTCTCTCTAGATCATATCAGCCGTGGCTGCAACCCATGCTGTCGGGAACATGCGGTGGCAGCGCCTTGTCGACGTCCCAAGGGGAGAGTTCTGGTCTAAGGGTATCATGTCGTTGAATGGGTCCTTCTGTATTGCAGAACAGGCAAACCCGAATCTATCGTTAAGGCCGTGAAGGGGCCTTGGGGTCTGGTCCTGCTGGCCCCGTTGGAAATGATGCAGTCATGATCGCCGCCATTAGAAATTCCGAAAAATCGAGTGCCGAAAGAAAGCGAAGAAAGCCAGCCGAAAGTAATGCATGCCGTGTGCGTGGAGCGATGCAGCATCGAATAAGAAAGAAATGCAACCGTGAGAACGTCCAAGGTGTCGGGCAAGTCCCCTGTTGTACGGGCGTTAACCGGCAGTCTACCACCAAGACTGGCCACCAGCACCGCCAGGGTTGCCGTAACTTCCACCATAACCACCGCCATAGCCGCCGCCATAACCACTGCTGGGAGGAGGCGCACCGCCGTAGCCGCCTCCGAAACCACCACCGGAGTTGTGCTGGGGGCCACCGAAGCCGCCGCCAAAGCCGCCACCGCCGCCACCACCACCACCGCCGCCGTACTTGCGGAAATCAGTGTTACCACCACGTCCACGGCCGCGACCACCACCGCCGCGTCCACCGCGTCCACCGCCAAACGAGGACTCGCGGGCAATGGTCTCGAGGAAGCCAGGAACCTCCTGGTTGGCTTCCTTAAGCAGGTCAATCAACTCACGGACAACACCACGGTTGCCACGATTGAAGAAGGCGGTGGCGATACCGGTGTTGCCGGCACGGCCAGTACGGCCGATGCGATGAACATAGTCATCAATGTCGGTAGGCAGGTCATAGTTGATGACGTGAGTAACGTTCGGAATGTCCAAACCGCGAGCAGCGACGGCAGTGGCAACAAGGATCGGGCACTTGCCGTTGCGGAACAGCTCAAGAGCACGCTCACGCTCGCGCTGAGTGCGGTCACCATGAATCGAGGTGGCAGGGAAGTTCTGGTTGATCAGAAAATCCGACAGCGAATCGGCCATGCGCTTCGTCTCGACGAAAATGAGAGTGAGGCCGGCACCGTGGGTGTGCAGGATGTCAAGAAGGACGGAGCGCTTGTCGATGTCCTCGACATACTCAACCTTCTGCGTAATGTTCTCCGAGGTGGAACCAACACGACCCACGGACAGGAAGACGTAGTCGTTAAGAAAATCCTGCGCGAGCATCTGGATGTCGCGTGGGAAGGTGGCCGAGAACATGAGCGTTTGGCGCTGGCCAGTAGGGGGCATGTCCTCACCCTGGACGATGCGACGAATCTGGGGTTCGAAACCCATGTCAAGCATACGATCGGCCTCGTCCAATACGAGATACTTGATGTTGCAGAGGGAGATGCGACCACGCTCTATGAGGTCGACCAGTCTACCCGGGGTTGCAACCAAAAGATCACAGCCACGCTCGATCTGACGGAGCTGGGACCCGATATCGGCACCGCCGTAGACAACGCAAGGGCGGACCCAAGAGCGATACGCGAACTTCCTGGCTTCGTCGTAAATCTGGGAAACGAGTTCACGGGTCGGAGCGAGGATCAAGGCAGTGGGGTAAGCCTTGCGCTGACGACCATAACCGCCGCCGCCCTGGACAGGGACAGGGGAGGGTCCCTGAGTGAACGACTGGTGGAGAATGGGGAACAGGAAACCACCCGTCTTGCCAGAACCAGTCTGGGCGCAAGCCATAAGGTCCCGTCCGTTGATGACGATGGGAATTGAGTACTTCTGGACCGGCGTGGGGATCTTGTAGCGGGCGAGCTCAATGTTGGACAGCAGATGGGGGTCCAGCGGAGGGTTGCTGAAGGTCAGAACCGGCTCCGGAACATCATGGCCGGAAGGCGTGACCGGAATGTCGTCGTACTTCTCGAAATTGATGCCCGTATGCTGCTTGCTCGGGTCATCTGCAGTTCCGAAAAGATCGCGCTCCAGGCGCGGGTCGGGGGCGCCAATAATGTGCTTGCCGTCGACCCATCGACCCTCACCGCGGCCACCGCCGCCGCCGCCGCCACCACCCACATTACCGCCCGCATTCGGGCCGCGATATGAGCTGCGGTTGAAGCCGCCGCCGCCCTGGCGATTTCCCCAAGGCTGAGGAGGGGCAGCGTCGTAACCGCCGGGCGCCGGCCAATTTCCGCCGCCGCGGGCGTCATAGTTGTTGTTTCTAGCGTCGGCAGGTTAGCGATGGTCACACAAAACAAGCGGGTGTCACCCGCCGATTGACGGCGTTTCCGAGATAGAAAGGATGGTTGCAAAATTTTACTTACCCAGCCCAAGCACTGTTGTTGAGGCCGCCCATGGGGCCAGGAGGACCAGGAGGGCCCGGAGGGCCGTTCATGCTCGGATTCGGGGCCGGACCATTGGCGCCAGCAGCCATCTTGCTTCGCATGTGCGGGGGAATGTAGGAGCGTGTCGGGGGCGGCGCACCCGAGTCGAGGGACAGGTTGCCCATGCCGTTGGAAATTTGGTCCGCCATATTTGCGATTGAAGGACTCGTTGATGTTGCGTTAATGGTCAAGATTGACGATATTCGTGGGAACTGGGTTCGAGTGTCGACTCCAAATCTCTCGAAAAGAACGCGTTTGTTCGAATGAGACGACTGGGAAAAAAACGAAGCCGAAACCTTTTGCGCGGCAGAGATCGAGTCTATGCGGGGAAAGAACGCAAAGTGAACGAAACAACAGGCAGGAGGAAAAGCCGAAAAACCAATGCCTTCCTCGTCTAGTGTTCCACGATTATCGTTGCCTAGTGGTCGTTGCGCGCTCGCCTTCAAATAAACGAATTATTATGAGGGGCGGATGTCCTGCGATCCTCTCGAAGAACCTGAAATGCAGATTCTTAAGAAGAGGGAAAGGAAAGACAGATGTTTCAAAGGGAAAATGCAGCTTTGAGGTGTGGGATGGATTTAAGAATCCCGGGAAGCGTGAGGAGGAGGTAAGAGATTTTTTTGGGAGGAGAGAGGATGGGGGAGGGCCAGAAAAGAAAAGAGTTTTGGACTGGTCTGGGACCCACTCTTCAGCGGTTTAGGTAAGTTGAGGGCGCTAAGCCAACCATAGGGACGGGTTCCACTCTTGGCTCAAATTGCCCCTGTCAAATGTTTTTGGTGGGCCCTGGGGCGGTGGCCACCCGGAAGTGTCCTTCTGCGGCGTGCGCGGTCACTGTAAAGAGCGATAGGTTTACACTTTGCAGTGGCGACGAGCGATCTGATGGCGAAGACCGTGTCTCAGCATCTTGATGTTTCGCTTATGTGGCGAAATAGGGCTGCGGTCTTGTTTTCTCACACACATGATTCAACATTGGGGAACTGGGATCACGGAATTACCATTTACCAGATGAAAGGCGCGAGGGTGGGAGGCGAGCCCAGTGGCACGTGGCACATCTTTTCAAGACGCTGTTTCGAGTCGGGCAGAGCCTTTTACCTTCTCCGGCTGGGTTCACTGTTGATATTCTATGAGCTGTTTAACAGCTACCTACCTGGTACGGGTTGTTGACGGGCCCGGACGGAGGCTGGTGGATGTCACTGTCAAGAAGGTAGCTTCATCACGTAAGGTAAGGTAGGCTATCGCTCAGTGGAGCTGAGGCTTTCGGTAACTCAGGACTGTTATTCGAAAGACGTATCTTCCAAGGACTAGGTACTGTATAACCATCAGCAGTATTCCCGCATGACGTGAACGCAGAAGAGGCGTATGAAAGGTGCAAGCAATGATATATCGTCCATCGAAAGCGGCCTCACCGCTTCCCCCACCAGGCTTGCCCAAAAGGATGGCTGGCTGCAGCTGCAGGGCTTCTTCCAAGTGTACACGAAGGATCGGTGAATGCAGCTGAAGAAGATTTCGGTCGCATTGGCGGATCGCCCGCTCACCGCCCTCTTTCCAACATGACATGGAGAATAAAGCCCTTGCCTGCTGTTTTCTTGATAATGCATGTTGAACTGCGAGCATCGCTCACCAACCTGCAGGCAAGCCGTAAGTGTGCTCAGGCATGTCTTGAATTTGGACTGAAGGCTAAATGGAGATACGGAGACCGCTAGAAGTGTCCTGGCACCTTATGATGATAGCAAATCTGACCCGTAGGGTTCCAACTGGAGCAACAGAGTATGATCGACCTCGAGTTGTGTTGGTGTAACAGTTCAGGAACTGAAACTGAGGCACAAAGGGGTTTAGGGGTATGACCGGGCTCAAAGGAGAATGTGATACCTGAAAGAAACCCATCATCTCATTGAGTGCACAAATCGCCTGAATAGGTATTATACACAGTTTAACCCTTGTGGGACTCCTCGCACCCTTTAACTCAAGCGCTCTTGACCACCTTGTCGTCGTCAAACGGTTTTTCTTCAATCCCGTCCTTAGTCACCACCTTGACCACCATACCCTTGAAGTCTATTGGTAACCTTCTCTTGAGCTCGTCCGTGCAGAGGTCAAGGAGCTTCAGGCCCTGCTCGAGAGTTATGTCGGGGTGGTGATGTTTGTCAAGAATCGAGAGGCAGTAGTATCTATGACAAGTCAATATTCCGTACGTGACCCTGTTCGAAAGCCTTCAGGCTCAAGCGACATACTGGGCATAGCCGTGGGCTGCGTAAGGCACCGGCGCCAATGATGCGAGATAGTCCAGCCAGTACAAGCTGGGCTTGTGTGTGATGGGGTCGACGCCGCCGAGAAGAAGGTTGACATTGTAGGGCTTTCGCGACCGCAGACTCGATGCAAGTTCACCGCGAACAAAGTGCGCCAGCGCTGACGGCGAAAGGTCGGTCTCGTTGCGCATAGAGTAAAGCTGGGAGTTGGCTTGGATATATTCGGCGAATTGCACTGATCGGATGCCATTAGTGACAGTACCAACTGCTTTAGCTCCGCCCACCAACCTGTGTCGCCAGCCTCGCCAGAGAAGGCCATCAATGTGTGCTTGTTCAACTGCCTTGTCTTGTCGTCGGATGCCTTAAGGATGGTAGCCCCTCGCATCGCGGCCTTGGATGCAGCGATCAAGGTGAAGTCCTTGCCTGTGATGCCGAGTAGAACTTCCCTGAAAACGGTCAGCTAAGGGCATCCCCCATACCTGCTATCGGACTAGACATACATATTGTCTTATTCAGGCGAGTGTTGTGGTCGTTGTTGTGTAGTTGGCAAGCTCCCTTCCAGCTTGCGTTCCTCTTGTAGAGCTAGGCAGGAAAGCGAACGCGCATTGAAGCTCCAGCCTGACGGAATGAAGCACAGACTCCACCACCCCACTCCAGCCGCAACGTCCCGGGCTTGCCAGTCGATGCTCCACCACAGCCCGGGCCTTGCCCAAGCCTTCTGGGGCTGAAATTGTGGCGAAACACGGCGCTTTCCTTCTCCGACCCCGCGGCCTGAAAGGGAGGTACCTCCGTACCCAAGCCAAACCGGGGTGTTTCTCCACCGATGCAGGCCAACTTTTTTTTTCTTGGGTCCGCCCAGCTCAGAAATTTCGAAGCGCAGCTTTGGGCGACGCAAGACCGCTAAAAGTGCAGACGACAGCGACGACAGGCAGTGTCAGGGCCACAACCGCCACCATGTCGTCCTTCTTCACGGCTCCGGACGCCCAGAAGAAGAGAAAACGCACAGTAGCCAAAGAAGCGCCAAAAAAGCGGCTTGCAACCACAAAGGCGTCCGCAAAATCCGTGGCCAAAGCCCCCGCCAAACCAGCACCCGCCCCGAAACGAAAGGCCATTGAGCGCGATGAGTCGATATCAGGCAGCGACCTCGAGAGCGATGAGAGTGGAGATGACTTTCGGGAGCGGAGCGGCTCCGAGGGCGCCTCTGACGAGTCAGATAACGAGGGAGAGACGGCGGCCGAGAAGCGGTTGAGGTTAGCACAACGGTACCTCGAAAAAACACGGCAGGAGGTGGAATTGGATGAGTATGCATTCGATGCAGAGGAAATTGACAGGGACTTGCTCGCCGAACGGTTACAGGAGGATGTCGCCGAGTCCAAAGGCAAGGTCTATCGTCGATTGGCAGCAGAGCTAGACTTTGGGAGGGCAGCACACACTCAATTTCGTTGGAACTCGGGGTCCGTAACCTCCGTTGCGATCTGTCCCCCCTACGCATATACCACAACCAAGGATGGCTATCTCACAAAGTGGAAGCTGCAAGACCTACCCAAGGACCAATGGCCGCAGACAACAAGACGGAAACCCAAAAAACCTCCTGCACCGCCCAAACGGAAGCCCGAGAGGATATGCTTCGCCAAAGCGAATCCCAGCAAAGCTAAAGATAAGACATATCAGGGCCATATAGGTGCCCCCATCGCCGTCAAAGCCTCCCAAGATGGCAAGTACGTCGTGACGGGCGGCGTGGATCGGCGACTCGTCGTCCACAACGCCGCCGACCTCAAGCCCATCCGCGCCTTCACCCAGCACCGCGATGCCATCACTGGTCTCGCTTTCCGCCGCGGCACGAACCAGCTCTTCTCTTGCTCCAGAGACCGCACGGTCAAAGTCTGGTCATTGGACGAACTAGCCTACGTAGAGACCCTGTTCGGACACCAAGACGAGATTCTCGACATCGATGCGCTGGCCCAAGAGCGCTGCGTCAGCGTCGGCGCGCGGGACCGCACAGCCCGCTACTGGAAGGTGCCCGAGGAGTCCCAGCTCGTCTTCCGGGGCGGCGGTGACGGCGGAGCCAGCAAGAAGCACAAACTACCCCCCAACATCGACCCCGCGTCAGCCGCCCACGAAGGGAGCATGGACCGTGTGGCCATGATCGACGACGAGATCTTCGTCACGGGCAGCGACAACGGCGACCTTGCGCTGTGGAGCATACAGCGGAAGAAGCCCCTGCACGTGGTGCCCCGCGCGCACGGTATCGAGCCGCCGCTCAAACCGTCCGAGGCGTCGGCCGACGCGGATCCCGACCCCAAGGTCGTACCCGCACCGCAGCCGCGGGGCATCACGGCGCTGCGGACGATACCGTACTCGGATGTGATCATCAGCGGCAGCTGGGACGGGTGCATCCGTGTGTGGAGGTTGAGCGAGGACAAGAAGAAGATTGAGGCTGTTGGCATCTTAGGTGGCGCGTCACCGTCTTCGGGGTCAACACCACCAACAACAACGTCGTCATCGTCATCGTCGACAATGCCGAACGGCGTGAATGGCGAGGAGAAATCATTGGGTCAAGAGCCAAGCGGCGACCTAGTCAGGGGCATTGTCAACGACATTGCAATGTTTGAGCGTGGAGACAGGGGAAGGGATGGGCTGTGCGTTGTGGCTGTCACGGGTAAGGAGATGCGCCTGGGCAGGTGGAAGTACATGAAGGAGGGCCGGTGCGGTGCTGTGGTATTTGAGGTGCCCAAGGTGCCGAGAAGCAACAAGGCTGGGGTAAACGGGGATCACCAGCCAGACACAAACGGAGATGAGCCGTGATGGGCAACAGTCGTGATGCCACCAAGAACATGTGTACAGTTACCGAGACCCGGGCCCGGGGCAGGCACAAACTCGACAGAAATTGTCACATTAGATGTACAAAGTTACACTTCTACATCGCTCACGAGAAGCAAGAGATATTATGATATTTACAGTCCACTGTGGCCTTCAATTCTCCCCTAGAGTCTCATGTGAGCGAGCCCCATCAGTGGTGCTGCGAACCCCCAGCCGTCGACTGACTACCCGTTGATATGAGCGTCAGCTACAGACCCCAATGCACCCAGTATTAACGATGATAGTTTGCTGACTGCTACCTCCATAAGCAGGACCCAAGCTAGTTGAGGCAGAAAGAAAAAGGGTTGGAAGTCCGGGCGGGGACATTTCTCTTTACAAATGTAATACCGCCGTGTTGATTACCCTCTTGCATGCAATCCCAGTGTCCCAACCGAAGATACAACGATCATGATAGAAACCAACAAATGCAAGGTGAAAACCTTTTTTTGACAGATCCGGAACCCCTTGCCGTGTCAAGTGTCAAACCAGGCTATGCCATGCCATGCCATGCCATGCCAGATCATGGAAGCTCCCCCGCCACTTTGCGCCCTTCCAGAAACTAATTCTATGACAAGATTTCACCCAGGAAAAGAAGAGGATGAATCAAGTAATGAGATTGGAGACATCCCAGTGTGAAGAGGAGAAAGGATAAGACCCGCTGAGCAATGCGGGATTGTCAACGAAGCCCCAAACAGGGCAGCGAGGCAGGGCAACTCTCCCGCAGTTAGGACACCACCATCCGCAGGTTAGTCAGTGAGATCAATCGTGTCAGATTGCCGAACCAGCTCCGCCCTTTGCACAACGGGGATGTCATCGTCGTCCAGAACAAAGCGGCTCTCTGTGTGAGCGGCAGGTTGGGTCTTAACCGCCCTGGTATGCTGTCGTACGCTGGACGGTGTCAATGAGGGCCTCGTTGACACTTTCCTGGATATCGCGGAATTAGAGCGGTAGAAGGTCGACGGAGGGACTTCTACGATATGACCGTCATCTGACGGGCGTGGTGGTGACGTTGGGAGCTTGGCGATGAAGGCTGGTTCGTCTTGCCGCCCAGGGAGCTCCTCCACCTCCGGAGCCTCGATTGATGGGAGGACCCCATTCTTACGTGGAGAGAGCAGGACAACCTCGTCCGGAGCGTCTTGCTGAGAGGCTAGTTGTTGGGAAGCTTGACCGAGCGTCGGCGCGGAAGATGGTACGTGATCCCTGGTATCTTTGTGCTGATCAGACCCTGCTTCACTTGAATCACCAAATTCCTGGGCGTCCGTTGGGGAACTTGCAATCTTTGCTGAGCCCGATCGTTCGGACCACGCGGTTTTGCGACCCTGCTTGCCTCTGGATATGTCGAAGGCCTCGCTATTCGCCCGAGAAGAATGTGTCTCTGGCTTTGCCTTCACCGTAGGCGTGCGTTTGCCAGCAGAGGCTTCACGCTTGATGCGCTCGGACTCTTGCGTCTTCTGGTATCTGTCACGTTCCTCTTTTATTGTATCCCGCCAGAGCTCTCGCAATACAGCCGGCTTGAAATCCCAGTCTGGAGCTTCTCTCTGGAGCAGAACTTGGATGAACCGGTCAGGATCTCTGACAAATTCTTGAATGTAGCCAAGGAGATAAACACCGCAGTCACAGAAGTTGTTTTGCTGAGGGATGTTGACCGCTTTCATGCCTGGCAGCTGGGGTATCTCGGTAAAGACCTTCCCGCGTTTGTGCTCGAACTCTGCAAGGATATACTTTTTGAGATGCGAGACCGCCTGGGGATGGCTTACGCCCATGGAGTCGAGAGTGATGATCCTGGGATCTTCGGGATTGTGTCTCCTCGCAATAGGACCGGACTTTCTGCCATGCGGTGTTCCAGTAGAGGCTAGATCTTCTAAATCCACGATGTCAGACCTGATCAAATCAGGATCTCGCCGTCCGTCCGTCATGGTATGATTTCGGGATTGCATGGACTCGGTCATCTCAGTCATTTCCACATCGGATGACGCTTCGCATAGGTCTTGATTCGGCTGAGCCGTGTCCGCTCTGCCAGCATCCTCGGGGCTCCCAGTCTTGCGGTGAGATTTCCGGAAATCTGGGTCCAGCTTGCCTGGGTTGCATATTATAGCTACCCACCAGTGGTAATGCTCATTGACAGGGACGACAATGTAATCATAAGCCAAGAGGTCCACCTTGGCTGTCCAGCTCTTGACACCCTCGTAGTTGATTGCGTTCCTGCCAGCCTTGAGTTTGGCATAGAAGAATGAGTTGTGCAGGTACACGCGTTTGTTCAAGTCGGGATGCCTCATTAAAAATCGGTCGAACAGATAACGGAGGCCAAATCCAATGAGGTTGTCATTCAGGCATTCACCTTCGTCGAGTCTTGGTATATCTTCCTTGTCTACGGTCGTGCGGTGGAATACCAGAGGCATCTTCCATTCCTTTTCCCAATTAGGGTTCTTCTCCGTCCAGCGCGAAGGTCGAGACGCTGCACTGTCTAGCGTCTGCTCTCTAACCGGGTTACTCCTTAAAGAGCGTGTCGCCGAGGTTGTAAGACTGTTGGAAGGCTTGGGCTGAGAGAGTGAAGGGGTCTGCAGAGAAATCTGCATCTGGTTTCGAATAGGGGTGCGGGTGCTGGAAGACGGGCAGTCACGCCGCTCAACTCCTGTTGTGAGGGGACTGGTCATGGCTAGTTGGGGAAGCGCTGATGACCCTTGAGACGGCCTCCTCACTGGTGCCCGGGCGAAATTTATGTCCCGAGACATATTGTCGTAGACCTGGAGCAGCTTACTATTACGCAATGTCAGAATTCCTCGCGAAGCAGCCTAGCCGGCCAGGAAATACTATACCTATCCCTTTCCTCCCGGAAAGCAACGTTCTTCAAGTTTTTGCTGACCCAATCAACAACTGACGACGCATCGGAATTATTGAGAAACTTGATGACCATCGCACCCCCGATGGGTCCTATGGATGAAGACTGGTCCATGGCCTGGCTAATCTTAATCAGGTTGCTGTTAGGGTGATAGGCCAGTGTGTTGACCTTTTCCGAAATCTTGAGCCAGTCGTAGGACTTAGATTCGCCGTCACCTGTGAAGGCGCGGAGCTCAGACCTAGTTGTCGGCTGTCGCAGATAGCAAGGGCCTTGGTCCTCGGACAAGTAGCGGAAATTTGGCTGGCACACAGCTGCTTTCACAGTGACACTGAAGGTAGAAGAACTGGTATCCTCCTTTGCCCACTTGGTCTGACTCAACTCGCCTTTTTGGGACAGACCTGAAGGAGCACCGCACCGGGAGGGGTTCACGATCGGCAGATTATCGCTAGCTTCTGAGGGCGCCCGGTCGTTTGAATCCTGTGCCAGCTCATCATCTTCATCCGTACCTCCGTTTCTCCGCTCCTTCCCTTTGTTCGAGCACCCGGGGTACTGGTGCCGCTGAGGGTGTATGCCGAGAATAAGGCCATCTGCAGCGTCACCGAACTTTGATCGTTTGGATCGAGCGGCTTCGACGTCCTTGGACAATAAACGACGTCGTTTCAGGGTAACCGTAGGCTTGGGTTGCGCCAGCTCGTCGAAGTCCTCTATCGGCTCACTGGGCGTTCTCTGCCTCTTCGCAACATGTGATACAGCGTGAAGATGGTGTCCAGGAGACTGGCGGCGACGCCTATGTGAACGCTCCCGTCCACTGAATGCTTCCACGGTCTGATATTCGGTCACGCCAGGCGAGGCCGAGTGTGAAAGGCTCGTGCGGCTTCCGTGGTTTTCAGTCTTTGACAGTGTATCTTGTTCAGTATCCACAATATCCTCTACTTGGCCATGAAGACGAGATCGGATGTCGCCCTGCTTCTGCCGCTTGGGCTCAGGCGCAAGCGTGGGACTGGGTCGAGGCTGTTTGGGTTGGCCGGGATCCGAATTGAGGGTATTCATGGGTTTGAAGGACCCGAAAGACCCGACACCCTTCTTCTACTTGATGTCAGTCCCGTTGCTCTAAGTTTTCGCGGAGGTAGCAGGCAGATCACACTGACAAGCATATTACCCACGTTATTAAGAAAATTCATCCTGACGGCCCCTTTCACAGAACTGGTTTTACGGGGTTCGGAGGTGATTTGGTCAGTGACTGATGGGCAAGTCGTCAGGACAGCAGGCGGGGTTCGTACCCATACTCCGGGAACGAGTGTGGTGTTCTGTGGAAATCGAGATAACTCCCGCTGCCGGCACTGTCAGACCTTCCTTCCCAGGTGACCGCTCATACCTCTTTCTTCTTCAGTTTTCCGTAAAACCAACCTTTTCGAGGTTTTCGCATTCTGAGAAGCTGGCGCAAAAGCGGACGTGCTATCGCTTTGCAGAAGAGGCGGCGGGTCAGGTCGCGACGGTGCCGACTTTCTTTGATCTGGATTGTGGAAAGAGGGATCGGGTGGGTCTCTGCCGAGTGGTGCCCATTCAGTCTCGTGGGTCGGTTTTAGGGCGTCGTTTGGTCAGGGCATACCTTGGTTGGTCCAGTGTGAAGGCACCGCCAGAAATACAGATTCTGGTTCTACAATGCTGTCACTTGTTTCATCGGTTTGCAGAGTACGGGTCTTGATAAGTTCTTCTCAGTTTGATGTTGGGTTGATCACAGCGGAATATTCCTTCACTTGATGTCACGCGGCTGCAATCAAAGAGCCCCAATTGCACGGCAGTGACGGCACCTGCCGCGACGGTATGCAGCCCAGCGCCTTGCCCGAGCGAGCATTTATGCTCCAAAAATACGGAGTAGTTTGTAAGGAACGTAAGGTACAGGGTGTGTATTTGTATGTAGTATTTACATACAGACAATACAGTACAATTCCCAACCCCTAACATGTCCGCAGAGCTCTGCTACCTTCATCACATGGGCAGAGAAAGGCTCCAAATAATCATGCATCTGAGTTACTATGAACTAGTGTTAACTAGACGCAGTTGAAAACTTGAAAAATGATGTTTCTTCATAATTAGTAAAGTACAAGTCTTTCAAGAATGAAGTGACTGGCGCTACATGCAAACGGGCTTTCATTCTGGAGTGACAAGCTTGTCCAGATCAATGCTGCTCAACACCCAAGAGCAACTGGATAACCAAGACTGAAACTTCTACCATTCTGCTGTGTTTGAATTATCCGAAACCTACATCACCGAATTCAATGCAAAGCGACCCGACAGCAGCAAAATGAGCAAAGAAAGCCACATAGAACGCACGGCAAACGAACCCCGGGATCCGGTATGCATCTCTTCATCTTTGTAACCTCACAATATCTCATTGAAAGATCGTTTAGAACAGTAACTCACCTCTGTGATCTGCACCTTAGTCGCTGCACACCCTCACAATATCCCACATTACCCAAGTAACCCCCACCATCCGTCTTTTCCGCCTCCAGATTCACCAAAATGACAGCATCACAGTAAGCATACCTCCCCTGATCCTCCCGGACATCTCAACATGACTTTGATCCCATCCTAACCTCCCGCCCAGTTCCTCGCAGGCCAGTGGGTAGATCTATACCCCCCTCCCAGCTCCGGCATCACCAAACCAGGCGGTTTCACTATTACCTCGTCGCCCTCCTGGTCCCTCCCTTCACCATCGTCATACTCCACGCCCCCATACATAGAACTAGCAATCCAGTCCTCGCCCGAGAACCCGCCAGCGGCATACATGTTCCAACCGCCAGCTCAGATCCTGCACACGGAGGTGAAGGTCCGCATAGGGGGCAGTTTTGTCTTTCCACCTCCCCATCTCCATCTCCATTCTTCCCCTGCTACCTCTATTCCCAATTCCATTGATAGTAGTAGTATCACAGTACCTCAGGGCAGCAGCGGAGAGATCCATGCTTCCCCCCTGCCCCTGCGCAAAGTCGTGCTTGTCGCGAGCGGCATGGGCATCAACCCGCTCATGAGCATGCTGAGCTTCATTGGTGAGCAGCAGCACGCCTTGACGGGCACGGGCCTTGAGGAAGTGCGGCTGTTGTACGGCGTAAGACGGCCCCGGTTGTTGTCCCCTGAACAACAGGAGAACGGAGGAGAAAGCGGCGGGCGGCGTGGTAATGGCGATAAGGATGATAATGACCACGGCGAAGGGGGGATATTATTCCTGGAACGAATTGCCCGCATTTTCCCCCGTTCCCGTGGTGATGAGAGAGGAGGAGAAGGAGGCCTGGTCAGGGGAGGGGTAAGGCTGTTCCTCACCAGCGGGAATGATGGTAGTGGCGCTTCTGCGGTCGAGCGAGATAGCGGGGAACGGGGGCGGGATGGAGGTGTGTTGAAGTGTGATCACGGCCGCATTGAGGTGCCGTTTCTGAGGCGGCGGATGACGGTTCGCGATGTGGAGGAGGCCATCGGCGACGATAAGGAGGGCTCGGTGGTCTACATATGTGGGGTGCCCACAATGACAGACGAGTTCGTGCAGGCACTGGTGTCGCCAGAGGGATTCGGGATGGACAAGAATAGGGTACTGTTTGAGAAGTGGTGGTAGGTAGGTAGGTAGGTCCGTAGAGCGGGTTCCTTACACGAGTACAACGGCAGTGCCTGGTTGTTATCATGCGAAAGTGATGTACCGGCGGTATCACCGAACTAGACATTATGGACCGGAAGCTGACAAGAAACAGCGTTTTCCATGGTGATGTAACTGCTACCAACACTGACATCCTGCCATAGCCTACAAATCCATATCATACATCGTCTCCATAATGTACAGGACCGAAGCTGCGAATCGAGGTTACACCCAGCAGGACCTCGAGGAACCGGGTGCAGCCAGGGGACGGTCACCATCCACATCAAGCGTAAGCAATCGAATTTGAATCAGACAGAACATATCAGATCCCCTTTGGAGTCTTGGACTGGGCCAAGTCACCAACTTTTGCCGGCGGTTCGGGCAACTCGCGCTTAGACACCTTCGCCGCTGATTTCCGTGGCAATCCACTGAGTTTCTGAAGGCCTGATAGAAAAGATCTGCCGCCGGATTTGTTCTTTTGAGGCGAAGTGCGACCGAGGCGAGCGGCAATCTTGGCGGCTCTTCTTCGAGTTGGTGAGCGACAGGGGCTCACCGGCTTGGGCCGCACCATCATCTCCATTCGGGAAAGATCAAACTCTGAGTGGAAATTGGCTAGCAGAGATCGCGTAGAAGCCACGGCATTGGCCGGTGAGGGTCGCTGTGGCGTGGCGAAGAGCGCAAGGCCGCGCTCCAAGCCGCTTCCGGTTGTAGGCAGGTAGGAACTCGGAGAGGGCATCTTCTTTGCTGAAGGCGAGCCGTTTGTCGATCTCGGTGAGTTTTCGTAGTCAGAAAACGAATAATCTCCCAGACATGCCGATTTGGTCTCTTTAACCGGGGTAGTATCTAGAGCAAATTTAGACTGGGGAAGGTTGACAAGGTGCGCGACGCCAATCTCGACTTCCTCGTTGTCGACAGATCCTTCGTCAATATGCTGGAGAAGAGAAGAGGCAATCGTGTGCGTAGCGGATACGACAGATGTAGCAGAAGCCCGTCTCCAGGCGCCGATAGTCCCTTCTATAGGATACCTTGGCAACGGACGTTGCGGATAGAGAACGTGAGCCCCGTCGCGTAGCGTTTTGCTTGGCTGAGGGATAACCGGGTTGTATGAGCCGGCTGGAACCAGAAACTCTGGCGGAGATATGAAGGTATGGAACACTTGGTGTTTTCCAACGTCTATCTCATGGGTTGGGAGTCTAAGTTCCTGGATTGAATCATCGTCCGAGTCTTCCAACACTTTTCCAAATTGGATCTCATGGGGTTGGGGTGTAAGTTCCTGGATCGAAGCATCGTCCGAGTTTTCTAATACTTTCCCAACTTGGATCTCATTAGGTTTGGGCGTAAGTTCCTGGATCGAAGCATCGTCCGAATCCTCCAATAGGAACGACTGCCCTTCAAACGAAGTCTCATGTAAGCCATCAGAGCCGTTATCGATATCGATCTTGACCATGCTCTTGAGCGCCTTCGGGGAAGCTTCATGCAGAAGTTCAAGCTCAGTTGCAGGGATGAGGTTCAGTTGGTTGAGATTCTCCCAGGATCGGTAATGGATCCTAAACGATGCAAAAGGCTCGTCCTTTGCGTCGATAAGATGCCAGTCGTAAAAGCAAGCGTCCTGTGGTTGCTCCACGAGCCCGATACTTGGAGCGCTGAGGATCTAGTCAGCACAAACAGTCGACGAGGACCCTGATGGAGCGAACCTACGCAATGCCATAGCTTTCTTGCAATCGAAACTCTTCCACTCTCGGCGCCCGAGCCCGTCTCTCTCTGGCACGAAAGGCCTGTACCTCGATGAGGCCACCATCCTCGGCGACAGATTTGCGCTCTTGGCCAGGTAGAAAGACGAAGTTGCGCGCTTCGAATCCCACATGGCCATCGTAGCGTGCACAGGGTGCCCATAGAGACTTGACAACACTGCCGCTTGACTGGACGTCCGGATCGATTCCCCAAGCGGCGATAGGTCGCGAATTTATGTAAAGCCGGAAAAAGACATACTTACAAGGGGCAGGCGGCGCGGTATTGACAGCGTAGTTGATGGCAAACGCAGTGCCTGGAACTGTTAATAAGAATTACTTACTCCAGAGTCGTTGACCCTGCCGTAGGAAGCTAACCTGGGATCGATGGAATATAAACCGAAACAATTGGGCCGGCTTTGCGGCGAGCAACCGGGCTTTCCGTGCACGACCGAACGCTGGAACCGAACAGAGCGACTTGATCATCGTCAGAAACACCAAGTATTCGAGCCGATGTGCCTTCTGGATGTGGATATTCGGGGATCTGCTCATCACCCGGATTCGTGCTTAGCGACACCTCGATGCCGCGAAGGCAAGGCATTTTGGGTTGATTAGCTCAAGCGACAAGTTGAAGGCGACTTCAAGCAAGATAGTTATCGCGCTTCCTGGGAGCAGCGCCAATGATGGAGAAGAAGAGCTGGAGGTAGTCGCTGAATCAGGTGGGTGCTAGGAACGGAGCTCGGTAACGCCTGCAGAATTGGACCTGGAAGGCAAAGAGAGGGCTTTTGATTCAGAGGCGGCTGGATGTGGTACGAGTCATTTTGGTTTCTCGGCGGCGTGAAGGTGCTGTTTTCTGTTAACGACACTCGCAGGACCGTTGTCAAGTAGGTCCGCTGCGAGCGAACACACAGGGTCCGCAGTCCAAAGGCACAGAAAGCGGACCAGCGATGCTTGCCCAAACCTTTCACCATCCAGTCGATTCCATGTGACGGCCAGAAAGTAACCATATATACACAAGGCCGCAGCCTTGACTTGCCAGCCCCCGGTCTAGCTCGCACCCAGTACCTTCTTTGTGTCTTCCTCCTTATTTAACAACCCGAGATTTCGTATTTGGCCAGCTGTAGGGGGGTTCTCATGGATCTTCGCGGCCTCGGCTTTTCTGTAGGCGGCTTGAAGCATCTTGACTCTCGCAGCCTGCGGTTCCATCGGAATCAGTATTAGAGGCTGCTTGCTGCATTGCGCCCGCCTGGGACGAGACGACTTGACACGGGGTGCGGACCTCTTTTCTGTGATGTAGGCATTCGTAGTAGTCCTCCATGGCGGGGACACACTTCTTCTTGCCCGACTCGTCATCGTCGGAGCCATTGACAACGTAGCACGAAAGCAGCTCCTGCCAGAAGGGGAAGCATCGGGACGGGCCTGGATCAAGCGAGTCAGCGAAACGGCACATTGATGCGAGTGTGTCGCCGGATTCGAGGCAATTGGCTGTCGCAACTTCACTTACCTCCGTTCAAGCCGTATCCGGACGCCATACTGGGCAGCGCAGATGCCTAAGCGTGGAGGAGCAAGCGAGCTGCTGGAGGAAGCGGTTTGAATTGTCGTTGATGATCAAGGTGGCGCACGGACCTGAATTGGAGCTCGGTATCTGCATCTGCGCCACACCTTGCCATGATATCAAGCCACATCCAGCCTTGAATGCGCCAATCATCGTCTCGCACAAACAAACACAGGTACAGTCCCCCCCTTGTTTGTTCGTTAGCGCCTGACTTCGAGACCTGGGTCAGCTCTAAGATTTCAATTCCAACATCAAAACGGCCAATTTCTCTACGGAAAAAAGGCTCTGAAAGAAATAGTCTCTTTTAGTAATGCTAGGTCCTCTTTTTTCTCGCATTGGATCAATCATTTTGGCTGCTGAGAAGCATTTCTCTAATTCCTAGACTAGAACCCCTGTGGAGAGTCCTGCGCTAACAAACAAACAAGGAGTGAACTGTACTTCAGATGTCACGACCTGACAAAGAGGACAACTTTCTGTGCATCATGAGGGAGCTCATCATTAATTGAACTCAATTGCTTGATGCTTGATAGCCCCTTCTTCCCTTGACAGCCTGCGTTCATGTTGAGGATGGGATAGGTACAATTACAAGCTTCTCTTCAGATGACGTGGTACCGTACTTCTCTCACGACTTGTGAAACCGCCGTCAGGGATACTCCAAGAGTCACTACGAAGTACGAAGGTTTTACAAGAGTCCTTCAGGTGATCCTGCCCCGTTGTTAGAGATGAGGAACGCGGGAAGCGGGATGATGGTCCAAACGAGACCACGAATTTGCATCCATTTATTCTCTTCCCGCCGTATGCGTAGGGGGCGGCGCTCCGACGAGCCAGCCAACCCCTGAAACAAGTGTACCCATGGCCGCCTCCCTCAACTGGTCCCTCTTGCGCACTCGTTTGTTCGTGTCCTCCCCTCCGCTTGCCGATGTCGGTGACTGCGGTTGCTGCTCAAGACTACTCCTTGCGCTACCGCTTCCATCCCCTCCGCTAAGCCGTCCACCAAACCCAGCCGTCCTCTGCAAGCCTGACAGGGCAGAAAAGTTGCGTTGCGCTGACAGCACGCTAGCTCTGCTAAGATCAAATAATGACATGGGTGCTTCTTCGGCTGGCGCCGCCTTCTGCCGCCGGGATGATGGTAATGGCGATGATGAGGCGGTACTAGCTGACAGACTTGAGGACTGTTTACTTGTACCAAACGCCCCTGGCATACCACCAACACCACCACTGCTGCGCATGCTATCGCCCCTCGTATCCCACTCCTCCTCCTGCTGCTGCTCAGCCAGCAGAGCGGCATCCAACTCCTCTTCGGCACGGCGAAAAGCGTTTATTATCTCCTGCAGAGTCGGGGACGGAGCAATGCGCAGCGCTGTGGCAAGGCATTCTATGCGTTGTTCAAGATGGCGAACGTCTGGGTTGGCACTGCCTGTGCCCACGTGCGTGGGGCGCAGAGTACGCGCGGTACGCCGGTATTTGCCTGCTTGCAAGGCGGCTTTCCACGAGTAATCGTCTGTGGCCGGCAAGGGGGTAGCGCTGAGTGGAGAGAGGCGATTGACGACATACGAGTAGGCCGTCTCAAAATCATCTTCTGTCAAGGCAGCATCGATGCACATGGCTGTGATGCGTCTTTCGGCGGCGGAGCGCTGAGTAGCTTCTTCTTCCGGGGGTATGGGACTGTGGTAAGGAATCTTGTCGCGAGCTGGCAGCGTGAGGCCGGCTGCTACCATGCGAGCTCCAATGTCAAGGAGAGTCTGAATCTGCGTGTAACTCTTAGGGTTCTGCCCGAGTACCTTCCCAATGATGGAGATCGGGTCTGTGTGTACTCGCAGCACGACGGGCGTAAATGGCTCGCCTTGCTTAAGCACAAGGCGGTAGTCACTCAAGGCATGGGTGGCTTGAAGAAGAGCTTCAATCCGCTTCGCGACAGGACTTGTCTTTTCGATGGTCTTGGGGAACGCTTTTATTCTGGTAATCATGAGTGGAAGCAGTCGAAGCATATGGCCAAACGACTTACATGTCATCGCACCTCTTGACACCGCCGCGCGTGCGATTGGGGTTCGAGGCGTTGTCGTAGGCGGTCATGGCCGTAGCGTAAACGATTTCTTGCAACACATCCTTGTCCAAAGGGCGATCTGCGGCGTCTTCGTATATGGACCGTGCGAGCGTGTATCCTGGTGTCGTCAGCGACTAGCATAAGCACTAGCAGTTGAACCTACGTGTATTGGCAAGCAATGCCTTCAATATCTCGCCCTCCAAGAAGTCTCGCTCCACCTGGCTGAAGATGCCCTGGGGTGCGGCATCTGCCTGAGCCCAACTATCTTCTCCCCCCCAATCGCTCAGCCACAGGATTTCGTTCCTCGCTTTGATCCAGAATTTGTCCTCGGTCTTGGGCCCGTTGTTACTGAGAGCATGGATCAGCTTCGTTACCTCGGCCGTTTGTTCTCGCTCATCCTTTAGCATCGCCAGCTCTCCGGCTCTGCGCACGGTGCAGGGACAGCCTGCTTTGGTAAGTATGTGGGCGCTCAGGATAAGGGCTTGCAGGAACGTCGTTGATGTATTCGTCGGTGTTGTCAGAACATTAGAAGTGCTAATAAGGTCGCTTCGCATATAGTTCGCATTTCTAACCGACGCAATGTCTTCTGAGATCTGCTCGGTGAGAGGTGGTAGGAGAGCGAGAGCTGAGGCCAGCGGGGATAGGGGTTCTAGACCCTTCATATTGGAGACTTTTGCAATGATGCTATACGCCCCATCAAGAGCTTCAAGAGACGCCTCTGGGAGGAGATATGCGCATGCCAGTGCCGCCCTTGCATAGCTCTGCTCGAGATGGTCCCGTTGACTGTCACTGAGCTCCATAACTCCACAGCCGCCAAGGTCGACATCTGTCGGGCCATTCCACTGCTGGATTGCATTTACAGCCACCCGCCAATTTCGCCACGCTTGCGTTGTGAGCCATCGAAGGAGCTCGTCCCATCCAGGGCAGACACCGTCATCTTTCTCGTTTTCATTACCTGGCGTTGGGTCTTCTGTCGAGCCTGGACTATGTTTCTCGCGATTCCACCTCCTCTCGTCAAGCAGCCACGGTCCGATTAGGCCCTTCAAATCCCTTCCAACGAGCGAAAGGCCGCCCTCGCCAATTCCAGTCTGTGACAGCAGGAGGTTGACGGCTACACGGTCCGGCAGCTGCTGAAACCCTTGGAGTGTGTACGCAACGGGGTTTTGGGGGTAGTATTCGCAGTTCCGCCTCAGGAGTGGTAGTAATGTTGAAACTAGCATGGTCCGAATGCACGGCGAATGGTCCAGAAACGGCATGAGCAGGCCGGGCAGTTCGTCGAGCAGCCCTGCCTCCTCGTCAACCTTGTATGACCGACGCAGTAAAAACGCAGTAACGACATCTTCTATTGACTCTCCAGCTGCTTCGTTAAGCGCAAGAGATAGCAGTCGAAGCTTCCTGACTTTTCTTGCAGCTTCTTCTTCGGGGATGCTCTCGACGACCGAGCAGTCGACATCGTGGCTGGCCGTGTCCGGGAAAGTGCCGCTTTCAAGACGTTGGATAAAGCCCACGTACTGAGCGGACGGAAGCGTCTCGGGCAGGTACGTGAGAAGGATGCGCAGCAGCAGGTCCTTCCGAAGGATTGTAGCATGGTGAGCAGCGAGGGCAGCCAAGCTGGCGACGTCGGCTTGGGCAGCGAAGTGGACGGCCAGCAGCACGAGCTTGGCCGGTGAAAGTACCAGTACCATTGTCGCGAGATCTCCCCGGTAAGATAATGGTGCGGTGTTACCGAGAACTCGACACGCGACTTGCCTCATTCATGGCGGGTTGTTGATGCTGCTGTACTGTGTAGCGATGCGGCCAAGTCTCCAGCAGGGGAGTTGGAATCATTCCAGGTTGTCACCTTCGGTGCAGGGTGGGTCATGCCAAGCAAAGCCGAGTGGTCTAACGGTCCTGCAACGGTGCAACGGGCCCGCATTGTCGGTTCAAGCAGCTCGGGCAATTGGTAATAACACAGTAACTACCTCCGAAAGGTATCCTTACAATATGCAATTTGTAACGGGTAATGAAGCTTTGCTGTGTAGGTACCGGTACCTATGTATTTCATTGGACAGCTGAAGGCAACGTCATCCATACTTACTACTTCATCCAGGGCAGGTCAACGGTGCTTTGTGGTTGAGCGAATCTGGGCCTTGCTCGTCTCGCAATCCGAGAATATCGCATCAAGTAGGCTGGGCTATAAGTTAGCCGCTAGACTCATGAGCTGGCATAAGACCAGAACTAAGGTACTATACAGTGTAGAAACGAGGCGTCGATACTTGAAGGCGGCCGTAACGGATGTACCTATGAATGGCGGAGTGTCCGAACGGGTACGGCACCCTGGCCTGCTCCACCGGTTGTCTTTCACCTCGTCGCTCCGGAGCTCAACAAGGGATGAGTTCCCACACAACAGAATTCAATACATAAGTGGTCTACCGAAGTCGTACGTAAGCCATTCTTCATAGCCAGATACATACATACTACTTAATAGAATGGCTCCTGACATCAGAGCCAAGCTGTTGTTTTATGGAGCCCGGTGCATTATGATATGCAGCGTACGCTGAATTACGTGATTACAATACGCTACTTATGGAATACTAACGTAAAATACGGAAAAACTGTGCCCCACCACTGGAAGCTCTGGCAGCCTGGCAGCCCTGGCTCCCCCAGTGCCCCCACATCCTTCATGGGCTCACAATTTTCCTGGCTTGTGTAGGTCACACCTATCAAATATCGAGTACTTTGCATATCCCTCCATAAACTATGGCAGCAACAAAAGACAAGATATCCCCATTCCTCGACCCTGGGCCTTGCACAAAACCCAATTCTCTCGCAATCCTTCAACTCTCACGCGACAACCTCCTGCCCGTCTACCTGCAAGTGCCGTCCGGTGAACATGATGGCTACGCCGAGGGTGCCGTTGTTAACACACGTTTTGGGTCTTTCCCCCACTCGACTATGTTGGGTGTCCCATGGGGCTCTCAAATCCGTGCCTCCAAGGTTGATACGGGCTCGAGGGGCCGAAAGAGGAAGCGTGAGATGACCGATGACCCAGGGCGTGAGGGGACCGGGGCAAGTGGCAGAGAGCCCGAGGATTTGGCCGGGGCAGCCAACGGAGATAGCGTCGTTGCAGTCAAGCAGGCTGTGGCAGACTCGAGCGGCTTCATCCACATTCTCCCACCGACGCCGGAACTTTGGACTACAAGCTTGCCGCATCGCACCCAAGTGGTTTACACCCCTGATTACAGCTATATCCTGCACAGGATACGTGCCCGGCCGGGCTCGGTACTCATCGAGGCGGGCGCCGGCAGCGGGAGTTTCACCCATGCATCAGTACGAGCTGTCTACAACGGGTACCCAACCGACGGGCAGCCGAAGGGCAAAGTCTTTAGCTTTGAGTTCCACGAGCAGCGGTACCACAAGATGAAGCAGGAGATTGCGGATCATGGGTTGGAAGGTATCGTGCAGCTGACGCACAGGGACGTCTACAATGGGGGCTTCTTGGTGGACGGGAAGAGCCCCGAAGCCGACGCTGTGTTCCTTGACCTACCCGCGCCCTGGGAAGCCCTCCCTCACCTTTCTCGGCGAAAGCCCCAAACCTCGCGAGACACAAGCGACCCTACCACTGAGGCTGGCTGGGTGTCGCCATTAAACCCCCAGAAGAGCGTCTACATCTGCACCTTCTCCCCCTGCATTGAGCAGGTCACCAGGACAGTGTCAGCCATGCGACGCCTGGGGTGGGTCGACATTGATATGGTTGAAGTTAGCAACAGGAAGCTGCATGTGTCACGGGAGCGCATCGGCCTCAACCTGTCGTCTGACCGCGGTGTCAACAACTCACCGCGAGACGTTGAGGAGGCAATCGCGAGGCTAGCTGAAATTGAATCGCGTTTCCGTGAGCACGCGGGGCAACCACGGCGGGCTGATGACAACAGAGACTCGGAGGAGGAGGAAGACCAGCCCGCAAAAAAGGACGACTTCGGGGCCAAGCGAGATGTGAATTTCGCAGAAGACCAGTCATCATCTAGCACGCCTCCTTGGATGGAAGGTCGTCTGATCACACGAGGCGAGCCCGAGATCAAGTCGCACACGTCCTACTTGGTCTTTGCTGTTCTCCCTAGAGAGTGGACCGAGGAAGATGAAGCTGCGGCGGCGGCAATGTACCCATGTGGCATGGAGCAAAAGGTGATCGGTACTGTAGACAAGGCGGCTAGGAAACAAGAGCGACGGGAACAGTTGCAACAAGTGCAGAAGGGTAACAGGAAAGCAAGGAGAAAGGAGAGAGATGCAAAGCTGGCTGAGGTGTCTGGGTGAGACATGTTGGTCGGCTGAGTAGAAGACATTTGAAAGCCCTTTCCCGGATGTCCCATGGTTGAATATAGATCCAAAACCGCCCGAATACCCGTGTATCCAAACGGTGTGAATGGGTTCTTCAGTATTCCATTTGGAAGAATGGCATTGGCCTTTGGATTAGCCCTTGGCCACTGAAATTAGTGATACGATGGCCCAGGCCGACTCAGCCCGACACTCGACTGTATAGAGGATTGCGCGAACAAGTCGTAGGTGAAGCAACCTAGTAGTGGAATCTGGGAACGGCATGCGCGGACTCTTAACTGGCAAGAAACTCTATAACTGACGGTCAGCTAGCTGGCTAATCCAGCATCGCCACACCATCAGGCCTTGTCTTTGTAAAGCTGCGCGTAGCTCGCTCTCAGCCTGTCACCCGTCAGTCAGCAGTCAAAAGGGCCATCGTAAATCGCAAGATCAAGAGACATACCTCATCTGCAAATGCTCATCCGCCGTCAGCACTTTCCTCTCAGCGTATGGATTCCCCTCCGCCTTGGCATCGCCCCGCTCAGCAAACTCCCTGACTCTTTGGCTTGGGACAACGCCCAACTCCGCTCCGCCCCATGGGTGGAAGAAGAAGGCAATCGAGTACCTCGGCTCCGTGTCACTCTCCCCTTCCACCCCACCGCTACCACCACTCAAACCTCCCTTCCCCTCCTCCCCGTTAGACCGTCCTCCCGCAAAGACCACCCTATGCACAGTACTCCTCAACAACCCGCCCGTCCAATAGGCCAACAAGTCCCCAATATTCAACAGCACCGGCGGCCCGGGATCCTCCTCGGTGCCCGGCGGGACCACGGGGACGGGCGACCAGGATTTGCCGTCGCGGCCGAGTATCTCCAGCCCGGCCTGGCCCCGGAGGCGGAACAGCAGGGTCATGGATCCGTAGTCGGAGTGGGCGCCGGCGCGCACGTCGGCGGCGCGGTCCACCGCCTCACGCGCGGGCAGCTGCTCGTGCGGCGGGTAATACAGGAACCGCAGGATGGTGCCCGAAGGCCGGTCCGGTGAGGTCAGGTGCGCGCTGGTGAAGAAGTCGGGCGGGTCAACCTCGAGCCCCAGCCCAAGCAGCGTTGTGAGCTTGAGGCAGAGCTTCTCGCAGAGGTCCCTGAAGGCGCCGATGGCGGCCTCGTCTTCCCCCGTGAGGGTCGGTGGGAGGGGTTGTTGGGCTTTGGAGTTGATGAAGGGGCCGAAGTTGAAGGCTCTGGCGGGTGGGTGAGCGGGATGTCAGTGAGGGTTTGGGATTGAAGATCTTAAGCTCGCGGGTATGGATGTGAGATATGGCTTACTCCTTCAGGTCACCAGTCTGGGGATTGTCGGTAAGGGACACTACAGTAATAAGAAGGAGTAAGGGATGACTTACACGCTGGTTCCCGGGATCGAGCGTCTCATATTGCATGGCTGACCACTGAGACCAGGAATTTAGTTAAGTTATCTCTGGGAGGCAGCTATGTAAAAGAATGGGCAAGCTTGACTCACTCCTCGGTTGTTGTGTCGGATGGTGCATGCTCGCTTCTCACTCAGCGGAGCGTTGAACAGCTTCTTGGACTAGTATCAAGTTGCTTGTGAGAAGCCTCTTTCCATGCAGAAGAACAGGTCCTAAATACCATTTCAAACGCCCCTTCTATTGCTTCGACTGGTATGTCTTTGCCCAGGTTCTTGATGTAAATGAAGCCATGCTCAATTGCTGCTTCCACCAGATCCTTGGCCACCTGAGTCTGGTCGCCCTCTCCGGATATGTCAATGACGGGAATGCTCGCGATTTTTGCCATTTCTTTGGACTATGGAAAGCGGCGTAGGAAGTGACCAGAATTCAAGAGTTCAAACCTGAACTGGTCGCTCACTTGATATCTTGAGAGCCTAGGTACCTAAGGTATCTAGGCTGATAAGCCTGCCAACTCCTGTCTGCACGCGGTACTTGTACGACGGCAGGAGCAGCTTCAAAGTTCGGCCGAATTCGGGTATCAAATAGACCAAGAAACTAGTGGAACACTGCTCCGTTTGCAAACACATGTCTAAGTAGACAGAAGAGCCACGAGGCATCCGACATGATAGCCCCTGACACTGATAACACAATAACACGGGGGAATCTACGGAGTATGGAGTAGTATCCGTACTTGGTTCGTATTCGTATGTGCTGATAAAGATATGCACATAAGAGGAAAAAATTTCAATGGGTCCCCTCTCTAGATGCAAAGCCTAGATAGGATTGATTATGACTTTCCAGGCTAAACACATCCGGCCAGTGGCTTCCCCCAGCTGCGGGACTCATGCTGGCTGAGCACACTGGGCCCGCTCCCACGTCACCTGCAATTCCCGATCGCCAAATGAGCCCAGACGAGCAAAAGCTTTGGGACGCGATGCCCTCGGCGGTAGTCTATGTGAGCCAAAATGCGGCAGGCATCCGCGCCTCCCGCATCCCAAAACCCATAACCCGCTAAAACTACCAACATCGCCAATCTGGTTGCTGGTATCACATCAATTCGGTGGCGACTTTCGCTCTTTTTCTTTCTGATTCATCCATCCCGTGTGCCTTTGAGGAGGACGAGGATTTAATTGTATGTACTGTACAGTACCATTGTCGCGCGCATTTGTCGTGCTCCCTCAATGACCTGCCGCCCTGCCGAAAGCGCGAAACCATAAAACGCCAATCCTCGTCCCTTCCGTCAAAGCACCGACGCCGGGCGTTTTTTGGCCATCATGGCTGCAACACCGAGCTCGGCGGCACTCATGTCCGACATCGAACCGCCCAGTTCGCCTGTCCACATTGAAAAATCATTCATGACGGCCGTCACTGAGGACGACGATACCAAGATGACCATGGCGACTCCCGACCCTTCCGAGAAGCAGCCTCGTGGCAAGAAGCGCGGCCGGGACGATGGAAACGGCCCCAACGGTAGCACTATTGGCAAGATTCGCCATCTCAAAAAGGAGGACGGCGAGCCCCTCTGGCGCAAGGACATTCAGTACGACTTCCTCAAGGCCGTCTTTGACAACGAGCAAAAGGTCTTCACCAACAGCTACGAGAAGGACAAGCTGGGCAAGCAGTGCTTCGCCGACCTCTATATCGACACAATGTCCAGGAGCAGCAAGACCAGCAAGGTCCTTCGAGATAAGCTGCTTAGTGATCGCGATGCTGCGAAGGGCATGGCCATGGTCTGCCTCTTGGTTAACATTGGTCGCATGAACACCACTCTTAATTGTACGTCATAGCCGTCTCGGCTTGTCGACGCACTACTGACAACCCCGTCACAGTCTTCCCGGAGATGCGAGCCCAACTCCGCACCTACCACGCCATCCCTTCCCTCCAAGCCCGTCAAGACCCGCATGCCTATAAGCAGCTGCAAGATGCCCCCAGGCTGAAATCCATCCTCAAGGGAGGTGCCGAGGACCGCCCTGAACCTACCTCACTCGAAGAGGTCAAGGCGAGCGAGGTACCTCGTACCAACCCCGTCAATCTCCTTTTTCTCATCTGCCAGACGGCGCACAAGATCGCCGAACTTCATTTCCCTCCTGGCCAAGAATTCCACGATCTAATCATGAAGACCAACTACAGCAGCAAGAGCCGAGCCCGCGCGTTCCTCTGGCTCATGTGGTTCTATCTCGAATCCGACTTTACTGAGGAAGGCTGCGAAGAGAACCCGTTTGGCCCGGGCGTGGATTACGGTGTCGATGTCGCCAACCAGGGTGTCCCTCGCCTAGAGCTTTTGAATGAGGAGGAAGAAGCAGAGGAGAACGTTGACCCTCAAGAGGAGATTGATTTCGGCTACGCCAAGCAAAAGATGCGTGCCAAGATCATCGAGGCCGACCAGCAATTCATGGCCGAAAGCCAGACCAAACGGGGCGCTCGCGGTCGCGGTTATCCCGCTGGCGATGAGATTGGCCCGACGACCGGAATTCTACCTCGAATCCGGCCGTCCAAGAACGAGAGCGACCTCGATAGTGTCAGGTCGACTCCGCCTCCCCGCGCCCTAAGCGCACGACATAGCGGCATCTTTGGCAGCACTGGCCGCCGGGGCCCACACTCCCTCAAGTACCAGGTCTTTGACGGCTCACCCGCCGCTGAGAAGACGGTCGACGGTGTTGCCCCTCGGAAACCCCGGCCTCCAACTGCACATCAGCTGGCGGTAGAGCGCAACCGCTCGCAGCGTGTCGAGTACATACTCGATCGGGGTCTTCGTCGGAGCCACCATCGCTCCCGCAAGCAACGACGGATAGACGGATCCATCTTCCGTGCTCTGAACCGCATCCGTCAGATGGACAACCCCTTTGAGGACAGCGAGGATGATGATATCTTCGCTTTGCACAACAGCCACAACGGCAAGCACGCCCATCCTTCGGCTAACGGCGATGCCAAACGCCTCCGTGAAAAGGGCTACGGCGGCCTGTGCCAGCTCAAAGACGAGCCAGACGACTACGGCGAGGAGTTTTCCTCGTTCGCTGCAGCCCTTCGGCGGTCCAGTCGCCGCCTCCTGCGCTGGGAGACTTACGATGGTCCCGACAAGCTCGGGGTCATTGCTCCCATCAAGCGTGTAAAGGAGACAGCCAACGGCACGGACCAGCACGGTGACGAGGATGATATGGATGGCTATGCTGAGATTAGGTTCCGGCTCAAGGACGGCATGATTGATCCCGCCGAGACGGAGGACGAGGCCGACGTGCAGCAGCAGCAACGGTACCCATATGGGCGACACCAGCGTGGCCAGCATACTGGAGGAGGCGGGTCCAATGGAGTGCGGGGTTCTACTGGGGGCGTCGATGCCAATGGGGATACCCCCATGGACGATGCGGATGATTTGGACGAGGTGGACAAAGAGCTGCTTGGGTTGGGAGACGGGGATGGGGACGGAGACGAGGGTGAAGATGAGCTGGATGATGTGGATAAGACGCTGCTTGGGATGGATGGAGATTCCGACTCGGATTGAGCGTGAATGCTCTCCCACCCATGTTGATGGCGAGAGGTTATTCTTGTATGAGCGCTTGCGTTACCTCCGGTTGGGACTACTGCCCATTCCAAAACTTCCTCATTTAAGGAATGGACAAGGCGGACAGGCTGGGCAGGCAGGATCCCTATCTGGCCTTTGTTCACGCACCGGAGAGCAACCCTAGCCCGGGTGGGAAATTCTAGTTGTACTGTACGATACCGACGTATGAGCTTCATATGCTGGGCCAAACGGGATCGGTTGGCATCTGGCGTGGGAAGATGAAGACCAGTTACTGCTTCGGGCGAAGATTAGCTCAGGGGCTAAAGTTAGCTCCTCTCTGTAGTTCAGCTCTGCTGAGTTATACAGGTACAGCAACAGCATTTTGAGATTGTTTCTTCTCCCTACATGTACTGTTCAGTTCTGTGCCGTGTTCCGTTCCATGATCGTTTCCGTCAATTTGCAAGGTATTCAAAAGGAAATATCCCCACGCTTTCAGCCTGCTACAGTCCAGTTGCAGCAGTCGATGTGTGTTCTATTCATGGGTAGACAGATGTTCTGGTCCTTGTGATAATGTCCCTTTGGGTCAGGCAAAAGTTGAGAGAAAGTTGTTTTGTAGGATACTGCACCTCCTTCTTTATCCCCTGAACTGCACGGACCTCGTGAGAGATTGAGAGCGAGCGTTGCCCGGACGAGGATGTCAACAGTATCCTTGTGTAATTTGCTGGTTGCCTGTCGTCACCGCTCAAGGCCAATGACACTCAGGCTCCTAGCACCGTCTTGTCCTCGACTCGGGAGACAACTACTCCATGGATATACCGAATCAACTCTTCTCAGCTATCAAGCAAGATGACAGATCTCGCAAAGCGCTCTGAAGCGGCGGGAGGCCAAGTAGAAACGGCCATTCATAACTGAATAGTGAGCTGGGAATCACCTTGTATGGACACGTAATACTCCGTACTTGAGGGTGCTTTGCGTTGCGATGTGGAGATTTAGCAGGAGCAACCAGAGTAGTTGATAATTGCTTTCTTGCGCTGCTAGGTGCTACGCTATGTATCCATCAAACTTGGTAATGGATACAAACATTACCCCGAGCCTTTTATATGCGTCTACTCATAGATCCAGGCCTCCTGAGCTGACTTCCAGCTGAGGAGTTCTTCGTCCTTGAACCACAGAGCGATCTCCTTGTTGGCGCTCTCGACGCTGTCGGAGCCGTGGCAGACGTTGCGGCCGGTCTGAATGCAGTAGTCACCGCGGATGGTTCCGGGAGCGGAGGCGAGAGGGTTGGTGGCACCAAGCATGGCTGGCAGAGTTGGCGATGTTAGCATGGTGTTGAGCGATAATAAGGGGCAGATAAGTGGGGCTTACTGCGGCCGGTCTTGACGGCATCGAGGCCTTCCCAGACCATCGCGACAATGGGGCCGCTGTTCATGTCTATTGCAAATGTGAGCAGAAACTCGGCGTGAAGGGGGGGTTGGGCGGCCTACAGTTGACCAGGCCGGGGAAGAACGGCTTCTCCTTCAGGTCCTCATCTGTGGGCGGTCAGAGCTCCGGGCTTTAGAACATCTCAATGAAAATGCCTGGGAGGTATAACGCACAGTGCTTCTCGAGGTGGGCCTTGCCGGGAGTGACCATCTTCAGGGCGACCAGCTTGAAGCTGTGAAGCAAGGTTAGCACGTTTGTCAGAGAGGGGTGGACCGCGGACTGTTTGCTTACCCACGAGCCTCGAAACGGGCAATGATGGCACCGACGAGGCCGCGCTGTGAAAGATGTCAGCTTTGGAAGGGCAAGCCATTTCAAGCTCGGGTCAACAGACCTGGACGCCGTCGGGCTTGATGGCAATGAAGCTGTTCCGAAGTCAAGTCAGTTTTGCTGGCAGTCGGATGGCGGGGTAATTCCAGCATGGCGGGGTAATCAAGGGAAGAAAATGTGCAAAGCGCAGAGGGAGAGAGCTAGACAGAAGGAGACAGGAAGACTATAATGACTCACGTCCTCTCGACAGTAGACATTTTGACGGGATATTGAACTTCCACGGGTTGTTCAAACTTGGGATGATGTTCTGGAAGAAGGGGGGAGAGGGGAGGACGAGGAATTTGTGTCGGAGTAGCGGTCGGTGCTGGAACACTGAAGAGCTTCGAAGTGGGGCTGCCGAAAAAATATACAAATATGCATAGGATGAGCCCCAGCGTCAGGTATCTATACATCTCAGAGGCAACTGGTAATTCTTGAGAGGCTAGACGCCGAGCTCGATCTCGCCGGCCGTGGTTCCGCCACTCTGGTGCCCCGGAAGCATTGAGACCCCTCTTTGGCGAGCCTCCCTCCATCTTTGTCGCAGTCCCGTTTGTCAACAGTAACTCAAGCCAGTTGTTGCCAACTTCTGCCGTCAAGCTGGTGTCTTTGTGTGGATCCGGCGGTCGAGGGTGATAAAGGGGCTGTCCGTTGGCAATAGATACCACTCAAAGCATGGATGAAGCCAAGTTATGTCTATACTCCATACATCAAGTCTTGGAGGAGGTATGAATGAGTAGCGTGGGTTCGAATCAATCAAGATTCTGTTCAAAACTCTGTGGCTGGCTCTCTGAGATCATGATGCTTTCAGCATCGACACCCGACTCGCCTATTTGGACAGCTTCTTTATCCGATTCATGTTAAGGAAAGAACCCCTGAGTCTAACCCTTGCCGAATTGGGTCTACCCAACGGTCTTACTTGCCTTCCTCCTCCCTCTCCCCTTCCAAAGTTGGCAGTACCCAGTCAACGGTCACTCACGTCAGTCAGTTCCATTACACCATGAGAAAGGCATCAACAAAAGTGTGGCTCACCGGGGGCTTATTTACATGTTCGGGAATGTTGATTGTGTAACTTGAAGTAACTCCTGATACCCGTATTATCGAAACGGGGTTCTGACACCCTCGTAATTACAACGCTACCTACGGTTAATTCGTAATTAACGTTAGCGGCTCGTTCTGCTGCAGGGGTAACTAGAACCATCAGCCGGCCCCTGTCCCCGCTCCCAGCAACCGAAGCCAGGTGGCCAATCCTCTTCGGCAGCTCCAATTCGAGATGGGACAGCTTTACCTTAACAAGCCGCCCTCGAGGCACAACACCGACTGCCAGCTTCGAGACAGCCATTGAGTACCTCTGCGGCCCTGGAGGTCTCTTGGTGAAGATACGGGCGGTATAGGCGCCATTTCACCTTCATTTCTGCATCCGAATTTGGCAATCTGGTTTTGCTTAGAACAGCGCTGCCCTAAAGCGAGGGGCACTAAGCAGAGATGCTGGTATCGGGCTCACTGTCCACGAGCTGGACGGCCTACCTTGGCCTTTTGTCCGCTCTTTCTGCCACATTTGTCCCGTCAGGTGAGAATTTGCTGCTAGCAGGCGAATCAGGGACATCGAACTAACTGCTGTTAGTCGCTGTCAAGGAGCATGATTTCAAAAAGTGCCATCAATCGGGCTTTTGCGCTCGTAATCGAGCATTCGCAGATCACGCGCTCGCAACGACCTCGTGGCAGTCGCCTTACAATATCGCGCCCGAGTCCGGGTCGTTCAAGGACGGCCAGTACCAGGCCACCATCCTGAAGACCATCAATGACAAAGGCGAGACCGTCCGACTTCCCATCACCATCTCGTTCCTCGAGTCTGGCACCGCGCGGGTCACGGTCGACGAAGAGAAGAGACAAAAAGGAGAAATCGAGTTGCGCCACAATAGCAAGGCGAGAAAGGAACGTTACAATGAGGCCGAGCAATGGGTTATTGTAGGCGGTCTGACCCTGGACAAGGCGGCCAAGGTCGACTACGAGGACAAGACGCAAGTCACCGTCAAGTTTGGCCCGTCCTCGGAATTCGAAGCCACCATAAGCTTCTCTCCCTTTAGTATCGACTTCAAGCGTGATGGGCACACTCACGTCAAGCTCAACGACCAGGGCCTATTGAACATTGAGCACTGGCGGCCAAAGATCGAGAAGACGGAAAGTGCAGCAAGCGAAGAGACTAAGGAGGGCGAGACCAAGGAGCAAGACAAGAAAGAAAAGCCTAAGAAGGAAGATGAGAGCACCTGGTGGGACGAGACCTTTGGCGGAAATACTGATTCCAAGCCTCGTGGCCCGGAAAGTGTTGCCCTTGATATCTCGTTTGTTGGCTATGAGCACGTCTACGGGATCCCCTCGCACGCCGGCCCGTTGTCGCTCAAGCAGACCCGCGGCGGTGACGGCAACTACCAGGAGCCGTACAGAATGTATAACGCTGACGTCTTTGAGTACATCCTCGACAGCCCCATGACTTTGTACGGGTCCATTCCCTTCATGCAGGCCCATAGCAAGGATTCCAGCGTCGGCGTCTTTTGGCTGAATGCCGCCGAGACATGGGTCGATATCACCAAGGGCAAAGGCTCCAAGAACCCGCTTGCTCTAGGTACCAAGGCCAAGACGAGCACCCACACGCACTGGATCTCGGAAAGCGGTCTGCTGGATGTTTTTGTCCTCCTGGGGCCTACTCCCAAGGACCTTACGGCCAGGTACGGGGAACTCACGGGCACCACAGCCATGCCGCAGGAGTTTGCCCTTGGTTACCATCAGTGCCGGTGGAACTACGTCTCAGACGAGGACGTAAGGGATGTCGACCGCAAGATGGACAAGTTCAAGATGCCGTATGATGTCATTTGGCTGGACATTGAGTACACGGACGAGAAGAAGTACTTTACATTCGACAAGCACACCTTTCCGGATCCGATCGGCATGGGCAAGCAGTTGGACAGCCACGGGAGGAAACTGGTTACCATCATCGACCCGCACATCAAGAATGTTGACAATTACCCCGTCGTCGCGGAGCTCAAGTCGAAGGATCTCGGCGTCAAGAACAAGGAGGGGAATCTATTTGAGGGCTGGTGCTGGCCAGGCTCATCGCATTGGATCGACGCCTTCAGCCCGGCCGCGCGGGAATGGTGGGCATCGCTCTTCAAGTATGACTCGTTCAAGGGCACCATGGAGAACACATGGATCTGGAACGACATGAACGAGCCGTCCGTCTTCAACGGACCGGAAACAACCATGCCCAAGGACAATCTTCATTTCGGAAACTGGGAGCACCGCGATGTACACAACTTGAACGGTATGACGTTTCAGAACGCTACGTACCACGCTCTTACGTCGCGCAAACCTGGTGAGCTCCGGCGCCCGTTTGTGCTCACTCGGGCGTTTTTTGCGGGCTCACAGCGTGTTGGTGCGATGTGGACCGGTGACAACCAGGCCGCGTGGGACCACCTCGAGGCGTCCATTCCCATGGTTCTTAGCCAAGGAATCTCGGGCTTCCCCTTCGCAGGAGCCGACGTCGGGGGTTTCTTTGGCAACCCCGAGAAGGAGCTCCTGACGCGATGGTACCAAACTGGCGCATTTTACCCCTTCTTCCGCGGCCACGCGCACATCGATGCCCGGCGGCGCGAGCCCTACCTAGCCGGCGAGCCGTACACGACCATCATTGGCGCGGCCCTTCGGCTGCGCTACAGCCTGCTGCCGTCCTGGTATACGGCCTTCCGCCAGGCGCACGTGGACGGCACACCCATCATCAAACCCATGTTCTACACGCACCCGTCCGAAGAAGGCGGTTTCGCCATTGACGACCAGTTCTTCGTCGGCAATACTGGCCTGCTAGCGAAGCCCATCACGCAGAAGGACAGGGTGGAGGTGGACATCTGGATCCCCGACTCAGAGGTCTACTACGACTACTTCACCTATGAGGTGGTTCCGACAAGCAAAGGCAAGTCGGTCACTCTCGATGCTCCTCTGGAAAAGATTCCCCTGCTCATGCGTGGCGGCCACATCCTTGCGCGTCGTGATATTCCGAGGCGATCGAGTGCCCTTATGAAGTGGGATGACTACACTCTCGTCGTGACCGTCGGGCGTGATGGCAAGCTGGCGGAGGGCGACCTGTACGTGGACGACGGCGAGTCGTTTGACTACCAGGCGGGCCAGTACATCCACCGGCGGTTCGTGTTTGATGCTGCGGGGAAGAGCATCGTGTCGGTCGATGCCGAGGGCAGGAGTGCCAAGGATGTGCAGGAGGGCGAGTGGATGAAGAAGATGCGCCAGGTGGGTGTGGACAAGATTGTGATTGTTGGTGCGCCGGCGGCGTGGGCGGGCAAGAGGGAGGTCACGGTCGAGTCCGAGGGCAAGACGTGGAGTGCCAAGATGGAGTTTACGCCGGCCATGAAGGGTAGAGGGGCGTTTGCGGTCGTCAAGAAGCTCGGGGTGAGGATTGGTGCGGACTGGAAGATCAGTTTTGCGTGAGATGGTGAGAGCGTGCTCTGTCGACTTTTGTTGTTTGGAATACTAGGATTCAGAGGTTATATATATGCTTGATTTGGTTCTGTGTACAAGCGGGTACTCTATGTTCGTAATGTCGATGCCCAAGAATAGCGGTGTTGCTTCAAGGAGTTTAAAGCGAGGACAGTTGGCACCTGTCCGCTCCCTTTGGCCTCCCGTATGCTTTGTGCGTCCAGGCCCCATTGCTGAGGAATTAGCTGTGACAAACCGTTAATTACCCCGAGGCCATACGCAAGGCAGGTCCGGTTCCTGGCAGCGGAAGTGCCGTCAGGGTGCAGAAGTGCGGTCACACAAGGCGGATGAGCCCATTGAGCTCGAGGCTTTCAGCCGACCGTTTCCGTTTGATGGCTGCGGACTTTGGGTGTTTTGGTAGGTAATCTGTAATACGGGACTGGTGGAGGGATGCCTGCATGCAGTGGAACGGTTGGAGATTGACGCGTTACACTCGCTTTGGGCATGAAGATCATTTGGGGTGCAATTTCTTGACTGCGGATGATTGGAGATCGATGCTTACTCTGGGTTGTATTATTACCTTATATATGGGGAGGATCGCCTTGGTTTGCAGTTTGCCCCTTCCTTGGCCGTTTGGTCATTCATTCATTCTTTAGGTTCGGTTCAAGATTGATCTCCCTGGACTCCTGGAGTGTGTTCATACTCATACAAATGCTCACGGACTTTCCCAATTGACGATAATCATAATTCGCACCATCTCTGCTCCGATCACACCTAAGGTCTCACTTACACCAGATCCCCCAACAGCACCTCGAAAATCAAGAAGCCACCATGAAGCCCGCAACGCTCCTAACAACCCTCCTCCTCACTTGCTCAACCTCAACCTCCACAACCCTCGCAGCCACCCTACCCAACTCGCCCACTATCACACTAAAACGACCCTCCCGTGTCCTGCAAAACCGTGCAGCAGCAGCAGCAGCAGATCCAGAGTCCACCCTCGCGGGCGCAATCCTCACCCTGCCCCCTCTCCTCAGCACCAACACCAGCACCAGTAATGTTAGTGCAACAACAACAACCGTCCGCGGCACCTTCCGCATCCCCCGCGCCGAACCGCCCAACTCCGGCCCGACAGGCAACAACCCCGTGGGCAAGTACGGCGCGGCGTTTTGGATCGGGCTAAGACCACTCCCTGCCGCCGAGTGTAGTACTAGCAACACTACTACTGCTGCTGCTCCTACTACGAAAAGTCTCACCCCGATCCTGCGGGCCGGGGTGGATATTGTCTGGGACGGCACGCTGGACGGGCAACAGACGCCGTTTGCGTGGCGGGATTTTGCGGGGTCGGGTGGGGACCGGGGAGGGCTGGAAGGGTGGTCCGCGTTGAGGGTGTCGGCGGGGGATGTGGTGAGGGTGACGCTTTCAGTTCAAATACAGCAAGGGATAGAGGCGGAGGCTGCGGTGGTGATGGAGAATTTTGGCCCTACGGAACCTGAACTTGAGGACGGGGAGGGGGTTCCGTTGCAAAAGGTTGAGGCGACCAAGGCCCTGCCCGGCTGGGGGGCGGCAGGGTGTGCCCAGGCCGCGTGGGTGGTGGAGGATTTTCCGCTGCCCGGCCGGCCTGAGTTTCCTATTGCGTTGGCCAATTTTACGAGTGTTAGCTTTGACCAGGCCGCGGTGCAGCTTGGGGATGGGACGGTGAGGAATGTAACGGGAGCCGGGGTGGAGGTGTTGGATATCAGGCTTGATGCGCAGGGCGGGAGGTTGACGAGGTGTGAGCTGCTGGAAGCGCGGGGCGGGTTGACGTGTAGGCGGGTCGTGGGGGATGCTTGATATGAACTTGATGAAACCAAAGCATATGGGTTACAGATACAATGAAGGTTAATGCTAATCTTAAAGGATAAAGGGCGGGATGGTTTGGCTGGCATTCGAGGTTGGTTGGTGGCATTGGAATGGATTGCTCTATCGGTCGTCTAGAATAATACTTCTACTAGTACCTTAATCTCAGTAGTAATACGTTGCCCCTAATCATCACACAGCGTGGCTCGCAGAACCGTGGTTCGTCGACCGGCTCCTGGGCCGCCATAGTTTCCGCCTCGTCGACTCGCTCTCCATGCTGTGCCTCTTCTCCGAAAGCTCGTCCATCGGGCTGTGGATCATCTCGTCTTCCTCCCTCAGCGCCTGGCGGATCGAGGGGAGCCGGGCCATACCGTGACTGGTTTCCGGCCTCCTGTTGTGGTAAACGTCCTGGAAGTCCATGCCCGCTTCAACCACAGCAGCTCTGCTGTTGCCTCTCTTCCGCATCGCCATCGCCGGGCTGGAAGGGGCCTGTAAGGGAGGCTCCGACGGCATCGTACCCTGGTAGTAGGCGGGAGGAGGTGGTACCTGGGTCCAGTAGAGGGGCATGTGCTGCATGCCGCCGGGCTGAACCAGACGCGGCGTCTCGAGGCCCATGTCGTGCATCTGGCGCATCAGCTCGACGGCAAACTTGTTGTGTCGAGTCAGGCGGAGCAGCTCGTTCTGGTAGTTGCTCTTGTGGAAGAAGATGATGTTCATGGTGATGCTGCTGACCTCGTCAATGGTCTGCACCTCGGAGATGATGCGCGGCGCGTAGTCCCGCTTGTTCTGCAGGCAAAACTCGAGCATCCGGGCTTTCAGCTCTTCGATTTGGGCCTCGGTCGTGCCGAAGCGCAGCTTCAGGTTGATGGGGTCGGCCAGCCCCTGGCTGCGTCGTTGGTTGAGGATGAAGAGCGTGTTGAGCAGCGAGTTTGGGGCTTGCACCACGTGGCCCTCCATCTTCTTGAACTCAGTGTACAACAGCGAGACCTCGAGGACGTAGTAGTCGTCGCCCCTCATCATGGAGCCCGTGTTGCCGTAGACGGTAACACGGTCGCCGACATCGAACGGGTGCTTGACAAAGACAAAAATGATGGACTGGAGGAACTCCTGAGCTGTGGCTTGGAGCAGCCACGACAGACCCAGAATGAAGGTGCCCGCCGACGTCAGGGCTGCGGCCGCCGAGTTGGATATGATGCTGATAAAGACAATAATCACAATCACCACAATGATGAACATGAAGACCTGGTCGAGTTTCTTGATGACCGAGTCGAGGTCTTTGAGCGAAGCTGCGATGGCCTTCTTCTCGAGATGGATCTCGTTGCACACCATCTCGAGCTCTTCCATGGACACGTCGCCGTTGAGGTCCTTGTCAAAGACGCCAAAACATGCCTCGGCGTCCTCTGGTGATGGAAAAGCCGGCTGTATGTCGTCGACCGTGATGGTTGAGTTTCCTGGCTTGAGAAAGGTGCGGTAAAAGAGTCGAGCGAGCGTGTAGCTGGACTCGGTGGTGCGCAGCAGTTCTGTCACGACCCTCCTCGGGTGGTTGTTTCTGAGGACCTTCTTCCCCGTAAAATCGCCCGCCATGCGCGTTGCCGCGCTGCCAACCTTGCTCCAAACGTGGCGTGCGTTTGTCCGAATCGCCGCCGCCATTGGAGACGGGCTCCCGAACGAAGCGCGCCCATCGCCTCCTGAAGACTCCCAGACGCTGGCATCCATGGCCTCGAGGCTCGTCTTGGCATATGTGTACAAAGCGACCAAGCAGTCGATCTGCATCTGGTTCTCCCGGATGCGGTGGGAATAGGTGCGCAGGTGGAACGAAGTGGCGATCCACTTGATCAGGATCTTCTCGACGAGATTCAGTGTTGCGAGAACGAACAAGGCGATGATGACCTTGTAGACAACGTCGATCCACAAGATGTACGGCGTTGGATCGTCGCTACTGGGGTTAGTCAGAACCCTATGGCTGTCGAGGATGGGCCGGTACGACACCAGTACCGCCAACTGCCAGAGGAACAAGGCCGTGGGAAGCTCAAGTTGCCGGCCAATGTCCTTCCACTTCTTGTGGTTGCTCGACCCGGCCGTGTCGGCGGCAAATCCAACGAGTGCGGGCATGATGGACGTGACGATGCGGGCGGCCCATAGCGTGAGCCAGACCACTTCCAGCCAGATGCCAAACCACAGCAGCTGCACTCCGTGGGGGCCACCGACTGGGGAACCTTTCCTGTCATAGGCAAAGAGATCGAGGAACACGGGGACTAGGATGATGACACCGGGCGGAATCGCGTAAACGACGTAGCGTAGCACGCGAGGGAATCGCCGGACCAAGGCCCAGAGCCTGGTAAGCCATGTTGTCTTGGGGGGTGCAACAGCAACGGGGACGGGTTGGGTCGTCGCGGTGTTGAAGGCATCCTCGGGTACTCTCTCATCAACATGGCTCCTCCTGCTTTTGGATCGATTTAGTGCAGCTTGGTGGTCCTGCTGCGACACGACACGCTCGGCGCGAAGGAGTTCCAAGTCATCGTGGAGCCTGTTGGCTACCTCTCTCGATTCCCTACTAGTAGGACTCAGGGGCGTGCTTTCGGGGGCCAGATGGTCGGGATCGGGCCCTTTCATGTTTGTGTCGGGACCGCCGGCATCCAAGTCCCGTGTCTGTGTCAAGCCCGAGAAGGACGGCGTCTGGACGTGTAATGCGGGCTTCGGCATTGCCGACGACGCCATGTTGGCACATTGGAAAACTAAGGTGAGATAGAGTAGAGGAACGATGTAGATGAGGCAGATGTGAGGAGAGAATTAGAGAACCTGGTCTTGAACCCACTTACCCTAAAGCCCCGATTTCTCCGGAATCGCAAATCGCAAACATCTCAGGAGTGTAGAATGTAGATCGCTGCACAGTGATCCACAGCGGATCTGGGACGACGGCATACACAAACCTGTATGGCCACTTCATTACACCAAGACGCATGTATTCTCCAGTCAGATGTCGGTTGGCATTGAACCCTCCCATTGTTTGTCCCCTTGCTGCTGCAGGCACCCTGCTCTCTCAGACGGTAAACCATGCTCATCCAGGGTCCTGTGTCCTTCGAGTGCCACAAACTCGCGATGTCATGAACGCGTTGCCCTGTGTTGAATTCAAGGTCAATAGGCTCACAAGATATTGTAGTAGTACCCTACCTCAACTTTTTTCTATGACTTGCAATGCCAAAGTAAAGTAGCAGTCACGTCTGTATAGTCGAGTCTTCCCTGAAGAATCTGTACACTCTGGGGAGGAGGGGTCCAGTTGCAGTTCCCCTGAAACTCGATTTGAATGTTGTCCCCTTGACGTCATGACGGATGTCTTTGCCGACTTGGCGCCAAGTGAAAAACTGGTATAAAATACCGTTCTCTGAGTTTGCATCTGTGTTAAGGCCGTAACTGAGGTTACACTACGAAGTACGTTAGTACAGCACGGAGGTGTAAGTTTCATACTTGAATACATAAAGTATGTTACCTACTTCACTTTCATGAGGGATTCGTTTTGAAGAATGGGAATCTCATCCATGCTGAGTGAATCCGTATCTCAGTTCATGGCATTATGTCGTTGGACTACTCCGTACATATACCCGATATCCGGCAATACTGCCCACATAATTACCCCTTTGATGGGAGGTTGGAATTGAAAGAAAGTCCCTGCTACAGGTACTGTACAATACCTTCGTATTTGTTGATAAACTCTTTAGGTGGTGCTGCTCCAACCGCAATTGAATGTTTGACTTAAAACGACTACGACTCTCATCACTCTTAGGTGTAATGAGACATGAGGTCGGTTGTTCAGTGTGGCTTTGTAGATAAAAACTGCCTACGAAGTAGATCCCGAGCGTTTTGAAGACTGTCCGTCTTACGAATACCATCGGCTCAAGGAGATGCCGCAGTTCTCACTGAACCCACAAGACGATATGTCAGCCGAGGATGCCCAACCGAAAGTCCTAACCTTAATGAGGTAGTGATGCAGCCTACAATCGCTGGTACAGTAGCATCCCAGCGAAGGAAATTGCATTTGGGTCCGATTTTCATGAAATCCGCAGTCTGTTCGAATTCTCAACCGCGATGTATGCAACCGTGTTGTTTAGAGCCTCATCCAAGCCTGAGTTGGACGACTTACCAACAGCGACAATGGGCTTGCTATGGAGCCCCTAACAATAACAAACTTTAGCGTACCTCTAGCGTCAGCCTTGGCATTTTTTTGCTTCGTCTCATTTGCGCAGCGACAGCATCACTGGACCCTGCATGATGGGATTCACTCCATCTTCCAGGTTGGGAGGTTGGGTGTTGTTCATGCCGGAATGCCCAAGCCTCAGCACCCTCAAAGCCAACACCATGCCCAAGAGGGAAGAAAATATGAGCGCCTTTTATTGGACCCCGCGTCCACCTGAGCTCAGCCGTCGTGCACCATTTCTGCGAAGAGGAAAGCGTGTGCGTTCAGTTTGACGCCATCCAATGTTGCGGCTGTCGGCATCGTCCAGGAAGCGCTAGGCTAACTTACGGCCTGGAGTTGCACCGCCATCTTACCTTCTCGTGGTGCCCATCCATAGCTCCATACCCTGGTTCGGGCAAGCAATTTGCTGTTGGGTTCCGACCACGGCCGTTTGAGATGTGTTCGACGACACAAAGCTTTCTCTTACGAGTTACGACCTTTCTTTGGTGCCCACCGTTTCTTTGTGCCGGCTTCGGACCTCAACACCGGCACACCGCCGCTCTCCTCACTTCGACCTAGGTTACGCCGCTGTCGCGCTGAAGCCGGTAATCGAAGGGGCGAGCCTTTTCGCGCCGTCGAGGCGCCTCAAAGCCCGAGGAAATGGCAGCGCTCCCGGAGAACTGGGAGTGGGACTACGATGGCCAGCGATGGTTCTACCGCTACAAGCCCACCGGCCTCATACAGTACACCTTTCCCAAGCCAGGCGACGAATTCCCCGAATTTGTCGGCGACGGCCCTGCGCGAGTCGACCTTGCCCCCGAAGAAAAGCTGGTTAGCCAAAAGCAGCTGAGAAGGAGAAGCACACTGGGCGAGTCGTCGTCGAACTCGGCTGCTGTAACCACACAAAAGCAGACCTCGGTCACCCAGCGCATTGACGAACAGGATGAGGGTGCTGACCAGTTCTGGCTCCAACCTGATGGCCTCATGTACATGGGACCTGGCGCATACACTGATATTAGCCCGTTGCAGGAAAATGAGGAGGAAGAGGAGGCGAGTCTGGGACCTAGCAAGGCTAGCGAGAACACAGATGTAGCAAGAACCGACACTGAAGCGTCTACCATCGCCGCTGCGGGAGGATCTCCCAAACAGGACACCAGCCAGCCGACAAAGCCACACGCACCCCCAATAGTGAGCGCAGAGACCACTCCTCTTGTCACCAACAGCCAGCCAGCCGTCACATCCCCCGAGACAAGCAGCGTGATAGCCGTCGAAACCATCGAGATAGCGCCGGTCGACAGCACAGCGGCACCATCACCCACCGTACCGCTTCTCGACAGCCGCGAGGTCGAAGTGCCGCGTGACCCGCTTGGCTTCGTCGCTGAACTTCCAAGCGAGTTGACAGCCCGGTGTCACGAAGAAATCCATCCGACTCCCGTCGAGTTGCCTGGCCATGAAATTATGGTTGACGTCCCAACGCCTGCAGTCTATGCAAACGCTTTCAGTTTGGACCCCGTCGAGCTGCCTTCTGACAGCGTCACTGCAACGCAGGCTCTTGCAAAAGAGACCGAGCGGCCAGGGACTAACCGAGGAACTCAAGACCCTCTGCATCGTCCAAACCGACCTCTTCGACAAAACTCCCTACCACAACCTCCAAGCGGTCAGATGCCAGGAAAGTATCAACCTTACAATCCGGCGAGGCATTGGGCGGGGTCAGAGCACAAGCCAACTTTGACCTCTAACGGCCAGTATGCTATTGCTGCGATTCGAGATTCTGAACTGGCTGGCGGAAGCAAGAGACACTCACTGGCGGGGCCGGCTCCGATGCATCATCAATCAGAAATTCCTGCCTCTCTTCGACCCCCACAAGTGCCTCCAAAGGTGCCTTTGGGCGGCGTCAGCAATGACAGTTGGGCGACAGCTTCTGTCAATAGAACACGTCATGAAAGCCTATCCGGCACCGTCAAAGCAGCCGATTCTGGAGAACTCGGGAAATTTCCTTCTGTTCTTAAGCCTGCCCGTGGACGGCCCGTCCTAGCTCGACCATCGCCTCCCCAAAGCCGCCCAGATAGCCCAAAAAAGGACTATCAAGCCTATAGACCTTACCGGGATCTCCAGAAGGATATTGAAGACACGGTTCAGCTGCTATCCAAGACTAGCTACGCCCGAGGGACTACGACACCGCCGGAGACATCGAATTCCTCCAAACCCCAAACTACCAGAACCGGTGCCTTGCCGTCTTATCTTCCCACAGTACCCTACATGGGCGACAATGAAGGCTCACAGTTAGCCTTCTCTGGGCCGAGCGCGTCCTCGTCCTCGCAGCATCCGCGGGTCCCCATAGCCTCTTGTCAGAGCCACGACAACAGTAATCCACCTGGACGAGAGGCAAGTACACCAGCTTTTCAGGAGTACTCTACCCCTCTCCCGCCTTCGAGTCCAGACTTGCCGCAGCCTCTGAAACTTTCTCGTAAATCACCTGAGCCCGCAAATCGGAATAGTGTACCAACCGTCAATGCTTCTCTTAGGCCCTCAATCGCGACCGAACAGCCGGAGCCTGTCTCCCAAGAACCCGCGCCAGCCCTGTCCGACACTATGAGAGTTACCGTCCTGGGAAAGGCCAATCCGGCTACTGAAGCAGATCCCGAACATGAAAGTTCGGATCTCAATGCTCAACTCAGCGCGTGTGATCAGGCAGCGCCGACAGTCCAACCCGACCAACGAATCATCTCAGGAAATTCTCAACTCGAGCTCCATGAGATACAGGCATCGGAACCTGTCTCTACTGAATCAGTCACGTCCCCCGGGCAGTCGCAGCCTGCCGTAGCGAGGTTTGAACAAGCAGAATCGAGCGAACCCTGCGTCGTACTAGAACCCACAATTTCGTCAGCCTCCCCCCCTGCTCGAGCACCTATCGACTCAGGGGTTAACAATAAGCCAACGCTGACGAGTTCTTTTGCGGTGGAGAGCATTGACGTCGCCCCCGCATCGACAGGCACTTCTAAGGATTACAGAGAGCCTCAAAAAGCGGACGCGTCACTTGATCCTCGGAACGAAATGCCCTCGGAGACTTCAGTGGATGCGGGTCAGGGGACAAGTAGTAACCAAGTGCCAGTACCTACGCCTTCCGGGTTTGTCCCAGAAGAATTTCCCAAGCCTGGTACCCCACAACCCGGTGTTGCAGTCCCTGCCGTGACTATCCAACTTTCCTCACCACAGGTTACCCTTGATCTCCCGCCGGTAGAAACGCAAGGATCGCAAGACTATACGCAACCCATGCGAAGGGAAAGTGTGACCCTATGTACCAGTCATGCCCCCCAACCCGACACCTCGAATCCACCGTCTTCAAAGCCTGCAGCTCCCGAAACTTTGACACGCCCGCCTTTATTGAGCAGCCAACAACTCGCCGCACAACAGGCCGTGACGCCACCACCACCACAGCCCAGCCTTACCCCTCTCCCTCGAACTCCCAGCCCACTATCACGTACTTCATCCCCGCCGGCTCATGGTTCAATTTCAGGGGCAATATCACGGAATCCCTCCGTAGCTGCGGCTAGTTCCGCGCCAAATCCAAGGCCAGAGAGCGGGGCTTCACCGAATCAAGATCCCAGTAATCCTTCGGTCACAAGGCCGGGACCCTCTCCTTCTCAATTGCCAACTTCCAACTTGCCAATGACGAGCCGGAGTCAGGCCCCAGTGCAAACGATTCCAGACGGCCATCATCCTCTTGGCTCTCATCACGTCAATGTCTCACCGCCATCGCCCCCGAAATTGACCAGACCTGATCACCAAGGCCCCGATAAGCCCGGCGTTGGCCATTGGCAACCTTGGTATTCCACTAGAGATTCTGCAGCGGCTGGAACAGCGAATCAGCAGCAACATCCAGCTTTGGGAATCCCGACTCACTCACAGCACCCGCCCTTATCTGGGCCGCCGCCCTCCTTTGCCCAGCAGACACCTACGTCGTCTCCTGGTTCAGTGGCTAATCTAGGGCCCACCGGCCAGCCATCCGCTCCGCAACCGTTGCCGGTCAACGTTCCGGTCCAGACCTCTATGCACTCGGCAGGCCAGGTGCCGCCAATGCCAATGGCTCCGGGCCAGGGGCCGATCATGGCTAATGTTCCAAATTCTGTACCTCCAGGTGCGCCTCACAGGTCGTTTTCGGTGGCTTCTCCCCCATCGGCATCTTCCCATGCAATCAGGGTGTCTGGAACGGCACCTCCGCAAAGGCCGGTCGTGTTTGCACCGCCAGGGTTGCCTCAAGCGATGCCAGCAGCTCAAGCTGTACAACTTGGGATACCTTCTCGGCAGACATTCCCAGGGCAGCCCGGCATGTTGGCACCACAAGCAAGCATGCCACCACATCTGCCGACGCCCCCACAGATGATGCAGCCAAACCAAGGGATGGGCGCACCGCATGCAATACAAATGCAGCTTCCTCAATCTGTTTCCCCGGTAAAGGAGGAAAAGGGCTGGTTTGGCAGGCTTTGGAGGAGTGACACCGTCAAGAGGTCGAACTCAGCTGCCGGGAATAAGCTTCAGAAGCAAGGAGCCCGTCCTATGCCACAACAATCCTATTCGCAAGGCCAGGCGGATCCGGGCATGCAGTTTGCTAACCAGCCAATGTTTGCCCCACCGGGGGCTCAGCAGGGAATGGCACCGCAGATGATGGTGCATCATCCCCATCCTCATGTATTGCAGCACCCTCAGCCGTCGCCAAACATGCAACAGAAGTCATACTTCCAGCCACAACCGCCTCCGCAGTTCCAGCCGGGTATAGCGACGAATAACGGGAATGGAAACATGGGAATGCCCAAGTATGAGTCGCCTGTCTCTTCTCAGCCGCATATGTACCAGGCTAGCGTGACTGCTCCGCAGCAGCAGCACCCGCAGCAAATCCAGATGCAAAGGCAGAGTATGGGCGGCGGGGGTGGCTCTATCCAGATGCCGCCTCAACAGCAGGTGCAGGGGGTCCGGACCGGGTCAGGGCCATATTTCGCGGCTGGAGGTCACAATGGCGCCGTCGGGAGCGGGAGTTCTCCTGCTAATACGGGTACGGGCAAGCAAACTGGGAACAGCAATACGAAGCCCTCTTCTGCCGGATGGGGAACTACCCGTACTTCGGCATATGATGGGGCTGGCTGGGGAGATGATTTCGATGAGGATTATAAGTAATGATGTTGGGTCAAATTATTGGGTGAAGCTTTATTTTCTGCCCTATTGGGAGATTCGGCTAGCATAGGCGCCGCTTGATAAGTAATTGGACGATGATAATCCTAATGCAGTGAAGTTGGGTAGGATAGGATAGGGTGATGGATGATGGCATGGAGGGAATTCAGCTATGAATCTGCGAGGATGATACCACCTTTTCTGCTGTAGCCTCATACTGCGCAACACGCTATTCAGGCTTATATACGTCGGATACAATGAGCGAAGGGTTGAAGGAATCCGTTCCAATCAGATTCGGGTTTTGATGTCTCCTTTCCTGGACGATCTCAGGGGCGTTTATTTACTGCCTGGAGTGAACAGTCGAGGGGCAACCGGGAGTCCGTGCACGAGCTCTCATGCTCAGTCCAGAATCCAGATGATGAATCCTGCATTCCAGGCTCAACTCTTGGCGTGTTCGAACATCCCTCAACCATCTTTCTCCGGACGAGCGCAGAAACTAGCCGCCACCATGCGCGCCCTTGAATCCCTCTACCACGCCTACCTCCCGGTCCAAAACTTCCACCGTCTTGCCCACGGCGCATCCCGGATCCCACTTCGACGAGCTACAACAACAAGACCACACCCTCCGCCTCCACCCTCGAGCCCCGCAGTCCTCGGTCGACCACCAAGGCAAACAAGAAGCTACAGCCAGGAAGCAAGGGAATACAACAGAGGCAGTCACGGCGACAACAACAACAACAACTTCCCCCCACAAAATCCAACCCTATCCCGCGCAGAACGCCTCCTCTCCCGCCTCCCCCGCCCCCTGCAGCGCTACACCACCCGCCTGCGCGGCGCGCCTGTCACCCACGTGGCCGCGTTTTTGGCGCTCCACGAGATAACGGCTGTGGTGCCCCTTTTGGGACTGTTTGCCCTGTTCCACTACTATAATAATAACAATAGTAGCAATGATACCAATGAGGGTGGCGGGCTGGTGGGCTACCTGCTGGAGCATTACGGGGGGTATGTGAGTGAGGGCGTGGGGAGGTTTGAGAGGTGGTTTAGGAGGCGGGGTTGGTTTGGGTTCGGTCAGGGTCAGGATGATCATGAACATGGGGAGGGGGGTGGTAGTGGTGGTGGTGGTGGGGAGGGGGAGGGGGAGGGAGGCATGTCGTTGTTAGGGTTGTGGCAGGGGAAGCAGGGCGACAAGTATCGTGTCGTGGTCGAGGTGGCGTTGGCGTATGCCGTGACAAAGGTGCTTCTGCCGGTAAGGATCATGGCGAGCTTGTGGGCGACGCCGTGGTTTGCGGGGGTGCTGATGAGGGTTGGTAAGGTGCTGGGGAGGGGAGGGAAGAGAGGGTAGGTGAAGCGGATTATTTATCGTTTGGCGTGTCGAGAATATTGTTCCTCCCTATCCCGGATGTTGCGCCCATTACATACAATACACGGTAGATTCATGAAAAATTCATGGCCTGCCTCCACCAGGCCGCAACACCACGTCTCTCCATGGCCGCAGCAAATTCCTGAATGGCCTTGACCTCAACAAGGCCCGGCTGTTCTTCAGACTGCGGTACATCCGACTCGATCACGGCTGGCCGTGATGCTAGCTGGAAGTCCTTGTATCGCAGTTTCTGAACTGCTGTCAGTCCGCTAGTCGTCAAGTCACAAGGGCACGCTCCCCCACCAACCTGCACAGTGGCCACCCATTCCCGGACTCCGTCTTCGCTGCCCTTGCAGTACATGATGCCTGGGCAGCCGCCGCTCCGCAGGAGAGCATAGCACTTGTACCTGTCGGCTGCTTTGCGGAGATGGGCCACCTTTTTCCGCGACGTGATGTGATGAGTCCGGATCAAGGCATGGAAAAGTGCCATTGGGGCAAGCAAGTCATGGTTGTGAGGATTGTGGATTTGATCTCATGTCCTGAGTTTTGGTGGTTGGCGGTTGGTGATAAAAAGCAAAGAATCAGAGTGCGTCATGGCCTTCTCAAAACCTCGATCGCTACGGTCGAATTTCAATGGCTACTACATACACACACCGCGTTTAAACACAGAACTGCTCAACATACCTGAATCCAAAACACTGCAGAAAGAGAGAACCGCGAGAGTGATTCTCTGGCAGTTGTGCTCTCAGTACTAACAAAGAGAAAGGGCTCACACGACGTTTAAAGGTACAGTACTGTCAATCTGGTCGCACTGTATTCTGAACCACGTGCCCACGCGTGCGACCCCATTCAGTGGTAGCACTGGTAGAGAAGTCCATTGAGAATCCAACGCGAGCTGGTCACGCCTGCCGTGCCTCCGCTCCACTGACTCGCACTCAGGTGAATCCAAAGTCGCGCAAGCAGGCACCAATTTGGCTACTTGCCAGATGCTCACTGCTGGCCTCAAAGACCTGTTGCCTGCGATGCCGTCCTCAACCATTTATACCCACACCTCTCACCACCTCATCGTCTTGTTTACTCGGCTCGTTTGACGGCATCAATACACAAGATCACACATATGCAGCCAGTGAATCATGCCCTTTTTATTTTCCTATGTCTGTGATTTGCTCCAATCGCTGGATAATAACCGCCTTGCTCGCTCGGGACTGAGGAGCAAAGCGACCATAATTCAGGATTGGTTCAGGGGACATCAGGCGCAGTTATACCGAGATGAATTGGATACTGCAGCCCTGCTTTCTGCCCTTCTCCCGGAGAAACGGACTGACAGGGTATACTTTCTTCGAGAGAAGAAGCTTCAGACTGTGATTGGCCGCGCCTTGGGCCTGGGTCGGTCTCGCATTGCACAGCTGGGAAGATGGAGTAATCCCGAAGCACGCGTCGACCTAGCAGAATGCGTTGAAAGTATTCTTAACGAAACAGTGAGTTCACTCCACAGCGTGACAGTCTAGGTTCTGACTGGCTCTGCCTAGCCGAACCCAGTGTCCCCAACTGAAAGGGGCGTCACGGTGGAAGAGATCGATCAACTTCTCCACGCCATCGCAGCCACATGTCGATTCAGCTCGCCTGCTGTGCGCAGTTCTGCTTCGGCCGGCCGGCTCGCCAACAAGGAGCTCGCGCTCGGAGACCTCTACAAGCGATTGCCTGCCAGAGATGCCAAATGGCTGACTCGGTTGATCCTCAAGAACTACGAGCCAGTAGTTCTTGATCAGCATGTGGTCTGCCAAAGTTACCACCCGCTCCTTCCAGCGATACTGAATGTTCAGGACGACTTGGCAGCTGCTTCGCGAATTTTGGATTCGTATAGACGTGGCCAGAAAGTCACCGAAGCCGCAACCGGGCTAACCGGACTTGCACAGTCTCTGAAGCCCACTCTTGGGGTGAAGATTGGCCGCCAGAAATGGATTAAAGGGCGAAGCATCAAGCATTGCCTGTCGATGGTACAAGGTCGCATAAGCTGCGAAGAAAAGATGGATGGGGAGTATTGCCAGATCCATATTGATCTGAGCAAAGACCATGACTGTATCCAGATCTTCTCAAAAAGCGGAAAGGACAGCACAAGAGACCGTCTAGCCCTGCATGAGTACGTCACCCGCTGACAACGCACAACAATGCAGCTGACAAGGAGACAGGTCTATTCGAAACTCGTTGCACCTTGGGAAACCTTCCTGCCCACTGAAGAAGGGCTGCATCTTAGAAGGAGAGCTCGTGGTCTACAGTGACAAAGTGCGTTCTGCTCCGAGTCTCGAAGCTGCAAGTGCTTACCACGATCTTTAGGACTCCAAGGTTCTGGATTTCCACAAGATAAGGAAGCATGTATCGAGGTCAGGGTCCTTCCTGGGTACTAGTCGAGACTCCCAGTAGGTTTTCGCTTTCGCCGTGCACACAAGGCATGTAGGTACTAACTGCAAATAGGCCTCACCCCTGGGAGCATCTTATGATTGTCTATTACGATCTACTCATGATTGACGATGAATCCCTCTTGTTTGTCAAGCACTCAGAGAGGTTCCAGCGCCTGAAGGATCTCATTGCAGTGGTCCCAGGGAGATACGCATTGGTGAAGCGGGTAATTATTGACTGCGACAGACCATCCGCAACATCTGATCTGCGCCGGGCCTTTGCGAAATGCATTACTGCACGTGGAGAGGGTCTCGTCCTGAAAGCGGACGATCCTTATTTTGACTGGAGTCCTTCGCGACGACCTTACGCTTGCTGCGCGATCAAACTAAAGAAGGAGTACATTGGCCATTTTGGCGACATCGGCGACTTCACAGTGGTTGGCGCCCGCTATGATGCCGCGAAAGCCAGGGCCTACACAATTCCGAAGGTCAAATGGACCCATTTTTACGTTGGTTGTCTCGAGAACAAGGACGAAGTGCGGCGGTTTGGAAAGCGGCCACAGTTTGTCGTCACGAATGTTGTTGAGCTCAACGCGACACAACTTGATGTGTTTACCACGTCCATCAACCCAGAAGCTGTACCAGCGGAGAGCAATACCACAATTTCGTTAAGGATTGAGCCGGGCATTGATAACGGAAAACGTCCATCCGTGATTTTCCCAACACCCCCGGTGGTCGACCTTCGATGCTTTTCCTTTGAGAAAGAAGGAAACAAAGGATTTTGGAGCCCCAGGTTCCCGTCGGTTACTAAGATCCATTCGGACAGGACTTATCATGACGCGCTCTCGTTCGACGAGTTACAAGATATGGCGATCAAGGAGAAAGAGCTCCCTCCTCCAGAAGACAACCAGGAGCTTCTGGGATGGATCGCCGCGCTGGAGCAGTCCGAGCCCACAGCTACCGTTGGTGAAACAAGCCAGTCGTCCGTTTCCACGGGAGCAGCACCCATGACGCCTTCCCATAAATCCTCGCAGTCATGCCAATCACCAGTGTCGCCGGGTCCAAGATTGCGCGGGCCCAGGGAGATAGACTCGCCCACCTCAAGACGCTCGACTTCTACACAAACAGGCCAGCTGACCCCGCCGAGGTCCTCGGCTATTCAGGTCCCCGAATCGGCTACTCCAAACGTACTACTTGACATGAACGAGGCCGCTCAGAACCGCAAGAGGCCTCACGAAGCATTAGGGTGCGATAATATGCACGAGAGGGCCAAGATGCAGAGATGCTCGAGCGATCACATCTCTACGACTCGCCCGTCGCAGAGCAACAGCATGAATCTCACAGCGACGGGACTCGTTGGTGCCTCAGCCTCCCCATCGCGCCGAAACAGTCATGCTGGTTTGCGGATACCGAGGCTCTCTGCCTCAAGATCGATGCCTCGGGTAGACATGGAAGGCGAGGACAGCAGAGTTCGTGACGCTGCTAGGCTGTCTGTTCCGGCGTCCCAATCCTTCCATGGTGTCCTCGTGCCGGTCTTTGCGTCGTCAGCTTCCTCATCCGGCAGCAGCGTCTTGCCCTCGAAACATAACAACATCAGTTTCAACCAGGTGTCTGCGACGACCGCTGAGACAACCGCCACCAGAAATTGCCGCTCCCTTGGCGACTCATGCAAGCTCTCAACGTACTCTATCATGCTATCACCATGCATAGCCAACTTCCCCTGGGTTACCGAGAACTTGCTCGTCAGTCACGGAGTGACGGAGTTTATCCGCGACCCCAAAGCATGGCTACGTGACGGGCAGGCCTCAGGAGCAACCGCAGCTGTGCCCTCAACATCAGATATATCTGCTAACAGCACTGCGGAGTCAGCCGGGCATCCAAGCTCCTTGAATAAGAAGCGCCGTCGGTGCAAAAAACTTGTTTTGGTTGACGCAAGGCGCAGGGAGGCCACGGAGGCTTTCCTCGCCTCTATCAAGGCCGCTCAGTTGAAGCGCCGGAACGGCGAGCGGGAATACGTCCCGGTTTTTGATTGGCGGGTCTTGGAAAGTGTTATGGAGGAGGAGAGGAGGTGTTGCCTTGGCAAGGAGAAGCCTGGCGGGCGGTTCGAGATTTCCAGTGGACAGAGTATCTGGAAGCAGTATTGGATAGGGTTGGCATAGGGGCGTTGGGTACTCTTTTACCGTTCGATCAATGAATGCAAGATGAAGAAATGCGGGGCCTCAACCTCAAGTGCCGGTCTCGCAGACGGTCTACTTATCAGCATCCTTCACCCCGCCCTTTCTCTTATCATCGAAGTCTTGGTGCAAGCTCACTTTCGTGTCGCCAGGGGCCCCATCTCGATCATACCGGACCATCGCTACGCTGTTTATTCGGTCATGGCATCATTTGGAGAGGGTTATCCGCAGAGCCGGAATGCCATGTTCAGTCGGATTGACGGCGAGTTCCCTTACCAGCTCGGATCAGACTCATCATGCAGCTCTCCGAACGTTTGACATTGGCGTCAGTATTGACGCCCGACTCAAGCCATTCCCGAATGTCGTCCAGTCGGCCCGGCTCCGTCTCTTGTCCGTGACGGGTGGGTCTAGGGTGCCGTTCGCGGATTTGCCGACTCGGAGACTGTCACTGCACTGAGCAAGTATCGCTTAGTTTTTTTAGTGTCCAAAACTTGAGCGCTTTAAGTGCACCCTTTTGCCTCCTCCTTATCCTTTTCCTCTCGTACGTCGGTCGCATTGCCAGTGCGCAGAGAAATATCTGTACGATAAAAATTTCCCTTTCCGTCACGGAGGAGCGGCCCCACTTCTCGCCATGACTCCTTCGGACGATCGAGTCGTCGGAGAACCCGAAAATGTGGCCTCGGAAAAGGCTGTTGACCGCAATGACGCTGCGCCGCCCGGCCGATGGGGCCGGTTTCGGGAAGCCTTCCTCAGGGTGGCGGCATTCGGCCGGGTAGAGCTCAGGGGCATCACGCCAATCCCGGTGAAGGAACGGACTGTGGAGAGGACCATCAATATCTTCACGCTATGGTGGTCCATGAACACGAATATCCTCGCGTGGGTGAACTCTGTTGCTTTGCGATACGGGAGTTGCATGTCTGACTTGTGAGCCAGTATCACCTTTGGGATGCTCGCTCCCGGCTTTGGGCTCGATCTCAGGAACAGCGCCTTGGTCATTCTGTTTTTCACCCTGTTGACGGCCGTCCCTCCCGCATATTGTTGCACGCTGGGCCCTAAGACGGGCATGAGGCAGATGATGCAGGCTCGCTACAGCTTTGGGTGAGCATGCCCCATCACTTCTTATTATTAGCAGGCAAAACCAGGAAATATCATTGACCTCAAGCCAGGCGCTACCTTGTATCCATCCCTGTCGTGCTCAACCTGGCAAACACGATTGGCTTCTCCGTTGTCATGGCCGTCATCGGCGGGCAGTGTCTGTCGGCCGTGGCGGACGGCACGCTGAGCGTCGCCGTGGGCATTGTTATCACGGCCCTGTTCACCATGCTAGTCTCCTTCTGCGGCTTCCGCGTGCTGCACGTCTTTGAGCGCTACGCCTGGATCCCCGCGCTCATCGCCATCATTGTAGCCGTCGGCACTGGCGGGAGCGGACTGCGAAACCAGGTTGCGTACGACGCGCCCCCACCCGCGTCGGCTGTCTTGTCCTTTGGCATGATTGTCGCCTCATACATGATCCCCTGGGCGTGCCTGTCGTCTGATTTCACGACCTACCTCAAGCCCGACACCCCTTCGTATGTATCCACTCCCCTTTGGCCGCAACCTCCCCACCTCACCTTGCTGAAAATCCTTCCTTCCTCAACGAGCATTCTATCTAACCTTTGAAAAAAGCTCAAAAATATTCCTCTACTCCTACCTCGGCCTGTGTCTCCCCGCCATCCTGCTCATGGTACTCGGCTCAGCAATCGGCAACGCCGTGGCCAACAACCCGACCTGGCAGGCCGGCTACGACCAGACGCTGGTGGGCGGGGTGCTGGCCGCCATGCTCTCCCCCGCAGGCGGCTTCGGCAAGTTCCTGGTCGTGCTGCTCTCCTTCTCGCTGCTGGGCAACCTGGCGGGCACCTCGTACAGCGTGACGCTCAACCTGCAGCTGCTCGTGCCGCCCCTGGTCCGCGTGCCGCGGTACCTGTTCTCAATTGTCTCGACGGCAATCATCATCCCCGTCGCGATCCGTGCCGCGGATGATTTCTTTATCAATCTTGAGAATTTCCTGGCCTTGATCGGCTACTGGACCTCGGCGTGGCTCGGCGTCGTGCTGGTCGAGCACCTTGTGTTTCGCAAGGGGGACTGTGCGGCCTATGATGTCGACGCGTGGAACGACGCCGACTTGTTGCCGTGGGGCGTGGCCGCCGTGACTGCGTCGGCGCTGAGCTTTGCGCTCGTGGTGCCCAGCATGGCGCAGGTGTGGTGGACGGGCCCGATTGCGCGTACCACGGGCGATATTGGGTTCGAGTTGGCCTTTGCCGTCACGGCCGTCTTGTACCTTGGCCTGAGGTGGGTGGAGAAGAGGTTGGCAGGGAGATAGGCGATGACGGGATCGGCAGTGATGCGTTGGCGAAGGCTATTTCTTCTGCATGCAAAACCGCAAAGGTAATGGAGACAGGGTAAGGTGGTTGGGGCTTAATAGCAATCATGATACTTATCGTGTTGCCCTTGGAAAGCCAGCCGTTGGATGTTGGCTAGTATAACTCGAATGGACGCCATATGATACCCTCCCGGATCAAGAGCGCTTCAAGGTAAATGTAATAAAAATGAAGCGATTCCCCGCGGTCCAAAATTATCCACGCAAATCCAAAATCACCATGCTCGTGGCCAATGCCGGCAGCAACGGTACAGACAAGCTGCCCCCTTCCAGCTTCCACAGGACACTGCCCCACGGCATGCTCGCGATGACAGTCGCGTTCGACGCCGGCACCTCAACCCCGCCCTCAACGTCCACGTAGCCCCCATTCACCACGCTCACCAGCATTTGCTTCCCCACGGTCCAGTACGCCGCATCAACCACATCCGTCCCGTTTGCCCTGACCTTGATGGCATTCGGCCCGTCCCCGCCAACGAGAAACTGCAGCACGGGCGGGCGGGTCACGACGCTGGCCAGCTCGCCGTGGGCGGCGGCCAGGGCGGCGCTGGTGGGCCACAACCACGAAACGATGCCGCGCGCGCCGTGGTTGAATGCGAGGACATTCATGACGTGCTCCTCGTCGCGTGAGGGGTCCCTGAGCCAGTAGCCCTGGCCGTGGAAGCTCTGCGGGTTGTGGGCCTTGGTTTTTGGCCAGCGGCCGAGCCAGGACTCGTAGCGGGCGAAGTCGTCGAGGCGCGACGCCACGTCCTGCACGGTGCCCTCGCAGTTGTCGCAGCCGCAGTCGCCGTACGTGGTGTTGCAGGCCGTGCCCCACTTGGAAAAGGTTGCGTTGATCCCGATCGGGTAAACATCCTCCATGATGAAGTCGGCGGGCTCCGAGTATTCGGCAAAGTAGTAGTTTTGGCAGTTGAGCGTGATGGCAACCGGGTGGTAGGGGTCCAGTTTGCGGATCAGGGAGGCTGCAGCGACCGGGGCGGAGAAGGGGTCTTGCCAGCCGTCGGGTCTGCCGTGGAGTGAGAAGGTTAGAAGAATGAGGGAGGGTCTGGGGGCTGGAAGGAAAGGGTCGAAAGTTACTCGTCTGTCGCCCAGTAGGAGAATATTGCTTCGGCGTTGCGTGCCGCGAGCACATTCTCCTCTACGTAGGTCAGGTTCTTGTAGCCCTCGCGCAGGTTGTACATGAAGCGGAGGTTGATCTTGTCCATGTAGGCGAACATGGGCGCCGAATCGTGGTAGGTGGTCAGGGGCGTCATGGCGTTGAGGCCAAGGTCTGCGTACTGCTGAATCTCGGTCGTATTGTTGTTGCGGAGAAAGCCGTCGTACGAGGCGTAGAAGCCGTAGAAGAGAAGCGGCTCAAATTTGCGACCGGAGGCGGCGTTCTTGAACCACAGCCCGCCTTTAAGATTGTCGATCCTCGTGACACTGCCATTCTGCTTGTCTGGTAGGTAGTATATGGAGCTGGTCGCAGTCCACGTTGGGACACCAGTCTCGGGTGCGCCGTATAGGACGACCCTGATAGGCTCCAGACTCGGCTTCAGGCGAGAGAGCTCAAAACGGAAGATGTTTCCCGTAGAGTTAACGGGCACGGTGTTCTGTACCAAGGGGTTGTCATTCTCCACGAGGTTAATGGAAAAGATCAGCCTGTTAGCCCCCTCCGAAGGACTTGTGATGTTCGGCCAGGGCGTGCCGTGGTACTGCGAAAACTCGGCATTGACCACAAACTCGCCATACTCCTCGCTGTCTAGGTAAAGACTGTACCGAGGACGGAATTGGACACGCAAGAGCGGAGGGCCAGGGACAGGTGTAGGGGGCAGTATCTGGCCGCCCGGATCAAAGCTCGGGTACCTGGGGTGAGTTGGCGACTCTGTCGAGGTTCACAGGATCTGGGATCTGGGATCTGGATGACAGCCCACTCACCCTGCCTCATAGACTTTACCGCACCATCGCGGCCAGTCGGTGTGATGGCCCGTCTGCTGGCAATTGGCGGCGACGGCTGCCACCAGCCACGAAGACCAAACCCGCATCCCGACCATTGTTGAGATGCCAGCAGCTGGCGGTCAAGATCGGCAGCGGGGTTGAGGAAGGTTACAATGGAAGCCCCTCAAGCTGGTGAATCCATTCCTTCGGAGCTCAACTTTACCCGTAGCGCCGTAAAGCCTGAACTCCATCCATCCTTGGCTCCTCATATCATATATGACGTGCCTTCCCCGTCTGGACAAGCAGCGCCATTGAATGGTCTGACAACAACAACATCGCAATCGCCATCAAGCAACCTTATTCTGTTCGCGCACCAGCGCGGGCATAAATGCCCCGATGGAATATGAAAGTGACAGGAACCTGTTCATTGCAGGCGCCTTGGGGAAATCATGGCCGTGTTTCCAGGTAAGCCCCGAAATATGTAAAACTCGGTGTCATCGTTTTCTGATTGTCTTTGTGGAGTGGCAGCAATTGGCTGATACTTATCGTCGGTCGGCCACGGAACGCGGCGATGGGATGATGCCAAGCGCCATGGTTTAGGGTACGTCAGTCTCTCGATGATTGAGTTCGGATGGTTTCCAGAATCTCGAGATATCGGGAACTGGTCTGCCCCTGTCGATCGCCAGGAACAGCCATCATCGCGGATCTCCACAAACACGAGACGACAAAGCAAAGCCTTGTGGGGAAACCCGGCACTTGGAAGGCTCCGCCGCTAAAAATAAGCCCGGCCAAGCCACCACCACAGTGGAGTCGAGGACCAACCAGGGCCCAGCTTTCAGGGGTTCATCGCCATGCTGAACGCGCAAGCAGTGTCGCAGACTCGAAGAATAAAACCAGCCGACACCGCTGGCGCCTCTCAGGCAGCAGCTTCATCCTATTGTATCGCGGGTTTGAAGATACATGCACTAGTTATACTACGGTCCACAAAGAGCGAGCAGTGACTGGAGTTGCATAACGTTAGTTGCGACTCCAGAAAAAGAAGATCGAGAAAAAAAGAAAATGGCCCCGACCCAACCGCCGGCCCCGAGCACGCTCCTCAACCTTGCCCGTTCTGCCGCCCCGCATGTCGTAGCCACCACCTCCGGGGCCATCGCCCTCTCCCGCCGCGACCTGACCGTCAACGATGCCCAGAAAGTCACACTAGGCGTCATCGCCGCCTACATAGTTGCCATCGCCCTACTATGGAACCTGCCCTACGTCCGCTGGGTGCTGTGGCCGTTCAAGGTAAAGACACACGCACACACACAGAGCACAGTCCTCTTCCCCTCCGAAATCATAATCATATGTCCTAACATAAGCGCACAACCAGATGCTCGTAATAGCCTTCCACGAGTTTGGGCACGCCATCATGTGCGTGCTGACGGGGGGAAAAGTCAAGAGCATCGAGCTGGACCCGCGCGAGGGCGGGGTGACGCACATGCTCGGGGGGCGAAGCGCGCTGACGCTGCCCGCGGGCTACCTAGGCTCGTCGCTGGTGGGCGCGCTGCTGACGTTTGCCGGGTTCAACATCAACGCGAGCAAGATTGCCAGCATCGCCGTCGGCGTATGCTTCCTGCTCACCCTGTGGTGGGGCCGCCGCGACTGGCTGACCATCGGCACCATCCTCGCCGCGGTGGGTCTGCTCGTCGGCTGCTGGTTCATTGCCCACGCCGAGGCCCTGCGGTTTGTGGTGCTGTTTATCGGCGTCATGAGCTCGTTGTATAGCGTGTGGGATATTGTGAGTTACCCTCCCTTTTTGGTTGGTTGCTGGGTTGGGGCCCGATCTCGTTTTGCTGACCATCTGTGGCGGGTAGTGCGATGACCTCATCCTCCGCAAGATCAACAGCTCCGACGCGAGCGTCTTTGCTAAGCGCTACGGCGGCTCTTCCCAGTGCTGGGGCGTCATCTGGTCCATCATCTCGCTCTGCTTCATGGCGGCCGGCATTGTGGCCGGCATTGCGGCGTTCCCGCAGTCTGCTGAGCAGCAGAGGCAGGACTCGCAGCACTTTATTCCCACAAAGTTTTGAAGATCGAGCGTTACGCTTACAAGTCTCACTTTGAACCGGTATCGACGGCGGGCTGTCCTGGTCTGGGCACATGTAATTTTCATTTTGGAAGGCGTTGATTACAGGACGGCATGATTAATGATACCCGTAATAGTTCTTTTTTGGCGAGGAGTCTAGACTACAAACTCTCATGACGGAGTAATGGCAGCTAGATTATGACAGACTCATGCACTTTACGAAAGCTTCAAATATGTACCAAGAGCAGAGGCTGAGGTACATAGGTGGACTGGGGCGTTTCGACATCAAGGTTTATTGATAATCTATGTAGATTCAGGCCCCGAGCAATAGCAGAAGACTTCAGACAAATCGTTGGATTATCCCCTCAAACTCACGGCCTAGCGAACATGCGAAACCCAGAACCACCCACGGCAACTATTCTCAGAGAAATGTGCTTTTCCATATGCATGCAGAACTCCTGCAAAAGCACCCAGAACCTCAACGCCCGTACAAGTATATACATACATGAACGAAACAGGCAAGCCCATGTCTAAGCCTCCTGATGAGATAAACCACAGCCTGACGATCCTTTGAACCATCCATGCCAAATACCGTGAGAACCTCCCCAGCACCAACACAGATATCTCCCTCCGCTCAATCCTGGTACACTCAGCATCCTTGCCCGAGGCACCGCGGAATGCTCTATCTATGGATGACCCGAACTGGGGATGAGAAAGTAAAACGAACAGCGGCCAAGCCACTAAAGCTGAACAAAGGCTATAAAAACAATACCCCGCTCCATAATGATACCGGCCACCCTTCAACACACAGCTTCCCGTGGAAATATGAAACTGGAAAAGATCCCGACAAAATACATGACCCCCAACAGCCGACTCAAGACATGACAACTACTCCCCCCTAACCTTGAATTCTTTCCCCACTTTCTCAAACAAGGAGTCGAAATGAAACTTGAGCTGTGCCTTCGAGCACTTGGGATGGGTTGAAGCGAACAGCTCGACGACACCGAGCTTGCTTAGCTTTGGGTTCGCCCGTACAAGATCCTTCAATGCTTCACGGATTTCGGGAGCCAACGGTTGCTGCGACTTCCCCCGGCTTCCGCTGCCTCTACTTCCTAGGCTCAGTCCGTTGAGAGCGTCTGAAGGAGCGGCTAAAGGGGCCGATCGGTTGCCGCTTGCGTCCGGGCAAGAAGTCGAAGTCGTCGAAGCGGGTCCTGTCCTGGTGGATGTTGATGCGCTCGATTTCTCGCCGTCCGCGCCTGGCTTCGATTTCGGGGGTGCCTGCCAGTAGGCAGTGGAGAAGGGATCGATGCAGAGGTGATGCTCGAGGGATTCTGGGGAGTATTCAGTGATCGAGCCCCTGGGCACCAATCCCTTCAGGGACTTACCGAGGATGAACTCCATCCGATACTTGGACATTTCTGGTTTGCTGTTCAAGTGCTCGCCGTTCTCCCAGCAAAGCCCACTGCTTTCAGGCTCCATGCCCCCAGAAAAGACCATACGCGAAGGTCCAACATCCTCGGAGTCATCCAGGAAATCAGCCATGTCCTCATCCATGTCCGCCTCCTCTTCGTCATCGTCCAAGTCATCCACATCCTCGCCATCCTCGTCCTGCCACTCAGCTTCCGAGTCATAATCGTAATTGAGTGGCAGTTGTCGGGATGTGGGTTTTCTGGCGAGCTTCCCAAGGCTCTTTACGCCGGGTGGCAGACCACTGATAGTGCCTATGTACGGTGGTCGCACGTCTTCCCTGAATTTGATAGACTTCACGGGTATCGACTTCAGAGCCTCTCTGATATGGAGTAATTGCGCCTTCTGCTCCTCAATGGTGAGATCGATGGGTCTGCTAGACGAAAGCCCGTGGAACTCTTCCATGATCTTCCGGACGCTCGGATAGATACGCCCACGGCGTCTAACGTATGGAATTTGCAGTGCCTCCACCGGGTCGAAGCGGGCCGGTACATAGTTCCGTTTGCCCTCGACATATTCTTCGAGGATCCTGACTTTGGTAGCCTTCGTCTCCTCGTCCATCTCGACGGGATCTTTGGCCAGACGGACATGTTCCTTGAGGAAAAACTCCTTGAACATTTGCTCGTACAGTGATTTTTCCTTCGGTCCGCCCGTGATGCCGTCTGCCGAGGCAGCTTCGGCATGGTCCTGGGCTTTCGACGTCGGAGTCTCTTTCTTAGACGCTGCCGGTGCCATCTTGAACATGTTTGTTAGCTTCATCTGACCGCGTTGCTTCTTGGCTTCCTCTTCCTCCTTTTCGCGCTTCTTCCTCTCCTTCTCGGCCTTCTCCGCGGCCTTGGCAGCTTTCTCTTCGGCCTTAGCAGCTTTCTCTTCATCCTTCTTTGCTTTCTTGGCTTCTCTTTCCTTTTTGCGAGCCTCCTCAGCCTCGGCTTTGGCCTTCTTCTCCTCGGCAGTCAGCAGCCTTCTCTTTTTCGGCGGCTCCCCGGTCGCTGTCTTCGCTGCGCCTTTCGCCAGGGCTGGGAAAGCGTCTTGTGCGACAGCTGATTCTGCGATGGGTGAAGTGATAGCAGGCACATTGTCTGTGATCTCGCTCGGTGTTGGGTTAGGGCATGGCGAGTCCCTGTCGAGCGGACTGCTTCCTGGCTCAGTCAAACCAGGACTGCTTTTTGTGTTGGGGGAGATTGAGTTCTGAGGAGGTGAATATGGGACGCTGTTCTCCTCTGGCGATAAAAAAAAACCCATATTGTCAGTTAAGCACCTGGTGTAAAATGACAAGGCAGCACCTACTGTCGCTGAATGATTTCAAAGTTACCGAATCGATAATCCCCTGCTTTATGAAGTCCTCATGCGACCTCTTTCGCGAGGCGGAATCCCGCTCTTGAATGTCGCCGGGCATTGTTGGATATTCTGACATCGCGACACAACCCCCGCACGGGGACTTGCGAACCGGGGAAATGTAACAAATCTAACAATGAACGGGTTTCTCGAGAAGCAGGGGATAATTAGAGGACCACCATGGGCTTGTCCACTCAAGGGTGCAGTCGGGTGAATTGAGTCAGGTGGATTTCGATTTTGGTGAAAGAATTCCAGGTTGCTGAGTTTGTTGACTTGAGGATCGCTTTGGATTCAGCAGATAACGCGAGTTTCGAGGTAACAATTGACAAACGCAGAAAGCGCGTCCCAGTCGCGACTCCATTATTGAACATTTGAACCGTGCGCGTTACGCGTCTGAGTGCCTGTGACCTGGATTGTGGCGTAAATGTGGCTTGGCTGTGAGGGGCTCGATTTGGGACAGTGCGGGTTGCACGTAGTACATCAGGGCCGCCGGCTTTTGGTTGATCTGATTCTGGCAAGGAATGCGACATTGCCGCCGATTTCTGAGAAGCGACTGTTTTTTCAAGGCTACCGTAAATACTCGCTCGATAGGAGGATACGCTAAGCCTATTACAGCTAGCGACATCTGGATTCTGCGCGACTGCTCTGCCAAGATCTCTCCGACTCTCAGATCTGCTCTCAGTTTCAATTCGACAACCACGATAAAAAGTGGGTAAAGGCGTACTTTGGTTGGCTGTCGTTAAAAGGTTGGAGGCCGGGCTGCAGTAGCGCCGATTCTAGCGTATCCTCCTATCGAGTGAGTATTTGCGGTACGAAGGTACAATACAACGCCGCTATTGGGCTACAGCCAGTGAGGTGGGGCCAATTGAGAACAAGCAGGCGGTCTGGGGCGGCAGTAATTAGTACTCCCCCGCCGCCCCGCCGAACTTCCCTTTTTGCACTGTATTTCTTGCAGTGGGTTGGCGTCAGAAAACCGGGTGGGTGATAACACAGTCGCTTTACGGGTCTCGATTGCCCCAAACCGCATTACATGACCCTGTCATTGACGACGAGAAGATTACTACTGGCTACCTTCTACGTCAATCGCTCAAAACCAGGAACATGTAGATGAGGTTCGACGCATTAATCATATTTCGTCTCTCGTCTTTACCTCACCACGGACGATGTTCAAAAAACATCGGAACTTCATTGTGAGGTAACGCTTATGTACAACCAAACCGTCCAGCACTGTCACTGGACGATTGTGTTGGTGAATTGTGATATCTGAGTAGTAGGCGTGCTGCACTCTGTGGAACACTTCTCGATCCAGTGGCCATCAGGGGTGGACTTTACTGTAGGCAAGGCACAAACGGTCTTAACGCAGGGCTGCAATAGCATCCTGGCTTGATCTGGGGACAGGAGATCCATACAGCTTTCCGATGCCCAATGTTACACTATAACAATCCCTCTTATACGTAGGACCGGCCAGGTTCCAAGGAAACCGCCCGGCTAGAATCCTGTCAACCTCGCTGAGGTTTGCAAGGTTTCTCGCCTGATGGTAAGAGAACTCACATCCTGTCGTCATCCATTCGAGCCCGGTCGTAGTAGTAGACAGGGGCGGTTATGGCGGCAGATTGATCGGGGAAGGGAGGAAGGAAGCGGCACTGGTACAGGTTTGCAAAAGGCAATTCCGACCAATATTGGTGGTTGGCATTGGTATCTTGATTTGAATTATCCAGTCCTAGTCGAGCCCGTGCATCCGTTCTCACTGCCTCTTGGACCAAGCCCATCCCGGGCATCTCCCCTCGCTCACTGTGCCCATGAAGCAGTAGATTAAACGGACAAACCATGTATGAGCAACGAAGGTTGGGAAACAAGACTGAGCGTGATAGATAAAACATTGGATCCATTGAGGTACGCAAACTCGTAGTCCTCAGTGCCGAGATATGCCGGTGCGAGTGGGTATTGTATTGTGTGTATTGCGACGCTGTGACTAAGGAAAGAAATCGCTCGGGCAGCGGGCTTTAGGATCCTGTCCCTCACCACCCATTATGCTGCTCTCAATCTAGTCCGGATTCGCAATGTACAGCCGGCCCGCGGTCAGGGTCATCGTCCGCTCGTCTACGCTGCCTCGCCGTTTCAGCTCGTCGACACTCTTGACGCTCTTTTCGCGAGTCACCGTGGCGTGCTTCATGCTGTTGTTGGCGAGGTGTGTCGCGTTGGCGGATGAGAGATCCGGGACATTGTCCAGCCGCTCTCCGCTGCTGCCACTGCCAAAACTCCTTGCTTTCCCGCTGGCCGAGTCGTCCCCTGCTGCTGCGAGTGCCGGCTCGCCCAGCTTGACGTCCTCGGCCACAGAACCCCTGCGCTCCGGGGTTGCGTCAGGGCTCCACTTCGTGCCCCCACCGGGCGGGTTCACCAGCCCGAGGCCTCCGGGCGAACGATATGCCGCCGTTCTCTTGCCGCTAGAGATGCTAGTCCGACCAGAGCTCCCCGTCCTGCGGTGGTGCATCCTCTGCGCGATAGCGTCGTCGTCATCGCTCTCCTCCCCTTCCACCTCGGTTGCGCTTAGTCGAAGTGGAACTCCCCCGACGCCGTGGAAGTTGGTTCCGGGGGAATAGTCGACCACAGTGTTCTTGCCATGATGGCGTATTTTAGCGGCCACTCTCGTGCCAGTAGAGCTAAGCCCGGTAGAAGTGCGGCCAGCCAAGGCGCCCGCGCTGAGGCCGAGGCCGCTGCCGGATCCTAGCACCTCGCGCTCCGCTCGTATTTTGGCGGCTCGCTGCTGTGCGAGCAACCTGGGGTCTTCGTACTGGGCGCGCTCGCACCATACAGTAGCCTTCTGCCTCCTGAGGAGCGCCACGTAAGACGACTGGGGTGCGCCCGAGTTCCCGCCAGAGCGGCTCGAGGTGGATCTCCTAATGTCTAATGTAGGCGATGTCCTGTATGCTGCCGGAGGCGCCATTCCTCCGCTCGAGACGGTGCTAAATGTGTTGACGCTGGGCGATCGGCGCTGGTGGTTCGCCTGGGGTTGGACAAGATGCATCTGCGGGGGATAATTTTGGGGAGGGGCGGGTGGTTGCATCATGCCCGCAGGAAAAGTATTCGACGATGTCGTCCGCGTCCGGCTGTGTGTGTAGGCGGCATGGCTTGCGGGATCCATGGGAGGCGCTCGCTGGCGAGCCCATCGAGGGTCCATCTCGGCCGGCCATGGGCGCGACATGGTCAGAGACGAGCGCAAACGCGGACAGGTGAGTCCGCGGTGCAGCGCAAAACGATAAGGCGGTGGTGCTAGTGTTTTGTATGTGGCGAAAACAAATCGTGCAGTTCAAAGCTGGGCTGGTGCTGCTGAGTAGGGCCAGGTGCTGTTCTGCTTTGGGCTGTTGGCGGCTTCGGGGAGGACAAGGCTATTTTAGCAGGCACTAGCAGCAATTGCGTCGCGGCAGATGACAGACGAGCGATTGACGCACTGCAAGGTCATGTGCGATGGGGAAAGAGGGAATTTTGAACACAATCTGTCTCCCTCGATCCGACGAGAATGTCCGTTGGAACAGGCTGGATGGTCAAGGAAGCGGCGGGACGCGACTTCGAGGAAACCAAAGGTCAGAAACTCAGGCGCTCCCACGTTGCATGTCCTGCTAGCGTCAATGGCCCTGGTTTGATGATGTGATGGATGTGGGGATGATCCGAGCGTCGACGGCTCGTTTTCGTTCCTTGGAAGCGCCCTTCCTTGCCGGCCATCCAAACTTGATCCAAACCGGCGGATTCGATCGGTGACTTTCCAGGCTGGCTTCTGTCAACTCTTTTCAATTCCTGAACGGGTCGTGCCAACGGCTTTGTGTCACAAATATCCATCCGGAGTAGTATGAGGGGATTGCAACGCACACTTTCTGGCTGGCCCCCGAACTGTTGGCCACAGGCTGGTTAATCAGCCACCTCATCAAACTTCGAACCGATCTGGCCTGCTGTGCCCCCAAATCACGGTCACCCCGATGACCACAACACAGTGTCTGTGGGGCACGGAGTACCACTGCACTACTTCGTAGTAAACGTACCGTGACACTTTAATTCACAGTATGGTTACGCTTTCTCTTCCCATTATTTACAAAGGTAAGTAGCACACGGCGCAAAGCCAAGTTATTGCGGTCAATCCCCAGAAAACGTGGATGTCGTCTCCTGCAAACCATAATCTTGGAAGACTGCGTCGCAGCCTGGGTATGTATGTAATTACATACCGGGCAGAGCATCCATCACGGCCATCCTACGCAGAGATAAGCTTTGATCCTATCAAGCACACTGTAACTTACAAGTGTGGTAAGGTACTGGCCCAGATCAAAAGCCCTGAAGTTGCCGTAGCTGAATCATAAAGCGGGTGACTAATTAGTAGAGCTACTAATCAACGTTATTTGACAGGACGATCATCGAGCTATTCAAGAAGTTCCCCTCTGCTGCTCTGCATCGTGCATGGATACCGAGTCCTGTTTGGTTAAGCTACCTATTGCCAAGCAGCTGAAGCAGAGATTAAAGCTCTTTAATGTGACTTACCATCAATAGTCTCAGTTGTTCACGGGAGACAACGCTTTAGCTGCGATGATGGACTCACTCAATGGAGCTACTACTTCTCTCTATCATAAACCGTGGAGTGCAGCTCAGACCGACCTTCTGATTCAAGTTGCTGATCCTGGCACTAGGTCCCTTTTGACTTTTGTCGGACTTTGACAAAGGGGCAATTGTGGTGGCTTTAGAATACCTTATTCAGTTGAACAAAGCCAAACTCGACTGGCCCGGAAGGGCATGTGAATGACTACCTACTCATTTACCAGGGTATTGGAGGTTTGACTTCCGCCGCGGCAGCTCTCTATGCTGGTAGCTCAGCCTGAGATCTCCTCCTCATCCCCTTTCTTCTCTTTCTCTACGATTCCATACTGGATGTTCAGTCTAGATCGCAGAGTCACCTTTTCTTCTAGCCAGACTAGCAACCAACCCAGCTCTGAAAGGCATTGCCGACGTACCAAACGATGTGGATCGACTGCCCTTGGCGCCAGCAAGCGTCCCAGAACAGATGCGCGCCATAGGAGGTGACAGGAATAAAGATTTGAATAACGGGAGCCCGAGAGGCCGGGTCCTGGATGCTGTCTAGAAATGCCTGCATGGCATGCTGGCATTGCTGGGTATGCCTTGTCACCACTCAGAAGCGCAGCCAACGTCGGATCTCTCAAGCTGGCGGCCCTCAAGCTGCACTGGTTGTCGAAACGCTGCAGGAATGGTCACATCCAAACGATGGCGAAGGCTCGGACAAAGCTCCAAACCCCGGTTAACGCGGCGACAAGGCTTTGGTTCAATGGCACCTGTATGCCGGCGAGAGGATGGGAATCATCAAGCCGGAGCCCATGGCGCAGAAGAGCTGGGAGCACGCCTTTGCAGCCGTGGCGGCCGAATCCTGATCGAGAATGCTGAAGATACCAGACGAGAGGGTGATGATGGCCATGCCAATGAGATGTAGCGGCAAGTGAGGGGCCCAATCGTGACGGCAAGAGCGGTAGTCGCCGTGCGCTCCATGACGGCGCCCCGAGGGAGTGAAGGGTCCCTCGCCGCGGTCCACTCGTAGGCCAAGAACAGACCGATTCCAAGAAACCCGAGAACAAGAGGAACGATCACATTCGTCGACCTCACACGGATGTACGCTGCCCTTCGCGGGACGGGATAGACAAACTGTGAATCGAGTCCAGAACCTTAGGAACTTCCACAACACGCCCATCAATAAGCACAGCGAGGGAGTTCCGAACCGCCACAGGTTCCGCTGCCACCGTGAACAGGGCAACCGAGGCCAGAGTCAGCCAGCGGCGTTGGCCGCCCGGGCCATGAGCGGTAACATCACCATGGCAGCAAGGGAGTAGCCATCTGGAACTCAGATGAATGAGCAGCCACCGCCGCCGAGGTCTGCCGTGATGGTGAAAAGCGCGCTGGTGATGATGTGCCCTCTATGGACGAGCACAGCGACCTGGATGAAAGCGACACCACGATGCCCCTGGAGTGTTATCCAGCGGCGAAACAGAGTCCGTCGCTAGGATACCAGTGCCTCTGGGAGCACAGAGATTGAGATCATCGGATTCGGGAAGCCTGGTCAGCGTCGGGCCTAGCGAGCCGCACAAGCTATTATTGTGGAAAGCATGTACTGTTAGCACGGAAAAACGTCGAATGAGTCGGACAGTGGGTTGCCAGAATTCATCAAGATATCGGTGCCTTCGATTCCGGACGCGGACGCCGCGAAATTCTTCTCAGCATGAGCCATATCGGCTTTGGCTTTGATTGCAGGTGCGGCCGGGGGTGCTGATGGTTGTATTGCGGCGATACTGCCGTGGTGGTCGACCCATAGGTCGCGCAACGGGGCAATGGGGACGGTACACAGGACGTCTGCCCTCGCGTATCGCTGGCATTGTGGTCCTTTATCCATGGATGCTCTCCCCAACGCATCTGAGTTTCTGTCCACGGTAGCGGTCACAGGTAGCCTTTGGTGCATTGGCCCTGACCATGATGGCCCCTTATGTTGGCGTCCAACACTCGGCGAGTTGGTGATTAGGTTGGGTTGACCTGGTCATGACGATGTCCGTAACTTGGCGTTGAGGCGGACCGCCTGCTATGTTGTGTGAGCTGCAGTGCTGCAGCCAAGGTAAGCAAGGTAACAATGGGGCCCCACGTTTGTCGCCCACCTAGGTAGCTCCCAGGACAGAGTTCATGCATCCGAGTACATACAGTCAGACCTACACATAACGATCAGAGGTATAACGATTACCTGCACTTAACGGTTAAAATCGTAAGCCCAACGTTATATATATAGGATACTGTAAGTTCCTACCTACTACGATAATCGTTACAATTCTTGCTGAGTAATACATACAAATCGCTAAAGTCAGAGCGGTCTCAGTGCTTCAGCACCCCGAAAATGGTTAGCTAACCAGCTTTGAACCGGTGATTTTAGCGGTAGAAATGGGGGTTTGCCCCACAAATTGCCCTTCCTAGGTAGGTAGTGGATCAGCTCTAGATAACGATAACCTGGGATCAATGGTTAAAATCCTGTACGTACCCAACCCAATCGTTATGTGCAGGTTAGCCTGTAATGGACCAGGTGCCAACCACAATGCCGGTACGTAGTACAGGTACCAGTCCTTCTAGAACACTTGCACTGCACGTACTCGGATCCTGTTCTCTTGGTGCATCCATCCCACACATATATCTCGGATCTTGAGAAATTCGGTCGATGCCACAGGTAGACTTGTCAGGTTGCGAGAGATATCGGTTGTGTAGCTCAGTCATGAGATGCTTGGCGATATCCGGTACTCAACTAACTTGAGGTTGTGGGGTGCGACTGCCGAAGTTTAGTTTCAACGCGGTGCCGACACTGCCGGGGCTCCCGCGACATCAGTCTTCTGGAATCTTGTCTAGGAAAATTCCAGCGAGAAACAATAGCGTGGACGCCGCATGCAAGCCGCATCAACTTTTTTCGAGTTGATGACTGTCGGCAGCGCTGTGTTGGGTGTGCTGCCGGATGAGAAGTGTGCAGTTTGGCCAACCAAAGCATTTCCTAACCGAAGCCCCGGTGCGTTAACGTGGTGGGGTTTGCTTTGCCACGAGGATTTCTGCTTTGTTCGACTCATCCGAACACCGACCATAACCACCGGGGCCCACCCCCGCCCGGGGCCAGGTACCGAGCAGGGGGTGCGCCTCATAAATATCGCCAGTCGACTTAGCATTCTCTTTTGTAAGACCGCACTCCATGACTTATACTTACTCTACTTCCGTGATACTCCTACGCCTTAGCAAGGACTGGAGAAAAGTACCTTAAAAATGGTGTATGCCGGCTGAACACCGGTTCACAAAGTTCCCGCATGGCCTGGAACCGAGTGGAGAGAGCCGGCACGGATATGGGTCTGTCGACTCTCTGGGATATCCGATGGTTTTCTTACAGCCCGGCTCAGGTCCGGGGTCTCGCTTTTGTGATTCATGGCGCCCAGACCGCCGGCCTTGTCGGGGCTTTTGGAATGGCGGTCCACATGAGAACCTGGAAGCTCTTTGGTAAGGACATGATGAAGTTGCTAACCAGATGACGGAAAAGGCACAAGCTTACGAATAGCTCGGTACACTCACCGGGTCACCGAGGGAAACTCTTTCAACCCTGACCGGGTTCTGTTAACTAGCGCCTCTGTGGGTCTTTGAATCCGCCGCCATGGCTCTTTTCGGTCACGTCCCGCTCCTTGCCGGAGGGGGTCCGCCACCGGGACCAGCTGAGCAAATTCATGAGGAAAAAAGTTGGAAAAAGAGGAATAAGCTTGGAAGCAGACTCAAACCATTTCTGTAGACTTCTGTGCCTCTAGCATGCCTTTTCCCTCCTTCCATCGCCTGCAAAACGTGGTAAATTGGGCGACCCAAACTTATCTTATAGACTCATACACCGTCGCCGTCAATCTTCTAATCGCCGTGTCCGCCCCTCCCATGCCAATTGCTGATCTCGGATACTCGTGCCATCCAATGCCGGGCCTAGCGGGCTTGACGTCATGAAGTAAGTGAGACACGAGCCCTGACATTGACATGGCGATCGCATCTTCCAACTAACAACAGCCGCCGCCAAGGTTTGCAAAGGAGCTAGACCGCGACGCTGTTCCAGGTATGTAGACACATCATAGTCATACATGTTTCTCCGATTTGTCTCACGAGACAGCGATTGGCCCTTCGCACTGGTGTCCATGCTTCCATTGGGCAATTGCCGTGTTGGCAAGGACCAATTGTTTGTTGAGTGATCGTCAAATTTCCCCAGACTAGGGACTAATCACACAATTAACCATGTCACTCGGCACACAGAATGGCGGGCGAAATACCTCAATTACAAGGCCGGCAAGAAACACATCAAAGCCGTGTCTCGGGCGATTAACCGGGCACTTGGTACGCCGACTCTGACAAGACGGTCCGAGGCACCGCGGCACACCTACACCACACCGGCCAGCTTTTTCGGTATTGGTCATAGCTTCACACCGACCCGGCAGGCCAATGACCCCCTGGCCGGTGGTGTCCCGGAAGGTGCCGGTTCCGGCCGGTCGGGGCCCGGAGTCGCCCGGCAACAACCAAAGCCGCAACCCGGACCGGAAAATGAACGCTCGGGACTGGCCCGGTCGCCTGGAAGTAGCATTCAGTATGGCAGTTTCGACCCTCAGCCCTCGCGTGCCAGCGACAGGAACGAGTTTGAGTTGCCGGCGCCTGCCATCCGGATCCCCTCGAGGACCAGTGACCATCTTGCGCCGCCCACTCCTCAATTGAAGAACCGCCCTGCCACCCAACGCAGCGGTTCCGCGGCGGCGGCAACACCAAGGCTTTCGGGGACAGGGTTGCGGTCTCCTTCCTCCTTCAATCTCCAGCTTCCCGTGGCTGGGAGCTCGGCGACGACGCCTCGCCAGCGTGTAGCACGGCTCTTTTCGACGGGATCTCCTCTGGTCCGCCAGACCTCCAACAAGCGCGACATTGCCATGCAGAACCTGGATCATGTCCGCGCCGCGGAACGCGATTTCTATGCCTTTCTCGACAGCGAGCTGGACAAGATTGAGACCTTTTACAAACAGAAAGAGGATCAAGCCTCGGAGCGCCTGGCTGCCCTGCGAGCGCAGCTGCACGAGATGCGAAACCGCCGGACCGCCGAGATTGCCGCAGCGAAACAGGCGAAAACGAAGCGGGAGCTGCGAGGCAACAACAACAATCGCAGCCACAGCCACAGCGAAGACGGCGTAGACGGCAACATGACCCAGCGAGGTGGAACTGGATCTGGATCTGGATCTGGAAGCAGCAGTCGCGATTGGATTTCCCCTATCAAAGTCAAGTTCCTGAAGCCCGGGCCCAACTCAAAAGCCCTGCAGAGAATGGCGGCTACGCCCGTCATGGCAGCCGGCCGGACGACGCCGGGAGGGACCACCATGGGCATGGGCATGGATGGCGGCCGCGACTACATGCGACGGCCGCAGGACAACGACGACGTGTCGTACCGGACGGCCAAGCGCAAGCTCAAGCTGGCGCTGCAGGAGTTCTACCGCAGCCTTGAGCTGCTCAAGTCGTACGCGCTGCTGAACCGCACCGCCTTCCGCAAGCTCAACAAGAAGTACGACAAGGCCGTCAACGCCCGCCCGGCCTACCGCTACATGAACGACAAGGTCAACAAGTCGTGGTTCGTCAACAGTGACGTGCTCGACGGCCACATCCGCACCGTCGAGGATTTGTATGCGCGGTACTTTGAGCGGGGGAACCACAAGATTGCCGCGGGCAAGCTCCGCAACCTGCAGAAACACCCCGGCGACCTGTCGGACAGCACTTTTCGTAGTGGCTTGCTGATCGGGTTGGGACTGGTCTTTACGGTGCAGGGGCTCGTTTACGGCAGTGAGATGCTCTCGATGGATGATGATGGCGACTCGGACCCGGGCGAACAGACGCGCTACGTACTGCAGCTGTACGGGGGCTACTTCCTCATGCTTCTCCTCTTTGGTCTCTTCACGCTGGATTGCCGCATGTGGACGCGGCACAAGGTCAACTACTCCTTCATCTTTGAGTTTGACTCACGGAATGCTCTGCATTGGAAGCAGCTTGCCGAGTTCCCGAGCTTCTTCTTTGCCCTGTTTGGCGTATTCATCTGGCTCAACTTTTCGAGGATTGGGAGTTGGGGGTCCATGTATACATACTACCCTGTCCTCCTGATCTGCATAACCTTGGCAGTGCTTCTCTGTCCGGCTCCGGTGCTGTACCACAAGGCCAGAAGGTGGTTTTTGTACTCGCATGTGCGTCCATCCCTCCGTCCCCAATCAAATACCCTTCTTGTGCTGTCGTGGTCTCTAACCATTATGCGCACAGTATCGGCTTCTTCTCTCGGGCTTGTACCCAGTAGAATTTCGCGATTTCTTCCTCGGCGACATCTGGTGCTCGCTGACATATGCGACATGTGTACGTACGACACAAACCCGCCCCTTTATCTATCATCATGTTAACAACTGGCGACAGAACATCGAGCTCTTCTTCTGCCTGTATGCGCACTCGTGGGGGGACCCGGAGCAGTGCAACTCGTCGCACTCGCGCCTGCTGGGCTTCTTCAACGCCCTCCCGCCGATATGGCGCGCTCTGCAGTGCATTCGGCGTTACCATGACACCAAGAACGTGTTTCCGCACCTCGTCAACTGCGGCAAATACACCATGACCATCCTGACGGCCGTCTATCTCAGTGTCTACCGCATAGGCGACACCGAGACCAACCTGGCGCTGTACATCACCTTTGCCACCATCAACGCCGTCTATTGCTGTAAAGCCCCCCCCCCCCCCCCCCCCCCCCGCCCCCTAAAAGCAATAGAAACCACTCATCAAGCCACAACAAGCTAATAATTTAAACCAAAAGCAATATGGGACCTCTTCATGGACTTCTCCCTCCTGCAACCCCACTCCCGCTCCACCGGGCCCCCCTTACTACGAGAAATCACCGCTTTGCGACCCCTGGCCTTATACTACGTAATCATGATCCTCGACCCGATCCTGCGCTTCGCATGGGTGTTTTACGCAATCTTCACCCACGACGCGCAGCACAGCACCGTCGTGTCGTTCCTTGTCGCCCTCGCCGAGGTCCTGCGCCGCGGCATGTGGACCCTGCTGCGCGTCGAGAACGAGCACTGCGCCAACGTCGCCCAGTACAAGGCTGCGCGCGACACCCCACTGCCTTACCGCCTGCCTCCTAGCCGGGAGGAAGAGGAGGAAACCGCGGCTGCTGCTGCTGCTGCTGCTGCGGCTGCGGGGAGAGAGGAAGGAGGTGGAGAAGGTGGTGGTGCAGGTGGTGGGCGGACGCCCGAGATAGCTGTGGCTGTCTTCGCACCGTCGCCGTCGCCCGCCTCGCTGCTTTCCTTGGGTCCCGGTGCGCCTCCCCGCTCGGGATCGCTCAGGGTCCACCATATGCCGACGCCGCGAAGCGAGGTGGTCGCTGCATTCGCAACAGGCATCGACACCGAGGCCGCCGATAAGGCTTTGGAATCCGAAGAGGCGGGGGGCATTGGGACGACGGCGACCTTTAGGAGGCGGCGTGCACGCACCGACACGGCCAGCAGCAAGAGGTCCATCCGGCAGGCCATGGCCGAGGCTCACAAGCAGGACTTTGAGAAGAAGAGGCGGCCGCTGGTGTCGGCCTCTGTGGGTGGTGGTGGTGGTGGTGGTGGGGAGGAAGGGAGGTTGGGAGGAGAGGGACTGACTGGGGATGAGAAAGAGGAGGATGAAGAGGGGGATGTGCTGCGCAGTGAGGAAGAGGATGATGAGGACGAGGACGAGGAGGATGATGATGAGCTGCAGGAGGAGAGGATGCGTGCGAGGGAGACGGAGACGCTTCGGTTTGAGGATGAGCGGGACAAATGAGGAGGGAATGGATCATGCTAAGGGCATGTATTAGCTATCGGTGATGGGCTTGGTGTTGGATATAGAGCATTATTATAAGGTTCCCCGGGCAAGGGTAGCGGGTGTGCATATAGATGCGGGATCATGAGACATGCTAGCGAATCTTGAATGAGAGACGAAGATACGATTCCAGGGCCTACATGGCAGGCAAACAGGCGAAGTCTTGAAATCTGGGACAGAAGGTGAAAAAGGGACATCGAGAGCAAACATCTGCTGTGATTGCTGCGGTTGTCAACAATTGGAACGGACCAAGGAAATGGCTAAAAAGCGGTGGTAGGAGGTATATAGGTTAGTCCAAGCGAACAGGTCTCCAACAGGAACCACTACACTTTCAACGGCGTTGTGGTGTAGCGGTTCCAGCGTTGGGTTGAGAAAATCCCTGGACAGGCTCTGGTCGACGGGTGGTATGTACAGTCCCAGACTTCTGCCCAGGCTCATACCCTCTTTTTTAGCTTCAAGGTCCGCTCGATTCTTAGATTAGCCATACCTTCTAGTTCCTTTGGACTCGTTGCCTTCGTGCACAGATATATACACTGGTTTCCAGCTCTACCATCACTATGAAGAACACATGTATCTCTAGGGTCCAATTACACATCCCCCGGACATCATATAGACTACACACTCGTACCGATCCACCATCTTCACATGCTCCTTACACGCCAAAATCACACTTACGCCCGCCACTCACGATCCACCTTCTCCCAATTGTCCAAGAAACCCTTATAAAACTTGATACCCAAACCAGGGTCCAAACTACCCGTCGTCGCCCGGATGCTGTGCATGCTCAGCTGGGGGATGCCGACATCCGCGGCCTTCACACCCATGGCGCTGCTGAGCATGGGGCCGACGGTGCCTCCGGAGCGGCTGTCGTTGCGGATCATGTGGCGCTGGTTGACACAACCCGCCAGCTCGGCCACGCGGTCCAGGATGGCCATGGACACGCTGTCGGTCGTCATGTGCGCCGACGCGTCAACGCAGAGGGCGACGCCCACGTTGAGCCGGGGGGAGTGCCCGGGGAGGTTGGTCTGCGGGAAGTTCGGGTGCGCCGCGTGCGTCACGTCCGACGACACGAGGAACGAGTTGGCAAATGTCTGGCCCATGAGGCCCGGGCCGAAGGCGGTTTTGTTGGATTTGTCTGCGAGGCTCTCGACGGCGCGCTCGATGGTGATGGGCAGGAAATTGCCCCGCGCGCCCTGCCGCAGTAGCGAGCCGATTTCCTCGTCGTCAAAGAGGGCGACCAGCTTGATCACGCCGTCGTCCGAGTCGTGCTTGGCGTGGAGCAGGGCCATGAAGGCGGCCCACGAGCAGAGCTTGTCGTCGATGCGGCCGGCAAAGATGAATTCCTTGTCGAGGCCGCCGACAGCAGCCGGCTGCGAGTCGAATAGTTCCAGTTCCCAGTTGAGGATGGTGCTGTAGTCGTCAATGCCGAGCTGCTTGGCAATAAGCTTGACGAGCTTGGGCGGCTGGGTGGACGCAAAAGAGCCCGGGCCGCCGAGGGGTGCCTCGGCTTCTGTGGTTGCCGCACCGCAGAGATCGCTGTTGTCGAGCCCAATGATTGGCGTCATTTCCGTCTCGCGGTTGTTGTGCCCTGTCATGCCAATGCCAAAGTGCGGCGCCAGTGTGGGGATACGGGCAACTGATGTGCGCTGTTAGCCGGGGCTCATGGCATCTGCTTAACAAGAAGATAGATCTCAACGCACTTGGCCAGTCGAGCTTGGCAAGCTTCACCGTCGTCTTGCCCGTCTTGGGATCCCGCACAATGACGCGCCCTCCAATGCTCAGGTCTCTGTCCCACCACGTCTCGTTCAGCGCGCCGGCGTACTGCGCAACACCGAGCTGGATGTAGCCATGGGTGTTCGGCTTCGCGCTCACCGGCTTCAGGCGAGCAGTAAGCGCATCGATGTGGCCCGCGATCATGGCGACGCCGTTGCCGGGCTTGTAGGCGGCACCAACAGCAAATGCGATAATGGAGCTGCCGTTGCGAGTGACGAAATACTTGCCGCCGGGCTCAAGCTTGCCAGCCCAGCTGTCTCGGCTGGACAACTGAAGACAGACGAGACGGTACGCCGTTAGCCCTGGAAAAAGGGTGTTGTTATCAGCTGGGCCCGTATCTCACCTCGGTATAGCCAGCCTTCAGCAGCTTCTCCTTGAAGTAGCCAACGGCGTGGAAGACGGTCGGGTTCTCGGTCATGAAGTCGCAATAGGGCTTGGTGAAGGCCTCAGGCTTCATGTCCTTTGCGTCCACCCTGTGGTCTGGCGCCTCGGGGGTGCCACCCGGGCGAGATGCCAACAATGACTGTTCCATGGCTAAGGAGCGGAGGGAGAGGTTCGAGGCGCGGACCCGAAGGAAGTCGGGCGTGTGACGAGTCATTGCGTTTGTGAACGGGGTTGAGGGTGTTGACCGTCAAGAACAGAGCGTGCCGGTAATAAATTACAGACGTGATTCGCAGCCGCCCAGGAGTACGGAGTAAGGTAAGTATCCTCGAGAGGGGATGGTGAAGCACTAGCGACGTGACGTGCGGTCGCAGCAATGCAGGCAGCAAGTCTGAGCGGCCTCAATTGCCCCGATCGCTATGGAGTACGTAGCTAGAGCTAGTTATCTTGGTTGCTGTGGTTACTATCGCAGCTTCCAGAAATGCGGGGCGGGATTTCCCGCGTCGATCCTCAGGGGGTTTAAGAAGAGTCCGGGGGCACGATCCTTGCGATCATATCACCTCAACGAAGGGTCACAACTCACTACGCTCAAGACTTGAAGCATCTAGGTAACTAGCAGATTTGCTGCGAAATGCTTTGGCAACCCTTCTTAGTCTACACTAATGTGACAAACCATCCATCTAGCGACAACGCCCGCCATGCGAAAAATGCAAAATATCGCTACAAAATACCCCCGATAAATGCCATACCGCCCACTTACGCACCCAACACCTCCCTCCCAGCCTCAGCCAGCTTCCCCTCCACCGCCGCTTCCAATGAAGGCTCAATCTCAGCCTGCATTTCCTTCTCTCCCTCTTCAGCCCTAACCGCCTCCGCGCTCTCCCCTCCCTCGGTTTCCCGGCTCATATCCCCCTCGGAGGGATACTCGCCGTCTCCCAGTAACCCGCAGATATCAATCCACTTCCACGCATCGACCCCGCCGTCCTTGCGCAGAATCCCCTCGTCCCTGTCCACCCACTTGTCATTTCCCTCTCCCTTAACCTCCTCACCATTCCTTTCATCCCCTCCTGTGATGCCCAACCCGTCCACCAGGTCGCCTCGCGCCGTCCCCGCCACGACGACCCCGTTTTCCCGCAGAAACTGCAGTTGCGCCCGCACGTTCAGCCGCAGCACCCTCTCCGGCTGCGTCGACCCGCACAGCTTGCCCGTCAGCCAGGGGAACAGCACGCCAAAGTCGGACTGGCTGAGGTGAGCGCTGTGTTCGACGTAAAAGAAGTGCGGTTGTTGCGGTATCGGCCCGCGCTTGGCCGGTTCGTCCGGGGTGGAGGAGGTTGAGGAAGGGTCTGCAGAGAGAATGCGCGCCTTGGCGTGCAAGTGTTCGGTCCACGAGAAGAAGTGGGCTGATTCAATTGCTAACACGGCATTGCCGCCTGGCGGTGGTGATGGCATTGCAGGTTGAGCGCTGCGGGAGTAGCAGGGTAAGGGGAGATTGTAGAGCGCCGAGGTTGATGCGGAGAGGAGAGGGAAGCACCACATGTCGAGGAGGATGGTTGGCGTATGCGGGGTGATTTGCCGGGTGATTGCGCCGTTTTCGGTCGGGGTGAAGAGAGGTGCGGCCATGCTCGACACGGACGGGTGGTTGCGGTAGTAGGTCGATTTGACGAGCTGGACAACAGTGGCTGCCCCGAAGGAGTGGCCCGCGAAAATCACCTTGCCCGGATCGAGGACGTCGAGCTTGCCGCTGAACTGGGACAGGGCGGCTTCGAGCGTGCTTTTGTTCAGGTTGGACTTGATGATGGCCTCGTCGCCGCGGTCGATCGCCATGAGCGCCTCGAAGATGAGGCCCAGCTCCCACAGCCGGATGCGGAGTTGCTTGTTGCGGGCCTCCCACACCTCGTGTGTTTGGTCATGGGGTATTTGAGAATAAGGCACCACATGCCTGGTGGCTTTGACCCCGGAGCGCTTCTGTTGGCTTTCAGGTGCGCGGATTAGCGAGAGCACTGCGCTTCTGTCTCGGTGCTCTGGGCAGATGGCCACAACGCCATACGAGGCCATCGAGCCCGCCAAGTGGCTGTACGCATTGCGATTTCCGCCTAGGCCGTGAGAAAATATCATGACCGGCCACCTCGGGCTAGGATTGCCCGAGGTGGGATCCAAAAGAGTTGCATTTTTCTGCGCTGGAATCGTGGTCCAGTGAAGATGTCGAGGGAGAAAGCTAACCGCACCGTTAGCAACCCGAAATATAACTTGGCCAAATGACAACGGGCGGGGTCCAGCTTACGAAAGGATAGACGCCAAGGGAGAACCCAGCCCGAGAAACTGCGCATAGGCGGCAATGTGAAGACGCTGTGGCGCTGGCAGCCAGGTTATGCGCTTTCCCCGGGATTCAGGCACGCAAGGATAAAATATCCTGAACAGGACGGTTTCGATATCTGCGGCGCCGTCTGGAGTAGGGCTGGGCGACGCGAGTTCCGAGACTGGTATCTCAACATCGACGGTTCCTACTTTGTATGGGCCCGTGTATTCCGGCAATGTGGGCACCGGATTCAAGTTGGACATGAAAGATGCCATGGTCGCTTACAGTTTGCCGCTGCGAAACATATGCTTGGTTCCACGCCACACGAACGAGACGGCAAGATGTGTGAAAATTGCCGGTTTTGGCGAAGTTACCAGTACGTGTATGTGAGCAGCGAGAAAAGATGGATACAAATATAGTGCAAAAGTTTTAGTGTAGTTATGGGAAAAAAGAGTTCTGAGTTCTTGGCCGAGGCTGTGAAACTGATGCTTTCAGGTTGGTGATTGTGGGAATGTTCGAGAAAGGAAGGGGTACCTCGAAAATAATTGGGAGGCAAAGTGTAAGTGTATTAAAGACAGAGCGACACCATCTCACCCACAGTTGTCTACAATACATCGAAGCAAAACTTGGACACGCATCCAGTGCAAGAAAACTCTTCTATGACATGATAATCTAGATGATTAGTGTAAATTCTTCATATGTACGTTTTTCCACCCTTGGATTTTGGTCGCGTGGTCTTTAGCGGATCCGGGACTTTGGACTTATGACGCAATCGGCCCGCGATTGGCCAATCAACTTCTTGTTTCTGACGCCTGGATGCCAAGAAGCGTTACATCCCTTGGCGCCGGACAGCATATCAGATGGAATCGATTTCAGGACCTTCCAGATTTCGTCACAGCTGGAAGGTCACACTCCGTAGGCTGGAGTCGCAATTGACAGACGCAACAACGAAGGGCTAGTGTTGCGCTTCCGACTTTAGGTATATGGTTCGTATGAAGGAGTGCAATTCAAATCAATGCATATTCTGCCACAGCCTGTGCGCGTCGAAAGAAAGGGTATCAACCTGGAAATTCGGGACTGGAAATGCAGAAGTACGGGAAACACAGCAAAACATGAGAAACTGATCATCGGTAGATTGGGAAACCCCATTCATCCAGCGGTAGGGGCGCGGTATCCAGCTCGACGCCCTTCAACCATGTCCTCACCCGCCGCTTTGGATCGGCCTTTAGTTCCTTCTCCGACTTGACCTTGGCATGCAGCTTCTTCGCATATGCCGCGCGAGCCTTGGTTGGGAGATTACTGTGAGTATTATAGCCATTGCTACTATGATCGTGGCCGTCGTGAACTGCGCCGTCGCCCTGTCCTTGCTGCTTGTTCTTCCCCTTGGCTCTATCGTCGTTGCTTAGCGCGGTGGTACCCGCTGCAGCGGTGAAGGCCGTAACAGCGACCGTAGATTTGTTAACCTCGGACTTGGACCGGCGACTGCGACTTTCCTGGATGAGGCGTAAGACGGGCCCAACGGGCCGTTTGCTGTGCTTGCTGCGCGCGGGCTGCGGCCTAGCTGTTACAACTATGGGCACGAGGTCCAAACTAGCGGTTTCCCCGCTGCCCTCTTCAACTTCTCTAGCAAGAGTGGACAGCGTCCTGGAGCTGGAGGCGGATACTTCGGTTGGGTATCCCGTCGAGGTAGTTATGATTGTTGGCCAAGAGGTTTTGGGTGAGTCAAAATTTGGCACCCGGGTGGGACTGGTTGGGGCCGGTCCTGGCGAGGGAGAGGATGGCTGTTGCTTAGCCTTGCTTCTTGGGGTGGTCGACGATGCGGCTGCGGGCCTGGGCTGTTCTTGGTAGCTCGGTTTATACTGGTAGTCCCAAGTTTCTGCGAAGTTTTAGAACAATCGCTAGGTGTCTCGAGCCCAAGTTTGACGTACCACTAGGTGTCTTCCTTGCTCTCCAAAAGTAATGACGGTCTTCGCTGACGTACCAATCCGACCATGGGCCGGCTCTTCTCGGCGCCGCTTTAGGAGGTTTGGCCTTTTTCGACTTGGCTGCTTCAGACTTGGTTGCGACAGCGCCTGCCTTCGCTTTGATGTTGGCAGGCAACATCAAGGCCTGCGCCGGCTCTTCCGTTATGGGCGGCATCGTTGTGCGCTGATGCTTAGGGACTGTATACGTCGGCGTTGGCTCTGCTTTGTTCTCAGGATGCTGAGCCAGGGTAGGCGCTCGGAATGTGAGCCAAGCAAAGTCCTGGCCGGGACTCGTGCCAAGGTAGTACTCGCGATTCTTGGGTGGCATCTCCTATTAGATAAAGAATTGGAGCAGATGTAAATACAGAAGCTGGGGCGCCGGGAGGGACTTCCGGGTCGTCAAGGAAATAGGCTGTGGTGTGCTCATCAAGCCTCGAACAAGACTATAGATCCGAAGAGCGGCTGCACTTGACAGCTGGAGTTCGGCCTTGGAATATGGAGCAGGCTTTGGAACAGATTGCAGCTGTATGGGCATGCTAACATAAGATTGCATTCATGCAATCAGGACCTTATGTCTTTGCCAGGTTAACAAACCAAGAGGAGAAGATAATGCTGAAGCCTGCAGCAACCTGCAACAGGAGGATGCGACTCTAAATAGATTGCCCGCAAAGGGACGCGCTGTGTGACAGCTGCGAGAAGGCAAGGAAACCAGGAAAGAGCAGCCTCATACCGTTATGCCAATGAGCAGCCGAGACGGAGTGGCGATGTTCATCCATTGGGCGAGGCGCCGGCGAAGTCTCTCCCGTCGACTCCCAATCAGCGCCTCCTGCAGGTGCAGAGACGGAGACCTGGGTGAAGGGTCTGTATAACCCCGGAACAGAGAGCCAAATTCCATGATGTGATGTTACCCTATCATTGCGGCCTCATGCCGCAGCCGTTCGCATGGTTTGGTGCCCGATGGTGCCAACACCATCTGCAGCCGGGACGCCAGGACGTATCACGGCTGCCCAACGCGGCCTCACATGATTTTGGGTAACAGGCCACGCAGAGTACGACAGACTCCCACTTAGGGTACATCGTAGAGGGAAAGGAGATCGAATTACAATCACCCGCAGCTGCATCGGTTACCGGCCCCTCCGGCCGGGGGCTCTGCGACGTCGACGCCGGGCATATCCCATCTCGGCCGCGCCGCTTGGCTTCTTGGGGAGAGAGATCCAATAGGTAGCCCTGCAAAATCGGGACGGGAGGAAGTCTGCTGATGGACTTGATGGCTCCTGTTTGGAATTTCGTGGTGGCTTTGCGGCCAGTGAATCTTGCAGGTGCGGCTTGACCGGCCTCAACCGAGGCTTAGATCGACGGGCCGGAAGAAGACCTAGGTCATCTGGTCGAAGCAATCAAAGCATCCATCCGGGCTGCGTAATGTGGGTGAGAATTCCATATTATGTATTGGATGGAAGCCGATAATCAACGTTAATGGCAGCACCTGCAAAACGCTGGCAAGACCTCACGGCAGTGCCCCACCATCGGCGCCAAGACTTTCCCTCCTGCGGAGTGCGGGCGGAAAAACTACGGCTGCCCAGCTCCAACCAAATCCCACCTCCGTTTAAACCATCGCGAACCGACATCCTTCCTACAAACCGCATCGCGACGCCAAGAGCTCCAAACCAGACGATAGCAACAATCGCAATCACATCCAAACATGACATCCACAATCGGCATCCCCATCAAGCTTCTCAATGAGGCTCAGGTACGCGCGAAGTCATCGACATCAATCCATCCCTCCGATCTCCCCAACCGCTAACCACTCGCTCGCAAATGGACAGGGCCACATTGTCACGCTCGAAATTACCTCAGGCACGACCTACCGGGGCAAGCTCATTGAAGGTATGCCAGTCTATCTGTTTTGCCTTCCCCGCCGTATCCAGCCATAACGAATAAAGCGCTAACCACTACCTTCCCAATATCTCCAGCCGAGGACAACATGAACGTGCAGCTCAAGGACATCACAGTCACAGCGCGCGACGGGCGCGTCAGCCATCTCGAACAGGTCTACATTCGCGGCAGCCACGTGCGATTCTTTATCGTCCCCGACATGCTGAGGTGCGTCTCCCTACGAAAAGAAATGATAATGCACAAACAAGTGTTTGGTGTGGCGCGCGGGCTGACACCTGTGTGTTTTTGTCTCGTACAGGAACGCGCCCATGTTCCGAAGTCGCAACGTTCGTGGCAGAGGTGTCGGTCTTGCCAGAGGAAGAGCGACGGTTAGCAGGGCGAGGGCTGGTGGTCGGGGCGGTAGATAAACGCAGCTGCGTACCGTTGGCTGGTTTTGTTGATTGGTTAGTTGGTTGGCTGGATGAGGCATGCGGAAAAGCACAAGAAAGAGAAGGGCGTCGTATTGGCCCACGTGGTTCGGCGTTCAGGGTGATTCTACAGACGAGGAGCTTGGAGCGGCTCTTTTGGGGCGGGAGAGAATGGGGGAAGACTCCAAAGGGCGACGCCGGGGGGTAGCCCAGGATGCTTACCCTGAACGAAGGACGATATTGTCTTCACACCCTGATTTGGCGAGGGTACGTATCGTGTCTTACTCCTAGATATGGTATCTCTTTGTTCATGGGCTGACACGAGCCTACCACCAAGCCCGGAATTCTGGCTCGAGCCGCGAGACTGAGCGAGTCTAGACACATTGCGTGTAAGAATACATGAGATATACAGCGAGACAATGCTCTCGCCTACGTCATCCGTGAAAGAGCATCCTCCGCTTGCTTGATGATGTCCTCAGCCTTTCTTAGCTCCTCCAGATCCGCATGCCGATCGTCACGAGGCTTGCTTGCTTCGGCTAGAACACCAGCAATGCTAGCCTCTGACGCGCGGATGGCCTTGCGGCCTTCCTCGCGTACCTCTCCTTCCCAGTATTCCCGAGCCGCATCCCACTTTTGCTGGAGGCGTCTAAAGCTCAGGATAAGGCCAAGAGCTGCGATCGCCCCGCACTCGTACGCCCCAAGGCCCGAGAGGTATGACAGACCTGCCAGGGCGCTGCTCAACCCCCCCAAGCTTGCCGAGTGGATGACCAGCTTTTGGGCCAGAGCTTGCAGCGCCGGTACAGTCTTCTCCTGGAGATAATTCCTTGTGAAAGGGATATGTGTCGGCCACTTCGCTACCGTGAGAGGTGCGATTTCGTCTTGCCGGGAGCTGGTTGTCCCCGGTTGAATTAGTGTTGGCCCAGGGTATAGTGGCTGCCCTTTCTGCCCCTCGACGATGCCCGCCTCCTGGATACGCCCGGCAAGGTAGATGATGCCCTTCTCTGCGTCCGGAAGGAAACGAAGTGCCACCATTTCTGAGGCCACCATGCCCACATCGTCTGCACGCCAGAAAAGCTTCCACCATCCCAGGTTCCTCCACTGCCGACCTGAGAAGGCAATGTCCAATTGCTGCTGCAACTCCTCGTGTGCCTTTTGCGCCCACTCCGAAAGAGCTTGATCAAGTTGCGCAATAGAACCGGGCGAGACTTTTTCCTTCAATTCCGAGGACAACTCACGGACTTCCGCCTCTTGTATCGCGGCCCTGGCGTTCCGAAGCACCGATCGGACCAGGTTGCGCACCGGGGCTTTCGTAACGCCCTCACCACTCGCCAGGACATTCGCCCTTAGCCACTTGCTGATGCGCCCAACGTTCCCCGCGGTCCACAGAGCCTCGAACTTCATCGCGTTGCTGACATCGGCGCGAAACAGCGCCAACCCCTCACTAGCCGCATCCACGTTGACCGGAACAAGCGGGCAGCCCCGCAAATCGCCCTCGCCCAGCCCAGCAAAGTTCACCGCAGCCGTCACGACGTCCCGGCCTTCAGAAACGGGAAGTCCCAAAACCCCCGCCGCCCCCAAGACGCCGTCCCCAACCAGCACGGCCATATGCACGGGCGTCCTGACAGGCGCCACGTGCCCTGCCGTGGTCGACGCCACCTCCACCGTCGGAACGAGAATGGCGTCGTCAACAACCTGCACCTCCACTCCATCTGCGAAAAGCGCCTCGCCGACCTCGGCAATTAGCAGCTCCAGATTTCCGCCGTCCAGCAAGGGCGAAGACACGCGCAGTTCGGGAATAACGTGCTTCTTCTCTTGTTGTCGTATTTGCGTGCCGTCTGTTTCCAGATGGTGCTGTTCCGCCGCCGCCGCCGCCGCCGGCCCGACGCGGACGACGAGCGGGTGCGTAGCCGTGTCGTGCGCTTCAAGCTGCGCTTCCCATGGTTGGGCTGGCTTGAGCGGGTCGGCCAGCGCCAGTCGAAGGAGGCGGTTCGTTGTGTTGCGCCTGGCGGTAGGGGTGGTAGTAGTTGAGGAGGATGCTGGTGGTGATGCGCCGAGGAAGGCGACACGGATTGACTCGTGTCCGGGGGGCTGGGTGAGGTTGCGCAGGGCCAGCTGCAGGCGCAAGGTGTTGACGTAGCCGGGGGCATGGGACTGGAGGTCCAGCAGCGCGCGATGGAGGGCTCGGCGGGGGTTTGAATCGGAGTCGGGCTTGGAGCTGGTGGCGGGGGCTGCTGAGGCGGTCGTTTGGCTGCGGATGGCGTCTGGTTGTGGTTTTCGTCGCGATCGGGGAAGGGTGGACTGGAAAGATGGTTGAAGAGGAGGGAACCTGGCTCTAGGGGGCAAGAAGGAACAAAAGAGACATATCGATGGGCTCTTGGTTGGGCCTGGGAGACGCCGGCTCCGAGTCAGCGCCCTCCCAAAGCCCAATGCTGGCGGCATGGCGGGCTGGGTTGAAGGCACCAGCTTGCGCTTTGCGGCCGGCGATTGACAGCAGGTTCAATGGAATCGAGCTCGGATTTCCAACATGGAAGTACATCTGATGTATGTTGCCAATTGGACAAAGCCTTTTTGTAGTTAAGGTAGCCGCGGAGCTCCGGTAGTTGTCAAGCCAAGCCTAGGCTTTCTTGGCCAAAGCGCTGCTGCAGGGGTGAGTACTAGTGAGTACAGTATGCAACCGCCCCAGGCGGGGTGGCCACCTGGGCTCGGGGATCCACGTGTCATAACTCCCACTCTTCCAAGGTTCCCGGAACATGGGCCGGCGATCGCGAACCTTCTGTCCTACGACTCTACGTATAAGCACCTAGTAAACTTCCCACCGCAACTCACTGAACGAAAGCCCACACAAGTTACAACCAATACCCGGAAGGCTCACATTTGCATCGCAAGAAGATGGCACAATCGACGGCGCACCGGCGCCTGCTCCAAGAATACCGCGCGCTGACCAACAACCCGCCCGAGGGCATTACGGCCGGCCCTGTATCCGAAGACGACCTCTTGCACTGGGAAGCGCTGATTCAAGGGCCCGAGGGCACACCCTTTGAGGGCGGCGTCTTTCCCGCCGAACTGCGCTTTCCAAAGGATTATCCCCTCGCCCCGCCAACCATGAAATTCCTCGGCGAGGTGTTTCATCCGAATGGTACTGCCTTTTCCCCCATTGTCCACGTGCTACACAAGCGGATGGTCTCTAACAAGCTCAACAGTCTACCCCAGCGGCCTGGTGTGCATCTCGATCCTGCACCCTCCCGGTGACGACCCGAACCACTACGAGCATGCGTCGGAGCGCTGGTCGCCCATACAGTCGGTCGAAAAGATACTCATCTCGGTCATGAGCATGCTGGCTGAGCCCAACGACGAGAGCCCTGCCAACGTGGAGGCTGCCAAGATGTGGCGGGAGCGGCGGAGTGAGTATGAGAAGAAGGTGAGGGAAGGGGTCAGGAGGATGCTAGGGCTATGATCGAATTAAAGTTACCTCATGGCGCATTGGGACTTCGGTTTGGTTTTTTTGCATAGCGCACTATGATGGCTCAGTGTTTTCAAGAAGTTCAAGCAAAGTCTACGGAGGGCATGGCGTCTGTTTGAATCTAGAGCGTGGCTTATCGCGCCTATTTCCCGTACCTTCCCCCTCAACACCGCAATGCGTGTGATACCACCATTTCTAGCCTTTTATGATGCCGCTTGCTTGATATGTCATGCTTCAAACCATCCTTATCCCTTTCAAAGGTTGTTCTCCGCCTTGAACTTATCCCACGCCTCGTTGAGCGTGCTGAACACCGTCCCAGCAATCATGCGCACTTCCGTGGTAGCGTCTTGCGCAATCTAGCATCCCCGTTAATAAACTCAAGGCCCCATCACCAGAGATCACAAAAAAATACGGGTACTCACCTTGTCGGGATGTGTCTTCGCAATGGCCTTCATGTAGACCACCTTGACCTTGTTGGCCATCACCAGCTCATGCAGTCCCACCTTCTTCCACCCGCTGCCCTCCCACAAAACGGTATCCAAACTGCTAAGGAGCGCCCGCAGGTTATCCCTCTTGCCGTCGCGCCAGGCGGCGATGCGCGCATCGACCTTGTCGGCAAGCTCAAACTTTTCATTGCCCTCGCGCTCGGCGGCCTGGTTGGCCGCGCGCAGCCGCTCCACGGCGTCTGAGCTCTTCTGGCTTGTCGAGGCGGGTCTAGGACGCGCCGACGGCCGCGCCGCGGCGGCAGCAGGAGGGCGAGTTGGTGCCGGCGCCGGCTTGGGCGCGAGCGCCTTCTGGCATCTCTGGCGGCCCGCCGTTGCGGCGGCCCCGCCCAGCCCAGATTCAACACAGAGCTGCCATACCGCCCCGGCATCGGCCCACTTTTCCATTTGCTCGAGTGCTTCCGCCTTGCGAGCTAGTGCCTTGCCGTAGAGCTCCCGCATGTCGCGCTTTTCGGCGGCGCCGTTATCACCTCCGTGCAGTTCGACGTGCTCGCCCTCGCCCTTGCCTGGACCGATCAATCGGATTGCGGTATCGGCATCCTCGACGGCTTGCCGCGGCTCGCCTATCTTGAGTGCCGTCAGCGCGCGATTGCAGAGCAGGAGAATGGCTAATGGGTGGTCCTGTGGGACTGCGGCGAGCGAGGAAGTGTATGAGGCGTGGGCGGCGGCGTAATCGCCACGTTTGAAGTGCGCGGTGCCGTCCAGACGATGTTTAGTTGAACTTTCTAAGGCGATCGGCGAGGTGTTGGGTATCTGGCGAGGCGGACGCGCAGGCGCTGGTCTTGGGGCCGGTGATGATCGAGCTGTAGATGGGGGGGCTGTAGATGGGGGGGCTGGAGACTGCGACGGCTGCGTAGATCGCACTGCCAGCGTAGGTTTTGATTCTTGTCCAAACAGCAGGTTGGGTTCTGGCTCTGCTGGTGGATTTCCCTCTGCCGACGGCTGGGGAGTAGCCTTCTTCCTACGTGCGGGACTAACGTATGCCTGGAAGTTTTCCTCTTCGGTCACCTGCTTGCTCAGCCGGGGATGTGGACCGAGAGTCGCTTGAGAGAACTGCTGCCATTTCGGAGCCTGAACTCCCTGCCCAGGGCGGGGCGGTAGAGCTGGTGAGCGTTCGCGGAATGGGGAGTCCCGGTTAGGGTGGCTCTCTGGTGTCATCCTCCCTGGCCTCCGCTCCGGTCGCCCTCCTGACTCTAGCAAGAGAGCTTCATCTGTGACGTGGGCCGGTTGTCTCCTCACGTCAGCCTCGTGGCGGTCTTGGGCCGACCGCATCCATTTTGGTTGATTTGGGTCTCCGTCCTGCTGGAACTCTGCGACTGCCTTCTGGACCTTCTTCTGCCCAGTTTTCCAGAGGCTGTTAGCAGTCTTGAGAAAACTTGAGCCCACGGCGGCAGCTGTTTTCGCAAAATCGGTATCCATGGAGGCCGGTGACCGGCTGTCTCTACTCCTAGTTCCATTGCTGGGAGACTCTTCCCTCATCCAAGTCGGAGCCTCATGACGAGACTGCCTTGAAGTGCGCTCGTCGCCACCTCTGGAATGGTCCGTGGCGCTTCCTCGTCCCTTGGCTTTCTCTTTAGCCTGTCTGTGCGCGTCATCTAACAACCAGTTGACCGCAGCCTGGACATCTAGCCCCGCACCACTCTCTGTCAAGCCTCTCCTCGCATTCTCAGGGGTAAAGCCGTAGTCGACCAGCTGAGCTACAGCCTTGTCGAAAGGATCATCTGAAGCCGTGGGTTGCCCGACCTCGGAATCCGAAGATGAATCCTCAATAGGTTTCCCAGGCTCGGGTTCCCGGGAAAATGATGGCGGTTCGTGCTTCCTGACTTGGTCAACAGGCTTAGCCAGATCCCCCAGCAAATCATCGTCCTCGTCCGCAGCTGGGGGAGGCGGCGCATTAGTCTTCGCCTTGAGCTGGCTGAGTCCGAATAGGTCGTCGTCATCGTCGCCAAAACCTTGGCCACCGGGCACTGCAGCCTTATTCCACGCTTGTGGATCACCAAGGTCCAGATTCGGCGCGTTCGCAGTCGGAAGGCTGTCCGAGAGAGCAGGCGGCGGAAAGTAGCTTGAGTTGTCCACCTTTGTACTAGCATTGAAGGCGGCAAACAGGTCGTCGTCCGACTCGGCTGCAGATTTCCCGTTCTGCGTCCCCAGACTCTGTTCCGTCGCGGCTGGCACCGGTGCTGCAGGCGATGATGTCCGAGCCGAGGTTAGGCCCGACTGGCGCTGGCCGAGCGAGTCGAAGAACTGCCCATCGCCGTAATATGCCTGTGCCTGCTTGCGCTTCTCCTCCTCTTTCCTTCTTTTCTCGGCTTCTAGCTGGTCCTGTCGCTCGCGCAGACTTAGGTTTGCGTTGCTTTTTCCGGCGCCGAAGTTGAGGAGGTTGCCAAAGCTATCCTGAGTGGGCTTGGAGGCTGGCGCTTTTGGCCCAGTGCTCCCAGAGCCTTGGGCCGACAGCGGAGTGTTGCGACCGGATGCGAAGGGCGAGGGAGTCGGGCGCAACGAAGGATATGGCGTCGTCACAGTGTTCGTGGGTCTCTGTTGCCCAGACTTTGTGGTGTTGGGGTTGGGCGCGGACCAGCTCAGCCCAGAGAGATCATCCATAATATAGGTAGTCTGTCAAGAGATATCGCCCCAGGACAATAGTTGGGAAGGCGAAGTAACACATGCGAAGCGCAGAGACAGTGCTGTCGCGTAAAGCTGCTTCCACAAGGGGTTGATTGTTGCAGCCACATCCACAATCAACCCTTGAAGCCACAGCGATTGCTCGCCTAACTGACCTGAGTTCCAAGGTTAAAGGTGGGGCGGGAAAGGGCAGGCTCAGCACCGTACGGGAAGGGGGGGGGTCCAGCCAACCGTTGCTCAACGCAACAGAATTTTCCTGATGACAACCGGGTTTCAGTTGACTAAAATACTAAATGCGAGCCTAGACAGCCATTTGCAGGTGCCAACTGACGGTCTTCTAACAGTCAATCAACGGTTCGCAACTTTCCAACGTCTGGTCGGGATATTGTCGGGTAATCTACGCGTGTCGAGGACCTGTTGCGTTGAGCGACGGTTGACTGGACCCCCCCACCTTCTTGCTAGGCAGGGAAAGTGCCCCACTAAATTGCCCACTCCAGCCAGTCAGCGATCCAGACCATGGCCGTTTCCATGCCGCACCTCATGCCCAGATCGACAATCAACCACTGCCTTGCTTCAACTCGCACGTTATCTTCCGCCTCAACGACCGGATCTGATGGATATTGGGGCCGACCACCGTCGGTTTGGAGTGGGGAGACTTGTCCCCTGCTGTCAACAATACCATCAGCTCAAACGGACTGCAGAGCACCTTCCGTCCCATCAGGAATGGGCTTCGAATCGGTTGCCATTCTGGCCCAACCTAACTTATATAACGCCCGCCGCTAGTACCTCAGTCTGGTGTACCGTTCAGGCTCAATGCCACTCAGACTATACCCACGCTGCCGCCGCAGGATCTTATCACCGCTTCCAGTGTATCGTACACATGCTGCTTGCATCCATGGATGTATAGCACCATTAAAGAGTAACTACTGTGTAGTCCTCCTGGTCCGCCGGCCTCGTTAGCATATGAGGGACAGGATCTATGGTACTAAGCTACCTGGGACAAAACCACTGCTCCTATCCGACAAGGCACTGTATGTATCAAGTACCGGGCACATGCTTTGAACCACTCATGGCACTGGAGACAGTATGCGGCCGTATGTACATCCAGCACGCAAACTGAGTCTCCAATCAGTTGAGCTATCTAAGCATTACTGTAGAGCTGGAGCCTAAGTGCGAGGCATTTATGACTCGAAACTCCTGTGCCCTTTGAGCAAACCCGGGCCTGGTGAGCCACCTTAGTTCACTCTATCCGGTTGGTCTGGTCGTAGATGACCCTCGTGATACGTGCGTGTAGATTCATTATCTGACCAGCCTCAAGATCGGTATCGCAGACTTAAGAGAAACTACTTTCCAAATGTCGGTCGATCTGAAGACTAGGCAGGTATCAGGTAGATGAAAATGCTCATTGTGCATACGTTCCCCTCAGATATACTACATGGCGCGTATCGAGGTAGCGAAGATATCTGTGGACGTATACTAGGGTTTAGTAAAGTAGCCAAATAAGAACTAGAATACTATCGGCCACAAACTCACAACTCGCTCGTCGATGATGGACGAAGCCGCTACGTAGCAGGCAAATGTTAACTACGGAAATCCCCCAATGCGGATCAGAATATCAATCTAATGATGACCAGCGAAACAGGCGCAAGGTCAGGGGTTTTATGTTGACAGTCTTGAGGAGCGTCTCTACGGAATCCACTAGGAAAATAGGGGAAAATTCATCAATGGAGATCCTTGCAGCGGAAGGCAGACAAGGTTGAGAGCTCGACATTTTGCGGCATGGTTGGTTATCGGGATATCTTGGCTTTGAATGAACCGGGAACCGCTCAGTACCATACGAATATGTTAGCCTCATCTATATGGATACTACTTCGTACATGTAGTGTAGGTACACATGAAACTGTTTCAGCCTTCACGTTGGCGCTCATCAGATTCCAAGCGTTTTTGCGTTGGGACCCCTCCTCATTTCAACCAGTGATATGCATACGTATGCACCCCGCTTCGTCGCATCCTCTGCCGACCGCCACCGAAGTCATCCCAAATTCCCCTCAGTTCGACTGATGTTTGCAGAACCTCTAATTGTGCATTTACACTACATGGCTGAGCGTCGCGATGTCGCCACATCCCGGAGTTACGTGAGACGACGAAATTGGTTTGCCAGGCACAACTTACCGTGGCGAGGAGCGGCGTAGAACATCACGCGCTCCGATGTAGGCGGCGCGGATTTCCACGGTTTGCTGCTGTTGAGAACTTCCATGAGTGTTTGCGCACAGTCTATCGTGGAGCGACATTGTCCTGTTGAGAAACGCTTGGAGACTTCAATCCCTATGGCAAGTCTCTATTGTCCTCTCTATCTTTTAATGAAGGCTTTTCAGGCAATGAACCTACCTATGCTTACGCCAGACCTATGATACCTAAGGCTGTCAGCAAGTCGTCGCAAGGATCCATCAACCAGCTCATCCGGCAGTGCAAAATTATGGATCATCCAAAGGCGGATATTTGAACTTGTAGGTTGCGGGTACGAAGTACATAGCTTCGTACGGTACCTTGCGGATACAGAACGCACCGCGCACGTCAGATTTGGCGTTCCTGGATTAGCCAGGCACCAACCCCACAAGATATGTGGGCACTCCTTGGCAGTTGTCCCCTTAATCCAAAGGAGCCGCCGATCCAGCCAATGACACTCCTGTCTTGGGTGGCTGAGTGCCGCTTAAGGAAAGAGCGATGTCGCACAAACAACACCCCGGTCAAGGGGTCCATCCTTCCCCTTGCCGTTTCTCCGTAGTTAGGTCCAACTTCGAGAAGCCTGGAGCTCTCAAATCTGGGTTATCTTCAACCCACCACCACCATCGTCGCTGCCGTTCCTCGCAGAAGACCCTTCTCCTGGTTTTCTGCGCCACCCTTTTCTTCGCCCTGTCATTCACTTTCAGACTTCTCTTCAACCCCAATTCGGGCCCCACGCTCCTTACCTCTTATTATCGGCGGCATCGATCTGGCATCCGTTCCTTTTCCGATTTGTGTCGATTGCCAATCCCCTTTTTCGCGGTTAAGTACCGCACAAAGTCGCGGACTGCGACTCGACGACATTCATTCACCACACACCAGCCCGGTGCGACAAGCCCGCAAACCCGGAGAGAGGCCTTCGTGTTCCGGAGTTAGACACTTGTGAGCTTGACACGCAGCCGCAGTGAGCGACCGTCTGTGGTCGGTTTGCTGAGGCTGTGTCATCTCTCACAGATTTACGTTCACCTCGACATCCTTGAGCTGGTATGTCGATTCTCAAGGTGGATGGAGAGAGTAGTTGCTCTCCCCCGCATCTGGTGACTAGTAACCATAATGGCCGGATAGCCTTCGCTTACTTGCTCCGGCTCAAAAGCGATGAGATGAAGGCGCTAACATCAATTCTGCGCGCAGGATCGTCAAGTCTCTGATTCGACTTCGACGCTCGACAATTCAATCCTCATTCAGTCAGCAGTTCTATCCTCGGCCTGTTCGAAAACATACACGTTCAAACAGTTCTCACGCTCCCTATCCCATCATTTCGTACCATCTGACCTTGAAAGTCGCTCCCTGCATCCATCAAAATGAGAATCGACATTCAACTGGCCATTCTTGGCTCCGTGAGCGGAGCCGTCGCCTTCTGGCGTATGGAATGCCGCGGCCGTCTTGCCTTGGCCCGCCTTGACCCTTTGATCAACCCGGGCACTCTGTCGCCCCATGCTCATACGATCCACGGGTCTTCGGGTAAGTGTTCTTGTGCCGCAGCGTGCGGACTGTCTTCAAGATGCTTTTGCGTTTGCTAACATCGTTTCCTACAGGCTTCAGCGAGAGTGTAACATATGAAGACCTTGTTAACGCTGACTGCACCTCGTGCGCTGTCATTCAAGACAAGTCGGTCTACTGGACTCCCAACCTTTACTTCAAACACGCCAATGGCACATACCAAGCCGTTGAGCAGGTGGGTGGTATGCTTGCGTAAGTTAACCTGGTCGATCTCGTGAATATGCTTGAATCATCAATCGCTAACTGCCTGCTAGCTATTATTTCCTTGAGCCCGACGCCGGTAATCGTGGCGCGGGAATCAAAGCCTTCCCCAATGATTTCCGTATGGTTGCCGGAGACGTCAACCGCAGAAACTACTCAATTGCTGGGCTCAGCTACTCGCAGCCGGACCCGGAGAAATCGCTTTGGGCGGCCCTTGGCCAGACCACCCAGGAAGATCTCAGCCAGCGTGCGATTGGCTTCAATTGCCTCAACTATCAGAAAACTCCCGAGGCAACACTAGAGCGCCACTACTTGCCAGAGAAGGATTATCTGGATGCCCACTGCGCCGACGGAGTTCGTTTCGAGGTCATGTTTCCTTCCTGCTGGAACGGCAAGGATATCAGCAGCTCGAACCACAGAGACCACGTCGCGTACCCCGATCTCGTCAATACTGGCACTTGCCCCGAAGGGTTTGATGTGAAGCTGCCCGGCCTTATGTACGAGACCATTTGGGCAACGAACGCCTTTACTGGTGTTCCTGGCGAATTTGTCATCTCCAACGGGGATGTCCAGGGTGTGTAACCCGGTACCCGTCTTCAACCTGTTGTATCTAACATCTGGCTTCTAGGCTTTGGTTACCATGCCGACTTCATAAGCGGCTGGGACTCCGACTTCCTTCAAAGCGCAGTTGAGCAATGCACTAACGACAGTGGGCTGCTTTCTGACTGCCCCATCTTCACGCTCCAGTCAGAAAGCACGCAAAGGAAGTGCAAGATGGCGGCACCCATGATTTCCAGCGAGAAGATTGACGGCGTAATTGGTGCATCGCTTCCTGGTGGTGTTCAGATCCACTACGGGCCTGAGCCTGCCAACGCTGACAGCAACACTGGCAGCAACAATGGGCCTGTAGCGAGCGTTGAGTCGTTGGCCGTTGAGGCTGCCTCGACCACGTCGAGCACTCTTTCTAGTGTCGTGCAACAGGAGGAGCCGACTTCGACTCTCAATGCCAATGCCCTTACAGAGCCTTCCCCCGGTTTGTCTGCCGACGAGATCAATGCCCTTGCAAAACCATCTCCTACTCCGTCGACTTCCGAGATCAATGCGCTTGCAGAACCCTCTCCTGCTCCGACCTCCACCCTATCGGACCCGCCCATTCCCGAAGGATATGAGCTTGTTCGCACCGACTACGTCACCAACGGCAACACTGTGAGCAAGATAGTTGTTGTTGAGACAGTTGAGTACGTTATGGTGGCTACGGAGACTGTCACTGTGACTGCCACGCTTGGGGCTCAGAAGGCTCGTCGGCAGCTGCAGCACCTTCATCGGCACGCCCATCACTAAAGGGGTGAAGTGGGCTGAGCTACCATGTTCTCATTTTGCAGTTCTCTTGAGGAGACATCTTTGCTGCACATAGAGGACAAAACTCAGCTTTTCGACTTTCGATCCCTTTTTGTCTTAGTTCCTCGTCTGGGCTCATGCATGGAAGGTCGATGCTTGGGAGAGCGAGAGGTGTTGGAGACTGGGGCTTGTGACTCTCCAATTTGGGGGCCATCAAGGTGATGGGGACTGTCTTGCATCGCAGGATGAGAGGAAGCCATTCTATGATCTTGCCAGAATTTCACTTGTAGTGTAGCATTGACTGCTGCCACTTTGCGCATGAGGGACGGTGTTCAGGTGTTTACTTGGGACTGCATTGTCAAGATACCACTGCTTCTGGTGCTCCTGGTCGGCGAGACCTCTATCTTCGAAGCGTTGAGTTTATGACATATTTGCGTTGATTTAGTTGTGAGATGACTGGCGATTACGCTCAGATCTCTGCATCCTTTCTGCTGGGCTATAAAATTGCCTTCAAGGTACCAGACTAAGATGCACATGGTCCCTCCAAATGAAGGAGTCTTGATGACCCTGACCTTCATTCACGGCCGGAGCTATCCACCTACCCGACTCGAAAGTCAACAAACAAGCCCTTGAGCCTAACAATGTGATGCATCTCGGTTGATCGGAGATTGGCTCATTTTCAGAAGTCGTAATCTGCTATGTTCCCGAGCCTCGCCAATTGAATTGACGCGCTTTTCAGCACAATATTGTTGGGACTGGAATGTTCTTGCTACGCAGAATTCATTCCAACCCACCAAATCAGATTACCGTGCACCAGGACTAGCTCTCTGAGCAGATTCCTGTCGGGAAACCTGAAATGATGTTATGTTCTCCCCTTAAACCTCGTGTTCATCCAGCCGGCTTTGATCATGTCATCTCGACATCCCTTCCCAGTTCCGGGATCAAGAAGCCGACGACCAGTTTGCCGAAGTGCTGGCTGTATTCAAGGGGTCAGGTCTAACAATCTGACCAAAGACGAGATAATATGCTCTGTTGTCTTCGCTAAAAGAACGAGCAGGTAGCCTCCTATTTCGAAACTGACGCGCCATTGATACCACGACGGCAAGGTAGGAAGCGCCCAGCAGATCCGCCATGATATTCCCGCGCCAACACCCCCTGGGCTCGAGAGAAACGACACTTTCCCTCCCAAGCATCGTGGCTGTTGCCCTGCCTTGTGCTCTTACCTTCATCTGCGGCATTGGCGTCTTCATCCTCTGGCTGTTGCGTCGCCGGGCAGCGCACCGTCCAAGGGCCCTTCACGAAGACGGTGTAATTAGCGTGGAGCAAGGCGACTCGCCCGCCAAAGCCAGCAAAACGCGATCGACGCTGCAGAGACTGTGTTCTGTGGCAATACGGTCGGTGCCCAAGCCGCAGTCCAAAGACGACGACAACGTTCTGCCACTCCGTCACAGATCGTTCCCTGCCTTCCCCAGCGTGTTCAAGGGCCTTAATCGCCGTCAGTCATGCAAGTGGCCATCACGGGACCGAGACATGAGCATAAAGACATGCCGAGAGAAGCCATCTTGGATTGACGAGGACGCTCTCCATGGGCCAAGGGTGAGCGGGTTTCCGACTTCCGCGGAGGGGAGAACAAGGGCTCGCGGTTCGTGGCCGATGGTGAACCAGGCACCTGCGCTACCTAGGCTGCACTACTCAGTCTATGGTTATCCAACGGCTGAATGGCCCGGTGAGGAGGCCATTTGGGAAGGCTTCAAAACAGGGTTGGGTCATGGCCAGGTTCACGCAGGCACGAGAGAGCTCCCGGAACCACCTAGGCCAGCCCTTCCCGCCAACAGGGGACGGCATGATATCTCTAGGATATCAAAACCCCGCCCTAGCCCTGCTGGGAGCCCTACCAGGGCTCCGCCCAAGACGCCGTCAAGATCGAGTGCCAGGCCCCGGTCGACTGACTCAAGCCTTAGAGAAATACTGAGGTCGACCGAGAAACGGCTGCGCGAAGGCACCGTCTGTGGGACTGCCAGAAGCATTGGGCTCACAGAGTCACCTTCCGCGATCTCCAAGCTTCGACACTCCAAGGTCTCCGTACCGTCGTCTAGGACGCCAAGTCCAAGAAAGACCGGCCCTGGCAATCGAGGCACTCCCGGTCACAGGATACGGAGCTCAGGCAACCCGGTTCCTTCGGTAACGGGCAGTCTTGTCGGCGGCGAATGCGGGATTCCAGATGGTCCATCGGTACCCACCAGCCCCAGCGGTAATCAGAGGAAACAGGGGGAAGCAGAGCAACATACGTCCCAAATCCGTTCGGTGCGTAGCTCAGTGTCCTCTGAGCTGTCCACCCTGTATAGCGAGGACGAGATGCCCGAAGAAGTCAGGAGGGCTATCATGCCGTTGGCTGGCCTCGTTGTACAATCACAACAGGCTGCGGACGTGCTAGGCATGAACGACCCATTTGTATCGGCTCCTTCGCAGTCTCCAGCTTGTCGGGCATCAATCAACCAGGGATGGCCGGCAAAACAGCACAAGGCTCAAGACTTATTCCGGCAAAGCCTAGAACGCTCGAGGTATCTCCGCAGAATGACACTGGGCCACCCACCTGCACAGCCGGTACAAGAGCTCGTCCTGGCACCGCGGCCGCTGACGTTGACTGCAAAGCCCACCATCAATGCCATCGACCAGGGTTCATCCCGCAGATGCTCCATGACAGAGCCCGGCTCCATACAGCCATGCATAGGCAGTTACGCTCCATCATCAAAGACTGATGAGCCGCCGCCGATTCGGGACACCCAGACATTCTCGCCCCACAACAACTTGAACGGGCAGGCCTCCCCGCATGCGACCAAGATAAGCACGCCGAGTGCAACCCCGGCGCTACCCCAGCCAACAGCGACAGATTATCTATCCATTTTCCGGGAGCAAAGACGCAAGACCATCTCGTTGGTGAAGCCCGAAATGCGGATGGCAGACGACCAGCGGAGTAAAGGTCGTTCCACGACTCTGATCCCTCCATCTGTAGATGGGCTATCATTCCCATCCCGATCGGGAAGCGAAAACAGGCGGGCTCCGCTCGTCTTCCCCCTGAACCAGCATCAGCAGCAAGGTCAGCAACACCAACTGAACCAAAACCGCCAGAGCATCTCCTCTTCAGTATACTCCCAGGACCTTCCAAACAATCCCTCAAACCCAGTTGCAGACCTTGAACACGCTGGCTTCCACGAAAATTCCCTCCCCTTCCCGTCCCCGTACCCAGCACCCCTTTCTGTACCGGAAGCGCACGCCAACAGCAGCAGCAGCAGCAGCAGCTCGAAAACATTGGCGGTGGCGACGCGTGATTCCGTCCCCACGGGGACACCGACCATCCTCACCGTGATCGGCGAGGAGGATAGTCACAAAGACAAGCCCGACGGCGACTGCAATGGTAAAGCGAAAAATGAGTGTCAGAATCAGGATCAGAACGGAAGCAACACCACCAACAAGAATAAGACCCTGGCAGTCCCTGTCCCGGTCCTCTCAACCATCGCCTCACTCCGGCGCATGAACAGCTCGATCAGTACGTGTAGCAGCACGGCCACGGCCACCACCGCAGCCACCTTAATCTCCAGCCAGCGCAGCGCTAGCAGTACTAGCGACAGCAGTAGTAACAGCATCAGTTCCGAAGCGGGGAAATTCCCGATCTCGATCCCAATCCAGCCTCAACTCCCACCCCCACCCTTGCCACAAAGGAGCGACCAGAGGGAGACCACCACCGCCACCACCATTACTACTACTGCTACTAGGAGTAATAGTACCATCGGAGCGAAGAACTACTTTGCCCTCGGCAGCGGCGGCGGCGGCGGCGGTGTTGCTGGTGTGAGCCCTGGCACTGCCAAGCAGAACAACAACAAAAGGAACTCAATCCCCACCACCCCCAGACCGGCCAGCTGGGTCGGAACTGGCGGTATTGCCACTAGTACCAGTCCTGTAAGCCCCGAGTCGTCACCGCTCAAGAGGCGACGGGCGGTGGGGGGCGTCATGCATCCGATTCCAAACCAGCAGCGCCATCACCACCCCCACCACCACCACCACCGTAGGCCGGCAAGTGCCGTGCTGACTAGGGCGGGGCCGCTGGCATCGTCCTTTGCCGGGCCCGAGCTTGGGTACTTTAGGGCGTCGGCGGATGGGGAGGGGAAAGAGAATAGTACTGGTCTCAGCACTAGTGACAAGAATGAGGGTGCTGCAGATAAGTTTAAGCCGGTGACGGGGGAATTTACTTTTGAGGCGGGCTGCGGCGGCGGCGATGACGGGAAGGGGATCAAAACTGAGGACTGGGGGGAGAGTCCTTCAAAGATAAGCCTGAAGAGCGTGGACAGCCTGGGGCTGTATGACCGGGATGGGTTTCTGATCGCGTCGTCGCCGGTCAGAGTGGCCAGTCCCGGGTCGAGAGTGTGATGGGTTCAGTACTTTGGAGTTCATGGTTGCGGGTTTGTTGGTCATTGTGCTTGGTTTTTCTTGTCTTTTCGACATGTTGTTTGATTTCCGTTTTATGTATTGTGAAAGTTGGACGATTCCCAGATGTTTAGCGATTACAGTAATGTATAATTCAGGTATCTCCGCGTTGAATGCTGTCAGGTGCTGCCAGCTGCAGGTGCTCGGCATCCCCCAACTCCTCACTCACTCACCTCTCTCCGCTCACCTCATCGACAACGTGCTTACCTTCATCATAACAACCCTTGTCCCCGACCATCATGCCTCCCCTCCCACACCCGCCTCTGCCCCGGCTCATAACCTACTACCAGACCCACCACACCCCGTCAGGGCAGCATATCTCCATCCTCCCCTTGATCCAGCAGCCCAACATCGCCGTCACACATGTCATCCTCGCCGCAATCCACATCAACGAGGACCCTTCGGCCCTGACCCTGAACGATCACTCGCCCTCGGACCCGCGCTTCACCACCCTATGGGCCGAACTGCGCGTGCTCCAAGCGTCCGGGGTCAAGGTGCTCGGCATGCTGGGGGGCGCTGCGCCGGGCACGTACGCGCGGCTAGACCAGGACTCTGAAGGGGAGGGGTTTTCGGACTCGTTCGAGGCCTACTACGCTCCCCTGGCGGCGCTGGTGCGAGAGCGGTCGCTGGACGGCCTGGACCTGGACGTGGAGGAGAGCATGTCGCTCGCGGGGATCGTGCGGCTCGTAGACCGGTTACGCGCCGACTTTGGGCCGGGGTTCCTCATCACTCTAGCGCCCGTGGCAGCGGCGCTGCTCAGCACGCGGCACAACCTGTCCGGGTTCGACTACGAGGCGCTCGAGGTGATGCGCGGGCGCGAGATTGCCTGGTACAATGCCCAGTTCTACTGCGGATGGGGCGACTGCAGCAACCCGGCCATGTACGAGATGCTCCTGGCTAAGGGATGGCCGCCCGAAAAGATCGTCGTCGGGCTAGTGACAAACCCGGAAAACGGCGGGGGCTGGGTCCCCTGGCATCTCCTGGCCAACGTGCTCCCGCTTCTGGCGGGCAGGCACCCTCGCTTCGGTGGCGTCATGGGTTGGGAGTACTTCAATAGCTTGCCTGGTGGCAAGGGGAGGCCGTGGGAGTGGGCGCGGGTCATGACTGCTCTGTTAAGAGGGAAGCGGATGAGCGGATTGGAGGGGTTGGAGGGGATTGAGGGCTTGGAAGGAATGCAGGGGGTGGATAAGGGGAAGGGGCCACAGGCGGGAGGTGGTGATGCGGCGACAGTGGTGGACCCTGACGAAAAAGGCAATGAGGATTTGATGGTAGCTGTTCCCCAGGATTTCGAGTATCTCTCTGACGGGACAGAGCACGAAGAATAGAGTACGTATCTGCCTGCTGGCTTATTAGAGTGAGTACAGTGGCATCGTCATGTCCGTCGGCCGAGAGCTAAAGCGTCATGAGCCTGCATACGTCAACCTGCCGGACGAACTCCCGCATGGGAGCGACGTAGTGTAAGAGCTGTATGCGGCGAAATGACCAGTGAGACCAGTAATGAAGTTGCATGGTCAGCAAGATGAGTGGCGTCTTGGGAGCGGAATTCTTGAGCTGTGATGATGACACATGCGGCGTAGCAGCAGAAATCTGATGTGACGTCCAGGACCCTGTCTACGACGTCGAATAAGTGTACTCAGAGGGCGATGGATGGGAATGTTGTCAGCCTGCGAGGGGGAAAGCGGTGAGGGATGGGAAAGTGTGGATGGGATTCTGCGGCCTTTGACTCAAGGGCCGATCCACTGTTCTAGATTCGCGGCGCCAGCTGCAAGGCGAGCTTATTCTACTTACACTATTATGGCCCTGACCGATGTTGATGGTGTCGTGTGCTTGTCCAAAAAATTGGCTGAAATGGAAAGGTCTGGCCAAGCTCCCCGGCGTTGTGTGGGGACAGCCCTGTTGCTCTTCCCCTGGAATTTGGAGGCATTGACTGACAAGGGTCCAGCCACCGCCTGACGTCATCAGTATGTGTAGCGTACTGAATTGTGTGTGTATTGTATGTACAGTACGATACACGAGTTACATCCGCAGTCAGCGTTACACTGCGAAGAGAAGTGACCCATCACGAAGCACACTTCTCTAGTTGCACAATGTGCAAAGACTCGCTTTCCTAACCTGACATCGCCTTCAACCGCTCCTGCCTAGTGTATTAGTCCATTGAGCGAACACTACACAATTTCTTTCCATCTGGACGAGCCATGGCATCTCGACCACCTTCTCCTAAGGATGCCAAATACGTACTATATTGTACAATACCACTCGTCCTTGCACAACTTTCTTTCTGTGAGCCCCGACTGCTCGGAGCAGACGCGCAAATCCTCAGCCGTGGTTGATTAGAGTTTCGGCAGAGGTGCTTGGCTCTTGACAACAGAACTTGGCAAATCGCACACCCTAACAGCCTGGCTCGAGAGAGATGCCCTTCCGATATGTACTATCCTGTATTGTACTGTATGGACATACATTGATTATTGAAACTCTCCCTCATTCCCCGCCTGCATATGTGAGATTGTACGTTGAAGACACCCCACGGATCCCAAATTTGGGTTACATGACGGCAGCGGCGATTTTTGCCTGTTTCTGAAGTGTTTCGTGGTATTTCAAGGCACTTCTCGCGCGTACTGGCCGCTGACATCATACCGAACAGCCATCACCATCTACGCCCAAGGGGTCTGCAAACGCTGGAATTTGTGCCTTGGGGGATTGCCCACCATGGTAAAGGGCAATATGTTGCGGCCATATCCCTTGGGGTGACGATCTTGACTCCAGGAGCCAGCTGTCTAACCAAGAACTTCCGCTGAATTTATATGCTTGATGGTATACTTACTGTTGCCATATCCAGATACCTTTGCGGTAGGCGTGGGATCGCGGAGTCGGCCCAACTCACCGACGCGGGCCTCCGAGCTGCTCTCGCCGTTGTCACAGTTTGCCTCCGTTTCCTAAGACGGTAACGGCTGCAGAGAAACTGTGTGTACAGCAAAGCCTTGACCCGCAAGGGGGTCTTGCTCTTCCAGGTGCCTTTTCACCAACTCCTCCCTTCACCACTCGTGACGTTATTGCTCGCATCGTGAGACTGCCGCCACCAAAGGTTCCCACACGGCGGCGCTTTGCGGTATAATTGACCTTGTCGCAGAACAAGTCGGCGAAAAGGGGGTTGCTTATATTTCCGCTTCCGTGGCGAAGGCATCCCATCTTCCGTGGCGGAGACTGACACTGCACTACGCCATCCATGGCTCGAGCATGGATGGCTGACAGCCCCTCCTTGAGAGAGAGGCATGCGCGCACATCATTGCCGATCTGTCATGGAACCGGTAAAAAGACGCAGTTTGACGCTGCTGCAAAGACCTTCCATCCATTGGAGGGTGTGCTGCTTGTCGTTACCTCTGTGCAAATCTGGGAGACCGATGTCTGCAGATCAGAGTGACGGAAGCGATCAAGGTAGACCGGGATCTCCGTTGAAGGAAGACCCCTCCCGTCCTCTCATTGTCGTCACCCCACGAACGGTCAAAGAACCAACCACCCTACCCGCCACGCCCCCTTCAGTCGTTGTGCTGGTGTCCACAACCCCTTGTCTCATGGTTCCAGCGCTCCGTTATATAATTATATAATCTCCCCGCAAACAATTCCTGCCATCTGCCGTTCCGTTTCTACACTAGTCCCGATCTCATCAACTGCAGCCTGCGCTCCTCTGACCTGACTGATACCCCGGTTTGGACAGTCCCTAACCGATCAACCCGATTTCCTGATACATATTGGTCCCCTAACATTGCCAACTCTTTTCATTTCTGCCAACCAATATTTCCTCACGCATCCCAAAGCCCAAAGAGTGCCCAATATGGCGGCGACGCAACAGTCATACTCGCTCTCAATGCCTTTCTCACCACCGCCTCCCCCTGATCTGGGGACATATTCTCGCTCGATGCACCAGCATACGAAGCGCCAAATAGAGGCCATCTCACAATCGCAATCGCCGCCACCAAGGTCGTCTGCGCAGCATAACCAATCGTCGTCCTCATCGGTCCTCCCCGATGGCGTCTCGGGCCGCAATCGGAATCCGAGCGATTATAGCTATCAATCTTGATGGGTCGTGAGGATGAAGCGGCGCAGTTATCACGTTTGGATCGACAAAAAAACAGTTAAAATGAGACGAACATTCGGTGCTGCGCCCCGAAGTGCCCACCGAAGTGCACCACCGAGCGTGCACCACCGGAGCCCGCTGGAAGATCCAAGTTCAGAAACGGTACGCTGGAGGGAAGATGGCTGCGGCATGGTGGGGTACATGACAAACAATGTATACATCTCGGGTTGGCGCATCCGGCTTGGTTTGGCTTGGCTCGGTGCCGATTGTGGGCGGTGTTGGGTTTTTGTTTGCTTTTCCACTTAGCAAAGCACGGCGTTCAGAGAACAGGTTAGCATAAACAACATGACACTGGGCGGTATATGAACATACTCCAGCCGCCTCGATGCACCAGTGACTGGTCGACCGGCATTCATCTGATGCTTATTTTGGTGCTGTCTAGCAAACCACGCACAAACTGTCGATCTTCGACGGTCAATTCGGTCTAGACCATATAGACACTGTGATTCTCGTGAACTTATTCTTCCCTCCTGTTGTTCGCTCAGACGAGAGGCTGCTTCTTCTTGATGCCCAGCAAAGCAGCATGGTCCTTTTTCTTTTTGATTTGGCGCTTGAAGCCTGGCGTTGGTATGTCCGTCTTGGCCGCGACCGTCGCTGAGGATGAAGGAGAGGGAACTTTGTCGGAACTCGACCCCGAGTCAATCCCCATGTCTGCCGGCCCCTTCTCATTGCCGAGTTCTCCATCCGCATGAGTCGACAGCACTTCTCCCTCCTCCACCAACTCCCCTCTGGCGCGCGCAAACGCTCTCCTCGCAGCTTCAGCATCCTCCTCCTCCTGCCTCCTCCTCTCCTCCTCCTCGGTGCTGAGCAACCCCACAATTTCCAACCCCGCTCCTTCCCTCTGGGCCTTCTCCAGTCTCGCATTGCGGCTTCTGATCTCGTCGAGCGCGTCGGCGACCGCCATCTCCCTCTTGGCATCCGCCGTTTTCGCCTCCAACTCAGCCATGGCATTCCGCTCTTCCGTCTCGATGCCTTCACGCTCGGCCATTTCGCGCTCGAGCCGGTCCAGCCGCTGCTCGTCCGTCTCCTCCTCCCCGTCTTCCCCGCCGCCGCCGTCCAACCCGCGTTTCCACGGCTCCGTGTTGCGCTTCGCCCCGCGCTCGACGACGTAGTCCTGGTTCTTCGGGTCGGTGCGAAACACAATCTCGGCCGAGCAGCGCGTGCAGCGTATGTAAAACCGATAAATCTGGATGCCCAGGTACCGCTCGTCGGGCGGCGTCTGCTTGCGCGCGTTGAACTTGCGGCCCCGGTACATGTACTCGCCGCAGGCGATGCACCGCAGAGAGAAGGGCGCCATCAGCCGCACCGTCTGCACCTTGGGCTGCCCCTGCTCGGCCTTGGGCTTGCGCGACCGCCCGACAAGCGACGGGTCAAAGTCCGGCGGGTAGTACTTGGTGAGAACCTTGCGTTCGGACATGGTGAACTAATCTGCGTGGTTGATTTTCGTTGAGTTGCTTGATTTGTTTTTGTTGACGTAGCGGCTGGGATTGCGCGGCTTGGGAGTTGGAGGAGGTTGAAATCGTTGTTTGGGGAGTGTTGTTATTTTGGGGAAGGCGAGCCGGTGATAAAACGCCATCGAATAAAAGAGGCATTAACAGGTCCGGGTTAGGGTTGGTAAGCAGCTGTCAAACACCTGGATCGCATTGGATAGCCGAGAACTGATGACGAGAACACACATATGAAATTCACAAGCAGGGGCATTTCTGTCAGTATCAGACGGTGGTTCTTTTCTTCCAATGGTATAAGCTACTCACGAATGCCAACCTCCAGCATCTCGGCCAACAAATCCCACTTCGCCGCCGCCTCGTCCCTGCTCGCCCGAGCCACAGCCCTCAGCCCGCTCGCAACGAACCGCAAATGCCTCTCATAATCCCCAAGCATTTCCCTCAGCCGAACAGGGTACGGCTTCCCCTCATCCTCTCTCGCAACACTCTTTTCCCCAAACCACCACCCATCATCATCCTCCTCCTCCTCTTCCTCCTCACCGTCCTGCTCCTCGTCTTCCTCCTTCGCAATCTTCCCTCTACCTCTTCCCATACTCCTCCTCTTGCCCTTGACCGGTGACAAGGCCACTTTTGCCTTGAGAGGCGACGACTCCATGACGGCCGACATGGATAGTCTCTCAATCTCGCGCGCCTCTTGCTCCCTCCTCACCGCCTCTGCCTTGCGGGCATCCTCTAGCCGAATAACCTGGTCGAAAACGTCGAGCACGCACTCGCGAATCGGTTGCAGCTTGGTCCCCTGGCAGGACTCGCTGAGGATTCGGCTGATAAAGGCTGCGTGCGCGGCTGCCATGCTGTCTAGGTCGACGGCGTCGCGCAGCTCGCTTCTCAGCCGGGCCGTGCTCGGCGCCAGGACCAGGGTGGTCAGGTAGGTCATGAGGGTGGTGCAGAACCAGAGGAGCTTTGTGCGGAGGAGGTAGTAAGTGAGGGCGGCTGAGTTGCCATCGGTGTTGATGTTGTTGCGGCTGTAAGAGTTGGGGAGAGGCCGCTGCAATATGGAAATGGCGCGGCGGGTTTGGAGGAGGAAGGTGAATATCGTGTGGTAGCCGCGGATTCCTTCGTCTGAGACCACAATCTGGATCGGCCAGCTGAGGCGGTACCGGAGCCGGATCGCCGGGAGGCTAAGGCGGACCGAACTTCGGGAGGCGAGAGCGCTGTGTGCGAGGCCACCCCGCTCAAGCTCGGCTGAGAGCCGGGGAGCGTCGACGCACGCCGAGAAGGCCTCCTGAGCTATCTCGGTTAGAGTGAAGCGGTCTTTCCAGGTGCTGCTGAAGTTGTCTAGGTGTCGGAAGATGGAAGATGCAAAAGCATCTGACCTTGCACCATCGGACATCAGGTAGATATGCTCCAGAGCGTCGAGTGCTTGGGACAGACCATACGTGCTGAACAGCAATTCCCGGAGCGTTGCGGCCGCAGTGTGATGCTTACTCTGAATCCAAGCGTCAAAGGCAGCGCTGAAAAGCTCGCTGAACGGCGCAAACTCGAGCTCATCCGGACAAACTGCAGCAAAGTCCATCTTGGGCTCGGTACCCGCTCGGTATTGCCTGGTCGACTCCCGTTGCTTCATGTGGTTGAGGACAACGATACTTTTCCCTGCCGCAAGGATGCGATCGATTGCAGGCTTCAGGAACCGTGGGGCATGGAGTTGACCCTCGGTGGTCCGCAACAGGTTGAACTGGCTCTTCCAAACCTGGGGCAACGGTAGCTTTGTGGGCGACTCGGACACAAAGAAGGTTCGGTCTCCGGGCAGGAGTCGCCCTTCTTCCATCCAGAGCCGGATAGGCTTCAAATACACCTGGAAACAATCAAGGAAGATGCTTCCTAGCAATCGATACGTTGCGCGTTGGCCTTGCAACTGCGATATCCCGACTGCGTCGTATAGGAGCTCGAGGTACCGAAAGGCGTGAGGATTCCGCTCCTCTTGGAGCTGGCGCACAATGTCTGACAAAGCATACAGTGGTGTCAAGGTTGGTCCTAGTTCTACTAGGACTCCTATCAGACTAACTACCACATCTTCCTCTATGGCGACGAGCCGGCCTTGGTATGTGACCAACTCCTGGTCGAGGGAGCGCAATGCTTTCTGCAGCGAGTCTTGGAATACCTGGAGCAGGGGCAGCTCTTCCTTCGTCCTGGCAAAGGCGCGCAGGGGGGCGAGTTTCCGACCACATTCAGAGAATGAAGTTACGAGTGCCTTGTATGCGTCCCAGGAAACACCTGCAAGCTGATAGCGCGTGACAGGGCAGCATTCGGCGTCAAACAAGGTCGTTTCGAGCCCGGCCAGCATGAATAGACATTCGCGAAGGAGTTGGGTCGTCGAAATCGGAGTCTTCCTCAGCTTTCCATCCTCGCTCGTTGCCGACGCATGTCTCCATGACTGTGAGTCTCTTATTTGCTTCAACAACTCGTCGCCTTGCGGCTTGAAGGCTGAATCTTGGACGGTTCGTAATGGGACGTCTTCAGTCGAGGTAGCAGTAGTGAGTGACTCAATTGTTGCCTCTGTCTTCGCTTCTGACTTTGCTTCTGACTTTGCGTCTGGCTCCCCCTCATCGCTCGAGGCCTGGGAGTAGTCAATGAAGCGCCAGATGTCCCTCTCCTCTTTCCAGCCATCTTCTCTTGCAATTTCCCGCCATGTCAGCTTTGGCGGAGCATCCTCGTCAGGCTGCAGCAGAAGATCCAGACTGCCAAGGTCTGACTTTTGCGCCGGCTTGTCGGCAAGCTCGAGGATCAAGTGTAGGATTTCTGGCATATGCTGGTTACGGTGCTGCTCTAGGGCGTCCAGCCGCTTTCGCAGCGCGAGGGCGAGGGCTTCCCGGCCAACAACATGGAAACGCTCCTCGAAGCCATCCAAGCGAGCTTGGACTTCGAAATGATTGGTGCTAGCATAGTTGTGTTGACGCACACTGCGGAGCACGAATTCGCGACAAGCCTCTCTCCTCTCTTGTTGTGTCTGAGACGCGCATCAGCGGGATTGAAGATGGTCCTGAAGCAGTCCCGTGGAAGATAGTACCTCTGGGATAGCGGTAACGGCTGCGACGAGTTCGTCGGTCAGGATGCCCAGTTGCGCAAGGTATGCCATATTGCAGCCCTTTCTAAGGTGGGCATTCTGCTAGTACCTAGTCCTAGACTCAGTTGGTGCCTCCTCAAGGTCAGCAGTGAACGGAGTGGGACGCGAAGTTGCTGCAAAGAACTGTGTAAACGTAGTTTGCAGTGTCGCACTGTACTATACGCAACACAGCACAGTTTCCCTTTCTGTAAGTAACATTGGTCATAGAGAAAGAAAAAGATTTTTCAACTCATAATTGAGGTTTGACGATAATTATGAGATTGGTATAGGGAAAGGGAAGTTTGACGGTCACTCTGCTTAGTCGCGTGTGTGTGGGACAGTATAGAACCTGTAA